ATCTTATCTAGGCTCCCAGGCTGACCTACTATAGAAAGCCAGAAGAGACCAAACGAAACAACCCTGGCTCGAACTGTCTTCACTACTTTTCAGGATTTCCGAAAACTCAATAAACCTAAATTTCCAATTGTCTTTGTTTAGGCCTCCCTCCCTCCAAGACGCACCATATATCTACCCATCGCTCACCTCAATGGTTGCAAAACGCATCAACCTCCACCACCAAACACCCAAATCCCACCGCCATTTCCCAATCTCCAATTCACCTCATTTCTCCGTAAAATCTATAAAAGTCCCCTTCAAGCAATCAGAAAAAAAAATATCGTCAAATTCCCACCCATCCACAAAATGGCCATCCTTCCTACCACCGCGAAAGCATCGCAAACCCATCTCAACAAGACTCATATGGGTCACTTTTGTCGAGTGACGCCACGAAACACCGCCTTTTTCCGCTGCCACAGCCACAAAAACCGCCGTGCCAGACTCCCCCGTGCCAGCGATTTGCCCCCTCAGCTCTTCAATTCGCCAAATCACCACACTACTTTTTTCTCCAGGTTTCCAGACATCGACAACAGCTCCTCCACAATGTTCAGCTTCACAACCGTCTGCCACAAAACAAGCGATACCCAGCACCCGCTCGTGATGCTCCACACGCGAGAGGGCTCGAAATTTCTCTTTGGAAAGGTGCCCGAGGGGACCCAGAGAACGCTTAACGAAAACAGCATGAGACTCGGGAAACTCAAGTCTGTGTTTATGACGGGAAACTTGCAGTTTTGGTCTGAGATTGGCGGACTTCCGGGTCTCTTTTTGACCACCTCTGACGCCACCAGCCGAGGTCTCGATGTGTTCACCAATAGCAAAAGCGTGCTTTCTTATATTGTCGCCACATGGCGCTACTTTGTGTTTCGCCGGGGCATCGAGCTTAATATTCTGGAGCCCCACGACGGCCAGGTTATTGGCGATTCTACCGTGATGCTCTTCCCGGTGAAAATAGACAGCGATTTGCCGAAAAAGCTGGTCTCTGAAGAGGCAGTGGCGGTATTCCAGCGCCAGCTCTCCAAAATCACCTCCTTGATGTTTCCCAAAGACACCTCCAAGGCCAACAGCGACGATCCAGACTCGTACAAACTGGATCCTTCCGAAACAGAGGCTCAGACACACGTAGCCCTTCCGGACCCTTCTCAGTCATTGCATCTCCACAACCAGCCGTCGCTTTCATACGTGATTCGTTTTCTCCCGGTCAGAGGCAAATTCAACCCGAAAAAGGCCATGGAGTTGGGTGTTCCTCGAGGAGTCGCTTTTAGAGAACTTACCCAGGGCCAAAGAGTCCAAAGCACAGACGGATCGTGGGTCGAGCCCGAACAGGTTTTGGAGGTGCCCTACACATTCAAGAAAGCCGTGATTATAGACATTCCCAACCAGCACTACCTCCAGAACACCATCAACAACGAGGAGTGGTTCCGCAAGTCCGACTCACATGGACACGAGGACATCGGACTCGTGTACCACTTTTTGGGCGACGACATCGACTTCACGCTGGAGGCGTACGTCAACTTTATCAAGAAGTTTCCAGCGGACTGCAAGCACGTTATCAGCCACAAGCTGGTGTGTGACGATTCGCTTGTTTTCACCACATCCATCGTTCACCACATGAAGCTCAAGTGCTTTCTGAACGACAATTTCTGTCTCCCGTACCACGAGACGAAAAACGGGCCAAATTTGCCCAATTCAGTGGGTCTCAAAATGCTTCAGAACTTCAACGTTTCATCCACGGGAATCGAGCTTGACGAGTCCAAGGTGGCCAACGACACCTGGGCGACTCTTTACAACAAGCACATTGCCGATCTGGAAATTGCAGCCGACTTGGAATCGCTTTTGAGCAAGCAAATCATCCTGTTGGGCCCGCTCGAGAACGCACAGTCATTGAAGGACCACGTTCAGGTTTTCACCGTGGGCACAGGATCAGCCCTTCCGGCTATTCACAGAAATGTCCTCTCAAATCTCGTCAGAATACCCTACAAGACGGAAACTGGCGAAATCGGATTCACCTCAGTTATCCTAGACGGCGGTGAAAACACCTTGGGCACGATGTTGCGGATGTTCAGCCACAACAACGGCGAACAGATGCAGCAGATTTTGAAAGAGCTCAAGTTAATTTATCTCAGTCATCTCCACGCTGACCATCATCTTGGGCTCGTTTCGGTGATCAACGCATGGTTTGAAACCAACAGGGACAACGACGCCAAGTTGTTTTTGATCTTGCCGTGGCAGTTTGACCACTTCTTGAACGAGTGGTACAAGCTTGAAAAGCAGTTTTCCAGCATCGATCTCAGCCGGCTCGTCTATATCAGCAACGAGGATTTCCATGCTCGTCGTGAAAGCGAATTTCAACAAGCGGATATTGCCGATTTTGAAAAAGCCTTTGATGAGGGCCAGTTGAACGTGGCGATTCCCCGTAAGAAGCTAGGTTCGCTTCCCGAAGAGCGTATACGCGAGCTCTACGACGCTGTTCATCTAGAAAAAGTGGAAACCGTCAGAGCGATCCACTGCTACTGGGCCTACTCTGTGAACATGACATTCAGGCTTTCCGAGAACGAAACTTTTAAATTGTCGTTTTCCGGTGACACTCGCCCGAACCCAAGCTTCTTCAAAACGGGCCAGGGCGCCGATTTGCTCATTCACGAGGCCTCGCTCGAAGACGATCTTATAGAAGAGGCACTCGCCAAAAAGCACACCACCACCACGGAAGCCGTGAGAATGGCACAGCTCATGCGGTGCCCCAAGGTTCTCCTTACCCACCACAGCACTCGAAATTCCGAGAAACACACATTTATCAGATCCTCTCAACAATACGAGCAGCAGTGCCAGATGCTCGATCGGTACCTCGGCGACGTCCTGGAGAACATTGTCAAGTACAAGGTGGACCCTGAATTTGGTTTTGACGACATGGACGTGTGCTACGCCTACGACACGATGTCGGTTCGGTACCAGGCGTTTGGGTTCCAGAAGCCGCTATTTGACAGCATCACGGCACTTTCGCCCGGAGAAGAAGGCGAAAGACAGGCCAAGGACCGGCTCAAGATGATGGACAAGCGGCAGCAAAAAAGAGAAAAACGGCTTCACTACAAGAAAATGAAGGTGCAGGGCCGACCCTAATGTATATAGCCTGCGAACGAAAAAAAAGGTGTAGTACACCATCAACACTCACCTTTTTCGCATATCAGCAATGCACCCGATCCAGATCCTACCGGCATGGCTTCTCGAACTGGTACGTGACGTCATCAACAAGCAGTCCACATACACGAACCCGCTAGCCAAAAAGGCGTTTGTGGTGTATACAAGCGAAGAAGACTTGAACATAAAAGCTACACCTCTACTACGTATTCTAGGTTTTTGCAAGGCACATAGCGACGGGAGGCTTACGGCGATTCTCCATGATGCTAGTCACAAAGTGCTTGTTTGTTTTAGCCGGGAGAGTCTCATAAAGTACGAAAACAAGCATTTGGAGAGGCTCACGTACATGTCGATCAACTCCATCCTCATCATCAAAGAGGCCAATCTCCGGTTTATCACGATAACACAGCTTACTCAACTTTTTGGCTCTGTGCCTGGTCTCAAGCTCAGGCCCGGTTTGGGCATTCTCATACTAGAGGTGACGATTGTGGACTCTTTCACGAAACAGCAGCTTAGGGTTCCAACCAAGGATGATGATGCGGTTCCGTTTATGTACAGCGATCCCGAGTACTTGGAGATTTGTATGGAGGATTTGGATATTCTGGGTTTGGAGGCGTCCAGGCGGTACTTGTGTGGGGACATGGTATCCGATGAGGAGGAGTTGGGCCCCCTTAAGAGATGGTGAGGGTTTCAGCACTGAGTGAGATGGTGAGGGTTTCAGCACTAAGCGATTTTATGAAGCTGTTGGTGCATAGATAGTGGAAGGTTTACCGAATGGATGGCTGGTGAGATGGGGTAAGCTAGAGGATGTGTGACTAGGATCGTGAAAATGGTGTATATGGTGAGTGCCTGGAGATACTTTGGAGAAAACGATGGTGTCAAATGTGTCCATCTAACTGAAACACGAGTGGCTAGTAGGGTGGATAGTTGTGAGTTTGGGGCTATACATTGGATTTTGGCTGAGGCTGGATAGCTGGGTGGTGAGTTTGTTGTATTTCAGGGTGTGGTTTGCGAGACAGTCTCATGGAAAGCCATTCAGGTGAATCATGAAAGTTGACATAGCGTTTGGTGTGGGTCTTTGGTGTGTTCATGGATTACAGATGGGTATGTACTCAGCGAGCACCTCTTAGCCTATAAAGTCTGAACTCCAAAGCTTAAAATGAAGCGATTTATGATATCAGGCTATAAATTGTAAATATGAATCACTAGCTATCTTGGAAGGGCCGAGTACTCTATGCCATGGGTCTGTGTAGTCTGTACTCGGAAAGTATCCTGTTCCAACGACCCAACAGAATGCACCTATTCGAAGGGTTTGGACTATATTGTCTGACTAGAAGCTGCTAAATAGGTGGGAACTGTTATACTACTTTCGGTCAGGAGACATTATAGCATCATTGGTCAACTATGGCCATACTGAGCAGTACTACCTATACAGCCCATCTCCCCTGAAAAGCACCAATTCAATAATTGTGCAAACAACGACTCCAAATTCAATACGGCTTGATCGTATTAATCTGGAGACCGTTAAATAAGTGGATACTGCTGTGCAATTCGAAGTACCCTCGTATCATCATAGGTCAACTATGGCCATACTGGGCAGTCAACCAGATACCCAATGAATCTTGGACCTATTTCCAACCAAATCAACAACTTTGCAAACAACAGCTTTCACCTCAAAAACCGCCTTTTGATGTTTTGCCTGACCTTGAGCCCTTCACCCACCTTCCCACCACCACTATCACCCACTGCGACGCATTTTGCAGCCATTTCCAACTTCCTCTTTCTCCACCACCACACCCAAAACACCCAAATCTTACCGAATCCCACCCATGGTCTTTTTCAAACCCCACGCCCGCTCCCTCAGCGAGCAGCTCGACAACCTCGCCCGTCTTGCCCTGAAAGTCGGCAACAGAGACGACGACTCCGATCTCGAGGCACAAACGTCCAGACGCCTGCTTGAAGGCTCCATCAAGTCGGGATCCATGAAATCGAAAAGCTTGCGCTATGGCGCCACCGACGACGTGCTGATGCTGTCGCTCCGTCCGCTTATCTCTTTTGGTCCTCGTCTGGAAGAATCGGAGGTGCTCAGTATCTACAGCGACGAAACACGGCCCCGGTCGCCACAGCAGCTGTTCCAGTCGTTGGCGCCGCTTCCTCGTCCGCTGGTTTTTGCCTCGGCGTTGCTGACGGCCCGCTTTGTGTGGAACAGAATGCACAGCAGCGAAAGACGGCTGCTTGGGGTTTTCCACAAGTGCCTTTTGGTTGCGTTTTTGGCGCTTTTGGCGGGATCCGGTTATGTTATTGTTACCGGACGGGGGTGCAGTTTTTGGAGGCCGCCAAGGGCTTTGTTTGTTGGGCCCAGGCCCAGCTAGGCTGGGCCAAGTTGCCTTTCTGTGAGGAAATGTAGGCTTTAGCGATATGATGATTTGATGAAACGAAAAGAAGATGTAGGCGCCTGCCCATTCGGTATTGAACGTAAGAATTGTTTGCTATGGCTTTTGGTTATGGAACCATTGGACCTCAGGTTCTTGATACTGAACAACTAGATCAACGGTTGGAGTGAAAAACTGAAGAAAGGCCTTCGGGAATTCCGTCAACGAGCCGAATCTATGGATGTAGTTGGTGGCGTTTGAAATGTGGCTCTCTCGATGGATATTTGTCTATGGCTTGACATGAGGTTTGGGGAGTGTGAAGCTTGAAGCTGAGAGCCTTTTTGGCCTTTGATAAACGAGATGACGAAATGATAACAACAGGCATGCGTTTTCCAAAGCGCCGTACTCATGGCTTTTAGGCGAGGTGTTTCAGATATCCATATGGAAGGATATGGCGGTTCCACTGAGTCAAGTCCTAAATTCACAGCCATCCGGGCTCTCAACAACATTTTTTTGGTTTAGCTATGGTCCATTGACCTCAGAATGATAGTACTGAACTTGGAGGTTGAGACTGAATCAACGCTCTTGGTGGAAATCTAATAAACGACATGAGTAAATGGCTCCTTTGAAATTCACCAACGAGCCGAATTCATGGATGTTGTTGGTGTGGAATTGGTATGAATTTGTAGTTGATCGATTCCACAAAGTGAAGTGTGAGGTACCCTATTACCAATGCTCAAGTACTTCTTTCTAATCTGCAATTATTTAAACAAATTCAAGTAAAATGCCCTTACTACGAGAATACCCAACTTATGACATTTCATCAAAGTGCCACATCTCGTTGAATAAACATATTGTTGTAATTTTGTAGTCTGACCAAAAAGTAGTAATTTTGTAGTCTGACCACTAACTTCCCCAGTAAACACCCTCCCACTGCATCCCCTCTCCTACTACTCACGCCTCCCCGGCATCTATGCTTCGCCTTAAACTATGTACACTATGGGTCGGAACGACGGGGTCTGTCGGCCACCTTAAACTTGTTGGCATGGTGCTTTCTGGTCCGCACAAACTTCTTGAGGCCCCATGGCGACTGCGAGAGCTTGTTGGACTTGGACTTACCACGACCACCACCGTGAGGATGGTCGTTGGCGTTCATGGCCACACCTCTGACCTTGGGACGGAAGCCTCTGTGTCTGTTTCTACCGGCCTTACCCCAGTTGGTCAAAGCATGCGCTTTGTTGGACACCGTGCCCAACGTGGCACAGCAGTTCAAGCGGACGTACCGCTGCTCGCCCGAGCTCAACTTGATGATGGCTCTGTTCTTGTCGGTTTCCTTCGTGAGCAAACGGGCAAAAGTACCAGCGGCACGCACCAACTGGCCGCCTCTGTTGGGATGCAAGCCCACGTTGTGCATCACGGCTCCCACGGGCATCATGCTCAAGGGCATGCAGTTGCCTCTTTGCATGATTCTGGAGTTCAAGAGGGCCTCGTCGATTTCGCCGTCGTTAGTTCTCTGCATCTCCTCGACGAAATCTCTAGGAAGGCCCAGGCGAAGCGACTCAACGCGGTCACCCGCACGGACGCCCAGAGGGCCAAGATGTATGAAAGGTTGCCTGTTTCTTCGTGTTGAAGAAGGGCAATGTGTCCACTTCTGTTGGGGTCGTACTCGATTCTGACGACTTTCTGGCGACCGGCAACGACTCTGTTGAAATCAACAAGACGTGCACGTCTCTTGTGACCACCTCCACGGCCTCTCACGGTAATATGACCTGAGCTGTTTCTACCAGCACTTCTCTTCATGGGCGCCGTCAACTCCTTCACCGGCTTGCCCCGCCACAAATGCTCGTGGATCGGTTTTCTGAAATTCACCGAACCGGGTCTGGCCGGGCCTGCCTCGAACGTTTTGAACTTGACTTCTGCCGTCATCAAGGCCTTCTGTCTGGCGTGGGTTTCTTCTCTTTTTTCAAGTTCCGTCATGCCGCCCTGGAGCTGGCTGCTGCGTGCCGCCGTGCTCTGGAGACGGATGGCCTGCCGCGTGACGGGTGCCAACAGCCACTTGGATAGGGAAAACATGGTGGTTTTGGATGGAAAAGAAGCGGTAAATTTTTATGGTGGTGTCTGTGCAGGAGGCCCTGGGTGGGTTGTCCAGATGGGCGGCAATTTGGACATGAAGTCGACGGGGTGGGATTGGTTTGGGTGCTTTTGTGGAAAATGGGATATGACGACTTTTTTGGTGTAATTTCGGTTGTTTTTGGTTGCGTGGGTGTGGAGATAACTGGGGGTGTTCGCATGGTGGTCTACATCTTCACATATTGAGAAAAGACGATCCGGTAGGGTTGGTTCATACTTCTTTTTATTCTTTTTACTGAAATGTTTTTGTAAGAGTAATAGAAACTATGTCGTAGTAGAGGCAACCTCTATAAGATCTCAATTCTTAATGTTACTGAGTGTCTCGACCTCAGGTCAGTTTCTCGAAAGTCTCGCCGTGTTTATCGACCCATAGGACATACCTGACAGCCTTCTTCAACTGACAGATCAAAGAAATTGATAGTTCTGTATTTCGAGATTTCAAAACCTTATAGTTAGGTTTTGGCAGTTTTAGTGAATATACGGCTTAGGGCCGTCTGTGGTATTTCGCAGCCATTTGAAGTGGTGAAGCCGTTGATGCTGTATGTTTCTAAGATTGACAAAAGCGACACAAAGTCTATAAAGGCTGAGTGGTAGGTACCCTATTTGACCTGATCGCTTATAAAATTGAAAGTTAGAGGCACCATATTGTGAGAGCTGAGAAGAGATCCACTAGGACTGAGTCGCACTCTTGGTCAAAGGATCGAATAGTGAAAAACACGAGAATGACGAAACCGAACATCACGTCAATAAAATGTCTGGTTAAAAGAACTCATCAGTATGCCTTTGGTTCATGAAAAACAAAAAAAATAAGGGGCAAAAAGATTGCAGCACCACAATTTCACACATGGTCTCCCACTGTATTACTCACTGTGGCCGTGGGCGGCTTGACGCTCGTTGATCGGACGGGAAACAGTATTTTCCACCCCGGGTGGCCGCAACCGAAAGTGAACAATTTTGGCACACTATACAGAAGCATTTAATAATTACTTTTTATATATGCAGGAGTGCATAAAAAGTGTGAAAATTGAAAAACTGGTCGCATCTAGGCTGCATGAAATCTACGGCGAAACCCAGTAGTGATATACCTGCTCTGCAATCATCGATTGATTTTAGAAAATCAGAAAACCAAGTAAGAGATCAAATTAGTAATGATAATTTCTGAAAAAAGTTCCCAATTAAACTAAAAAACAGTGTAAAAAAATAAAATAGATCAAAAACTCTTTGAATATCATCATAGGAAACCCAAGGATGATAGAGAATCTTTCATGACGCACAAACAGGGATTCTCCAAGCTAGACTTGATAAGCAAAGCTCAAGGAACAAACACCTTCATATGCACGATGCTCTATTCACCATCCAAAGTGAAGGCATGGAATATGTGAGACTCATGGGAAACATCCGGAAGAAGGATCCTGACTTTGCTAAGATACTTGACACAAATAACGAGAAAACGGACAAAGAGATCACGGAAGTTTGGACATTTCGCAGTGGATGATCTTGAAGTCTTCATGGTGATGCAATAGACCTATGGCCAGTGGCTTAACATCCCAACAAAGATCCCTTGTAACCTTGTGATGGAGACCTTATGGTCCCATATGGAAGACACCTCATTTTCAATTTAATCAAAGACCATTGGATTATTCGAGAATTGTTTAGATAAACTTTCAATGTGGTGATGTTTCATATAAGCGGAAGCTCTTCACAGACTGGTTTACATCTCCAGGAGATGTAATTCTCGAATTTAAAGAATCATCATCTGGAAAACCACAGGTGAACATTCTTCTCATGCTAGGAGGCACTCAGCTTCCTCCAGCAGAATTGATCCTTGACAGACTTGCTGCCAAGGACGATCCAATGACTAAAATGGTTCATAACATCAACGCTTGTATCCAAATACACAACCGTTGAAAAAGAGCAGTCATGAAGCAACGCTCCCCAAAACTGGAGCTGACCGCAACTTTCGACTTTATCGGAGGCAAAAAGGCCTTTAGAAAGATGGCAAACTATGATTCGACCCAGTGCAAGGTTATCACCTTTCAACAGATTGATTCGCACCCGAGTAGGGGAAATCAATCAAGACTCCCCGATTTTCTGAAACCAGGGAAATGCCTCGTATTTATACCTGAGCGGCCAAAATGATCAGGAGATGCCCGCACCCCTTGATTCGGATTCGTTTGGTTGAGGGTATCTCTTCAAGGGGTGCACAGGATGTAGTTATTTTTTGAGTACAGCTTTAGAGGTGACAAATATTGAAAGAAGTTTCTATTAGTGGGATATAATTATTGATTCAGCTTAGGTCTAGTAGGCTTTTATGGTGGCAGCTGCGTTGCTTCAGGGCTTTTGACAAATGAGTCTTACAATGGGGTTTATGAGGCTTATGGGTATAATGGTTGCAAAATCCTGCACCACATCGTGACGTCAAAAGGCAAATGCTTCTTTCGTCGATTTGTTGCATAAAGAGGTGATGGTGATTTTGTCATCAAATGATACAGCTTGCAGTTATTAGTTGTGTACCCGAAACCGAGAGGGTATCAATGTCTCTGAGTTATTCCTTGGTGACACTGGTGTTTGGACACATGTTAAGCAATGTGAATAAAGTGGACGGCAAATTCAATCTTGAAGCTGTATTTCAAACAAAAATCAGCCATTACCTCTGAAACTATCGCCTTGAGTCTCTCACCAAAATGTTCGCCTTCACTGACTTCAATGGCATCACAAGCATATAAAAAAAAAGCATCTCGATGACTAGCTCGTGACGACACTTACAGAAAGGCTAAATCACTCACATTCTTCCCCACGAGAGGGCCCTTTAAACGTAAAATGTACAAATGGCGCTCATGCTTCAGAACCGATGAGAACTTTTTGAACCACATACGGTTTGAGGTTTTGCCGGTTTGGCTGGAAGATACCAAAAACTTGCTCCTCCACATCCTGAATATATCCTTTACGTTTAAGCAAAAGCTGGACCCTGTGGATGCATGTTGCTGCGAGTTAGCTGCCGCATCTCCGTATATAAAATGGTCCCCCACGTCTACAGATGGGGGAGCCATTTTTGGGATTTCATTTTGAGCTATTCGTTAACATGACTATGTATCGAACTGAAGGGGATTTAATCTGACAGAGCTTGAAGGAACTTACTGTACCATTACAATGTCAGACCGCTCAAGGTGAAGAATACCTTCACAGTGGCACATGCAAGAAATATATTTGTAAGGTTTTCCGAAACATCGGAGAAGCTGTGTCTTGAGAGGCTATTGTGAAAATTACGAAAATGGACAGTGCCCCCACGCTAGATCGTGGAGGACAATGAGATGCCATCGGCTGCATCTCCAAAGCACCTAACACCCCACGGCACCTTAAAGTGATGGTATTTTAGTGAAAAAATGAACGTCTTTTTCTTCTTTTTTTTGGAGGTTTATTAAGATTGCAACGTAGACACTTTACATTGTCAATCCACTAGTTATTGAAGGAGCCTTGTAAGCTTGCACATCTCATTTCTTTCAACCGAGATTTTACTGTAGATGAAGAATCAACCCCAATTCCGTCGTTGTTTTTCATCTTCACGCTTGCATTAAGTGCTTTGTCAAAAGTTTCCAGACCTTCAGAATGCGTCAGAACGACCAAAACAGCTGCTAAAGCTGCATAACAGAACTCTTGCATGAAGTATAAATTGGTGCCGCTCGAGGCATCGTACGTTTTTGGAACGTGTATTCCGATGATTTTTTCTAGTTTGGATGCACCCAGCATGTGGAGATGCAAGTAGAGTCCCGAAAAAGCGCTAAAAGATCTTGTCACAAAGTAACGATTCTCTTTGAATGAGTTATTTTAACATGATCATGCACTGAGCGATGAATTGATAAATTTTTCAGAATCGCTTATAAATCTCATACGCTTCATCGGTTTCTAGGGTCTGCCATGCGGCGCCATAACGCATACCCTGCGTATCAAGAAATAGCCCGGGCCGTTTCTTGCATAAATTCGCCAACTAGGTAGTAGTCTTCTCTCGAATATAAAGCATAGACTTTTTCAAAAATGAACTTCATATTCAAATTCCAAATGGCCTATAATCAGCAGTATCTGAACGCTCCTCCACCACACTATAATGCTCCTCCACAAGGTTATGCAGGTTTCTATCAACAGCCACCACCTCCAGGGCAGGTAATTGTGATAAACCAGCAGAGAAACGATACCGATGAGGATTTGCTTTTAGGATGTTGTGCTGCCATTTGTTTATTCTTTTCGTGTAATAGGCTACATGACTGCTGCTTTGGATAGTGGAAGTGATTTGGCTGCAAGCAGAACTCAGACATTTATAAGATAACAAGAATGGCAGCATTGGGATGATTTCTGAGGTTTCTTGGATTCCACGGGTAAGGTCCTTAGCGAATCGTTTTTTGATGTTAAGACTGCAAAAAAGCAAAGATACATGGAAGTATATAATTTCAGTCTAACAATATGACATGATGTGAGTTACAAATTTGTGAAGCATCAATCCTGAAGTGATATTAACGGACCATCGTATAATGAAGCATATCTCGGAGACGTCAAAGCATTGGGCACACCATGGTATACCCGGGAGCTTCGTTCGATCTTATTCTCTCAAACATTTCCCTACATCCACCGTCATAACCTTTCCATTCAAACTATACACGGCGCTTAGGCAAAGCTGAGGGCCTCGGCCTGCTCGTTGTAACGGTAGCCCTTGACAGGGTGAGCGTCACAGATGGCCTTGATCTCCTCCAAGTCTTCTCTGGTCAACTCGACTGGAGAGCCCAAGTTACGGTCAATCTTGGACACAGTGGTACCCGAAGTGATAGGCAAAATCTTGGGGATCTTGCTGATACCGTAGAAGTTCTCGGACCCGCCGACGGAAGAAATCCACAGCAAAGAGAGCGACTCCAAAGTGGTGCCCTTCTTGTGCGCAAACTCCTGCAACGCCTTCACCAACTTGGCATTGTGCCAGAAGTTGTCGCCGGAGAACTTGCCCAAACCACCTCTGATGTCACCAGGACGGTTGCACAACTTGAGGTAGCCCTCCAAGTCGTTGGCGGCAAACTCGGTGAGGAAACCACGGTTCAAGGGAGAGTACGCAATCACAGGGATGTTGTGCTTGCTCAATTCCTCGAGCACACCGTTGTGGAGAATATCTTGGCACATCAAGTGGAACTCCACCTCGACCACCGAGACAGGAGCAACGGAGAGGGCCTTCTGGATAGAGCCGGCACCGACTTCCGAAAGCGAAATACCGTCAATGATGCCCTTCTCGACGAACTCGTTGATGTAGCCGATAGTCTTCTCGTAAGGAATGGTAGGGTCCACTCTGGCAACCTCAAAGAGCAACTTGGGTCTCTTGGACTTGTCCGAGGGGAAGTACGAGGCGAGCTTCTCGATGGACTTGGTCACGGACTCCTTGGATCCGTCAGGAGCGAACTTTTGCAAGTTGAAGCCGCCCTTCATCGAGATGATCAAATCGGGGTAATTGGCGCCGTACTTCTTCCAAAACTCCTCCTTCATCTTCATGTTGACGTCGTTGGGTCCGTAGAACTCGCCACCGACGATAAGCTGGGTGTTGTGCTTCTCAATGGCATGTTTCAAGCACTCGAAGCCTTGCTCATTGGAGACGGGCTCTGGAGTCCAGGTCATGGACATGGTACCGTAGGCGTACTTTCCTGGGATTTGCACGGACATTTTTTTGGATCTATTTGAGATTTGGTTTTGGGATGGGGTTTGCAATTGGACGGGTGGAGGCTCTTTTATAGTGAACGGTGAGCTCCAGGCGATGAAGCAACACCGGGTGTAGGTCCTGATTAGGAAATTCCACCTGTCAATGGCCGGTGGTATGTGTGCAGGAATAAACCCGTTTTCAGAAGTACTTCCGTTCTGTAGATCTTGCTGCTGATAGTGGGTTTAGACTTTGTTCTAAAAGCATAATCGACCCGAAATCACGTTCCAGGGGCGGTCGGCTCCGCCAGGGTGTGCAAAGCACGTGTCCCGATTAGGCAGCCTCTCCGAATCCAACGTTTTCCAGATTCGCAAACGGTGCCTATTTCGCAGCCATTTCCACAGCCTGCTACTCAAAAGCAGAAAACCTGATCGGACGGAGCGGACTTCATGGTGGTCTTGTCCCAGCCCAACCCCTGGGAGATCTCAATAAGACTACGTTTCATCTCGGGAGGTCCACACACAAAGAGCCTATTCTCCAGCAGCGGAGGAGGCAAGTGGGTTTGCATCATTTGGGAGGTCACGTACCCCGTGGAACCGTCCCACTCCGCAGGAGGATGGCTCAAGGTGTAGTGCACGGAGAAGTTGGGGTACTTTCTTGCAATCTCGTCCAACTCGGCCTTCAACAAGATATCGTTGGCGGTTTCGTTGGCGTAAATAAGCGAGAGTTTCGTGTCGTCCTCGGGGGTCGTGATCACCTGGGTGATCACCTGCAAAATAGGCGTGATTCCCGAGCCGCCGGCCACCAACCCAATGTGTTTGGCCATGTTGGTTTCATATTCCAAACGGCCAACAGGACCACGGAACAACACCGTCTGGCCTTCCTTGAGAGCGGCGAACTTCCTCGAAACCTTGCCCTGAGGGTACAGCTTGACGAGAATGTCGAAAAACCCCGTGTCAAAGCGGTTCAGGATCGGCGTGTAGTACCTGATCTCGTCCTTACCGTCAATGGTAAAACAACAGGCGACATTGTGACCGGTAGGCACGTGGAGAACCTCGTCCTCGTGGTTGAGCTTGAATCTGTAGATGGCCAGGTTTCTGGAAATGACCGTTTTGTCGATCAACGCCAACTCGTTCCATCTGACAGGCTCAACCAGCAGTCTTCGACTCCACGCCTCATAGAAGTTCCACGAACACACAATTACGATGAAAGCAATGCTGTAGGGCATATACTCCCAGCCGAAGAGGAAGGTTCCGAAAAGAATGAGGCCGATGGGGATGTAGATCCCGTGGAGCGGTTGCTTGAGGAGCTCTCTTTTGTCTTCCATGGTTGTGGTTTGAAGAAACCAGAGCATCGCATTAGTAGGCGGGTGTGGTCACGTGACCCGGGAGGAATTTTCCCAATTTCCGGTTGCCACGACCGTCACGGGTTCGTTTTCAGTCGACTTGGGCAAATTGGGGTGTAAGCTTTTAGGGGTGCCATGTTTTATGAATTTTATGGCAGCTGGCGTGAAGAAGGGGTGGTCTGGTTGGCTGCGAAAAGTTCGACAGAACCCTATGGAAGGACCGACACAGCCGGGGAATTCTGGCGATGAATAAAAAAAAGTGTCGTTTAATGACAAATTGGGTCGTTTTTATTCGACAAGCGACTTCCATGGTTTTTTTTTTCTTCACCTTCGAAGTATCGAATTGTTGTCCATGGGAAATCGTCTCGACAGACCCTCGGCACGAAAATCACCCCATATGGAGACACCCCGGGGAATGTCCGGGCAAAGCTTCGATTTCGTAAAAATCCAAAAAAAAAAATTAAGAAATGGCCTGTTTCCGCTGAGTTGCTGGTTTCCGGCTTCTGTTCCAGCCTTGGTACCATAGAAGAGTCTGGCCCCATCCATCGTCAAGACCACAACCCATCTCTAAAAGTTGCTTCAAACCAGTAGCCAATAGCCATTAGCCAATGCAGTGCTGGATGTTTCACAAATAAAGAACACTTTTGTTTAGTTTGCGGTTGCTCTGGAATATTTGTCGGTGACTCTATCCTCAGAAGTGTTCTCCCATCAGATTCAGCTGTTCTACTCTACATTCCATCCACTAAGTAACACCAACTGAAATCCTTCACAATTTTCATCTCTCAATCTTTAAATCTCATCTACCTTTTTTTATAACCCTACCGTTCGTTTCAGCCTCCACCGTAGTGGCCCTCACCGTGGCCCTCACCGTGGCCCTACGACTCTAGACCTCGTCAACTCAGTCCTCGGATATCCCCACAACCACCTTCAGGGTCTCCCGACACCGACAAAATAGCCTTTCGGCAACTGCGCCACATCTTTTCAGGAACCGTGACTTTCCTGGAGTTGAAGAAAAGCCCCGTAACCAGACCCCATTGACTGTTTCAAACCCCCATACTCGTCCACCCATTTTACAAAAAAAAAATCTCCACCCCTTTGTTCCTTGACCGAAGAATACTACAATTCCGCCAGACAATCAGCTTCGCTTGCAGCCGTCACAGCTGGGAATGTGAGGTCTGCGTGAACTTAAGCACCTTTGCAGAAATCCAGACGACTTAGACGAGCGCCAGCCTATTCGGAGAAGAGGCCGTTCCGAGGTAAACAATCAAGTTCTGAATATTAGAAAAAAAAACTCACAATCAAAAATCTTATTGTTCTTGTCCATTTTCCACAATGGCTTGGGTGGCTGCAAAAAGCCGCCTGAATACTCCCCTGAGGCACATCAACGGTGGACTAAGCGACGGTGTACTCGTAAAAAAAAGGCGTGCTTCGCTTGTCCAACGGCGTTCCCAATTAGGCTGCGTTTCGGCTATTTCTGGCGACTATCGCCATGTACCACCTCGTCAATGCAGCCTGGATCACCGGGCACCAAGCCAGGGAGCTTTCAATTCTGAATTACCAGACAGCAAAACAAAAAACAACCAAATGTACAATAAAACGTGATTTCGTCTGTGAAGAAAATGGATATTCTTTAAGAAAACAGCCCCTCCATTCACCTCCATGCCAATACCACCCTACTCTGAATACCCCACGATACGCCAATGCTGCCTCGTCAAAACCCACATACGTGAATATCCACCTCTAATTCCTCTAAAGGATAAGCGCCCGTGTTTGTGGCCAAACTCGAGCAACCCTGAATTCTCCATAATCCAGCAAAACGTATAAAGCCAGCCCTTCCCACCTCTAAACCAACCCCACCATGGTCTCTGCATCCTTCTTGATCGGCCTTAGTGCCTTCTCGGCTCGAGCCCTTGCCGGTGCCAAGACAGGCATCTTCAACAGCATCGACCACATCTCTGCTCCGGAAGACTGTCTGCCTGAAACACCCAGCTGGTCTGCTACGGTTGGATGGTCCATTTCCAAGGAAATGAACGTCAAGGAAGGCGACACTTTTGCCTTGCGCATGCCGTATGTGTACAAGTTCACCTCAGGCACCAGAAGCCTTGAGCTTGTGGCTGGTGATACCTCGTTTGCCAAATGTGAATTGTTCAGCGGGGACAATGTGGTTGATTTTTGTGAACTCCAGTGTACGGCGCTTGCGGCCGTGGAGAAGGTTTCTTCAGTCAAAGGCACGGTGGAATTTCCCTTCACCTTCAATGCTGGCATGCTGGGCGATTCCGTGAACTTGGCTGCCTCTACGATCTGGAAAGCAGGAAAGAACACTGTCACCTGGGCCGACGGCGAAAACAAATTATCCTGTGATGTTGACTTCACCGGCGGAAGCTCCTATGTGTTCAGCGGCAGCATCGAACACGGCGCCTACTTCTTGAGAAAAGCCGTTCTGCTCAACACCAACCAGCACTACGTTTTGGGCCCCAGTGCCATGCTGACGGCATGTCGGGCTACATTGAAATCGAAAACCCAGATTCCGGCGTCGAGCTCGACTGCAAGTCTGTGGCTGGTTCGGTTTCTGACCAGATCAACGAGTTCTACTTTCCTCAGTCTGCTGAGAAGTGCTCTGTGAATGTGGATGAATGCTCTGCCACCAAGGCCAAGCTTTCGTTTAGTGGCATTCCCGCTGGTTTCAGGCCTTTTTTGAACGTCAATGCTGCTATTCCCAAGAAGGATTTCCGTTCCTCCAACAGCTACTCTTACAAGTTCAGCTGTGGAGGTTTCATCTTGGAGGACTACCAGTCTACAAGCTGGTACATGTACAAGAACGGTGAAACCGGTGGTGACGGCGATTACAATGACATTGTGGTTACTACGGTTACTGGAAACTACGGCTGCCCTACTGCTGTGAATACGGTGACCGGTCCTTCTACGAATACCATTGTGGTGACTGTTCCACCTAGTGAGACCACTGATTCCCATGAGACCGATGGATTCCACAAGACTGACGAATTTGAGAGTGATGAATTCCACAAGACGGAAAGCGACTGTGACGATGGTTTTGACCACAAGACAGAGGACTGGGGTCATGAAACCGACCACTGGGATCATGAAACCGACCACTGGGGTCACAAGACTGAAAACTGGGAAACCGAGGACTGCCTGACCGAGTCTGGTTTTGACCACAAGACCGAGTGGGATCACAAGACTGAAGATTGGGGTCACAAGACCGAGTGGGACAAGACCGAGTCCTGGGGTTTTGAAACCGACTGTTCTGACGACTGGGGTCACAAGACCGACCATTGGGACCATAAGACCAAGACCTGGGACACAAGACAGACTCTTGGGAAACTGACCACCACGATACTGAGTCCTGGGAAATTGACACCGACTGTTCCACTGACTTTGACCACAAGACGTGGGAGACCGGTATTACTAAGTCCTGGGAAACCGGAAAGACTAAATCCTGGGAGACTGAACATACTGAATCTTGGGGCCACAAGACCGAATCCTGGGACATTGACACTGACTGCTCTACTGATGACCATAATACTGAGTCCTGGAACACCGACCACAAGACCGAATCCTGGGAAACCGACTGCACTGGTTCTGAAACCCACAAGACGGAGTCCTGGGAGACTAAAACCCGCTGTTCTTGTGGCTCCAAAAAGACTCATTCTGAAACCGACCACCACAATACTGAATCGTGGGAGACTGACTGTTCCACCTGGGAATCTGAAACTTCAACCAAGAACACTGTTTCCTGGCCAACTGAGACTGGCCACACTGGTGTCACCACTGATTCTGAGAGTTGTGATACTGGCGTTCCTACTACCTGGGTTCCTCCTGCTGAAACCACCAATTCCATTGTGACTGGTTCTGAGAGCTCTGAATCTTACCAGTACGGTAACAGTTCTACGAAGTGGAGCTCTGGGTTTGTGACAAAGTCTACTTACACCCACGGAACCACTGATTCTGAGGCCACTGAGTCCAAGGGTACCACTGAGTCCAAGGGTACTACTCAAACTGACGGTACTACCAAGATTGAAAGCACTTCTAAGACTTGGGGTACTACTGAGACCGACTTCACCCATTCTGAGGGAACTACTAAGACTGACTTTACCAATTCTGAGGGAACTACCGAAACTGAAGGAACTACCGAGACTGGCTTCACCCATTCTGAGGGCACTAGGACTGATTCGACCCACTCCGAAGGCACAACCCAAACTGGATCTACCCACTCTGAGGAAACCACAAACCAAGTTCCTTCAAACACTGTTCCCCAACCAGACTGTTCCACTGTCACCACCACATGGACCGGAACCGTCACTTCTACCACTACCGAGTGTGTTTCAGGAACCACCACTGTGGTTGTTCAGGTTCCTCCATCGCCAGTTACCACTGTCACCAAAACCACCGTGGGAACTGTCACCTTCACCACTACTGAGCCTTGTGAATCTGGAACCCAGACTGTTGTGGTTGGCATTCCTTCTGGTCATTCTGAAACTGAGACTTCTACTGAGGTGAGCCATGAAACAACCGAGACTGATGAAACCACTGAGTACCCAGTTCCCTCTGAAACCGAGGCTTCTGAAACCCACTCTGAAACAACCGAGTACTCTCACACTTCGGAGCATCAAGAAACCACTAAAAACAAAACCACTGAGAACCAGACTACCGACAACCATGAGACTGAACACCCAAAGACCTCTGACCACCCAGAAACCTTCACTTCAGAGCACGAGAATTCTGAAACCCCAGAGACCAGCTTGCCATCTGATACCCCTGGTGCGTCTGAAACTCCAGAATTCCCTATCGAGTCTGACCATCACGACACCGAGTCTACAAGTGTCTCTGTGGGAACAGTTGTCGGAACCACTTCTACTGGTTTGACTGAGGGTCCTTCTGAAACTGCTCCTGCTGGTGAAACCTCCCCAGCTCCTGTTTCAGGTTCTCCTTCTGAAAATGTCCCTGAGGCCTCTGAAACTCCAGTTGAAGGTTCTTCTGAAATCCCACACAACAGTGCCCCAGCTGAAACCGAGGATCACCACCACTCTTCCGCTCCTGAAACCACCCTCGTGGTGCAGAGAACCAGAACCTTGACCCTCGGTTCCAGCTCTATCGAAGAGACTTATGAAACCAGCATTGCAACTGCTATCCAAGATTTGGTTTCTCAGTCGTCTTCTCACCTTACTTCAGTGGCTGCTAAGGAAACATCGAGTGAAACTCCTGTTGCTTTCAGCTCTGCTGCTCCTTCTTCTCCAGCAGTTTCCACCTATGACGGTTCTGCTGCTTCTCATTCGATGAGTCTTTTTGCACTTGTTTTGCCATTGATTCACTTCTTTGTTTAATGACTCGGTTATTTCTTATTCTTCAATCGCCGTTTCGGCTTTCGTTCGCTACTTTATATTTAATGGAATTAATAATTTTCTAGTCATAGCGTAGACAGTGCTTACAAGAATGTAGCATACACTTTAATCAGTAACTTGGGGACAGAAACAGATTGAAGTAAAATAAGAATTGAGTGTGGGGGATCATTTATGGCAGTCCGTGATGCTCAATGGGTGGGGTTTGGTCAAATTTCATGCTGAAACTTCCCATTCATTGACTTCAAGAGCAGTCTAAGATTCCACCTCGGTACAGCAACGCCCCTTTTGCAAACCTTATCCGCTATTTGCCGTTGTACTTTGAGTTTTCACTATCACAAAAGACTCGCCCTTTCGATGCTATCCCCGGACTACGTCGAACAGCATGTGACACGGATAAACCTAGCGTCAGCTACAGTCCCCTTCGATTAACTTTGAAGCTGTAGCAACCATACATCACTATCCCTAGCCTAGGACACCCTAAAAAGCATTTCTGTTTCGTCTATACTCCTTTCATCGAAGTGTTCTTCTGTTGTCATGTATTATTTTCTTTTTCCTTTTCTTCATTGTCATCATCTGGTATATCTTACAAGCTGAGACAGACCAGCTTCGCTTGCAGTTGGAATAGCTGAAGGATGCGTAAACTTAGGGACCCTTGCAGTTACCCAGACTTTGAGACACGGAAAAACTAAATATCGGCAACATCAACCTTAACTGAATCGAATTTTATTTGCTATGTTGAATGAAATCAAAGTGGGAACCTTGGGGTTATTTCTCCTCTATCTCCTATTGCTGTTGAGGGAGATTTAAATACAACAGAATCATCGACCGCCAAATTGTTGAAGAAACGGCACGTCCGTAAAATAAAAGCTGTGCTTTGTTTCTCAAACCCGCGGGACTGATTAAGCAGCTCGGCTATTTCCGCCACAATTGCCATTGACCTTAGAGTTTTGATGAAAAGCACACCTGACAAAAGAGTGCCACAGCCTGAGCAAAAGGCGAGTAATTGAAAGCTCTTGAAAAGTCATTGTCGAAAAAATGTCTTGATATAACTGCACGCCAGTATGTCTGGCTCATTTAGGGCCACTCTAATAAATATCCGTTCCGCTTCTCAGGCCTCATCAAAGCTTAAAAAGCATAATGAGACATCTGTGCTTCTTAAACATTGCCAAGTGTAGCACGGTGCTTTGAGCAATTGCCAATTCTCCATAGCTCAATGTATAAATTGTGCTTTTTCCGCCACTGAGTTTTCTTCCCATGGTCTCTTTTTCCCTCTTGATCGGGCTTGGTGCCTTTTCTGCTCAAGCTCTTGCCGTTTCAGACTCTGCTGATTTTGATGATTTAAACACCAAAGCGGCCACCGATGAAACGAGCTCGTTGGCTGGATTGTCAGCTACTACCGTTACTGAAACCACTGTGGTAACTGTCACTCACACCTTCACCGAGCTCTGTGAATGTTCAACCGAACTGGATGGGGTCGGTTTCTCATCGGATCATTCTGAATCAGTTTCTTTGACCAAGGTGAGTCAAGGATCAACGGCTGAAAGCTCTGAAACGAGCACCTCTCGGTTCACACTGACTATTGAAAGCGGAGTTTCTAAGGTCAGTTCTGAAACAACGAAGTCCCCACACAATCAGGAAACAACTGAATCCAAGAGTACTGTGGAGACTGGCACTTCTGGTCACTCACTGAATTCCCAGCATCAAGAGACAATTGATTTCAATACAAGTGCAAGGAACAACACCTCTGAATACTTGCTTGCTTCTGAAACCGAGGCTTCTACCACTCATTCTGGTACTTCTAGGTACACCAAAAGTCTGGATCATCAAGAGACGACTGATACTCAATCAACAGACTTTGAGACAAAGACCACCCAATCTGATACAGAGGCTTCGGGGAGTCAATATGAGAAAAAGACGACTGAGAGTCAGTCTGAAACAAAGACTACTGCAAGCCACATTGTTGAAAGCCAGACTTCTGAAAAGCAAACTACGGATACTCTCACTTCTGAATGACCAGAAAATTCTGGTCATTCAAAAACGTCCGAAGAAACAGAGGCCTCAATCACCTCAAAAAGCAAGAGTTTCAGGCCTTCAGATACCAGTCTGAGTTCTGGAACTCCCCCTACTTCCAAAACACAAAGTGCCAGTGGTTCAAGCCATGTTTCTGAAAGCCCCTCTAGAGCCTCATTGAGCGAAACTCAATCAACAGCCTCTTCCGATTTAACAAGTGACTCGCTCACTTCTGAAACTACCTCCCGTGTCGTAATTGACACACTGTCTGTCGATTCCAACACCTTCGAAGAAATTAAGACTGACGTTCAAGAATGGGTGTCTGAGCCAACCAACTACCTTACTTCAGATCCAGGAAATGTTCCTACTCCAGGTATCTCAATATCTCATGGTTCTGCTGCTTCCCACTCAATTTGCCTATTTGCATTTGCGTTGCCTTTAATTCTGTTCCTTCTTTGATCAACTCGCTGTTTTAGACATCTTCGAAAGTTATTTTTTTTTCGTTCGCTTCATACATTTAATGGATTTCACCTCACTCAAAACCTGATTTCTCTAGATATGGCCAAGCCTACATCCCAATCAAACACTAGTATATTAAACGGGCCCTAGCAGAAATAAACTATCGCTAAATTAGATATCCTCAAGCATCAAGCATGCTGCGGCAGGCAGCATGTGGGTATAACAGAAAGATCACCGCGATCTTAGTACTCCTCCTCTTCCTCTGGGAAAGAGTCGGTGCCAACCTCCTCGTAATCTCTCTCCAAAGCAGCCAAGTCCTCTCTGGCCTCGGTGAACTCACCTTCCTCCATACCTTCACCAACGTACCAGTGCACGAAGGCTCTCTTGGAGTACATGAGGTCGAACTTCTTGTCGATTCTCTTCCAAGCCTCGGCAATGGCGGTGGTGTTGGACAACATACACACGGCTCTCTTGGCAGAGGCCAAATCGGAACCTTCAATAGCGGTAGGTGGCTGGTAGCAGATACCAATCTTGAAACCGGTAGGGCACCAGTCAACCAACTGGACGGTCTTCTTGGCCTTGATCTGGGCAACAGAGTTCTGGACGTCTCTGGTGACAACGTCACCTCTGTACAACAAACAGGTGGCCATGTACTTACCGACACGAGGGTCGCACTTGACCAACTGGTTACCTGGCTCGAAACAGGAGGCAGTGATCTCAGACACGGAGTTGGACTCGTGGTTGGCTCTGGTCTTGGAGAAGACAGGGGCGTAGGAGACCAAGGGGAAGTGGATTCTTGGGTAAGGCACCAAGTTCGTCTGGAACTCGTTCAAGTCGACGTTCAAGGAGCCATCGAATCTCAAGGAGGCGGTCACGGAGGAGACCACCTGCGCGATCAAGGAGTTCAAGGAGTTGAAGTTGGGTCTGGAGATGCCCAAGTTACGGCGGCACATGTCGTAGATGGCCTCGTTGTCAACCATGAAGGTACAGTCAGCGTGCTCCAAGGTGGTGTGGGTGGTCAAGACGGTGTTGTATGGCTCGACGACGGAGGTGGACACCTGGGGAGCTGGGTACACGGCGAACTCCAACTTGGACTTCTTACCGTAGTCAATGGACAACTGCTCCAAGAGCAAAGAGCCCAAACCGGAACCGGTACCACCGCCCAAGGAGTGGGTGAAGAGGAATCCCTGCAAGCCCTCGCACTGGTCGGACATTCTTCTGACTCTGTCCAACACGTCGTCCAAGATCTCTCTACCGACGGTGTAGTGACCACGGGCGTAGTTGTTGGCAGCGTCCTCCTTACCAGCAATCAACTGCTCTGGGTGGAACAAGTCCTTGTAGGCACCGGTACGGACCTCGTCAATCACATTAGGTTCCAAGTCCACGTACAAAGCTCTGGGCACGTACTTGCCCGAGCCGGTTTCCGAGAAAAAAGTAGAAAAACCTTCTTCGCCACCCTTGGGTCTGTCCAATCCTTCTTGAAGGTACCCGTCTGGTCTGATTCCATGTTCCTGGGAGTACAATTCCCAACACGCGTTACCGATCTGGCAACCGGCCTGGCCGACTGGACGTTAGTTAAATTCAAATTTTATCATATTCAATGCACATACCGTTAATACTGATGACCTCTCTCATTGGTTTTGCTGAGGTTTAGGGAGACTTTTTTGAGATTTGGTTTGTGAGTGTTTACCTATCGGTGCACGCACGACCCGCGAATATAATGTATGAGGTGCGTAAGGCAGGCGATTCAGTTATCGTCTATTTTCTCGATTCGGACGGGATCAAAATAGAAGGACATCCGTACACCAGCCTTATTGGGGCCCCAAACGGTTCAGATAAAGGTGGGTTGGGAGAGTTTTTTTGAGAGAGGAGTTTGTTGTTGGATTTCTGAGGGGGTAAAGATGGCCATTATTTAGTTTCTCTTCAAGAGCTCCATGGTGTGCGGGTTTATTTGAATGTTACTGGTGAGACTGTATTGTCAAAGAAGAGTTACTACAAATAGTTATCAAAAGTTGGGAAAGACAAGCTGCTTTTGATTGTCTCCTCATAACGAACATTCGATTTTTGTCTACTTTAGTTTTCTTTTTTGCAAAGTCAAGTGACTGGATTATCAGTGTATGGCTGACTTCTACAACTGGTGTCTATTTCGCAGCCATTTTTCCCAATTGGGCCAGAAACCGTTATCCAGAGATTAAGATGTACAATAGAAAATCGAAAAACGACCAGAGTTGCTTCTTTCCTTAGTAATCTCTTTCTAACGAGAATTTGTTTCTATTGATATACTTTGTTTATTGAGACCCTTCATCATCGTAACACTCAAGCTACTTCCTTCATCATCTCATCTCATATATACACCCAAAAGTGAAGGTGGTCACATCGCCTCCCTACAAAACAATCTATTTTCGTCTAGGGTGTTGAATATATGCGTCGCCTCCGGCGAGGGTTTCCTATAAATACAAGGCCGCGAGCACTATCCACCAATCTACTGCTTCACCTCGTACACTCTCTGGAACTTGTCGGTAATCTCCTTCAAGTAGTACACGCCGGCATCAATGTCGTCAAGCGAGCCGGTGGGCTTGTAGTCCTTCTTCAAGTGGATCTTCTCTCTCAACTCGATGGCATCAACATACTCCTGAGGAGTCTTTTGGGTTCTGCCGGCAAATAACTTGTGCTCCAAGTTCAACACCTTGGTGATGGCCGAGATGTCGCCCACAACGTTAAGCGACAAAAGGGTGGAGGCGAGACCGGAACCGTAAGAATAGACAGAAAGCTTCTTGCCTTGCAATTCCTCGTTGCCGACAAAGTACAAGATCGAAGCCAAAGAGGTCCAGCACGAGGCGGTGTACATGTTACCGGTGTTGGTGGCGACCTTCAAGGCTGGGGTGACTCTCTTGTTGGACTCTTCCTTGGCCAAGCCCAAGAACACCTTCTCCAAGTTTCTGTCGGTCAACGACTGCTCGTAGGAGATGTTGGAGACCTCCTCGAACACCTCAGGTGCAAGCTTGTCCTTGAAGGCGTCTGGGTTCGACCTGAAGTCGTTGTACAACATACGAGCGAAACACTTGGTCACCAACTTGCAGGTGGGGACGTGGAAAGCCGAGTAGTCAAAGTGGTCCAACACGCCGACGGTCTTGCCCTCCTGCTTGGTGATCTTCTTGGAGTAGTTGCGGTAGGCGTGGTCCAAGGACTTGGTGTAGCAGGTCAAGGAGAAGTGGCCATCGACAACTGGGTACTCAGAGGTGAAGTCGGGCTTGTAGAAGTCCCAGGCGTGTTCCATGTGGGAACCACGGGTGGCGTCAAACACCAAAGGAGCATCTGGGCCAATAAGAAGCGCCACAGAACCCACACCACCAGTAGGTCTGGCGGCACCTTGAGAATAGATGGCAATGTCACCAGCAACGACAATGGCGTCTCTGCCGTCCCAGGACAGCGACTCGATCCAGTTGACCGCGTTGATGACGGCAGAGGTACCACCGTAACACGCGTTGATGGTGTCGACACCTTCGATATCGTCGTTGTCGCCGAAAAGCTGCATCAACACGGACTTGACCGACTTGGACTTGTCCAAAAGGGTCTCTGTGCCGACCTCCAAACGACCGACGTTCTTAGGATCCACGTTGTAGTTCTTCAAAAGACGGGAGGTCACGGTCAAACAAAGCGAGTAGATGTCCTCTCTGTCTGAGACAAAGGCCATATTGGTCTGGCCCAAGCCAATGGTGTATTTGCCCTGGGGGATGTTGTCGAATTTTTCTAGCTCGGCCTGGTTGACATAGTTCTGAGGAACGTAGACCTCGATGGCCTTGATACCGATGTTGCTGGGCATTTCAGGAAAAAGTGTGGTTTGGAGAAAAAGTTGCAACCTAAACGAAGAAGTGGGCGAAATACGACGGCGCGTTGTGCAGGCGCGGCTGATTCTGCCCCACTTCACCAAGGGTATAAAAGGGGAAGGAGATCCGCTTGGACTTTTGGTTCCTTTTTTTTTTTTAAAAGGGGTGATTGGAAACGCCGTAGTCTGGTTTTTGGCTCTGGTGGCTGGTGCTTCCAAATACGCGGGTGCTCACTGGCTGCGAAAAGTGTCGGTTACGTGTAGCCGATGGAGGGTGGGTGCACTTTTCCAATAGAAGGACTTTATTGAATTTGTTGGTTTTCTTGATTTTCCTGAATTTGAATGTGGTCAATTTTTTATCGAGATCCAGGGCGGGCGGTGATTTTTCACTTGGTGATGTAATGGATTTCAGGACGGTTCATCATGTGAGGGTCCGCTCGGTATTTCGGCGAGACGTGTTAGTGCAGCAGAAAAATGTGTAGATAGTGGAAGGTCAAGTTTGGAGTGGAATTTGAGGGTTTAGAGCAAATTTGGGGTGAAATTTGAAAAAAGTGAGTAAAAGATGTTCATTGGCTGACTTGGTGGATATAGGAGAACCGGTGGTGATAGTCTGTAGCTCTGTTATGGTAATTTTCGAGAAAGAGTTGTTCGAAAGGTTTTTGAGTCATTTGGCAAGTTTCATGAATTTGGTGAAATGAACACTTCATGGCTTATTCTTACTTCTTTGACCCATACTGAGTTGAACTCGGATTCCGTTCTACCCAATGCCGTAATATAGAACTCGCTTCGATGAACCAATTGTCACACTCTCTTTGATATTTTCTCTCTTGCTTTGATATCTTCATTTATGCTTTCTATCTTCATTTATGTTTTCTACAATTTTTCTGAACTGATTTGAATTGGGCGCATGGTTCAAGAGGTTTGATGACCTCAATCGTGGATTAGGATTGATAGGCACATTCAATGGAAAGGATCGTTTTCGCTTTACAATGAGCTAGAGTTCGGCTCAAAACAAATGCATTGACGTTGAAATTCGTTGACTTTTACCCAAATCTCAAACCTTTGACTAGCCATCGTGTGAACTCGGCATTATTCAAATTCCGTTCTAACCTCGATCAATAGACTGCTACGCAACTGACTATCAAACCAAACAGTAGCAAATTGCTGATATGGCACATGGAAACGCAGTTATAAAAACTATTCAGTCAACCATCCGTTCCCTGGTTTAGTGCAATTGAAGCCAGCCCAAAAGACCCTGATCAATCTATAGTCTGTTAAGCTTTCCACAGTATTCGGAGCAAATATTGAAAATACAATATCTCTAAAATCAAGACTAGAAGCGAAAACTAAACGCAAACTCAACACCACCTAAAAGCCTCACCACCTTCAACCAACCACCAGACAGTCCCACCACACTCACCAAATCCCCAAGTTCAAACCCACCAATCAGAATCCCCCATTTTCTTAATTCCACCAAATCCCCAAATCCACAGCAAACGGACCTCCAAACACAACCACATAACTCCACACGCAGCAAGCCATACCGCATCAGGCAGCTAAGTGACACAGTCCAGCATTTGCCACCCCCTGGTACCAAACCTCAAACGATCAAAAGTCAAACCTCAAAAATCAAACCTCAAAAACCGCGCCTTAAAATCGAAAAACAAAACCAAAAACACAATTCACAATCCCTCAAAAGTATCTAGAAGCGGTATCTCGGAGAAACGCAGCCGAGTCGCTTACTGCGCCTGTATGCCGGCAAAAAACGGTCGCTCTCTCCACCTCCATTTCTTCCGAACCTCCTCCTTCAATTCCACAATGTCTGTGCCTGAGCTGCTTCAGCCGTTCACCACAAGGAAAACCATCCACAGAACATGGGCAGGCACGTTTTTCTGCAAGCCTCAGGCCATTTTCCAGCCTGAACTGGTGGAACAAATCCAGGAACTCATCAAGCAGGCGTCCAAGCTCAACAAAACAATCATGACCGTGGGCCTGGGCCACTCGCCTTCCGACTTGACCATGACCAACGAGTGGTTGTGCAATTTGGACAAGTTCGACAGGGTTTTGGGCCAGCAGGAGTACTACGGTCCTACGACGTCTGGAGCTGCCAAGGAGGTTAAATATGTTGATTTGACTGTCGAGGCGGGTATCCGTATCTACCAGTTGAACGAGTACTTGAAGAAGAGCAACTTGGCGATTCAGAATTTGGGCTCCATTTCCGACCAGTCGGTGGCGGGACTCATTTCTACAGGCACTCACGGTTCGTCTCAGTACCACGGATTGGTGTGTCAGCAGGTGGTGTCGATTGTGGTGGCTAACGCCGAGGGCAAGTTGGTGGAGTGCTCTTCTGTGAAAAACGAAAAGCTTTTCAGGGCTGCCCTCTTGTCGCTTGGCAAAATCGGTATCATCACTCAGGTCACCTTGAGAGCCGTGCCTAAGTACACCATCAAGTCGAAGCAGGAGATCATCAAATTCTCGACCTTGTTGCGCGAGTGGGACTCCATCTGGCTCGACTCGGAGTTTATCAGAATCTGGTGGTTCCCTTACTCGGGCAATTGCGTTTGCTGGAGAGCTTCCAAGTCCACAGACGCCTTGAGCGACCCTAGACCCTCGTGGTACGGCACTTTCTTCGGCAGGTTGTTTTACGAGTCGCTTTTGTGGGTTTCCGTGAACATCTACCCAAAACTCACGCCGTGGGTGGAGCGTTTCGTGTTCAGACAGCAGTACGGTGACGTCGAGACCCTTGGAAGTGGAGATATTGCCGTGCAAAACTCCGTCGAGGGCCTCAACATGGACTGCTTGTTTTCCCAGTTTGTCAACGAGTGGCTGGCGCCTTTGAAGGAGGGCATCAACGTTTTGACTGAGCTCAACGACAAGATCCAGGAGGCTGCCAAAAGCAACGATTTCTACGTCCATGCGCCTATCGAGGTCAGATGCTCCAATGTGACTTACACCGACAAGGCTTTTGTTGACGACGACGGCAAGCCTTCGTTGCATCCTCCTCAGAAGTGGTTGGCCACAAGAGACGCTGTCAGTGCTGGTCCTATCCACGGTAACAACTTGAGACCTTTCTTGGACAACTCGCCCGAGGGCTTGCCTTATGAAGACGACATCAAGAAGGTCACCAATGACCAATTGACGCTTTTCATCAACGCCACGATGTACAGACCTTTTGGTTTCAACGTGCCCACGCACTCTTGGTACCAGATTTTCGAGGATGCCATGACCAGAGCTGGAGGTAAGCCCCACTGGGCGAAAAACTTTATTGGATTGCCTGGCGACCACCACACCAAGGAGGACTTGAAGACGCAGTTGGATTTCGGCGGCAAGCAGTTCTACTCAATGCTTGGTTTTGATCCTGTGATGCAGAAGTGGTTTGGTCCCAGCTTGGAGGCCTACAACGACGTGAGGAGGGAAATGGACCCTAACGGTGTTTTCATGAGCGGCAAGCCCTGGGCCGTCAGAAACGGTATTTTGATTGAGTGACCGTTGAGATATTTGGTTGGTGACCTTTAGTTCGACCAGGGCATAGACGATTTATAAATTATGCTACTACAATGGAATGGCTGGACGCCAGTTGGCTTCCTAACTTATGCCTTTACTACTATACATTTATTTGAAGGGCGCCTTCAATGGGTCCACAACGGTACCCTGCTTGACAATGACTCTGGGCAATGTGGACTTCTGGAACGTGGCTCTCGAAGCCCACTCCTCGCCAATAGGCATCCGCAATGCTCTCTCGTACTGCTCTCTTGTTTCGTACGGGTGGGGCACATTGGCGGACTGGTACTTCAAATTATGCTTGTTGAGTCTTTCGTTGATGATCACATTGTCCTTGCCCTTGTCTTGTCTTGTGTCCTTGCGGGCCACGCCATCGACCTTTCTGACGTACTTCTTTTTGGGTTTCTGTGGCTGGTCGCTTCCTCCCCATGAGCCCCATCCGGGGAGCGTCATGTCCTCTTCCTTGTCGTCCTCTTCCTCTATAAGTCTTCTCTTTTCTTCCTGGAATTCGCTGACAACGTCGTCTCCGGCAAAAGCCTCCTTGATGAGTCCCAGCTGCTTGAACATGCGGTTGTCGGTTTCGTCGTCGTCGCTTTCGTTATCGCTGCCAAAAGCGTCGCCTTTCTTCACGTCCATGACCTGCTTCATATCGATCAAGGTCGTGGGCTCCTTAGTGCCGTTTTTCTTGCCGGATTTGCTCTTGTGCTTTTCGATCTTGTTGGCTGCTTTCAGAAGCTTCGACAGGTCTTCGGTGACGGTGGAGTACTTCTTTGATTTGGCGGAAACGTCGTTTTCGTCTGCAACCAACCACGGGTTCTCTTCAGCCTCGCTTTCGCTGCTTTCACTGTCGTTATCGCTCTTTGAGTCGAATCCCTCGAATTCGGATTCCTCCTTTTCTTCAACCTTGTGCTTCTTGGCTGGAGGCTCCTCGTCTTCGGTTTCTCTCTCACGAGCAGTACCCTTTTTGAGCCTGTTTTCCAAATTATCAGCCTCGTCGTCACGGTAGTCGTGAATCAACTCCTCGTCCAACTTCTCCATCTCCTCTCTGTTCTGTGCCACCTGTGGAGCGTAAACTCTTCTGCCGTCGTTCTTCACCTTGTTGATGGAGTTCTTTTCTGTGGAGCCGCCTTCAAACTCTTCAATACCGGTGCTGCTGTCGATACCCCTCAAGAACTCGAGCTCTTTCTTGTTCTCACGACGTTTGCGCTCCTCGGCGTTTCTCATGAAATCCATCGCCATAATGCCCTTACCGAGACCTTCTCTTTCAGCCTCATCGTCCTCGTCGTTCTCATACTCTTTCTCAATGTCCGAAACATCCTCGTCAGAAATCTCCCTGTCCAAACCCATCTGCTTGGCTCTCAAACGCTCGCCACTTCGGAGCATATCCTCCAATTCGGCTCTGCTCAGGGCATCCTTGGAAATGCCCAGTTTGATCATTTGCTTAGCCCACAGCGATTGGGTCTTGTGTCTCTGGGACATTCTCTCCTCGGCTCTCTTCATGTCGTGATCGTCAGGGTCCAGCTCGGCGTCAGAGCCTTCCACCAATTCGGCATCTCTCAAACGCTCTCTCTTCTTGATCTTTCTGTACTGCTTGGACTTGATTTTCTTGATCCGCTTGGCACGCTGCTCGTCTCTGAACATGAGTTCTCTCATTCTTCGGAGTTCCTGGGTACGCTTGAACATGTCTTCTTTGGAGAGCTTCGCAACGGCAATCTGCTCAAAGGTGGCTTCCTTGGATTCGTCCACAAGGGCACCGGCTTCAAGAAGACCGTGGATTTTGCTCTCGAGCTCGCTCCGGCTCTCCATTTCAGGAATGAAACGCATGTTTTCGTAAGCCTTTTCGGGGTCAATTTCCTCCTGTTCTTCCTGAGTAGCTGGACGAGCCAAAGGAAACTCAAGGTGGTCCGCTTCTTGCAACGTTCTCACGGTATCCTTCCACTTGTTGACCTCCTCCTTGGTGATTTCGTAGGCGGCCCTCCGGTCGTTTCTGACCTGGATCCGCTTCGGAAGCGGAACAGCCACAGGCTTGGCTTCTTCTTCCTTGTTGATCAAGTATGCATCGTCGGCGTCCTCGCCAACCCCACTAAGCATATCAGCGAGAGAAAGCGATTCTCCGCCAGTAGGCATTGCCAATTCGCTGGCTTCTCTGTTTTCGTTGATGAGGAAGCGGCGTTCAGTTGGCGCTTTGACCTTGGAGTTCACCGTGCTGAGCGTCAGCTTCAAGTCGACCTCGTCGTCGGAGAAACCGCCAAAAATGTCCTTTTCGTCCTCAGAGCCCTCGTCCGACCCAGAATCTTCTGAGCTCTCCTCGGATCCAGATTCCTCCGAACTCTCTTCAGAGCCAGATTCAGACCCACTCTCCATGGCATCGTCTAGAACAACCTCCTTGGACTTGCCCTTGGAGGAAGCCTTGTCCTTGTCGTCCAAGTCCCACGCTTCCGAAAGCGTCACCAACTGCGCCTCGTCCAAACTCTCGTATCCCTGGTCCTCTTCCTCCAGCTCCTCTCTGTATCCCAGCTTCTGCTGATCTCTGATTGTCTGAGAGAATTTCGAGTTCAAAACGTCGAATTCATCGTCCAGGCCGAGCGCCTCGTCGGAGTCAAGCTCCTCGTCGTCCAAATCTGACTCGGCGTCCTCCTTGTTCAAGAACTTCCTGGCATCAAGCACACCTTCTTTGAGCGGAAGGTCCTGGTCGTCGTCCAGGTCGGACTCGGGCTGGTTTTTGCCACGTGACTCGGCTCTTTCCGCTAGCTGGAACGCATCCTGGATTTTCTGCTGGGAACGGTTTTTTCCAGACCGTTTTTTCGCCATGCTTGTGGAGGGGTGTGTTTGAGCTCATCTCATCGTGATGGACCCCGGCATTTTTTGGATGTGGTCACGTGACCGGTGGGGGAGGAAGTGTGGGTTTTTTGAAGATTGGGGGATTGGTTTCTTTGAAATATGAAGCGGGATGAAATTTGTTTAATGAAATGTTGCCTTTTGCTACGTATTGGTTTGTTTGTGTGATTTGAGTGTGTTTGTGTGGACCCATTTGCTGCCATTTGCTGCATTTCGCAGCCAGTCTCGAGGTAGATACCGACAGAGAGCATATGGATTTTTTTTTTTTTTTTTTTTTTTTTTTTTTTGCAGAAATGAGGTCAATTGATGACTTCACTTCGTTTTTCTATAGTACAGATTTTGATAGGTCCCAGTGCCTTCAAATCAAGAGGACTGGTGGCTCTGCATCAGAATGTAGTACTACTGGATCGATAGAAACACTCATACTCACTCTCCAACCCTCTTCATTAAAACGCTATTCTATAAACTGAAATCTCTTGAGCAAAGTCGAAAAAGCTATAAATTCATGAAAACAACCTTCGATAAGATCTTACTATTCTCACTTTCCAGACCCTCAGGTTAGGTTCCCGAAAGTCTCGCCTTCATCGACCCCTAGTACATATCTGTCTAACAACCTTCTTCAACACTGCTTTGAAAAGCAAACACTATACGAAAATTATGTCTCAATCTACTGCGTCCAAATAACCACTTCCTCAATTGCATCCTTATATCAAATTATTCCATGGCTGACTTCCCTTGATTTGGTACCATAATGAACAAACGACAATACAGCACTATCTCAACCCAAAGCCAATTCCGTTCATCAAAGTACCAGCACCTCCACTACAACTACTCACTCCCCGGTTCGGCAATTTCGACAAAGTAGCTCCACATCAAACGTTTGACCTCTCCCCCATGCGACCACAGTAAGCACACTTTTACGCTGTATTGCACACTTTTCGAAAAACCATATCGTGACGGTTCAGCATTCAAAGGAATCTCTCCCTCAATAACAGCTGGAGGCACCCTCATGGCTCTAGCATATCGACTTCCTGTAACACCTTCGTTGAACTTACTCCAGTACAACACGGCGAGTTCATCTTTGCTGAATAATGGAGTCTCCTTTTTCGTTTGGATCCCCGCCGTCACTTTGGTCTGAATAAGAATAATCTCAAGTCGATGGATCTGAATCCTTATATCGTTTGTCGGTCTGACTCTTTTCATGTCGTGATAACTTAACGGCAAAACAAAAAGTAGACTCACAAATTCCGAGAGTTTCATTCCTGGCACCACTATGGCCTCGAGGCTCCAGTTTCGGGTCTGCCTGAAACGTCCATGTTCATTGTGTTTGAAAAGGACCGTGAGAGGAAACGATTCGTCTCCTGCTGGTACACTGTAGCTGGAGTATGTCCTCATGTAGTGGTAATTCTTTTCAAATGAGATGGCTTGGAGGTGATTTTTTCCAGATTTCACACAAGTAGAAGCATACGGCCCGTCCAAGTTGGTCATGTCACTTCCAGCAACAGGACGGTTCAAGATTCTGGAGGAAATCTTGTGGTTGTTTGGTGGGTCTTTAAGCAATTTAAGAAGATACTTCTTTGAGCTTTTTATGTTTTCAAGGAGGCCAGGGGGGTCGTCAATTTTAGCCAGAAACGTTTCGAGAGTGAGTAGATTTATGCTCCCGTGGGACTGAAACCTGTAGCGCTGGAATTTCCTCCCGACGTTTGTCAACTCTTTGTGGAAAAAAGATTTAATATCTCCTTTTCCCGTTGGCACCATCGTTTCCACATAAAGAGCCGTGTCTTGATTTGGTGACGTAGAAGACGATTCCTTATGCCTTTCCGACTGTTCTTGCGCTACGTGCAATTCCATGAACGTAGAGGTACTTATCGGGGGCATGCTTTTGCGGGTGAGTTTCATCGAGACCTTCAAGCCATAACTTCTTGTTAAATCCGCGGAATAGAAGGTCGGACCAAGGCTTGGAAGTCTGCACGCATAAGTCTTAGTCGGTAGTTTCAATGGCTTTCTAGAAACCCAAACCACCTCATGTGGGGCGTTTTCGAGTAACGTCATTTCCCGAGTTTCCTGTAACACACTGCCATGGTGATAAACGCTGACAAATTCCTGAAGCACGACGGAAACTTTCAGAATGAGAAAAGGCTCGCAATCTGCCATGTCTGTTGCCTGAAAAGTTAATGCTAAGAAATCTGATACCTCCATTCCTGGAGCCACAATCCGGCGGTGGTTATCCTGCTGAAAAAAGGGTGGAGGATTGAAATGTGCCTTCACTAGCAAAGAAGCTTCGTTGTTGATGCTGTAAAGAGAACTCATATTCATCTCAGAGTCCACGCCGTGAAGCAGATGTGACATTGGAAACTGGGGTCCAGGGAACAGCTCGGTTTCCTTTCCCACCGTGAAAAAACATCCTGCTGCTACTGGTGTGGGTATCACATAATCCGACCAGTCGAAGGTGAGCTGAGTGTTTCGAAGCTGAAACACAAGCATCTTGCTGTCTGGATGTGGGCCTGCTCCAAAGGAAGTGACACCGTTTCGACAAAGTGCATTTTCTATGGCAAGTGTCAGCTTTCCCTTGGAGTCAGTCCCTCTTTGAACTTGGATTTCAGAAACCAGGTGGTACTCTCCAGAGAGTTTGTAGCCCACTGACTTGAAAGAGTAGTATTTCTGGCTCGATACGTTTTGGATGTCCTCCCTGAACTGGTGAAAGTTGTTGCCGAAGCTTTTGAAAACGAAAAAAGTGTCCAATTTCGTGGTTTCTGTGGCTGGTTTGACTTTGGTGGGAGTTATCAGGAGCTTCATTTGTGTTTTTGCTTTGGTACCAGAGTAAGGATCCATCTATTTCTACTTCGAATGGATTTTATGACATTTATTAGTGTCATCACTCTTTCGGTCTTCATAAGCCTATAGTTACCTCGAGGTGAAAAAGGCATTTACAAGCCCCTCAACATACAACGATTCATTTTTACGCACCTTCATATTTTGATCTCGCAAAGCGTAGATGTTTTGGACATGCCTGTTTGGAATGATAGCGTGAGAGGTTATCAACTTGTGAGGAAATTGCCGATTAAGGTCATATCTTGGGCCAAAAACAAAATCTCGTGAGCATTCCATTAAGCCAGGACCGGCGTATCTGTAAACTGGTATCTATCAATTCAATTCAAGTTATTGAATGGACTCGCTCGTGACTGTGCATCGAAATCGAGAGTGGTCTACTTCAATTTTTCTTTTTTTTTTGTTAGATTCATCTGATTAAATGGAAAACACTATTTAACTTTACATAGAGAAAAAAACCATTATATCAGCTTCCATGCCTCCTTTTTTTTTTTTTTTTTTTTTTTTTGTTAGATTCATCTGATGCGATCAAAATTAGGAAACGATACTTCTTTGTGTCACTGAGTAGAAGAGAATCCGTGGCATTCAACACGGAAGCGATAGCACATGTAGAAACACCTCAATTTATTGCACGAAGTTTTGAAGATTTGCTTCTTATTGCCAAACCTGAATAAACCCAATAAAAGAAAACTGGCATAAGGGCTACATATGCCTCCAACAGACTCCAAACAAACCTTAACTGAAATCCTCTCTCGATGTTCAAGAGAGCGATAGAGATAAGCGTGATGCACACGCCAAACCAGACCGCAGCAGTGCACAACGCCATGACCGTGCGAGTACACTTAAATTGAAGACGAATCCCAAATAAGAGAGATACAAGCATCACCACGGCAGTGAAATGATCAGATTTTGTTGATCCAAGCGCATTATTAGAATCAATCGCAATATGCTTGCACTCGGCGTCATAAACTGCCTTTCGAATAACAGCACAGCGCCCATTTGCAGCTGTAGAAGGGTTGTCCGACCCGGTTTTGGAATCGTGGATGTGGTCAGTCCAGATTTCCGATACATCTTCCGAGCAAGACTCTTTCCACCCTCGATTTTGAATCTTAGTTTTTGCTTTTCCCCATGATTGATGATCTATTTCGTTGCAATACACTGGCTCTTCATGCAAGGTCTTTTCATGAAGCCGTTGATAATCACCGACCTCTTTTTTGCAGCTAGCCATAGTGTTTTTTATTGCCATTGCAAAACAAATTAAAAACCCTAACAAAAGTGCGAAATTGAAGATGGAGAGTACTGTAAGCTTCCAAGCGGGAGGGCGATCAACTTGGGCCTCGCCGCGTGCGCCTCTAGCAGTTTCAGCACCTCTACCAGTTTCAGTACCTCCACCAGTTTGATAACCTCCACCAGGACCTGCACCAGTTTCGGTATTTTGAACAAAATTATGGTCAATCCGAAATTGGTTCTGGTTGTCATAATAATACCGCCCATGATTATAGTAACGATTTCTCTGAACAATGAATCGTGAATCACGATAAAAATGGCCATTTAGGTCGTTGAATGGTACATCTTGACGAGGGAGTGCTGTGTTTTGAACACTCTGATCACTGGGATTGTTGGATTGATATCCTTGCGGCTGCGCTCTGCGAATCATTACCCTCTTTTACAGCTAGGAGTTGTGAGAATTCCGGAAGTTGTGGTTTCGAGAGATTGCTTTATCTGCACCAGAAAAAGGGATAGGAGACAAATTCAAGTGGCGAGATCTCCCATTTATATACGCGTCCCCGATGTCGTGAAATAATGTCCTAAATTTGTCTAAACAATGTGATCGGTCTGTCTATGTGGGCAGCTGCATGGATCCTCTTATACACACGCGAAGACCAGGCAATACATGTTAGTGAATCAAGGAGACCCAGTGGAAGAGCTCATCCTTCCTATAGTTGAGAGCTCTAGTGGAGACATAAAGCACGTATATGTGCTAACCCTTCTTTAAATGGAATATTCTAAGAAATGAGCACCGTCAAATATAGCTTCTTGATCTCAGATGTTCACCTGCATGAGTATTGGAGATCTCGATTCTTAAAGGCTTTCGTCAAACTTAAAAGGCTCTGCTTCTTTCTGTTTATAGTCGAAAGCTATTTTCTCAAAATTAGATGTTGGAATAGTGCCTTGATTGTTTTTTGCCACTTTATGGTACTTTTTGCATTACATTTGTGCGAGATCGCCATGCATGTCTTAGGCAAGGTCTTCCCTAAATCAAACATATCCTTTCATTCGAAAAGAATGGAAGACCATTCCATGGTTTCAAAGAGTATCATTTGAAGGTTTTGTGAGAATTTTGGGCTCTTGACTTCCAGTAACTGTATTGCGTGGAGCGAATCAAGCTACCCCGTCGCAGAGCCGCACGTCCCTTGCATAAAAATATTCCTCGGGAGCATGCCCCACCACGGGCCATGCCTACAAGAATACGGAAGGTTTTAAAAATCTTTCAAGCACCACCAGATTCCAATACATTATAATCCTCCTAAAGTGCATCCTGTGCCGACCTTCATCTCCGAAGGTTTGGCAGCGAAGGTCTGCTTTATGTAGGAAAAGCTGGTCAACAAGGCGACCATGCATACATTTGCGTCAAGTCCGTTTTAGGATTCAAATTTGCACGCATGTCTCTGTCGTGGTGACCTTTGGATTTCTCCGTATGTTATCAAACTGTTTTCGCAAACAAAGTGATATAGTATAGAGATCCACCTCTTTAAATCTGATAAAGATATATCAGTCAATAAAAAAAATGATAATGGAAGCTGCTTAAGCGAATGGCTTGGACCCTGTTTGCATGACATGAAGAATTCAGTTCTAGTTGGTGTAAGGATGCGTGTTTCCATTCATAGTTAAGCAGATTTGGGAGACCTTCTTTGGCAATTCAACTAGGAGGGCTTGGTAAAGTGTATTCCTAGATTAGCCGAATGCACTAGATGAATAGAAGAGCAGGGGGGCTTATAAGCCTTTTGCAACATTGGGTTTATTACCAGTGTGCGGAAATCCTATGTATTCAGAAATGATGTTTTACAGTATAATGGATTAATAGGATACATGTCATGGTGTGATTGTACATGTTTGCAATGGCTGTACAAGTACAATCACACTAGTGCATCACAAGATTCTTCTCAAAGTCTTGAAGCAGCAATCCAATTGTAGTGCATTCATGGTCTGTTGGCTGTTGGCCTTGTCAGTAGCTCTGACTACAAGCAACCCTTGGGGTTATGCCGTTGTAAATCTAAAGATTCTGATTCATCTGAGGAACGGAAAAGCATCATATTGGCATCAGCCGGAAATTCCGGGAACACTAGACACAAGAGCGACATTCACAGGGAGGAGTCTTTTGGGTGTCGGCAGTGATCATTGCTCTGTGGTTATCGGTATTACCTGATGGGTCAATCCTGATCACGGTCTCATCATCAACACCCCCATTACTTTGATGCTCTGCCAAACCTTTGGTATCCGAATAGAAAAATATGATCACTCTATGTAAGAGCAGTTCAGCTGCCAATTGGATGATGGCGATGTTCGAAAGAGTGATCAATGGAAATCTTGAAGTTCATCTCCGGATGTGTGGAGCTAAAAAACTCACAGAATTCCCCTTTGAGGTAGGTGAGCAAGAAATTCATTCCTGACTATTAGAAGGTGTGATATCTTCGTTTGGGGTGACGTAAAAAGTCGAGCGTACAGTTGCAGCAAACCTTGATATCTTTCCTGCTTGAGGTCAAATAAACTCTCGAATGCAATACCGTTGATTGTCAGGTCCCTTTACATGGCTCTACTAAGCCCGTTCAGTCCACCTATAAGATCAACACCCTCAGCCAGGGTCCATGCACTGCGAAGCAGAACCTCAAACATTCTCCACCCACCAAAACACAAACTACCCAATTCTTTGAAAATTAAGCTATGCTTGAAAACTCCGTTCCCAATCAACTTCTTAAATCCCTATGTCCCCAAATCTGACCCACCCTGCTTTGTTGACCTCGCCTGCATGTACCGTATATAAGACGAGCCTCCACCTCCACTGTATCAATAACCAACTCTTTCATGAGCAAAAAAACAACAAACGCCGGCCGGAGAGAGCCCTCGGCGTTTGGGTCCTTCGACCAGCCCGCCCACAATGAACCCACGCCCGTCTTGCAGCAACAAAACCCCTCCCCTACAGCCAATTACAATCTTCCAGGTGTGATCTCCTACTTGACGCTGGAATTCACCCACTTGGAGCGGTTCAAGATCACGACAAACTTGGAGAAACTGGAGATGAGCTACAGGATTCTGCAGTTGACGTCGGAGGTGAACTCGTTGCGGTACATCAACGACAAACAGGCGGTGAGGATCAGAGAGTTGGAACAGAAGCTAGGAGAATCGTCCATTGGCGAACCCAAAAAGGATACACAGATTCCGCAGGTGGACTTGGACGTGTTGAAGGATTCCAGGATCCAGCTAAACAAGCTGATCAGAGACGTGGTGCGTGTTTTGAAGCCCCCTCTGGCCCTCAGTAGAAACTACATCAACGCACCCAACACGCTGCACGGAACGGATTTCGACGAATTGCTCGACGACAGCGAGAAGTTTTCCTTTGAGAACGAGGCCCACGACGAGAAGGTCAGGGAGAGCATTTTCGCTCGCTACATGAACGATGCCAGTGACGAGCCTCTTCTGGGTGCATTCGAGGACGACGCCCAGCGGCTTGTGGAGCTGGTTCAGGGCGACTTGGAGAACCAGAACTCGCCAATTTCTCGGAAACCGCCCGCGGAGGACGCCGAAACAGACACGGAAACGGTGATTGTGGATGAAACCGAGGATGCCCTTGCCAGTGCGAAACAGGCGGTGGTTTTTGGCCAGGAGACCCGGCTTTTGGCGAGAAACTGCGTGGTCTTCGAGCCCTTCCAGAACGCCATCGTGTTCATGGAGGAGGAGCTGGCCACGGTGTTGGAACTGGGCGTTCCGGCGCTCAAAACGAAACTCGACCACTCCACAGGCCACATTGTGGGTGTGTACTACCTAGGCAAAAAGCGGCTTTTGGTGGTGGGCCAGAAGGGCGTCAGCCTCGTCACGTCCAAGGAGAGCGGCACGGCCACCACCAAGGTGTTGCTCAAGGAGGAGAAGTTCTTGATCGACCTGTGCAGCTTGGTGGAGTCTTCTGATAAGCACTACGCCTTGGCGTTTTCGGGAATGGGCAAGGACGGCAAGCTGGTGATTGCAGTGCACGAAATCAAGCTTGTCAACAAGCCCACGGCCCGTCTTTTGGGCCTGTTCAACAGCACTTTCCTTAAAGCGTCTGAGAGAGTCAAGGGGTGAGATGGTCTGAAAAGAAAGACACAGAGGAGGAGCTTCCGTACGACTTGATTGTTCTACACGAGAAGATTCAGCGTCTCAACATCGCCAACAAGAGCCTCGTTGATATTAAGCCCGAGGCCGATTACCACTCCATATCTGTTGTTGGCGGTCTTCTACTTGCCGTGCAACCTGAAAGCGTGGAAGTTTACGACCTAAGCGAAGAGAAAACCGTTGGCGTTCTTCCCCGCCACAAACACGCCCATTACGTGCTTTCCACCCAAAGCGGCCTCTTTGTCGCTGAGGCTCTGGATCAGGTGGTTGTCTTTGATAAGGAGATGCAAGAGCTCGCCAGGCACACCAACCCGATTGGATCGCCCAAATCAGCTTTTCTCATGGAAAGCGAGGAAGGCACGGTTTTGATTCTCCAAGGAACGGACGGCATATCGATTCTCCCCGTTGGTCTCGTCTAGGTGTCTTAGACTTTTCGCAGCCATTATGCATGCCTGTCAAGTGCGATGAGGCCGATAGTAGGAGAGGTACGGGTGGGCCCATGGGTGCTAATTTTTCATTTGCTTCTTGAAGATAAACAAAACACCGACTTCTGCCCGCATGTCAAAAAAGCTCTCTTTTGACGATTTTTTGAAGCAGCAGCAGCAGGCCCAGCAGCAGCCTCGTGGCTACGGCTACAAGTACCTGGGCCAGAGCTTCCAGCCGGGCCAGAACTACCAATACTCAGGCCAATCCTTCCAACCAGGCCAGTATCAGGCCTACCAGGGCTATGACCAGGGTTTCCAGAGCCAGAGTATGAGTGAAGCTCCTTCCGGCGCTGAATCTAGAATCACCAGCGGTGCTGGAACTCCCAACCCAGATGCCTCCACCACCTCGCTTTCATCCTTGGGTTCTGCGTTGAACAAGCTCAAACTCGAGGAGTCTCCCATCCTGGAGCACTTGACCACGATACAAAAGTCTTCGAAGCTCAGCGACTCCAAAAAGGAGGCCGAGGCTATTGCCCAGAAGGTGGCTGAGCTGCCCTCTATGAGCGTCTTCACCGAGTGGAAGATTGTCGATATTGTCAAGAACTTGGCCAAGGCTAGAAGCTCGCCTTTGGTCAGAGAGTCTGCCCTTCTCATTGTCCAGCAGCTTGCATTCAGCTTGAGTAACACTCCTCCAAAGGAGCTGTACTTGGTGCAGTTCCTCAGCATCATCCTCGAGGCATTCACAGACAAGGACAAGAACGTCATCAAGACGGCCAAGCAGACGCTTGACATTGTTTACGGCGTTTTGCCTGCGGAGATCTTGGGCAGCTTGTTCATCGACGAGATCATCAACTACCTTAACTCCTCGGCTAAGTGGAACACCAAGATCGCTGCTTTGGATGTCGTGGACAAGCTCGTTGACGAGGCTCCTGCCGATTTATTGGAAATGAAGTTCGTCACCGCTGTGCCAGCTTTGACTGACATGGCCACTGACTTCAAGCCTGAGTTGGCTAAACACGGATTGGCCACTTTGAAGCGTTTCGTCAAGGTTTTGGACAACTTGGACTTGCAGAACAAGTACGATTTGATTGTGGAAACCTTGGCCAACCCACAAAAAGTTCCAGAGTGCATCAAAAACTTGTCTTCCGTTACATTCGTTGCTGAGGTCACCGAGCCTGCTTTGTCTCTTCTTGTTCCAATTCTCGACAAGTCCTTGAAGATGTCCTCTTCCACCAACGACCAGTTGAGACAAACCGTGACTGTTACCGAGAACTTGACCAGGTTGGTCAACAACAAGAGAGAAATCGAACACTACATTCCTATCTTGTTGCCTGGTGTGGAGAAGGTTGTCAACAACGCTTCCTTGCCTGAGGTCAGAAACTTGGGCGCCAAGGCTCTTAATGTTTTGAAGGAGGCTGAGAATGAGCAGACCGACGGTAAGTTCCACGGAAGAATTTCCTTGGAGGACGCTAAGAAGCACCTCAAGGAGGGACTCTCCGAAGACGTCAAGCCTGTCGCTGAAGCTGTGTTTTCCGACGAGACTGAGGCCGACTACTTGGCTGTCATTTTGCAGATTGACGCTAACGTTAACGATTGGAAGCGTTTGGCTGAATATCTTCAAAGCGCCGTTCCGGTCTCCGATTCTATCTCCGAGGAGCTCAAGAACAAGTACGTTGAAGAGGTTGTTAAGAATGTCAAGCACCTCTTTGTGGACACTTCCCTGGCCGACAACGACGACGACGAGGGTGCTATTGAGATTGTAAATGCCGACTTCTCCTTGGCCTACGGTTCCCGTATGTTGTTGAACAAAACCAACTTGAGATTGTTGAAGGGACACAGATACGGTCTTTGTGGTAGAAACGGTGCCGGTAAGTCCACCTTGATGAGAGCCATTTCCAAGGGTCAGTTGGAAGGTTTCCCAACACCAGACCAGTTGCGTACTTGCTTTGTTGAGCACAAATTGCAAGGCGAGGAAGGTGACTTGGACTTGGTGAGCTTCATTGCATCCGACCCTGAGTTGGCTAATGTTGGCCGTGAGGATATCGCCAAGGCTCTTCATGCTGTTGGTTTCCCAGAGGAGAGATTGACTCAGCAGGTTGGCTCTTTGTCGGGAGGTTGGAAGATGAAGTTGGAGTTGGCTAGAGCTATGTTGATGAAGGCCGATGTTTTGCTTTTGGATGAGCCTACTAACCACTTGGATGTTGGAAACGTCAAGTGGCTCCAAAACTACTTGATCGAGAACACAAACATCACCTCCTTGATCGTCTCGCACGACTCCGGCTTCTTGGATTCTGTGTGTACCGATATCATCCACTACGAGAACAAGAAGTTGGCTTACTACAAGGGTAACTTGTCCGAGTTCGTCAAGGTCAAGCCAGAGGGCAAGTCTTACTACACCTTGAGCGACTCTTTGGTCAAGATGGCCTTCCCTCCTCCAGGTATCTTGTCTGGTGTGAAGTCCAGTACCAGAGCCATTGCCCGTATGAGCAATGTCACATTCACTTACCCAGGTGCAGCCAAACCTTCCTTGAACAATGTCTCTTGCAGTTTGTGTTTGTCCTCCCGTGTGGCTATTGTTGGACCTAATGGTGCCGGTAAATCGACTTTGATCAAGTTGTTGACCGGTGAGTTGGTGCCTGCTGAAGGTAACGTCGAAAAGCATCCAAACTTGAGAATTGGTTACATTGCCCAGCACGCCTTGCAGCACGTTGAACAGCACAAGGAGAAGACCGCAAACCAGTACTTGCAATGGCGTTACAGATTCGGTGATGACCGTGAGGTTTTGTTGAAGGAGTCCAGAAAGATTTCCGATGAGGAGAAGCAAATCATGGAGAAGCTCATTGACGTCGGCGATGGTCAGGGACCCAGACAGATTGAGGCTCTTGTGGGAAGACAGAAGTTGAAGAAGTCGTTCCAGTACGAGGTGAAGTGGAAATACTTCCTTCCAAAGTACAACTCGTGGATTCCTAGAGATTCGTTGATCGAGCAAGGCTTCGAGAAGTTGGTGCAGAAGTTCGACGATCACGAGGCTTCTAGAGAGGGTCTTGGTTACAGAGAGTTGACGCCTAAGGTCATCAGAAAGCACTTTGAGGATGTTGGTTTGGATGGTGACATTGCCGATCACACTCCAATGGGATCCTTGTCGGGTGGTCAATTGGTCAAGGTTGTTATTGCCGGTGCCATGTGGAACAACCCTCATTTGCTTGTTCTCGATGAGCCCACTAACTATTTGGACAGAGACTCCTTGGGAGGTCTTGCTGTGGCCATTCGTGACTGGAGCGGTGGTGTGGTGATGATTTCGCATAATAACGAGTTCGTTGGAGCTTTGTGCCCTGAACAGTGGCATGTTGAAAACGGTGCTGTCGTTCAAAAGGGAAGTGCTGCTGTTGATGCGCTGAGATTTGCCGATGGAGCCGAATCCAAGGATGGCTCGCCCGCGCCTGAACCTGTCAAGAAGAGAGCCGACGACGACGATTCTCCTGCCAACATCAAGGTCAGAACTAGAAAAAAGAAGATGACCAGAAACGAGAAGAAGGCCCAGGCCGAGAGAAGAAGATTGCGCCACATCGAGTGGTTGAGCAGTCCTAAGGGCACGCCCAAGCCCGCCGACACTGACGAGGAGGAGGAGTAACAGGCTTACTGTATATGTTAATTAATAGAGGATTGGGAAAGACGAGATAAGTGTAGAAATGGTGGGTAGGAGAATATTGGCTGTAAATGCACGTGATGTGTGTCACGTGATCAACATCCTGTTGCCTTCGGAGGCAAGTCTCAACACCATGAACACCAAGCTAGATACCGTTCAATGGCCGACAGATACTCCTTTTCCCTTACGACATTCTCCCCACAGTATGTACAATTAAAATTCAGATTCGTGCGGTCACATAGGTGTTTTCCCCGCTCGAATTGACCCACTATTCGCCATTCTAGTACTAACAACGCCAGAGGGAAATTGGTCCAGATCGAATACGCCCTTAATGCTGTGAAACAGGGTGTCACGACAATCGGCATCAAGTCTGCTTCAGGAGTGGTGCTTGCCACCGAGAGAAAGTCCAACTCCAACCTCTTGAAGAATGACTGCAACACAAAAGTCGAAATGATAACCCCAGATATAGCCATGACCTATTCAGGCATGGGGCCCGATTTCCGTGTGCTTGTGGATAGAGCACGTAAGTTGGCCCACACCAACTACAAACGTATATACAACGAGTACCCTCCTGTGAAGATCATGGTCCAGGAGCTCGCCAAGGTGATGCAAGAGTCCACGCAAAGTGGAGGTATCAGGCCCTTTGGCGTGTCGCTCTTAGTGGGTGGTTACGACCATCATCTGGGCAGCTTTCAATTATACCAGGTTGACCCTTCGGGTAGTTATTTCCCCTGGAAAGCCACTGCCATCGGCAAGACGGCTGTTTCAGCCAAGACGTTTTTGGAGAAGCGCTGGGACGAAGACTTGGAGTTGGAGGATGTCATCCACGTGGCGCTCCTAGCATTGAAGGAGTCTGTGGACGGTGAGTTGATTGGCGAGAACTTGGACATCTCTGTCGTGAGCGACCCACAGGATCACTTGTTGGGTTTCACAGGCACTGACATTGAGGGTCCTCGTGTGAAGCAGTTGCTGGCGGAGGAGATCAATGACAGGCTTGAGGCGTTGTAGAGCCGCGGGCCGGAGTTGGAAGTAAAATGCAAGAAACGTGAAGAAGCTGTAGAGGCGGTCTAAGTGGTGGAGATTTTGTGTAGAGATTTTTGAACTAAGGTCGACGTTGTGGAATTGGGTGTTTTGTCTTCTGAAAACAAGGCTAGTCGTGACGAGCAGATTTGAATTAAGCTCTAAGGGACACAGAACAATCTTGTTTGATCCAACAAAGCTAATACTGGGATTTCCTGGAATTGCGCCAGTTCAAATTGGAAACTGCAAATTGGAAATTGAAACATGTACGGATTGAAACGATGCCCTAAACAGAAAGTCTTGTGATCAATCTAGAGGCAACGTGACAGAAACAAATTGTGACCATTGAAACAAAAAAACGGCAAGAATGAAAAGGGGTGACGTCTTTCCTTATCAGATTATTGATCCAAAATAGAACTTCCCTTTAACATAGCCATTGAAGAAAACTTTCCTTTTACAAGAATATTATCAAAGCAATACCCTCCTTCTCCCAGAAAGGCAAGAGAAATACAGACGACAAAAAATACAACTATATCAAGCCCACATTTCTTCATTCTCAACCCACCAAACATGGGTTTCTTCAACACACCAACCGAATACACAATTCAAAGCGAAACGTCTCCACCGCCAAAATTGAACACTCTATTTCTTTTTCGTGACTATGGAACAGATTTCAATGTTGTCCAAAAGGAGTTCTCCAAAGTTTTGGACAAAGGCGCTTATAGACTAAGTTCACTTGGTTGCAAAGTCTCTGGGGATTTTCACCAAGTGACGGAGTTTCAACCGCTACAGAAGCATGACGTGAACGACCTCGAGCTGGACATTTTCATCAAAATGGCACGTTCACGAACCGGTATCCCCTCTTTTGGCCAAAGCCCTCCTCCAGATACCACAATGGTGGTTTTCCAAGTTCGTCACACGTTCTTGACATTTGACAAGTCAAGATACGAGCTGTTGATGCCCATATTGGGGGGTTGCTTCTACGTATGTGGGGACAGCTTCAAGCTATTTCCCGGTCCAAAGTTCCCGATGACACATCTGCTTGATGGAGCTGGTTGTGAACTGATTTCGGGGTCCGAGCACAAATTAGCCGATGATGTTCGTTTGAAGTTCAACGCCGAATTCAAGCACGCTTCGTGGTTTCGCCAAAAAGCGTTTCATCGCATTGTCCTTCCAAAAATGCCCGTTTCGGATTTTCTCTCTTTGAAACTTTGGCTAAAACGTGTGCCAAAAGAGGAGAGGCTTGCAGAACCTTTCATTCTTTCCGAGATAAGCATTGAGCTCCAGGAGTTTGTCAGTGTACATGAACAAGGGCATTTTTTCCAGGAGGTGAAAAGCCAGCTTTTGGTGAAAGAAACCCTGCTGTATATGGTCCCTCTCTCCGAAGATCCTTTAGATGTTTGTCCAGACATTGCTTTACCGGACCTTGGCCCATCCTTTTACACGAGGGATCTCACGAGAAGCTATGGGTTGCGTATTTCAGTAAAAGTAACTCACAAGAGCCGTCCTAGCGTATCTGCCTCAGCGTTTATGGAGATCAATGTAGCGCAAGAAATCCAAGAACGCATAAGGTATACAACTTTGGACGACAAGGAGTACTATGGATCGAACTTTACAGGAAGCGTTGTATCGTGTGGCAACTCAAGCTTCAAAGATTATCTACCTTGGATCATGGCGGACTTTAAAGCCCGGTTGTTTCAGAATAGAAAGAAACTTCTGCGGTGTGCCATCCACTTTCACACCAAGGGGTCTTCCAGCAATGTGTATTATCAGGTGGACGGCTTGGAAAAGCCATCCCACAAGCGAATTGAAGTCCAAACATCTCTTACAAAACATGTTTTTAACTTTATTGAGTTTATGAAACAGAAAGGAATGAGCTTGTTTTATCCACCAGTGCCTAACCAGCAGACCTCAATCGTCACCTTGGTGACTAAGAAACCAGTTACAGGGGGCGATGCCACTAACTCAAATAAGCCGTTTGCTTCATCCTGTGTTGCTATAGGCAACCAGGTAGCTTACTCATTAGACCTGGGCGATCGGTACCTGAGAACAATCAGGGACCAAGTCCTTGCAATTGGAGAAGAAAATTATCCGCTTACTATCCGTCTCACACCAACTGGACATAAGCATTTCAAGCAGTCCCAGGGAATTGGTGAGAGCACCATTGCAACAGCTGGAATGAGCCTCTCTGAGCTTTTGGAGTTCACGTTCATGCTTCCATTGAGCTTCAGGAAAATTGCAGCCTGTGATTCACTGGTAGAGAATTACAAAATCCCTTTGAAGAGATTGACGGTGACTCTTTACGACTTGAATGCAGACTATCGTGCAACCAATACGGTGCTAGTCGATAAGAAACGCTTGCCCTGGATACGTTGGAGTGGCTTTACAGGCCAAGTTCCCGGTAATCCTGAAGCTTGTTCATTCGCATATTCGATCCATGGCATCAAAGGTAAACTTCCCGACAATCTCGAGCCAACCTCCTTTGATCAACTGGGGGGTACAGGGCGGTACTGCTTGGTTGTTGTGTTACAACTTGGTGAGAACGAGGCGTGTTTCCATTGGAAAATTAAGCTTGAAATTGCCAAGCTTTGAAGGAGACACTTTGAGATATGAGACACTTCGGGTAGCTCAGAATTGGAAGCTATCGATTAGAGCATATTTAGCTCTGCGCTATCGTGCTTTTCAAGCGAAATATTACTATAGTGAAATAAATAACGCTTTTTGATTCTGATGTTGTATATTCTTAGCTAATCAACGAAATATATTTTTTGAAACGTCGTAGTAAAGCGCTTTCCATAGCATCGGGTAGTGACTTCTTGCGCATGGCTTGAAGCCTGGTGTATACATCAAATTCTGAAACGAGTGTTCACAGTTTGATCGACAATCTGAGACCTTGTAAGCTTTCAACTCTGAATATTATTTGCCATCTCTATTTCCGCCTGAAATAAACCCTTCTTCTGTGAACATTACGATATACGTAGAATGGGACATAGGCTGTTTTGGGAATTTATAGTCATTACATCGGGAATTTTCTTAAGACTAACTGCGGACCGCGCATCAGAGATGAAACACTTTGTTGCATACTCCGAAATGTATGGCTGCTGTTTGGATGGCGTACTCAAATTCTAGTGATTCTCGTCTTTTTAAGCGGCTCCAGATTGACCGGTGAAGAATTTTTGCCTCTCCTCCCGATAAGGCGGAATGGATTAGTTTTTGCAGATTTATTGTGGCATGCGGCGTGTCGTGTAAGTTGTATCTGAAAACTTCTTTTGCAGGGTAGTATGCAGAAGGCGTTAGAGTTGTGTTTCAAGAAACCTTATCCAAGAAAACTCACCTAAAGAGACGACAATCTCACAATGAACTGCAGACTTACCTGCAAGACCGTGCATTTGAAACGTATTAAATGTAATAGGTTTATTCTCCATGGCAAGGCGGGGCTATAGATTATTTACTTCTGGTTCAAGGTCACTACTATGTATTGGATTTAGCTTTTCTTCCGCAGCTTTCTTCCGCAGTGGCTGGCTTTGTGAAGTCAGCTTGTGGATTATTGTAGGAAGTGAGACTAGCTGACGCTTCTAAAGCCTCGACAGCTAGGCGAAAGATTGAAGTGATATTCTTTAAGCCTGTTAGTAATGCCGAACAGCGCATTGCAATTGAGACTCGGATCATCCTGTGAAACAACCTGTGAAACAACCTGTGAAACTTTTGATTGTGCCAGTTGTGTTTCATTCTGGGCTAATTGTCTATAAAAGACTGCTATTTTGCTGATTATCTTCATCCACATTTACCACACACGCAGATTTGCTCCGACAGATACAACTGAAAGGTGGCGACATGGCAAAGAATAAAAAGAGCAAGAAAAGTACAGGAAAAACCCCTGGATGCACCAAGAAGCCTGACAACATTTCCTTTGAAATCACCAAGAAGTCTAACAGCAACTCTCCTGGATCACCTAAGGATGGAGACTCCGGTGGTTCGGCTGACTCAACTTCTGCTTCGAGGTACAACGAAAATTCTGAATCTACCATGAAATCCAAGCTGAGCCCTACAGCACCTCGATCTACTGAGTCGGGGCAGCGTGTCCTCGACGATACAGCGGCTGCTCCAACTGTCGAAAATCTCGAAGACATCCAAGAGGAGCCGTTGAATAAGAAGCCGGGTAGCTCATATGGGGCCATTTCACAATCTGCTGAAACCTCAGAGGATGGAAATGACACACAGCAAGACGAGGAGCAGAGTTTTTTCGAGCGTGAAACTCCCTACTGGTTTATAGAGACCGTTGAAGCTGGGGCCTTTGTGAATTTCATCTATTACTTTGCTAGAGGTTGTTTAATCGGAATACAGCTATACCAAAAATACATTGGGGATATGGACGGGGTTTTGAATCAAAGTCATGACAGATTCGAATTGCCCAGTTGCAGGAATGTATCCCTTTCGGACTTGTACCCTGAACTTCAGTCTACTCTCGATATGAAGGATCCGATCAGCCTTTGTTCTGTACAAGAAAAGTTCAAAAGCTCCATCCTGTATTCCCCGATGAGCGAGCCAGGGTGGGGAATGTCTTTTCGGTTTCACTCAGGAGCTCATTTCTGTTTGTGAAAAAGCCCGAAGGACTGCTTCTGATGCGCAAGAAGAAATGAGGTCCTGTCATGGAACTGCTGCAATGTCTTTACTTTTATTTTTAGCATTAACTCTGCACAGGGAGGATTAGGAAGACTTATGTCTTCTGGGTATTGACTGCGATCATCGGTTTGATACAATGTTCATTAAAAGTAATTCCTTACTTTGTTGATACGAAGACCGATTTCAAAGCTCAAATTGCCTATACATCGTTGAATGAGTATACTTCCTTTACAATGTTTTGGTTCAGTCTTATTGGTACTATTGGATATTCCAGAAGAGGAGGTGACGTACGTGGCAAATCAAAAATATTTTGGCTCAGTCTCATGAGTGCTATTGAGTATTCCAGAAGGTCGAGCAGGGAAGATGACACAAGTGGCAATTTAACAAGTCCTGATTATCAGAACAACCCCTCTTTGAATCTTTTGGATTACTTCAGAGGAGAATGGGGACGATAAATGGAGGAATCCCTGGCTGCACCCCATTTTCCAGACTCTGCGACACCAAGTGAGCCCTGAAGGTATCTGTGTTGAAAATAACCTCATTTTTTCATATAGGTCCTCGATTTGAATTCTATGTCTGAATAAAAAGGTACTTGCAGCTACTACAATTTAGAAGGCATGACAGCTATTTCCTGAAAAATAAAATAAATATAACACTGAACCCCTATATTGGTACACAGTAACTGTAGTATCCCATAGATGACCAAACTCAACGCAACCTGAAAAGTTCCTGAATAAGTGGTCAAATGTAGCCCAGTAGACTTTTATCCCGTTACCCTTGACGAAGAAGTATTCTATGAAAAAAAAAAAAAAATAAAATAAAATAATAAAAAAAAAAAAAAAAAAAAAAAAGAAAAAGAAGAAGCTATACCAAGTCAGAAGCGCTTGCGTCAGAGCGATGACATGTAGCTTCCAGATATTATTAACACTTTCTCGGTAAGAACAAGTGACTCGGATCATGCCTCGATCAGCAATATAAAGCATTGATGTTGCTCTCAATCAACAACTACCGATCATGGATTTGTTGAAGAAACTTGTGAGACTATATTTTGAAGGCGAAAATCCTCCACAACAGGAGCCTCCACTACAGAGGCCTCCACTACAGAAGCCTCCACTACAGAAGGTGGAGACTCGATTCGAGTTCCAGAATCACGGAAAAAGTTTGGATGATTTCAAACGGAGATTTCCTAGGGTTTTGTATCACGAGTCCCAAACACTCAGAACGATCGGTTTCAAAATCCTGGACAATTTGTTTCAAGTAAGTGAGCTTCTACTTCCAAATGAGAATGCAGCCCCAAATATCAAGAGTGTTGTTGATTCTGGACGATCAAAAAATGGCATTCCTTTATTTGGGCAACACCCTCCTTCAGATACCGAGAAAGTGGTATTCCTTGTCCGCTCCACGAGAATAACGTTCGCATGGTCCAATCATGACATGTTGATGCCCATAGTTGGAAGCTGCTTTTTTGAGAAGGGGAAAGAAATTAATGATTTTCCGGGCCCAAAATTTCCAATGACCCATCTGATCTACGGAGTTGGGTCCGAGATGATTACGGGTTCAAAGCACAAGCTAAATGAAGACATCACACTTTCGTTCAATGCCGAATTCAAGCAGGCGTCATGGTTTTGTCAGAAAGCTTATCATCGTATTGTGCTTCCAGAGATGGCACTTCCAGACTTTCTTTCATTGAAATTCAGTGTTTCAGAACCAGGTGAAATAGATAGTGATCCTTTGGTAATCACCGACATTTGCATCGAGCTCCAGGAGTTTGTCAGTGTCCATGAGGAGGGACATTTTTTCAAAGACGTACGTTCCACGTTGTTGCTCAAAAAGGCGCCGTTTGAGATTATGTATCTTTCTGAAGGCGCCTTGGAAATCCCGTCACATCTTTTCGCCACAAATTTGCCTGACATTGGGCCTTCCTTTTTTAATGAGGACCTCACGAGAAGTTACGGGTTAAACATAACTGTAAAGGTGAATTACAAGGACTGTCCATACATTTGCGCCACGGCATTTATGGAATTGAACGTGGCGAAGGAACAGAAGGAGGAGTTCGATATTTTGGAAATTGATGAACTTAGCTACTATGGATGGGACTTCTTCTCCACTGTTCGTTATTTCCAGGCCCTTTCAGGAGGAAGAAGTAAAGGAGATTGCAGCGTTCTGTTCCAAAACGGGGTTTCTGAACTTGGGGAGGACTTTCTGCATTGTCTTCTCCAATCCCACAATACGGGGGCTCTGGGTTGCCATACATTCACGATAAACGGAATATCATGTGGTGAAGATGAACAATTCTTGAAGTTACCCATTGCCAAACCACACCAAGGTCTCCAGGGCCTTTATAAACTGAAGGCAGTAAATCAGGAACAGCTCCTCAGTAACTCACCAAGTATCAAAAAAAGGGTCCGTCAGCTCACAAAGGTCACAAAAAAACCAGTGCAACAAACTCAAACAAGCCCTATGCATCGAGGTGCTTGTTAATTGAAGATGAGATTGTTCAAGCAGTCGACCTTGACTACCGACCAGTAAGAGCTTTAAGAGATCAAGTGTTCTTTATTGGCGAGGAGTGTGTGCCGCTTTCTGTTCGTATCACAGCAACCAAACACGGACGTTTCAAGCAGTCACACGGATGGAGCGGTGAAGCAATTGCAGTGCCTGGAATGTATTTATCTGAACTTTTGGATGTCACGCTTATGCTTCCATTGAGCTTTAAAGAGGACTTGGTGGAAAATATTCAGTTCAAGCACATGAAAGTCTATTTCAAAACCGTGAGGGCAGGCAAGGTTTGGAAAGCGGGATTGTTGTTTGAGCAGCATAATTTTCTGCCCTTCAAGTGCAGTGACTTTCAAGAAACTGTTCCTGGTGACCCGTCAGCTTGTGCTGTTACGCTTTCTAGAGCAGTTCTCAAAGGCAGGATTCCCGAAGGCCTCGAGCCAAGTTCTTGGGATGTGTGTCATTTTTTGGAGGTCCACTTTTCAGTGAACGATAAAGATGACGAGCGTGGCTGGGGACAGCAGATCTTTATTGCTCTGGAACTGCAAGTGGAAAGTGTTCTGAAAATGCAAAAGGAAAGCGGACCCTACCCTGAAAATGTAATTGGGGGGTGGCCGCTGTCCTGAAACTGCAAGAGGAAAGTGAGACATCCGTTGCTGATGGATAGTGAAAACTTATGAATCGTCAAAAAAATAAAAAAAATTGGAAAAGAAAAAAAAAAATGAATGTTGAAGTTTTATTGCCACAGATTGCCCCTTTGAGTAATCATCTTATCACTGACTATTCTTTACCTTTATTTGTTCTTTTCTTCTTATCTGAAAAATTTACTATTCTTCTCTACTTCAACTGCTATCTTATTTATGGTGGTGGTACTGGTATTGTTCTAGGTTTAAAGGCTTTTTGGCCTTCACTTATACTTGAGTTGGAGCTACTTTACCTAGAGTTAGATATGATAAATTAATCAAGTTGAATTATTTTCTTACCCTTTTATTCGCTTTAGCTTTACAGGCACCTGCTTTAATTCACGCTATTGATGCTGATATATTCATCTCTCGATTCGCTTGTATTCTAAAATAAATTTTACAAAATTATATATATATATCTTGTATTCAACTTAGTTCTCGCCTCCAGCAGCTTCTGTTAAGTTTTCTATCCGTAATAGATAAATTGACGACTAGTTACATGCTATAGTGTCTTCCGGACAAATTGTAATCCTTGACAGTAATTGCACCTTCACCGCTCTAAGTCAAACACACTTTGCAACATACGAGACACTCTCTTCTCTTCTTCACAGTGGCAATTAAAATAGGATACGGCAGACCGTTATAGGAATCCTTGTCTGTTTCTTCAGTTTGTGGGTAAACCCGCTGAGGAAAGGTGAAACCGGAGTGGGCCATTGTGATACCTTCAGAAACAGCACGTAAGGATGTTTTGCCCAGTTTGAGCCAAACGACTGTTTCATGAAAAGCTGAAACATCAGTCTCAGACAAGACGAGTCTGATCCTCTATATCTTCAATCACAATAAGGTACCCAACCTCGTGCTACTAACGCCTTGTAAAACATACGGCCATTCTGTTTCTGCAAATTTACCGTTAAAACCTCTTACTCTTCTCCCTCCCAGCTAGCGTCCAAAATACCTCTTTTCAAAAGGCCGTATCAAATTGTACCCCACAAACGCAAACACAATATTCAACTCAAACAGAAAATCACCGCCATCTGATCCAAACTTCCGTGCAATCACCAGCTGGTACCATATTTTGTTCATCAGCAAAACCGTGGATGCCACCCCAAAAAGGAAACCCGTCACCCCAGCGTATCCTATAGAAATGCTCTTTTGATCATTGTAATTACTCACATCGTAGCCTTCAAAGCCCCTTCTGTAGACAAAGTGCTGTGAGTAAAATGCCAATGTATGACCGCTCCCTCTGGTTCGAGGTGAATCTACATCCCTGAATCAACTTTTTCAATCGGCTCTTTTGTGGCCACCTACACTTCAGTCGTATGTTCATGTATTCGTGATGTCCTAGTTGCCGGAGGCCCAGTCGTTCAAGCCGTATCTGTTTCTGGCAATCTCAACAGCATAGAACTGAATTCTAACGGCAAAGATCGAGTTCTCCTGCGAGTACTCGTCGTCGGCCTTGACTCTTAAAAGCGTGCCGAAGTTGTAGTCGTCAATGTCCTTGAACTTCTCGCAGAAGGCTCTCCACTTGGCCTTGCCCTCCTTGCTCTTCATGGCGTCCTCGTTGATCTGGAAAGCAGCCTCCTTGGTCTTGAACTCAGGGAACTCCTCCACCAAGGCGTCGAAGATCTCGTTGTCGTGGTTGGTCAATCTGAGAGAAGAAGCCTTGACCTTGGAGATCAACTTCCAGTAGGCCTCGGCCTGGTTCACTGCCTTGACGGCAAACTGCTTCTCGATGTCCTCGAGGTTCTCTGCTTTTTCAGCGTCGAATTTGGTGGCCATGTTGGAATAGTAGGGGTGGTGCCGGTGCGATGCGCTTAGGTAAAAAAAGTGCCCTGTCTGCACAGTAGCGTTGCTGGAGGTGGAGGACACCAGAAGGTTTCAGAACTATTCATCGGGAAAGAAACAGAGGTATCTCTATGAAATGTGATTTCTCTTTTGAAGTGTGGGCCCTACTGTGTATAGCGCTGGTGGAAATGTGGGTTTGACTGAGTCAGAATTTGCACCCATTCTCACTATTCCACAGTCCTGATAGTCTCTCAATGAATTGCACCCAATTGCTTCCTTCTTGTCCAAAATTTCTAGGATAGCTTTTTCTTTTTCTTTTCTATCCTCTGCCGGTTCTCCATCGACTGGGCCTACTTCGCATGCTCTACAATCCACTCGGCGGCCCGTTTTCCAGAATCGTAGGCGCCATGAATGCATCCGCCGCCGTCGGCAATGGTGTACTCGCCTGCAAAACGAATGGTCAGGCCAGCCCCCAAGCCCACTCCGTCGTGCTCACCGCTGAGCTGGATAATTACATCGTCAGGACACTCGCCAGTACGAATAGCAGAGTAGGCGCCCCTAGCAAACGGATTCTTCGTCCAGTCGGTCACAATGGTGTTGATGGGGTCGGGCACGGAGAAGCTTGAGATGTTCAACTTCAGCAACATCGGCTTCAAGTACTGCCAGGCCTGGGCAGGATGCAGCTCGAGGTACTCAGTCACAGGCAGCTGGGTAAGAATCACCAACGAAGCCGTTCCAGGAAACACGCGTGCGTAGTTGATAATGAAGATCGGGTACTCCCACGATTGGGGCACCTGTCCATGCGAGGAGACTTCGTCGGGAACTATATTGAACCGGTCCTGTGTCTTGTCCCACCAGATAATGTCAAACTCAAGCACAACCTTGCCCAAGGCGCCCATGGATATTTTGTCGAGCGCCTCCGTCACGGGCTTTGGAAGCGGTGGCTCCCAGGTTATACTTTGCGGTCCCTCCTTAAGTTTAAGAATGCTAAGAGGTACAGTCACCACCACGTAGTCCGTATCAATAGAGCTACCATCCGAAAGCTCCAATCTGTGCCTTCTGGCCCCCTTGGCGTCTCTCTGTATACGTGTCACCTGTGTCTCCTTGCGGATCTCACAGTCTATCTGAGACACGATGTGGTCCACGGCAAAACCATGCCCTTTCTTATCATACAAATTCCGTCCCTGGTGGTCCATAGGGGCGTACTTGGCCAGAATCTCGTACGACGGAATGCCGAACCAAAGCTCGAAGTACCGAAGAAGACGGCTACAGTACTGAAGCTGCTCAGGCGTAAGAAACACCTTGTACTTGTCCACATACACCTTGGCAAAGTCGTCCAAGCTCATGTCCTTGACGTCCAAGCCCTCCATATAGTACAATTCCATGAACTTCTCCATATCCTCGAGCACACGTGCCAACTTCCAGTTGTTCGTGTCCAAGGGCCCATCGTGTTCCTTGGCGTATATGGCAATGTCCTTATCGTCAAAGTAGCCGTCCTTCAGCGGGACAAACGTGCCGTTTTCAATGCTGTCGTACAAAACGGAATTGGTCAACGCGTCGTGAAACCACGCGGCTCCAAGATCATACGGAACCCCTAACTTGCTCAGCTCTCTATCGGTCTTGATCCGGCCACCTAGTCTATTCTGGGCTTCAAGAATTATGATATCTTCTTTGGCAAAAACGCCGCTTTCTAAAAGCACGTGGGCGGCTTTAAGGCCGGAAATGCCTCCGCCAACGATGGCGACGGATTTGCCGGTCATAAAGAAAGTGGTAGGTGTAGTTCTTATCTCTTGATTCCGCGATCTGTGGAGGAAGTCCGGGACCGAGGTGGGGGTCTAGGAAGGGGATTTATTTCGAAACACAGTTCACTAATTTTATTCAGAAATCTAATGGATCTACTGTTATGGATGGTCAGTTCTTTTTTTTTGGGTGGAGGCATGGGATGTATGTATAGGTGAGACTTGTGCGCTATATCGATAGGAAGACGCTTTAGTCGATTCAGTTTTGAGGCTAAACTTAGGAAACAGAGATAAAACCTTTTTTTATGAGTGGCTAATTTTGCACAATTGAGTATCCTCTACTTTTTCATTCCAGTGTGGATGACAAGATTACACGATTATCTGAAGCAGATGGTCCTTCGAAGAAATAGCGTGGATTCCTTCTATTGTCGTCAATAATCTCCAATCACGGTGTGAAATCTAAATCTTGGGTTGCTGAATTAGCTCAGGGTTCTGAATTTTGTATTAACCTACTTATAGCTGTCAATGGATCAAGCCTCAGTTGAACTCGAAGTCCAATCAGTTGGCTAGAAGAGCACGCCAGCGTTTGCAGCAGTGGCACCTGGTTGGCAGTGTTTGACCAATACAAGACCTCGTGTCAATTTTAAGCTCCCTTCAGAGGCAAAATGTTTCAAACATGGCGTATGATCAATCACTGCTGCCGTTGCAACCCTTTCTTCCATGCTATTCTCGCCTCGTGCACCTCTCAACGCCCTACATTCATTTCTCTAAAGTCTATTGCCTAACACAGTGGGCTACTTCCCCGGACTTCAACCCGGAGCAGACCCCCTCTACTGAAGCCCAAGCGTCTTCCGGACATGGTTACGCACCTGCCTGTCGTACTCCTCCCGGTGGTCTCTCCACAACTTGCAAGCGTCAATGTTAGCACCGCTCTCGGGATTGGGCTCGGCCAACATCGAAATCACACTCAACAAGATCTTCTCGATACTCTGCACCGGCAGCCAGCGCTCCTCGGGTCTTTCGTACTGGTTGGGGTCTTCACCAGGAGGGTGCAAGATACTGATGCACACGTTTCCGTCGGCGTAGATATTTGGATGGAGCAACGGCGGCGTGAAGGTGAGCAGAGGAGGGCTCAACGGGTAGTCCAGCGGGAACTTGAGCGTGGCAGAAAACACGCCGTTTTCGTATGGGGTTTCAACGGGTCCTTCAAGAAGACAGTCCCACACGAACAAGTCGTCCTCAGAAAGTGGGCCAGCCACGACGCCAGGGGAGGATCTCGTGATAGCTGCTGGTACTCCTTGAGCAAGCGTTTCTGGGCGGTGGAGCGTGGGGGCATGAAGTAGGTTGTGGTTTGTGGAAAGTTAGGTGAGGTGGATTCGCGGCTTTTGAGGACGGGTCGATTTGGGGGGGTGGGGTGGTTTCCATTAATATGTCTTGGATTGATTTGAAAAGTAGTTGGAAGATATATTTGAAAGCTGAAGTGGTTGGGTTTGTGGCTCGGGTTGGGTTTGTTTGGGGTTTGTGTGGGTTTGGCTGGTCGGTTGATTGGAGTAGGTCAGTAGTGAGCGGTACACGGATTGAGGGTGAGGGTGATGGGTGAACTGAAAAAGCAAGAGTTGTCTTACTGTATCCTTTAAATTCTTTGTTTTACCTCTTGTGGCTGAGTTCGTTGATAATGGGTGTGTCCCTCGGTTCACATGCTCGACAAGGTATGACGGTCGGATTAACCCTAGGGCACAGGCAGCAAGCTGAGAATTTGTGTGGGAGTAGAAATTGTGCTTTTTCTGAGTATTGTCGAGTTTCACGGAAATCAGCCTCGGTTTCGATTTTTGGTGGGCTCGTTAGTATTTGGGTTTCTCTGGCCATTGCGTTTTTCGCAGCCAAACTGTGGATATGTAGTGATATTCTGGAGGAAATGGTGATCATTGGAAAGACAAAATTTTATGTCAAACAGAATTTTTAGATCATCGGTGGTCTAGGGTTTTGAAAAAAAACTCCACTAGAGCGCTTGTTCTCGAAAACAGTAAGGCACCGAATGGGTGGCTCTTGGGTAACCTCTAGCTACTAAGCGAAACCCAGCCATGGCATAAGATCACCTTTTACGGTTGATGCGTTAACAATTCATCAAAACAAGCACAAGCGGTTTACTGCTTATGAAACCTAAAGCTTTTTACATCCATCTAAAATCCATCACTGGAATCATCAGATGACTCGAGTTTTTCACATTTTTCAGGTCGTAGACCCCAGACGATTCTACCCCACACCCACCTTTGTGCAGCCAAACTCATAGAATATAAAAGACGAAAAATTTACAATCTCACAGCAGCCACCTCATGCTAATTAAATCCCAAAATCTTCTCAATTCCCCCAGTTCCCCAGCATCAGTGTGGCTACAATGGCTGCGAAAAAGCCCTGGTCCTCCACAATGGAATCTGGGGAAGACCACCAACCGAATTCTACAAACACGTCCATTAAACGATAAAAGCAGATAGTAGAGGCTCTTCTCAAACTATGCCCTTCAATTATCACCCCACCTAGGCCAGCCCGCCAAACCATATCCACCACTACCGAAAACCCTCTACCTTCCTTCGGCACACCCGTGCACCACAGATCAGGCGGTCTCGTCGAAATCACCAAAAGTTCCAACTACTTCTCCACATCCAAAACCACTTTTTCCCAAAATGGCCCAGACGCTCGCAGCGAAGGTCAAAAACGTCTTGAGTGGCGACACCGTGGTGCTTGTGCCCACGAAAACGGCCCAATTCCCCGTGCCTGAGCGGACTTTGACCCTCCAGTACGTCAGAGGCGACTCCTTCTTGGCCAAGGATTTCTTGCGCCAGTTGGTCATTGGCAAGGAGGTGAAGTTTGAGGTTCTTTTCAAGATGCCAAATTCGGGCAAGGAGTTCGGCGACATCCGGGCGCCCATTTTCCTGTCGTTGATTGAGTACTTGTTGGAAAAGGGCATGGTCAAGCTCAAGGACAATATCCGTGTGGAGGAGGACACGGAGGTGGAGTTTGTGGACAGATTGAGAAAGGCCGAGCTGGACGCGCAAACCAGGAAAGTGGGGATCTGGGCGCCCAAGTTTGTTGAACCCGAGGTGGTGCCCTTGTCGGAGGACATTGAAGCCAAAAAGGCATTGCCTGCGATTGTGGAGAAGGTGATCAGTGGCGACCGTATAGTGGGTCGTATTTTGGTCAGCAAGAACAAGCACGTGGAGCAGCCGTTGCTTTTGGCCGGTATCAAGACGCCCAGAACGGACGATCCTTCTGCTTCTGTGGTGAAGGTGGCTCAGCAGGCCAAGCAGTTTGTGGAGGACCGTCTTTTGACGAAAGCCCAGATCAAGGTGACGGTGATTGGCCACAACCAGGCGGGCATTCCGTTGGTGCTTGTGGAGCATCCTTCTGGACACAGCATCCACGAGAAGCTCTTGGAAAACGGCTTTGCTGAGGTTGTGGACTGGCAATCGTCGCTCATTGGATCCGCCATCATGAGCGGCTTGCGTAAGGCCGAGCAGACCGCCAAAGCCTTGGGTAAAGGCCAATTTGCGCTGGTTTCTGCTCCTGCTCCTAGTGCAAAGAGCTCCTCCAAGACATTGAGACCCGGTGTGACAGTTGAAAACGTCACCATCGCCAAAATCGTCAACGGCGACACCTTCAACGTGCGTTTGCCCAGCGCCGAGGAAATCACCGTGCAATTGGCGTCGCTCAGAGCACCCAGACCTAATGATACCACCGTCACCTCCAACGCTCTGCAGCAACAGGCTTTGGTGCAAATGGCCAGGGAGTACCTGAGGAGCTTGGCGATCGGCAAATCCGCCTCAATGTACATTGACGGGTTCAGAGGCGCTAACGAGGAGCTTGGCTTGGATCTGCGGTTTTTGGTTTCGCTCAAGATTGGTGGAAAAGACGTTTCTGAGCAGATTGTGTCCCACGGTTTCGCCACGGTGATCAAGCACAACAAGCAGACTGCGGGTGAGCGTTCCATGAACTGGGACAGGCTCGTGGAGCTCGAGGAGGAGCAGAAGAAGCTCGGCAAGAAAGGTGTTTATTTCAATGGAGACATTTCCAAGATTCTCACCATCGGCTCGAGAGTTGTGAACGCCTCGGAGAACGTGCAAAAGGCCAAGACGTTTTTCAACGGTTTCCAGAAAAAGGGCCGTATCTCCGGTTTCTACGTGGAGTTCATTCCTGGCGTGAACCGTGTGCGTTTGTATAACCCCAAGGAGGGCACCAAGTTGACGTTGATCTTGGGCGGCTTGTCCAACAGCAAGTCCCAGGAATCCGGTGCCGAAGGTCTCGAGTACATGAACAGAAAGTACTTGCAGAGAAACGTCGAGTTTGACGTCTACGATACCGACAAGATTGGCGGTTTCATCGGCAACTTGTACGCCAATGCCCAGGCCTTGAAGCCTGTGCAGATTGAGCTTTTGGCCAGTGGTTTGGCCACGGTTCACGGTCTTGCGGTGAATTCCAACAAGTACGGAGATGAGCTCGAAAAAGCCGAGGATTCAGCCAAATCCGCCCACAAGGGTATCTGGAAGGACTACGACGAAGCCAAAGCCCAAAACGAGGCCAACGAGGCCAGCGCCCGTTTGCAGCAGCTTAACTTGGAGGCCGCCAAACCCAAGTTTTTCGATATCGAGGTGGTGGATATCAGCACATCGCAGGTTTTGTCGTACCACTTGATCGACAGCGCCACAGCAGCCACATTCACCCAGTTCAAGAAGGAGTTCAACGACTTCCACCTCCAGAACGCCAGCGCCAGCGCCAACCTGGCCGACTTGCCTGTCAATTTGACCAAGGGCCCCCGGAAAAACGAAATTGTGTCTGCTAAATTCACCGAAAACGGCAAGTACTACCGTGCCAAGGTGTTGAACTACGACAGAAGCTCCAACAAGTACGAGGTGAAGCACGTGGACTTTGGCAACATCGACAAGGTCGGATTGGCCGACTTGCGGGCGCTTCCCAAGAAGTTTGGCGTTGACGTGATCAAGCCTTTTGCACATACCTTGAAGTTGCAAAATATCCTTTTACCTCCTACTCAGCCTAGAGACTATTTGACCGAGGCCATCTACGTTTTGGAGGATTTGACGTTTGACAAGAAGCTCGTGCTTAGCGGTTTGCCCTCTGCCACTGTAGGTGTCGAGTTTGACGGTATCTTGTACGATGCTGAAAAATCGCTCCAGGACCAAGGCTACACCATCAACAAGCAGTTGGTTGAGGAAGGTTTCGGTATTGTGGAAACCCGTGCACCTGCCCATCTTAAGGACTACGTGGACGAGCTTGCTGCTGTGGAGAAGAAAGCCAAGAACGACCGTGTGGGTTGTTGGGAACTTGGTGATATCACCCAAGGTGAGGACGATTTCTAGGAAGGCTTATCGCGGACTTGGATCCGCCGAGGCAGTTCCTATAAAAGTAAGAATAAAAAATGAAGCATGTAAACTGGAGGCATTTTGCCCGGCTCCGCCACTTTTATTTTCCACGTGTAGATTAATTTTTTATTTTTATTATGTCTTCCACCACCTTCCACAGCCTTATCAAGTGGTAGTGCCGGGTAACCGCGAGCATACTTTAGATATCGAAAATTTCGCCAGCTGGTCCACCTCACTCACTACTACAACCATGAACCCAGCTATCACCAACTTGGCGCTCATGCTCGTCATGATGCAGGTCTCTCGTCGTTTGGACCTCGAGGACCCTGACATCTTGTTTTACGTCAGAATCGCTTATCTTTCGTGCCAGGCCATTGCCTTTGCCGTGTGCCTCTATGTCAAGTTCTCCATCAACAAGAAGAACGACTTGACCACGTTGAAGTACGTCGAGCCTGCCAACCCTATGGCTGGCCAGCCTGAGCCCAAGGCCGTCGTGACCACCGTCAAGGAGTACGACTTGAAGCAGATTGACCAGCAAATCAAGGGTCTCTTCACCTCCTTGGCCATGATGGGCTTCATGCACGTGTACATGAAATACACCAACCCGTTGGTCATGCAGAGCATCTCGTCTGTCAAGGGTGCCTTGGAGACCAACATTGTCAAGATTCACTTGTGGGGCAAGGCTGCCTCTGGCGACTTGAAGAGACCTTTCAAGGCTGCACCAGGTTTGTTGCAGGCTTTGCAGGGTGCCGGTGGCGATGTCAAGACCGACAAGGCCTCCATTGACGCTGCTGAGACCAGCGGTGCCGGCGGTATCAAGGAGGAGTAATCGTATATACATTGGCGCTGTCGCTTGCATTCAGGCGAGGCGCCGACTCACAGCTCTAATGACGTATTCATATCAGATTTGTAGAAGACTTTGGGGAGAGTTTGAAGGTTTCGGTGAATTTGATGAATTCCTTTGCCACTGGAAAGGTGCCCGTAGTGGCCAATATTCCATGAAACACCATTGAATCACAAAGACTCCGAGGAAGCTCCACGACTACTGCTCAACGAGAATACACTCCTGGTCCCTGCCACGCACAAAACCAATGGTATCCAAAAGCTTCGTGCTCACAATGAGCTCTCTCACGGTCCACTTGCCCTTGTTGTAGATCTCTGGCACTGCCTCGTTCATCGGTATGATCATGTTTTCGTAGAGCTGCCTGAACTGCACCACCTCGGCAGGATCCATACTGGTTTCGGCGTCCATTTTGACGAAAGCCTTTTTGATCCACTCAGGCAAGTAGTTTTCCTCTTCGTCCTGGGAACCCTTGATGTACTCGTCACGGTTGTAGCAGCGGATGAGGTAGAGGAGCCATATTTGATCCATGAGCTGCTTTTCGACGATTTCCTCCCATGTCAGTACACCCATGGTGATGAGAAGAGAACGCAGGAACTTGACGTCTCTCTTGTAGACGCTTTTTAGCGTCAAAAGCTTGTTTTTCTGCTCGTCCAAAAGCGACTTCTCCAAACGCTTGATGTGCTTCACCGCCGAGTCCATGATCTTCTTCTGCAGCTTGAGGTAGATTCTGGTGTTGGCAGTGTTGGTGTTGGACGAATCAGCAGGGAGCTTGCTGTAGTCGAGAAGTGCCGCCTTGGACTCCACCGCCTGTCTCAAGTGATTGAGTCCACTGAGCTTCATTCTCAACGTGAGGCTGGTTTCCCACTTGGACTTGACGAGAAACTGGAAAAGCAACACCAAGTTGTCTGGAACGTGCTGTTTGGTGATGAAAAAGAGAAGCCCGTCCTTGTAGTCGTCGTAGCTCTCCTTCTTGTCGCTTTTAACGACAGAGGTGGTGTAGTCGGAGATCTTGGGCAACTTCAAGCCGTTCTTCTCCATCTCAGGCAACAACTCCACGGGAACCTTCACTTTGAGCGCCACAGAGTCCGCCTCATTATTGTCAATACAGAATCCGTACGCCAAAAGAAGCTCCTCGTTGCCCTTCTGGCCGTAGTTGTTGTAAAGTTGGTCGCCAGCCTTCAATGGGGTATTTGAGGAAAACACAAACTGGTCGTTCTGAACAGCCCACACCACCTGCGCCGAGGGAGTGTGGTTGAGCAAATCGACCACCGGCAACAATACAGCACTATCCTCCTGCTGGTAGTTCACAGGATCGGTCGAACTGTCCTTAAGAATGTACCCCGGAAAAGAACGCAGTTTGAAGATCATGGATGCCCAGAGATAGCTGGGAAACGACGTCCAGTTGTCAAAAGCAGCGCCTTCGCCCACAATGTACTTGTGGAGCTCCTCCTCCGTGTGGAACTTCTGCTCGTAGTAGAACTTCATGTTGACAAAGTGGTTGGTGGGTTTCTCGATACTTTCGGGCAAAATGCTGATCACCAGCCACCATTCCTCGACGATGTTGGCGATGTTTTCCCGCAAGGAGCTGCCCAAGTTGGATCCCTTGAGTTTGGCTGTTTCCTCTGGGCTCCAGAGGTATGGACTTGCCTTCATTTCAGGAAACTGGGGAAGTGACGAGATGTAGGCGCTGTAGGGGCTCTTTTCAACGTGGCTGCGCTCATACGCCAAGTACAACTTGGTCAAGGCGTTGATGTTTCTTGTTTTCAGCGGGATTTCCTTGGCTTCCTCGCCGAATCCTTCAAGGGCATCGCTGAGCTTCAAGGCCATCGAAACCGGGATCTTGATTTCGGCGGAGTTGACGTCTTTGGACGCATAGGCGGCGTTCCCCTCGTTATCGACGTTTTTGAACTCAATTCCATCGCTCACCGTGGTCCCCTTCTTGGAGGCCCAGTCTATGAGATTAGCCAAGGTCGCCATGGTGTGGTATGAATCTTCGCGAAGATGGTGTAGATGGTTCAGTTGAGATGGGGAGATGGGTGGTGCAATGGTGCAGACAAAGTGGATAGGGAGGTGAAAAAGGGGTTTTTGAAATAATTGGCGATGGAGTTTTCGGGGGATCCGGCGGTATTTATAGTTTGCCACCTTTGGGGAGGGAGGGTTGGCGTTTTGAGGTCTATGTGCATGGTCAGGTGGGTGGGTGCAAATGATGGATTGGTATTGGAGGGGCAATAGGAGAAAATGAGTTTTAAAAAGAATAGAATTGATAAATTAGCTGGAGAGATTTCTTTGGAGAATGTGAGATTGTGGTTTGTGGGCTGTGGATCTGAGAGTAACTGGTTAGGGAATGACATGCAAGGTGAGGGTATGAACATACATGATTTGGGGCAGCAGAGGTTAAGTTTTGAAGATTGAGCCTGTTTTTGATAAAGAATGTTTGCCATGGTAGGAGGTATTAAAATTTGCAGAGCATTGTGTGGGTTCATGGGGGCTACAGAATGGCTGCAAATTGTGAGCAATGTGCCCTAGACCTCGAAAATATGTGATAGCGGCGCTTTCATTTATTTTGGTAAACAAATTGACGTAACTACAGGTGGATGATTTATTGTCTCTCCTTCTAGAAGGAGCATCAGGCTAGGTGTTTCATGAGTCTCGGAGAAGGCACCATACTCCGAAAGCACTGATATCTCAGCCACACAAAAGAATGGAATTTGATAGAAGTCGTTTTTCTTCTTTCTCTTTTCTTACTGGCATTTTCCACAGCATTGCATTTATATAAGCATCTTTCACATCACTACTTCACTTTTTAGCACCCATTGCTACACCGCTTTGACAGCACCAAATCCCCCAAACCACCCCATAACAAAAATAGCGAGTCTAAGAAAAAATAAACTTTTTGACCTGATACGCTGGGGATATTGCTTGAATTCCACGTTTGGTGTCACCTAATAATCGAAACCACCTGCATACAACACACCAGCATCACCCCATCAAGATTACTCGATTCCACTAAGCACCACAAATATGCTCCCCATATTTCGCCGCCAAGCGCTCGTGAGAGCTCCTTTGCTATCAAGTCGTTTTCTTCACGTCTCAAGGATCCTGTTGAACCAAAAAAGTCCCGAAAACGGCTCCGAAGAACCCGAAAAATTCGCCGATCAAAAATCCACTCCAAACTACAAAAAAAGACCTCTAAGCCGTGTGGCTATCGGCGGCTCGCTGCAGCTGAAAAAGCTTCCGGTATCTAAAGGCATAGAATTTGCCGCCTGGAGAGCCGTTATCGTTCTTATTGTCGGTGGCGGTATCTTCACATGGTGGTTTTCCAGAGAGAAGGAGAAGTTGAGATTACAGAAGGAGGTGGAGGCCAAGAGAGGCGTGGGTAAGCCCTTGATTGGTGGAAACTTCACTTTGGTGGACGAAAAGGGCGAAACGTTTACCCAGGAGAATTTGAAGAACGACAAGAAGAAGTTCTCCATTCTCTACTTTGGTTTCACTCACTGCCCTGATGTGTGTCCTGACGAGCTCGATAAATTGGGCGAGATGCTTGAAGATTTGAAGAACAACCTGGGAATCGAGTTGCAGCCTGTTTTCATCACGTGTGACCCTGCAAGAGATAGCCCTGATGTGATCAAGCAGTACCTTGAAGATTTCCATCCCAGCATCATTGGTTTGACAGGCACGTATGAGCAGGTGAAGAACGTGTGCAAGAAATACAGAGTGTACTTCTCCACGCCTCCAGATGTGAAGCCCGGTCAGGACTACTTGGTTGACCACTCTATCTTTTTCTATCTTATGGACTGTGAAGGTAACTTTGTGGATGTTATTGGCCGTGAAGTTGATGCCAAGCTGGGTGCTGAAAAGATCAAAAAGTACGTCGAGTCGTTCATTCCAGAGGCCGAGAGAGAGGCCCGGAAAAACTCCTGGTTGGGTTTCCTCTATAAGTAGACGGATTAGTGCTTCCCACATGTATATAGGTAAATTAGGGAAGAAAGCCATTGGATTGAAAGAACGTCCTCTTGATTAAATGATCGTTAAGAAAGAAGCGATAATTTATAAATCATTTAGTATTGAGACGCCGGAAAAACTGAAGACATCCGGATCATTTACCCCACAGGCGGATGCCTCGTCCTGGTGGATATAGCCGCATAGACGCACGAAATACACAAGCCTGCATATAAACACCCGACTTTGACGGCCGGCATGACATGCGCTTAGACAACCCTACCCTGAGACGTTTAAAAAAGCTCAGCAAATTTTTCAACCTTCCATCTCCAGTTTTTCCGATGGCAGAGGAGAAAGTCTCGTTCCGAAGCGAGTATGAAGAGTCCACCAACAAACTCAATGTAGTCACGAGCTCCAAGTACCTCCTGTGGATGTACAAGCTCGATAACCTCGGAGTCGAAATCAGAGGTATAGAGAGGGTTACTCCGGAAGAAAAAGTATCGATTGGAAAATGGAGGCTGTTTATCCAAGTCATTGGACTTTGGCTCGCTGCCTGTGGCGGTGTCACCACAATGTCGTCGTTTTTCCTACCGACTTTGGTGTACAACTTGAACTTGAAGAATGCCCTAGTAGCATCGCTCTTGGGTATCAATTTGGGCAACCTCGTTCCAGCATATTCGTCCACCATGGGCCCCAGTCGGGGTGTCGTCAGATGGTCACGGCACGGTTCTTGTTTGGCCAGTGGTTTGTGAAAATCGTCGCCATCATCGTGATTATCGGAATGATTGGTTGGTCTGTGATCAACTGTGTAGCTGGAGGACAGCTTCTTCTGGCGATCAGCAATGCCAATTTGGAGGTGGGGATTGCCGTGGTTATGGTGGTGAGCTGGATCATTGGCGTTTTTGGAATCCGGGTTTTGCTCAAGTTCCAGTCCATCTTGGCCATTCCCACCAATGTGGCTATTCTACTTTTTTACATTGTGGTTAGCAAAAAAATCGGCCATATTTCAGATACAAACCAGGCCATCGATGATTTGGATATCAGCCTGCAAACAAGCACGGGCCAATGGCTCTCTGTTTTTGCATTGGCCTATTCAGTCACCTCAACCTGGGGTGGAGGAGCCTCAGACTACTATATTCTTTTTCCCGACGATACACCGTCCTGGCAGGTTTTCATCTTGACGTTTTTGGGAATCGCCGTGCCGTCCAATTTTGCAGCCATTTGCTCGGTTATAGCCGGAGCCATTGCATATTCGTACCAGCCGTGGTCAGACAACTACGATAATTACGGAATCGGAGGCATTTTCGCCCTGGCCTTCGAGCCCTGGCACGGATTCGGCAAGTTCGTCGTTGTCGTCTTGTACCTCTCGCTTATCTGCAACAACATCATGAACACTTATTCGTGTGCACTTGAGTTCCAGCTTATAGACACCCGTTTGACGTATGTGCCTCGATGGGTGTGGACCACCGTGGTGGCGGTGATTTACCTAGTTCTTGCATTGGCTGGAAAAGAGCATCTCAACAATATCTTGGGGAACTTCTTGCCCATGTTGGGCTACTGGATCACCATCTACATCACCTTGCTTTTGGAGGAGAACTTGATTTTCCGAGGAACCAAGGCAGCGAGAAGATTGCACCATAATGAGTTTGACGGCACCGACGAGGAGAGCATTTCCACCATGTACAACTGGGCCAACTGGAACAAGCCTCTGTATCGCAGTATGGGACTTGCAGCCACGCTTTCGTTTTTGTGTGGAGTAGCTGGTGCCGTTTTGGGCATGAACCAGGTGTACTATGTGGGGGTTCTTGCGGAAAAGGTGGGTGACGACGGAGCCGATCTTGGAATCTACTTGTGCAGTGGATTTGCAGGTTTGACGTATCCGGTTTTGCGGTACATTGAACTTAAGAAGTTTGGGCGGTGACGATGTATATAGATAGATAAAGAAGGGGGTGTCCCTCAATTTGTTATTCTAAGCCGGGTATCATTGTGTGGAGCCTATAGTAGCTCTCTTTTCCAATACTCGATTGGTAGGCTGGGTTTCTATGGAGATATAGCTCTCGCTGTGAAACTGAGGGGATCATAAATTACAATGTCCTGCTGATACATATTATCGAAGAATGAAAGCCTTCTATAAGTCTTTGACAATCTTGTATATTTTGATGTGATCCATGGTTGGCATAAGCGTAGACATAAACTGGTAGTCGTTACTCTCTGGCACTAATATGCTGAGACTCGTCAATAAGGTTAGCCACGTCATCACGAACCTTTTCCAGGTCCAGCGTTTGACTAAATCTGTTGGAAATGCTAAAATAAAATTCAGCAATCAAGTCAAAAACACGAGGAAGAACATATTTCCGTAATAAGTAGGATGTAATCAATGCTAAAAAGCAACTCCTGCTGTGAAAATAGCAGCTATAAGTTAGTCATGCTTGGCCTGATATTTTTGACTTTGGAACTTTTGACACTTCAGCTCAAGTAATCAATACCGACAAGCCTAAACAAAAGAAGTGAATCAAAGATAGTAGGTTCAAGAACCCTTGCGCTTATTGGAAGACTTTCAATCATAAACGGTGGGTTTCACTCGACATTTCTTGGGGTTTTGATTTTCCAACCAAGACTTTTCGAGATGGCTCTTGCACTGCAAGAGAAGAATGGCATATCGAAGATCTTACTGAGGATAATATCAAGGTCCACTTGGCCGACTTCAAATTCTTTATAGTTAAAGACGCAGAAAATGAATTTTACCGATGGTGCAACTCAAAATCCACAATGGCTCCGGAGACAATGCCGCGGTAAGTTGAAATGACGGCCTTTACCTTGCTGAAATTGCACCAATGATCTTTAAGAATTCGTAATATAGAATACATGGGCAACGACGGAGCCGATGAGTAGGTAAGAGAATTTGCAAATCTAAGGGTCCACCTTTGACTCATTTGCAGCCATTTTCAGTGGAAGCACTGGATTTATGAGATTGCTAATGATAAAGCTCAAGAGCGGTATCTACTGCGGAAAGTAAATATCGAAATGACTCATTTATGTTAGAAGAATTGACTCATTTATGTTAGAAGAATTGACTCATTTATGTTAGAAGAATTGACTCATTTATGTTAGAAGAATTGACTCATTTATGTGAGAAGATTTGCCCCCATGGTGTCATACAGATTGTGTAGGTGAGCCGCACCCGACCTTGCATGAATGTTATCTCGAAAAGTGAGTAGAACACCCAGATCAACATCCGTACATCTACAACAGATGATCTTGTGGTTTGCCTATAAAAGAAGAGACTCGCCCATGAATTAGAGAAATTCATCTAAATTTGAGGTCTCATTATAGATATGCTGAACTCAAGCAATGAAGTCGACCAGCAATGCCAATTGAACTTCACGATACATTTAGCTTCGAGACGTACTGTCATTGGACCCAGAGGAAGAACAATTAAGGCCATTTCCAAACAAAACAACGTGAGCATCAAGGTTATAAGGAAGTTGAGACGCTGGCCACGCAAGCACGAAGACAGTGCTTCAATTACGTCATACCATAAGTTCGCTTATTTTGGCTTACCAACAAACTACGGAGCTTATTGCATCGATGTGGATGTCATAATCAAAGGAACGAGAAGTGGTTGCGAAGAGGCAAAGGAGCAAGTGCTCAGACTCGCAGAGGAGGGGGCTTCCAATGTTTACGTTGCAGAATTAGAATTAGAAGAAGACAGAGCAAAGTTCATGATTGGGAAGACAAATCTGCTTCAGGCAAAATATCCCAATCTTCTGATTCAAGACCATGTAAGCCTGGATGGAATATTATGCCTGGATGGAAAATGTGTCTATATAAAAGGCACCAAGCTGAAAGTGCTAGAAGCCGCAGAAGAGTTAAAACGGATCCAGGCCAGAATTGTGGAAGAAACAACCGTGTTGGAGGTTAAGACTCCTAAGGACACTCTGTATATGATATGTTTAGACGCAAACTTATCGCCTTATTATGGAGAAATTTCTGTGAGGACAAACGAGCACGATATCACCATTTGCGGGATTTTGGAGAAAGCTAAAGAGGTTGAAGCGGCACTCTCAGAAGCTGCTTCAAGATATACCACTGAGGTTATCAAAGTCCCCGAATTCATTCCCGGAAACGCATCTCATACCAGACCAATACTAAATCTCCTTTGGAGTCAAGTGTTGAAACCGAAATATTGGGGCAAAGTGGCAGTGGCTTTTGACGAGCCGTACCTTGAAATCAGAGGCAAGAAGGAAATCGTGGAAACTTTCAAGCAGCTTGCGATGTCGACGTTTGAGAAAACCACACCGCAGATTGTGACAATTGTACCAGGAGATTACCGTAGAATCCGGCGTTACGACAAAACATACAAGCTTGGCGACCTTGCCGAAGCGAATGACATTTTATACCGTTTTGATCGAGAGAACGCCTACCTTATAGATGCATCTATTGCAACGGGTGAAAAGAAGGAAGGATTTGAGTCTCGTCTGGATGCATTTAGGAGCCACATAGTTGGGTGGACGGAGTTTCTCGAGTCCATGGAAACCGTAACCGTGAATGTTGGTCAACTTCAGCAGTATATGTTTGGTATGTTAGGAGGCCCTAATAAATCGTCCATTTTTCTTGATCACTTGAAGGGACGCCCTGGTGAACTTTCACTTGTTGGATGGCATAAAATTAGGCTCGAAGGCCCACCTGATGCTGTTCAAGGCGCCAAGGAAGAAATGGAAAAAATGGTGGAGGATGTTGAAAATGGTACGTTTCGAGCTCACGAGCGCACGGTTATGGTACCTTCAAAACTTCTTACAGCTCTCATTGGAAAGAATCGAGAAATCTGGCGAGGAACGAGGATTGGAACCCGTGTACACTTAAGGATAATAGATCAGGGGAAAGGGACAAGATCTCAGGAATTAGTGGACGAAGATTCCGAAACTCCCATTGTGATCAGTGGAATCAAGTACGACGTGAACAATGCTGTGAGTCGGATTCTCGGCAGTGTCGAGGAACTCAGTGATAGGAAAGTTGTCAGGATAAAAATTGGTGCCACTTATCATAGAAGAATAGTCGGCAGAAACTATTCCCACAGAAACAAGATTGAAAAAGAGTGCAGAGTGGACATACGATTTCCAAGAAACGATCTAAGGTACCCCTGTCCGAAGCACGAGGACGAGATAGTTGTTCATGGAAAAACGGCTGATGTGGTTGAAGCCGAGAAACGTATTCTCGGGATTTATCAATCTGAGAAGAACGGTGCCAAAGAAAAGACAATTGATGTTCCTCTTTCGGCATTGAAAAAAGTTCGCCAGCTCCTAGGAGACCGTTTATGGGACAGAAGCGACAAATTGAACTATATAGGCGTCCAGTTGCTTGACGAATTCCCATGTGCTGGTGTGGATTATAGTATCATGGAGGACGAAGAAAGCGCCAGAGTTACCGTATATGGCACGGAAAAGGCTCTCGCCGGGATACCCAAAGACTTTGAAGAGCCCCGGAATACGAACTTCACCGCCACAGTTCCTGCTCCAAAGGAATTTCTTGATTACTGTGAAAGTAATGTGTGGGACACCATTCTACTGGATGCTGGAGTGGATGACCTTTCTGATGAGCAGAAATCGAACTTGATTCAAGCGTCTGAGATAGAATGTGAAGTGAAGTGCACTGGTGATGAGAGACTTGTGGAGATAATTGTTGAAATGATACGGGAACGTCTAGCTGAGTGGGAAGAGCATGGTGGCCACTGGCTGCTGGATTATTGATGCGACTGGTGGAATAAGCACGCTATGCCATGAAAAGATGCTGATTTTGGGATAATTGATATCAATGCTAGGCTCCAGGGAGTCTCGGACTGACCATGACAGATGTATTATGAAATAAGGCACATCCTCCAAAAATGCCAATACATAAGGTTCCCAGCAGATACGTAGACGACAGAACCCATTTTTCGAGTACCCCACCAACAGCTCAATTGGGCAAAATACAAGAGAAGATGAATAAGCAGGTTTAGTTTAAGCCATGATTTAAGACATTTAACCTGAGAGCATTCACCCAGTCAGATCGAGTCAACCAGGAATTCCTCCACTTCCATTAAAGCCCCTGCGCCCCAAACCATAAAACAATCCAGCGAATTCCAAAAAACTTGAACTCCTATGTTTTCTTATATTTCCCCCAGGATCCAGAAACCTTCTATCCCGTTGATTTGCAGCCATTGTAGCCTGCACGGCTGTCTTATCTGGACCAATTCCGCGGCCCCACCTTCCATAAATCCATATATAAATCCCACCATCTCCTTTTTTACCTGAAACGACCATATTAAAAAGAAAAGACAAAAAACGAACTACACTTCCAAAAGTCATCGCCGTTTCCTATTTGTCAAATCGTCCCTGCACACGCCCTTTATCTTCCTCGCTTATCTAAACATCACCAACTACAATGGGACTCACCAAAGAACAGATCGAAACCTTCCACAGAGAAGGAATGCTCTGCATTCCGGACTTTTTGTCCAAAGAACAGATTGGAAAGCTTATGGGACGGTCACGTGAGCTTTTGACGGGTTTTGACCCATCCCAGCATCCCAAAACCCAGTTCAAAACAGGCGACAACGATCACGTTGGAGACGAATACTTTTTTGACTCCGCCGACAAGGTGCTGTACTTTTTCGATACTGACGCGTTCGATGTAGACGGCAATTTGAAGTATTCCAAGGAATTGGCCATCAACAAGATCGGCCATGGGTTGCACATGAAAGATAAGACATTTGAGGAGATCACTTTCGATAGAAAAGTGCAAGAAATCGCTCGGGACTTGGAATTCAAGGACCCCCGGGTGCTCCAGAGTATGATGATCTTCAAAAACCCTGTTTCTGCCTCGTTTTCATCCAGAGAAAACGCCGTTCCTCCTCATACAGATGCCACCTTCTTATTCACAAAGCCACAAACGGCGCTTGGCTTTTGGTTTGCTTTGGAAGATTGCACCAAGGAAAACGGGTGTCTTTCGTATAATCCTGGAACGCACAAGACGGTTCCACTTACAAAGCGTTTTGTCAAAATTGACCAGGGCGCCAAAGGATGCAATTTCATTCCTGTCGAGCACGGCGAAGCCTCTCAGGAAGACAAGGAGGAGGACTACAAGCTCGTGGAGTGCAAGGCGGGATCTCTCATCTTGATCAACCACTCTGTGCTCCACAAGTCTGAAAAGAACCACCTGGACAAGTCTCGTTACGCCTATGCCTTCCATGTTATAGACGGCACGGCAGAGTACGATAATTTGAACTGGTTGCAGGTGCCTCCATCGCCACAGGGAGGCACGGCGTTCTCCAAGTTGTATGAGCCTCCAGTTGCAGCTTGATGTGGATTTGTGGCATGCATAGGGCAGTTGAGCTGCCGTGGCAATGAATGAGCGTTAATAATGAAGTTGTGGGTCCAGGGACGTTGATTGACGAGTTTTGGGGTCTTTTTGGGATCTACTATTCAATGAGCTAATGGAAGCAGATCTCAGACATTCATAAGATTTGCTTTCTTTCGGCCATTTGTAGCATCTGTACAAGGAAAGGGCTTTTAGATTATTCATGATTATTAGACGAAAAAGAAAAATGGTAAATTCGGTGTTCCAGAATTGAATGATCGCATGAAAATGTAGTTTCGCCATTTCGATAGATACAAATGGGGAACTGGATTTTTTGTAATCTCAAATCTTCGGAGTTAACTTTATCCATAGACCATTTAATCCGAAGCCTTGCTACATTTAACTGTCAGAAATTAGGTTATTTCGTTTGATCCGATGAAATCAGCAAAAACCCTTAAGTCCCAGACTGTGGCTGAGACAAACATCAAACCAGCCACCCAAGCCAAGATCAAAAATGACATCTATCTTATTTTAAATCACTATTTGACTTTTAGTTAATTTGAATTTCTTAAAGGGCTTCCCACTGGAACCCATATTGGACACCCTCGAACCGTTTCCAGTTATGCGGGTATGCTTATCGCACGGGCACCAAACCGCCCGAATCGATCTTGAAGGGTCCCCCAATTTGTGCCCCGCCTCCACATACAAATGCCCCACCATCCCCCACTTTCCCCCAAAATCCCCCACTTTGTCCAACCGCCACCAAAGCACCCCAAAGCGCACAGATCATACCTGCCGGGACTGTCTGGATGCATGGTCCTGCGAGGTATAAATACGGACCGCCTCCCTGAATCTACAAAGTTCCGCGTTTTTTTTTGAATACCCCTTCGTTTAATCTTGAGTATATAAACAAATCCGAAACCCACGTTCAGCTGCTTTTCCTTCTCTAAGCTGGCCAATTCCATCCCTTTCTAAAACCGTTTGCCCCCGATAACGGATCTGTCCTGCGTGTGGCAGACCCTGACACGATAAGCTCCTGAGATAAGGAGACACTCCACACTACTTTATATTTTTGATACCCACTCCAAAAGCCAAACGTCGTTACTTCTATTTTAACTATTAGCAGATACCCACCATGTCCGAGACCAGAAGAGTTTCCATCAGCTCTCCTGTGGTTATAGGGAGGGCCCTGAGAAGCACCTCGGACCGCCCTCCTTGCTGACCAACTTGTACCTCGCTAACAACCACATCTCCAAGTTCCATGCTGTTGTTTACAAGGAAAACGATGCTGTTTACGTGAAAGACACAGACTCGACCTTTGGCACGATCCTCAACAACGTCTTGATCGGACCCCAGGAGCCACACCTTTTGAAACATGGTGACACCTTGGGACTTGTAGTCAACCGCACTGCTGCCGTGGTACGGTCGTGGCGCGAGAAGACCCTGCTTCCTACCAACATTCCTTTGCGCAAGTTGCTTAACCCTTGGGTCCACTTGCAGTTTGACGTGGGTCTCTCCGAGGATGTGCTCACGTTGACGCCCAAGAACAAGCTAGCCGATGAAGCTTGTCTGGTGGTCGAGTCAGGTGAAGCAGCCGAGGTGACTCGAACTCCCGAGTACGAGGACGGCCATGGTGATGTTGTCTCGGAGGACGAGCCCCCTGAGGAGGTCAAGTTCGTCAAGGAGGTTGTCGAACGTGAGGAGCCCGAAGCCCAGGCCGAGAAAGTGGAGGCAAGAGAGGATGCCGATAGCGAGGCAGGAGAGGATGCCGATAGCGAGGCAGAAAGCGAGGTGAAATCCGCTGCAGACCCTGAGCCCGAGCTTGAAGTCGTCGAACTCGAAGATGAGTCCACCGCTAAGCCTGAGGAGACCTTGGAGCCAGATGTAATAGAGGCCGTTGTCGACGAGCCAGAGCCCGAGCCCAAGGCTGAGGCTGAAGCGGAGCCGTACGAGTACTACGACGGCTCTTCAAACGACGACATCACCCTGGACGAGGCATCCTCAGACGCCGAAGGCTGCGAGGACTTCTCCGAGTGCTGTGCGACCGGTAAAGGCTCCGAGATCAGACTCGTCAATGGCGAGTGGGAATGCGTAGAAGACTCAGACGAGGACTTGGCGGTGATGTTCGGCTGGAACGACATCTCCCTGTCTGAAGTTGAGAGCGACTACGAGCCCATGAGCGACCAGGGCGAGCCAGATACGTCGCTCTCGGATGCCGCTGAGCCATGCTGTGGCGTGAAGCGCTCCTTTGATGTGATGACCGAAACCGACCCTGTGCCTGCTACGGCGTTGGAGACACCAATACCCGAGAGGCCTCTCAAGAAGGCAACCTACACCGTGCTCAAGGAGGTGGGCAAAGGAGCATTGTACGTTGTTGGTACAGTGGTGGCATTGATTGCGTACGGCCGGTCCCTCGAGAACCAGTGACCCAAGATTTAGCTTATGTTGATGATACACTATATTAAACACCCACACTCTGTCTACCTCTTCATCTGGCCTTGCATGTTGTTCATCTGGCCCATCACTGGCAGATTCATCATCTGCTGCTGCATCGCCGGCAGCGTCATGTTCATGTTTTGATACATTGACCCATCCATGTTTCCCATGGACGAGTTTTGTTGTTGTTGTTGTTGCTGCTGCTGTTGCTGTTGTTGTTGTCTCTGCATCTTTTGTCTCTGCTGCTGCATTTGAAATTGACGAAGACGTTGGAAATAAGAAGGAAACTGTTGCATCAACAGCTGCTGAGCAACTTTCGCTTGCTGCATGGCGTTTTGCTGCTGCTGCTGGGTAAGAGGATCTCCCTTGGGCGACATTCCCGTGTTGAACATCTGAACCAAAATATTCATTCTTTGCTGCAAAGTCTTGAACGCCTTCTGTTCTTGTGGAGACAAGGTCATCTGCAAAATCTGGGCCTGTTGCTGCACCATAGTATTTTGAGCTCCTCCACCTTGTGCTTGAGGTTGTGTCGCTGGTCTTTGACCCTGGGTTTGTTGACCCATGGGAGGCATCTGCTGACCCATCTGAGGCGAACTTTGAGCCATATTGCCCATCCGTGGCGTAGCAACACTGCCGTTTTGCATCACAGGAGTGCCCATTTGTGAGGAAGGCTGAGACCCCATCTGGCCCATCTGAGCCATGTTTCTGTTTTGTGCAAACTGCTGCTGATTGACCTGGCCAACTTTCTGCCTCTTGACCTGCTGCTGCTGTTGCTGCTGCTGTTGTTGCTGCTGTTGCCTGAGCTGCTGCTGTCTGGCTTGTTGGAGCTGGATTTGCTGCTGCCTGAGCTGCTTGGCTCTGTCGCTTAAAGCAGCCTGATTGGGTACGGGAGATTGGGACTGCTGCTGCCTCTGAGGGCTCATGGCCAGCCCCATCTGAGGACTCATGTTCGGCATGCCGTTGTAGTTGACTCTCTGGTTCATGGCGACATTGCCCATATTGGGGCTCATTCCCGGGTTCATGCTCTGGTTCATGTTCTGACCCATGTTCTGGTTCAAGCTCTGGTTCATGCCTTGGTTCATGCTCTGGCCGACGCTCTGCTGCATGTTCTGGTTCATCTGGCCCATCTGGCCCATCTGGCCCATCTGGTTCATGCCCTGGTTCATGTTCTGTCGAAGCATGTTCTTCTGCAATTGAGCATTCTGGAAGTTCTGCGCCATATTGGCGTTGCCGCTGTTGTTGAGCTGAGCCGCTCTTTGCTGTTGTTGCTGTTGTTGCTGCTTCAACTTGTTCTGCTGCATCTGTTGCTGCCAATACCTCTGTTGAGCCTGAGTTTGCTGAGGCTGCTGTTGAGGCTGTTGAGGCTGTTGAGGCTGCTGCTGCTGTGGATGTTGCATTTGCTGCTGCTGCATTTGGCCTTGCATGAGTTTCGCCAGGGCCTGTTGCTTGAGCTGCTGTTGTCTTTGCAAATTGGCTGCAGCTGTAGCATTCATGGTTCCGTTCTTCAAACCAGGAGCTGGAGAGGCCGTTCCGCTGCCCGCCTGGGACGTGACTGGACCAACACCGGCCGCAGTAGCCACACTGGCACCAGCCTGAGCTTTCTGGCTCTCCTTGCGTTTTCTGATTTCCTCAATAAAACGCAACCGCATGAACTGACCAGACGAGTTCCCGGCGAGCATCGACGCCGTGGCGCTGAGGGCGCTGGCCTTGTCGTTCCGCTTTCTTTCCGATCCACCAGGTGTCGTGGATTCTCTGGCGCTACCATTACCAGTAGCAGCGGTAGCAGGTCCAGGAGTAGGCAACACCGAAAGAGAACCTTCCAAACTGACGGCGTCCAGGGCGCTGTGGCTCGAGGGACCCACCACAACGAGCTTGTTTTCGGAGGTGCTTTCCAGGGGGTTTTTGTTCTTGCCCGAAAGCAAAAACATGAGCTCCTCGTACTCGGAGGACTTGTGCATGACAAGCTGGTCCCGGTGCAACTTGCGCAGCTCCCGGGGCGTCTCGTCTCTGTGGGAATGGACGATTTTATAGTCCTGCTTGGCCTCGTCCCATACTTTCTTGGGGTACTCGTGGTCAGGAAAAAGCGACTCGTCCTGATTGTACGGATTGAGGGGCACCTTCAAATCAACCTTTCTGTTGGTCAATGTCAAGATCTCCAGCTCCATCTGCAACGAGATTGTATCGGTGAATTTGGTGAGGGCCGAGTCTGTGTGGTAAAGCAAATCGTAATAGAGCGATAACGAGGTCGGCCTGAGAAGCGTTCTGTATGTTTTGGGCGGGGTGGGCTGCTCCTTCGGGCTCTGTTGCGGCAGATTCTTGCCGTTTTCCTTGGCTGGCAGCAGCTGTCGACTCTCCTTCTTCTCCTTGTTCTCCAGACGGTGATCATACACCTGGAGAATGATGCAACCCTCGTAGAACTTCACGGCGCAGTCCTTGAGCAATTCCGTCATTTCCAGCGGAATCTCCTCCTTGAGAATATGGTGCAAAAAAGACTTGGCCATGGCGCTGTCCTTGGGTATCATGTTGGAGTCTTGGGTATTGTTGAACCGGAAGTGGTTCTCATAAATATGGAATGTAAGCGATGGCGGGTACTTGGAGTACTTCTTTAGAATCTCTGCCAGCGACGTGGCAAATTGGTAGCCTCCGGGCCGCTCACGTGCCTGTTTGAGTTGTAGTTGAAGGAGCATCTGTTGTTGTTGTTGCTGAGAAGCCTGGTTTTGCGTTTCTGGTGATCCTATTGCGGCAGCATTCTCGGCACTTCCGCTTTTCTGCTGATTCTGAAGCTGCTGTTGAAGAGCTGCTCTTTGCTGAGGCGTGAGCTGCTGGAGCTGTTGTGCTGTTGGTCTCGATCCCGACCACGAACTGAGCATATTTGTTTGATCAAGTCGTGGGTGGGGGAAAAATTGGAGGACCGTGGGGGATACTCTATTTAAAGTGGGGATGCTGTGGGGGATTGTGGAGCCGGGGCAGATGGCCTGGCGGCGCTGTATGGGTGTGTCTTAGACAGTGGTGGTTGGTGATAGTCTCATATATTTTCATGATACCGAGTATGGTCACGTGCGCCACCACCCATGGTAGTAGAGCTGGAGGTTTTGAATAAAGGGGGAAATTTTTATGAAAAAGTGTGGTTTTTATTGATTTACTGGTGTTTTGAATCTACTAGGTCGTTTATTGTGGTGTGTGTATGTTGATTTGGCAGTATGGATTGGCCACTGAGTTTAGGTAAGTATTGGATCTGAGGACTGAATTGGAACATTCAAGGCTTAAAATATTTTGCCCAAGGCAATTATATTCTATCTCCGGTGTGATTTGGACACTTTGAAAGCAAGTAAAGCGTAATGGGGCATGAGCTCTCCTCAAAAGTTCAGGAACATACCGATGTTCATATCCTGTAGAAGACCTCTTCTCTATTTAAGACATTGGCACCCGCCAAAGCAATGCTCGTTGAGGTCAATTGAACTAGCTGGTCGATTAACTAGGCGGTTTCTTGAAGAGGACCCCAGTACTGCTAACCTCAATCCCGCTTTAGGGTACCGGGTCCTCATTGACAGCATTACCCCCGCTTGGTACAGCTTCGTGAAAACGGGTCATTTTCTATCAGTAAAAGATGCTTCATGCCAATTGAATGGTCCACGGAAGCTCTATGGGTCAGTGGACTATGTTTAGACCGAGCCCACATCGATAGGGCTTTCAAGTTTCATGCAATGGTAAAGCAACCAATTCCCTACTGCTGCGTAATGGGCACGTCATTCTTCAAACAGAACTCCATAAGCTGGAAAAGCTTCTTTCTGTCCTCCTCGTTGAACACCCACAAACCGTAGATATCTCCCAACAAGTCCTTGACGATAATCAAGTTGTCGTTGATCTCCACGTCCATCTCGAGAATGCCGTTGTTTTGAACACCATTCGGGAAAAAGTGGTTTGTCACCTTGTTGGGCAAAAGACCAAGTGAAAAGCACTCTGGACTCTGTCTATTGAGCAAAATCAACCCGTAGCAGAAAAGCTTCTGAAGCAGCTCGTATCCCAAATTCTCTCCAGGCGCTAGAGGCTGGAACTCTCTCAAATAGAGCGCTAGCGTGCCTTGAAACTCAGTTTTTTCCCATTCCTGGCTTTCTCCAAACTTGTATATCACACAGTGGGAGGTCGTGTATAAGAGCTGTTTGGCTTTGGGTCGTATCTGCTGATGACATTGAAGTTAAGGGTCAGTTTGAAAAGGTCAAGGGCTCTTTTGCCCGAAATCTGGTTATCCACTTCGGCCATGATGTAGTTGATAAAAAGCGGTTGGACAAAATATAGGTAGTAGGGTCACGTGCGAGAAACGACAACCAGACGGACTTGATGGCAATGGATTGATGGGATGATGGGATTTTGACAAGTTTATCTTTGAAATCAAGCCGTTGATTCGGATGCCGTTGATTGGAATGTTTCTTTCTTTCTTGTGCATGTGCTGGTGTAGATAGGTGTACTTCTACATCACCAATAGTATACCCGTGTATTAACCATATACACCCTGACCGGAGCAGCGGTTCCAGTTTACTGCGCCAAAAAGCCCAAGCACACACCATACTTCTGCTCTGCTCTCCTGAAGAGCTCTGTGGTTCTCAGGGTAGGTCTTCCGATAGACTCGTCATCATCAAACTTGGCACTGAGAGCAGGCGGCTTAGGTTTGTATTCTTCCTGCGCCTGTCTCAAGCGGCTGAACGGGTGCTGACTATATTCTATCTCTTCAAGATCTTGGATAAAGGCTAAATGCTCCTTCCAGAGTTGTGAATAGAAGTCGGAAAGAGCACGGGCCTCAGCCGCCCATTTTCGAAGTTCGGCCTGGAAGGCTGGTTCTGAAAAGACGAATTTGGGGAAGATTTGGTCAGCCTTTGGGAAATCTGTGTTTGATGGTGCCATGTTTGATTGACTTTTGATTTTTTTTGCCTGGGGATAGGGTGGAAACCTGGTGCTTATATAGTTCACAGGGCCATTTTTTGCAGCCATTCGCGGTGATCCTAGTATGTCACTTATTGATGCAATGGAGAGCAGATTAAGGTAATGTATCTATAGTAAGTGTAATATTTTGTTGATGTGGGGCAATTTGTTATGATTTCTTCTTACATTTCGATGTTGTGACAAGAAATTTTTGGTACTAGTAACCACAATCTATACGTGTCTCCGTATGAGTTAACACATGGTGAAATCATCCAGAGAATCATTTACAGACTCCTTTCAATGCTACAAAATATACTCACCATTACCATAAAAGCAAGACTTTTTGATATTCCTACAAATGCTATGCACCTTGATGTCAGAAGATGTCCTTTCAGGTGGCGGCGAACCCATATTATATAGTACTACAAGGAACACACCTGAATGCCATACTTCCAATTCTAGAAGACTGAAAAGTAACGGGTCATCATAAATTTCATATCACCTCTTTGAATATGACCATACATTCTCATCTCATCCCCATACTTCCGGTCTCGGTGTCGGACCTCTGCGACTCCGACGAAACACCAGATCCGAACTTCCCCCAACATCCCCAAATATCCAAAATGACAAAACTTCCTCGATCTTCAGAGCAAAAAACCCAGAATCCAGCCCATTGACTCCCTGGCTGTCCTGGAACCCGTGCATCCCCACCTCCACTAAAGCCACACTCCCATAGACCCTCACCGTTTTGAGCCAACGGTTGCACGATTTCGGACAAAAAACAACCAAAACATATTTGACACCCCAAATCATCCGAATATGTCAAAATCACCGACTTTTGATCCCCTTCGCCGGATCTACCCCCAGATCGGTTTCCGTCAATCGTATCCTCCTGCATGCACCGCACCATATCATCACCTCCCAGCAATCAGCAATTGTCACCATCCCAACTACTCTATTCCTCCATGTTGAGAACTCAATTGAACACGTTTTATAGATCCGCAACCAGAGGAGTCCCCTTCAGAGGCTTCCACGCCTCGGCTGCCCGTTTGGTCAAGGTGGGTGACTCCGTTCCCCTGACTCCTTTATTCGAAGGTTCTCCAGGAAACTCGGTCAACTTGGCAGAGGATATTGGCAACAACAAGGCTCTTATTGTCGGTGTTCCAGGAGCCTTTTCCCCCGCCTGCTCCGCCTCCCACGTGCCTGGTTTCTACAAAAACCTCAGAGGCTTCAACGACAAGGGAATCACACACTTCTACGTGATTGCTGTCAATGACCCCTTCGTGACCAAGGCGTGGGGCGAGAGCATCGAGAACCACCAGGCCGGCACCGACCAGGTGAAGTTTTTGTCTGATCCTCGTGGTGAGTTTTCTCGTGACTGGGACGTGCTTTTCGAGGCCTCCAAGGTGTTTGGCAACGAGAGATCCGGCCGTTACGCTGTTTTGGTTGAAAACGGCAAGGTGGCCAAGACGTTTGTGGAGCCCGACAACACCTCGGTGAACGTCTCTGACGCCGAGAAGGTCTTGGAAGGTTTGGACTAGGTTTATGAAGAAATACTCGATGAAATTTAAAGAGTTTCAAAACAATTGCTGAAGACAAATGCTGGATTGTAATTGTACATGTAGACGACTTGTAGATCTGTATTAGGTGGATGGCTGTGGTTTGTGGGGCGAGGTGTATCGCACTGTGAAGGAAAATCAACATCCAAATACCACAGACTAGGAAGTTCACATACAGAGACCACGGTTTGACGCGTCTGAGGTATGAGGGTGGTCTTCCCGAGAATAGTCCCGAAGAGTGGTCCCCTATTGGGTAATGGCGGTCTACATCGAGGTAGACTAAGCAGTGAAAAAGTGGACTGTCAGAGAAAGGTGGTTTCAATGAGTGGATGGAGAAGATCCATAGCGACAAGTTCTATGAGGCTGAGGTTTTTGACAAGATCGAGCTATGGAAGTGACAAACCAGTCAAGGATCCTTTATCGAATGCTTTTAAAGGCAGATCTAGCTTCTCCACCAACCAGCTGAATCAGCGTACTATCGAAATACCCAGGCCAGGATCCCTGCTATCCCAAGGAACAGATGTCCCATTTAGAGTCTTCCTACGTCAACTACATCACCAAGTTGCCCAAAGACGGTCACTTTCTCAACCACTTCATGGAAACCACTGCAAGTACATTACTCCATTGACTAAGAGAAGCATCACCAAGAACGGTTTCAACATATTCTTGCTGACCTCATCACCCCGCTTCTACTCCCAAAAATCATTCTCCAAGGAAGAGATCGAAGAGGCCAAACGATGGCTCGATAATCCGCAAATCAATAGGGCAGTTTTCGAAATCACATACAGCAGAAGCTCCGGGCCTGGAGGGCAGAAAGTCAACAAAACCTCCTCAAAAGCTACTGTGGCTTTGGAGCCGTGGAAGTGGTTGAACCCTCAGTTCTGTTTCTGGATCCCAAAACCGATATTGGCTCAGATCGAAGAAAAGAGGATCCGCTACCACACAAAGCTGGGTGGCTTACTCATACAAAGCGACCGCAGTCGAAACAGGGAGGATAATACCGCAGACTGTTTCAAGAAGCTTGGGGACGAAATAAGGAGAGTTGTGGAGTTTGAAGGTAAGGTCAGTGAAGAGGATAAAGCCAAGTGGGAAGAATTGGCCAAGGTGAGCAAGGAGCGGAGAATGGAGCAGAAGAAGCGCCAGAAGGAAAAGAAGCAGGGAAGGAGTAAGAAGTTTGATCTTGGATAAGGGGTAGAAGTTGACTGGGCAATCATTCGTGAGTCCTTCTTGAACATGTCAATTCTTGTAAATAGCACAAAGACGTCAAAGCACGTGGACGTCATGGACTTGTATGGATTCGAACTTCTTGAATGCCGATTTATAAATGAAATAAATGAGGAAGGCACGGGGTATCTGTATCATACACTTGGTGATTGGTATTGAAGGATAGATAGGCCTATTTATGAGTTCGATACATCGACTCTTTACAGCGAAATTTGGTCTAAACCCCTAATTTTTCTATTTTATACACACGACATACTGAAGATGATCCAATCATATTTGGCTACCTCTGTTCTCCTGACCTAAATACATCAGACCTCAAGAGGGTCTCTATCAAGCTACCAGATTTTCATTGGCCTCTTTGAAACAAACTTTAATTTTTTTGAAATCCCAACTATACATGCTCTAAGTGCTCTGGAATCAACAAATTCACTTATATGCCCTGTCTTTTTACCTTTCATCGTCACCTCTTCTTCCATAATGGCTGCGAAAACTATAAACCCACCATAGTCCCATTTCTACACCTCAACTCCAAAAAAACCCACAATCACTGAAATCTCCAAATTTCTTCAATTCACTTCCTCATCGCCTGAAACAAAAATTAAATTTTCCCTTTCTTTCCTCGATTCACTCTGCCTCCTCGCTACCTCTTTTGTCCAACATCAACAGTGCGAAAGTGTCCCATCTCAACTACTACTCATGCTGCTTGAGGAGCCCATTGACCGCGTTGCACAGGCGCTCGGCGAATTCCTTTCGTCCGCCGACCTCAACGCGTCTTTCCTCACGACGCCTTACGAATTTGCAGAAAATCCCCAGCTCAGCGAGGTTTTGGACCTTCCAGAAAACGAAAACGAAGAAACATCAGATTTTGACAAGGCCATAGAGAAACAAAAGACGGAGTTCTCCGTGCTTGCCGGCTTGACGAGAGTGGTGGATACGTTGGTGCTGGAAATCCAGGATTCAGAGAACCAGACCCACCAGAACCTACTACCTGAATCTCACGTTGTGGCGATTTGCAAGCTCTGTTTGATTCTAGAATGGCAGGTCAACAGCATCCACGCAGGAACCTACCCGTCCTCCAAGGCTGACTTCTTCACGCTTCTCCAGTTGGTGCTGGAGTCGCTCTTTTCCATATCGCTCAGCCATATTTCTCGATTCTGGGACTTCTTGGAGCTGCGGATTGGCCTCCTCAAATCCAAGGTTTTCGATAAAAACGTCACGCTGCACAGAATAGCCCTTTTGGGGCTCTGCAATGGCCTCACAGACAAGTATTACGTGCGAAACTCCTTTGGGAAACTCGACTCCTACGCCAAAGACACATTCAACGATGAATTCCAGGCCAGAGTCCGGATGTTCCTTGCCAATATGCTTTCATTCGACGATCTGACGGGTCTCAATAAATACTTTGCTATCGCCAACCGCGAGAGTAAGGAGCCTATAATCGGGAAATCCAAACTGAGCGATGACGATCTCCTACGGGACCTCGTGGCCTTTTACCGCTTGCTGCGGAACCCCTTTGGCTACTTTAAATCGCCACGTCAGCTTCAAACGCTTGCGTCTTCCGTAGATAAGTTGGCGGTGTATCTTTTGGAGCAGGAAGCCAAATACGCTAAGAAGCACCCTGGCCGGGACTTGTACTCTGTGGAGCCAGCACAGCTGGAAGAGGAGATTGCTGAAGCGACAGAAAAGCTGAAAAAGACTGTGTTTGTTCCTGAAAACTACTGGCTCTCGCTGTTTGATGCTCAAAGAGATGAGGCAATCGAAACCGAGGACCGGGAAACCGTGCTCAAGCAGCTCGACTCGCTGGCTTTCCGCAGACTTCTTCTTGTACATATCTATTTGGTGGCGACATTCTTCGTGGAGCTTCTGGCCTCGAACAAAAGAGAGCTTTTGAGGTCCATCGGAGGCACCGTGAAGCATATTTCTGACGAGACGACCCCTGAGTCCTCAGCAAGGATTTTCCTTAATATCAAGCGTGACATTCCTCGTCAGAGCCGAACATGGGAAACCCAGCTCTCGTTTCTTTTGCTGACCCTCTCCCAATCTGAAGAGCACTGGTGGTCGTGGCTTTTGTATGGGAAGGATAAAGACGGACAACCACTATTGGCAGACAAAACGCTTACTGATGAGGAGCTTTCGGCCACCAAAGAGAAGCTCACGTCGGCTCTTCCGTTCAAAACCAAGCGTTACTTTAACACACATGCTACGCCTCAATTATCCAGGAAGATGAAAACACAGACGGGCTTACATTTGCTTGAAAGAGACGGCACGGACTCTACCGACTATACAAAGCTTATCGACAGTCTAACGACACAAATTGAGGAGGCCAAGCAGGCCGGTGACACAGATCGTGAGAAGGACCTTTTTGAAGAACGGACTGTGCTCCATTGGAAGCGTCTCAAGGAAGCACGTCTGAATCTGTGGCTTCAGCTTGGCGATTTGCTCAAAACTGAGGACATTGAGTTGAAGAAGGAGCCTAAGACTGAGGATAGCATGGACGTTGAACTGGCTGCGAAATTAGAAGCTCTGGAGGCTGAGCCCGTTCTGGAATCAAGGAAGAGGGCCAGATCTCCTGACGAGGAAGAGGAAGAGACCACCAAGAAGCAGAAGGTGGAGAGTTGAAGTTGCAGTTGTTGAAAAATCATTAGCCCTATTCTGTAACGTTGCAGTACGACTGAAGCCAGAACGCTAGACGCGTCTCTGAACAAAAGACCTTCAGAAACCAATTTCAATCGTCAATGCCTTCACACCCAAAAATACAAAGACATTTGGCCCAAACTCTCCAATTGAAAACTCGGTGCATCTCGAGAACTACATATAGCTACTTATCACACTTGACTAAAATGCGCATCACATACGCGTTCAGATCATCGTCAACTCATCTACATACGCGGTAATTTTCCACTAAAACCACCTTTTCCACACACTATGACCTCCGTGGTCTCGAGCGATTCACAGAGGCTGCCTAACCTCGATCCAGGAGCCAAATTCCCCCGGTTTCTGCCACCCAAAAACCAGAAAAAAAGCTCCACTCCTTCCCAACATCGCTCCCCAAGACCCAGAACGCGTTCTCTGGTGCTAAAAGCATCGTCACGAGCGTCTCTAGCGGGTAAATCCACCCCAAGACGTCGAAAATCGCAAAAGAAAACCTCCCAGGACTCCAGAGAGGCATCTCCCATGATCGACTTGACTGAAGAAGAAATCCCACCTCCAATTGCACAAACCCCAGAGGAAGACGACGAACTGCCGCTACGGAATAACAAAAGAAGAAAAACGAGTTCGGGCCCTGCCCTTTGCCTTCAGATGAGCTCAATCTGTCCCCTATCAAAGCTACTGGTAATAGGGTCATGGCTCCTCCTTCGTCATCTCCAGTTCGAAGAAGAAAAGTCGTAACCTTTTCCGATGACATGGTCCCCAGCTCTCCCATGAAAAACATGGAGACACCTCGAAAATCGATCTTGAAGAACCTGGCGCCCTTCATGGCGGACTCATCTCCACTCGATCCCAACAATTCGTCCATGTGGATGAAAACGGCCCATTCCATTCTGCATTCCTTCTCCACCGAGTTCCACTCGCCTAATAATCCCGCCTTTTGGCAGCCAGGCACCATCATCCAGCTTGAGCCCAGATCAAATGACCTTCCTCAGCTAATAGACGGGTGCATGGAGGTGTTGCAATTGGAGTCCTTTGATCGAAAGTTCGAGGTTTACGCTACTTTGAACCAGATCTGCAAACTCAATGATGCCTCCGTGTTGGCCGAATTGTTCCTCGGTGGTGATGTGCCTTGGCTACAGCATACGGAGAAATGCACCCGCTACAAACCCCGTCTGAATCCAGATTACATCAGAGACATGTTCACGTACTTGCGTCGTGATGTACTCGCAACTGAAGAAGCTCTACTATCCAAGCCTCCACAAGCGAAGCTATCCCCTACACGGAACAACCCGTTCCAGTCTAGAGTTTTAAACCAGGCTCTTAAATTCGCTGCCCATTTGCTTATGTCCCCTTCTGTGAACCGCCATATACCCATGGCAGATGTGCAGTGGATCTATAGTCACACATGCAAGCGGATCGTGAGTCCCACGATCTCAAAGTCCTTAGTGCTTCCATATATGAGTATCATAAAAGACTGCCACTTTGCTCCCAAGCGGAGAAGAGCGATCTTTGAAAATCTATCTAATCCTATTCTGGAGCAGATGCTTTCCGCCTTGTTGAACATTCGCAACTTTGGCTCCTCCAGTTTGGTTAACGAAAAATTTATTGCATTGAAGAACATGCTTCTGAACTTCCCGAACCTCATGGCAAAAAATTTCCATCTTTGGTTCATTGGCCTTGTTCTCAACCTTTGTGACACGTCATTTCCCTTATACACCAAGGTTGTTTCAACGGGGATCACGGCCCTCTTAGAGGCTGCTCGTAACTTCCTTGATAATCCAGACATTTGCTTCGCGGGACGCAAGTTCTTAGAATCCCCATTGCCTCAATCCCAAAATTCATTCACATCTGATAACCTTATTTCCATATCAACGTCGCCAACCTCACTCACGATAGATTTTGTCATTGAAAGCTTGCTTGATCTCATTCAAAATGGCCACTTTAAATTTGCGATGGATATCTGGGTCGGTTTGACTCTCCTCTGCGGTAAATTTGATAATGGCTTCGAAAACTGGAAGTACTTGACTAAGTGGCTTCAGGTGCACAAGTACTGCTTCAACGAGCTGGACATGATGGCCAAAGTCACGGCCATTTCTTCGTGGAAGGTTGTTGTCTATAAAATATGCTGTATTGACCTTAGGGATACGAGATTCCTCACGTCGCAAGACAAGCCAGGAGCCACCGAAAATCAAAGAGCTGGTGGGAATGATGATACTTACAAAACGAAGGTGAAGCTTCTCATACACATATTTGTCAACATCACTTCGATCGAGAGCCAGAGGGAAATAATTGACGCTCTCCACAACTCATTCATGTCCATCCTCTACAACCTATTCAACGGCCCAGCCAAGGCCTCCGCTAAATTGCAAGACTTCTATTGGGACAAGATCATATTTCCGGTGTTGGTCAACTTCTATTTCAAGAAGGACTCTTCCAGCCATTACATGCATAGTTTGGGCCTTGGGATCATAGAACGCTTAATCAAGGCAACTTCTTCGACCAATGACAGAAACTTCAGCAGCATTCGCTGTTTATCGAATGAGAGCATACAGCTTCAAGAAATTCACTCCCTCAATCCTAGATGGGTATTCGTCCGGTTTGACAAGGTGATGCAAACCCTTGCAGTTCTAGTGAGGCTGGATAAACTTGAAATCGAGCCCAAGATCAATGTTATGAATCACTTCTTGAACACACTCAAGTTCGTTACGAAAAAAGAAGCCCAAATATCAGATACAACGAAAGACATCATCGACAATTTGCCGATCACGATGAACATTTTGAGCAAGAACACCAAAATCTCTTACGACTCATTATTTAAACTTTTGGTGAATTTGAACGATACCTTCGGAGCTCGAAACTTGATGAATGACTCTGATATTGATTCTAGTAGCTGTTATGAGGTTTTGCTCCTCAACAGCATTCAATACTACACGAGCCATCAGCTCAATGGTGTTGTCAGCATGGTTCATGGCGCTATCGGAGACAGATTCTACATTCTTTTCACTTATCAGCTTGTCCGTATCAACAGCAAACACAAGCGCGGTGACTTGGAATCATACATCGCTGATTGTCTCAATAGCAAGCGGATCAACAAGTTGAGTGGCTCCGAAATGATCATTGCAGGTAGGATGCTCAAGCACTTGGAGTCAGACTTCAGCTTGATCGCAAAGAAGATTATTCAACACACCGTTTTGCTCAAGCCTGCTGAGTTTGAAGATATGGTCGGCCATTTGTGTATCAAGGATTGGAAGAACCAGGTCTTTAAGTTTTTCTTGGGCCTTTTGCATGATGCTCCTCACGAACATTTGAGAAGAACTAGCTTGAATTTATTGAGGCAGAAGTGGGCTAAGTTGGATGACTTCAAGGAGTTGTTGGCCTACCTTTTGGACAACAAGTTTGACTTTGAGATAGAGGCCTGCTTTGCAGAAGTGATGCAAAAGATATCGAAGCTTGAAGGTAACGAGAGGACTGCCTTGGAAGACTCTGTTTCAAACTATTTGCTCTCGAGTTCCAGAGATGACCTGAAGCTTGACTCATTACTAGTCGTCGCTCACGAGAATGGCGTTGACTACAGCTCGCTCGTTAAGGAAAATCTCAGCAAGTACCCCAGGTTCTCGTCGCTCTTGAACGTTCCATCTTCTCTCGAATCATCGAACAGTTCATCGAAGCCATCTCAAGAAAAGAGCTCCTTAGATGAGGTTCTGCAGCAGCAAAAGGCATTGGAGTCTCTCATTACAAAGGCACTTGATGTCCACACGAAGGACATTGACAAAAAGACAGATGAGAAGGAAAATACTGCTGACCAGCCTCCTTCAATTGCAGAGAACAAGGAAAGTCAAGATCAGAAAGAGACCCTGCAAACTACTGTAACACCCGTGAAGCCATTGAACGAGCTGAAGGATGTTCAAACCACTCCTCTGGTTCAAGCGACTAATGCAGAAACCTCCTCGCAGAGAAGGCGTACGAGAAGAATGGCTGCAAAGGAAAGAGAGGAGCTCTCATCTCAAAAAGTTGTTGAAGTGCCCTCCGACGACTCTAGGCAAGAAGAGAGTGCCACTGTGACCACCCCTGGTGCTGAAGCCAAAACTGCCAATGACCAGGAGGACATCCAGGAGATTGAACGAGATGACTTTTCGTTCGAGAAGAACAACGAGTCTGATGCCATTGACGATTCTGCCGAGACAGAAGATAGCGAGAAGCTGAAGAAACGCAAGCATGAAGAGGAGCCCGCCAGTCCTCGAAAGAAGCATGAGCATGAGAAGCAGGTAAGCGATTCTGAGGAGAGCTTGAAGGAGAAACGGCTCGGGTACCACGAGGGCACTGATGTGGAGGTGAACTCCAGCACGGATTCCAACGAGAAAAAGGCGAACGATAGCGTAATTTCTGATTCCAGCGAGAAGCCATTTTCAGACACCTTCTTGAACCTGCTGAGCGGGAAGGAGGAGGCGATCTCGAATTGCACGGAACTTGTGCTTTCCTCGCACGCACAGGCCAAACTCCAATCTCTGGCAGCTCCTGAGCCGTTATCAGCTATTCCAGAAGTCGTTGAAAAGCTGGTCGTCTCGGACTTGATCGACCGCATGGAGGCCACTTCCAACGAGGAGCTCGCCAACGTGACTCAGGCCGACCGCCACAATCTCGAGACCGCTATGATGGAATTCATGCTCCGGATGAGAAAAGCTGCAAAATGAAAACCCACTTTATACCCAGATTTTGCAGCCATCGAAGCGGTACCCCAGATTTGGCCGGCTTCGCGCCGATATTCATGCACAGAGATAGATCTATAGGTGGTGCAACATCCTACTCCAACCGAAACACACGGAATATACGGGTTTCCTCGGGCATACCTCCTCAATGTCTATTGTTCCCTACGATCACACCCAGGAGATTGTTTTCCATGATCCCAAAAACAGAATTCTAGTACTCCACGATAACCAAGACAACTCTATCCAGCTTCTCACATCCACCCAAGCCGAAAACGAATACCCCTTAACGCTATACAAACCCGTGGACCGTAATGGCTCCTATTCTAATATGTGTCCCCATTGTGGGTCTCTACTAGGGGAGTTTCAGAATCCACCAGGAAATGCCCGAAGAAATAGTGCTGATATATTGCGGGACGAGAGTCTAGTGATGAATCCTCATGATGTGGTTCCTGCTGGATTCATGCACGATGACTACTTCAAGATGCTTTCGAAGCTTTCATACGGTCATGTTCTCGGAGACACAGGCTCTTCGGACCTTCCGGAAGACATCTTCAATCAGGGCTACTTTGACCGGTTTTTCCAGAAGATTCCACCGTACGTCTTGGGAAGCGGTGCCCATGCCCAGGTGTACAAAGTGATGCACGTCTTGAAAGACGTTCAATTGGGTGTTTATGCCGTGAAGAGGATTAATGTGGGGGACCATCTGGTTTACGTGGATCAGGTGCTCAACGAGGTGCTCATATTGTACGAATTGTCCGTGAAAGGTGCCAACGAGAACAACTTGATCAGGTACAATCATGTGTGGATGGAACTAGGCGATTTGAAGGATCTGGAGACGTTCTACTTGTCCGATAAAGAAGGGTACCGTCAGAAAAGCGGGAAAGTGCCATATGTGTTTATCCTCCAGCAGTATTGTGGAGGAGGGCACTTGGAAAACCTCATTATCAAGAACTTCCAAAGAGAACAGCATATGACAGCCAAGGAGAAGGTCGAGGCTGAAAGACAGCGAAGACGGAGACGCCATTCAGCAGAACAGGTGACCCCACGACCACGACCAAAAAGTGGCTAAATGAGTTCGAAATATGGAAGTATTTCAGAGATATCGCCAAGGGCGTCCACTACTTGCACTCACACGGCATTCTCCATAGAGACTTGAAACCTTCGAATTGTCTTCTAGAGCTGAGTTACGACCCAGATGCATGCATTCAGACCGTTTTTGCCAGTCTTCCTGAACTCGATGAGTACGCTGCAGCGATGCCAAAAGTTCTTGTTTCAGATTTTGGCGAGGGCAAGTTCATCGATAAGCAGTTTTTGGCTGACCAGTCGATCCGAATCGAGGATGATCTCAGCGAGCTGAGGGGCAACACCGGCACAATTGAGTTTACAGATCCACGGCTTTGGACTTATGCCAAATCATCCTTGAAAGCACGCCGGGGCCAGAAGTTGGCCAATAGCTTCAGCTATAATAGTGATATCTACTCCCTAGGAATGATTCTTTGTTATTTGTGCACTGGAGCCATTCCATTCACCGAGAAGCTCAGAGACCCTACAGACCCCGAACAAATCAGAAAAGATATCTCGAAGTGGTACCAGAACCTTACGCCTGATTCGTTCCATGCCTGGTTTTCTGACCGAGTTTCCAACACCATGAGCGTTTCAGAAGCGGCCGAGGATTTTGAAATTCTCATCTACATGGCACTCAAGGGAGGCGAAGAGCCCTTGGAAGTCACCTCCAGAACGATCCTTGACTACTTGGACTCGATGAAATGGAAGCACTTCTTGTTCAAAAACAGAAAGGTCTCCGAGGTGACTCGTGACGACGTTTCTTTGGACGAGGAAAACGTTGTGGACCTCCAAAAAGAGCTCAAACCTGTTAAAGTACCTCCACCTCCCAGTTTTGTGAAACCAGTTGCGTTCAATCTTGCCCAAATTCTCCTCTCTGAGTATCTGCACGATTATGTCAAGCTCAGCCGAAGCGTGAAGCTCATCAATCTCTTGTGCCTTGCAATGGTGGCACTTGACATTGACCCAAAAATATACTGGCCGTCATTTTATGCCTGTGTGGGTGTTCTGTTGGTGTGCAATGTTGGATATTTTGCAGCCAAATTGATGTGACCTGCATACACCGTGATGATATCTAAGACCTACCAAAAAAAATCACAATCAAGCTCATTGCATCATGGGACTGAAAAGAGGCAAGGATGTCCAGCCTTTGGTGACGCGTAAAAGGCAAAGAAAGCTCAAGAAGAAGCGGTACGAGGCCCCTGATGCGATGGGAGAAGGAAATTACGATGTGCTTGACGTTGAGGAAGATGAGCCTGAGAAAAGCGACGATATCATCCTCGTGGACTCCGACGATGAGAGGGGTCTGGATGGCGATATTGTTGTTGTTTCTGATGGCGAGGGTGAGGATGAGAAACCGGAAGGAGTTTCAAAGCTGTTGCCCAAAAAACCAGAGTCCAAGAAGCCCGAGACTCCAAACGGGAAACCGGAAAACGACATTGTGAAGGGCTCCGACTTTATCGAGTTCGGCTTCAGCTCTTCGGAGTCTGAGCACGATGACGAGGGCCATTACTCTGACGACGGCATTCTCAGTGACGACAACTCCGGCACTCATCATGTGAGTCTACAAAGCAAACTGGCATTTCCATGGGTAAAGGGCCACGACCACTCCAAACAGAAGGAGATTGTCGACTGGCTCACTCTCGAAATCAAGGATTTCGTCAACTACATCTCGCCGTCATCGCAGGAAATCACAAACAGAAACACCCTCGTGAACAACCTCAAGAAGAAGATCTCGGAGTTCTGGCCCAAAACCCAGGCACACGTGTTTGGCTCCTGTGCCACCGACTTGTACCTCCCGGGCTCCGATATCGACATGGTTATCATCTCGACTACAGGTGACTACGAGCAGAGACAGCGGTTGTACTCACTTGCATCTCATCTACGCAAAAACCAACTTGCTAAGAACATCGAAGTCATTGCCACGGCAAAAGTGCCCATCATCAAATTTGTCGACCCCACCTTCAACATTCATGTCGACATTTCTTTCGAAAGAAGCAACGGTCTAGATGCCGCCAGAAGGATACGCAGATGGTTGGATCTCACGCCGGGTCTTCGAGAGTTGGTCCTCATTATTAAGCAGTTCCTCCGATCCAGAAAGCTTAATAACGTGCATGTGGGTGGTCTTGGAGGTTACGCCACGATCATTATGGTATACCACTTCCTCAAACTTCATCCTCGAGTGTCTACAGGCAACATCTCCGCCATGGACAACTTGGGCACGTTGTTGATCGAGTTTTTCGAGCTCTACGGACGGAACTTCTCGTACGACGACTTGATTATCGCCATAAACTGCGACGACGATACGCCGAAGTACCTACTCAAATCGAGACATCCTGCTCTCACAACGGGCAGAGGTGTATTTTCTATTATCATCCAGGATCCCTCGGACCCGTTGAACAACATCACCAGATCATCATACAACCTCCGAGACATCAAGAAGGCTTTCGGAGGTGCATACCAGTTGCTCGTGGACAAGTGCTACGAGCTCAATGGCGCCAGCTACCGTAACAGAATCAACCAGCTGATCCTTGGCGATATCATCAAGTACCGCGGCAAAGACAGAGACTTCAACGACGACAGACACAAGGTGGCCAACCACGCGTTGATTGAGCACGAGGAGGACGAAGAAGACGACGAAAGCGACGGTGCTGACGGCAACGACAAGTACTACTTCTCGGACATGACGCTGGAAAGCGACGAGGAGCCTCCACGGAAGAAAGCCAAGGCTGCCCCAGCCGAGCCACCGGCAAATGGCAAGCCCGAGCTCAAAGTGGTCAAGCAGGCTGCACAAAGCATTCCCGACAAAGCGCCCAATGGCCCCAAAGCGCTGGTGGCCGAGTTGATGAGTGTCAACGACAGCGAAGGAGACGACAACAAAGGCGAGGCCGGCGAGGAGGACGACGCCAAGGAGTACAACAAGTACGTGAAGCGGGAGTACTGGAAGCTGAAGGGGTTGGAAACCAGCATATAACGACGCAAACGACATAGACTAGCCGCTGCTGTTCAGCAGCACGTAGACGCCCTGGGCCCGCTCAACAAGGAAATTGGCTGGATCGAGTCAGTAGGCTCAACGTAATTGTCCAAGTAATCCTGGTCCACCAGTCCCACGATCTCGTCAAAAAGCTCCACCACACCCTGGCTCAATTTGGCACTGGTGAGGTACAACGACACGTTGTTCTCGGAGCAATAGTCTCTGATTCTCAGCAAATCGATCTCGTTCTCGTCCACGAGGTCCTTCTTATTCCCCACCACTCTCACCTTGATATCAGGGGGTCCCAGAACCTTGAGCTGGTCCACCCAGTATCGGGCTCTATCAAACGAAGCATCCGGACACGAAAGATCAAAACAAACAAGCGCCTCCTTGGCGTTTCTATAGTACATTGGCGTGAGCAGCTTGTAGCGCTCCTGGCCGGCGGTATCCCATATTTCTAGGTTGACTGTCTTTTCGTTGCTGGAGTGTTCTTTTGAGAGGAAAGCGGCGCCGATGGTGTTGGGCAGGTTTTCGTCGAACTTGTCCAGGGTGAGTCTGTACACAAGGGACGTTTTCCCCACGGACGAGTCTCCTAGAAGCACGACTTTGTACAGAGGAGCCATGAAGAAGAAGTTGTAGGAAGTGGTGATGGTCACGAATGCAGGAAACCTGGGGTAGCCTCATGGCATTCCTACAAGGATTCTACTTTTTTTTAAAAAAATGGTAAGTTTACGATCGTTTAGTTGAATGACGCTGGAGAGAATACTTTCTTGCTGAAAAAGGTGTATGTTATGAGATATGCATGGAGGATGCTTAATGTGTTATCACCAGAAGCTAGTGAGTCCATGGAGCCGCGACATTCTCTCAAAGTACCCCAGTCTGTTCATATAATGGAGGTTGAAGGGTTTGGATGTGAATAGCTGCTTGGATTTTTGCAAATTATTTGAAGTTTGTGAATTGAGTGATTTTTGTGATTCGAGAGATGGAGTGCTTTGGCTGGGACAGACTGCTTGAGGTATACTGTCATGACAGACTGAGATGCCACACAATATTTCATATAAGAACCTTTTTTTTTTTTTTTTTAGAGAGAGAGAGAATTGGACCATTCGATGGTTGTGTGTTCTTCTAGTTTGCCTTGTTATTTGTGTGGTAAGCATGGACCGGGTTCTGTCTTCTGCTTGATAGGTATACTGTAGATTGAAGAAATAGTCCATTTGGCTATGGTCTTCTTCCGCTTTTTGCAAAGAGGGGCATTTATATTTTTAACAAAGCTTCATTGCTTAGATAAAAGTCTAGTAATTCCGATGTTTCGTCTGAAATGTATTTTGAACGACCATGGCTATTGAATCTACCAAGTCCATCAGAGAGAGCAACTAGAACAACACATAAATGTCAATTTTTTAAAATCTAGCACAAATGGCTCTCCTAGCTTTGCCCAGTATTTTGTCCTCAATCCTCAATCCTCAATCCCGATAAGCGTTGTTTCACCAAAAACGTTATGGATGCTTCTCATCACCTCACCAAGAACCACACAGCGCATTATGAAAAATCAACAACAATTGTCACACCTGCTCATTTTGCTTATTCTGACGCCTTTCTCCTCCTACAATCCACCCTCTCATGTTCATCGGATTAATGTCTACTAAGCACCGACTTTTACGAAGCCGTGCATATCCACTTTTTGGCTGCAAACTCGACCCCAAACTCCACACATCCACTTACAACAACGCAAGAGCAACCATTCCCGCCACTCCGCCAGCGGCATAGTAGCCGACCTGAGCTGCTGCGTTGCTATCAGAAGTCGTATTGTGACCGGAAGATGTCTTTGAACTCAGCTGCTTAACCTCGCTTGAACTAGCGTCCAGTGTCATGTTGGCCCTAACAGCACTTTTCACACTCTCCACGCGCAGCAGCGCCAGAATGTCTTGTTCACTTATCACGGATGCAAATGAAGGATTACCTTTAGTGAATTCATCGATGATTCTCCCGGTCGAAGTGATCGGCGCCACATCTGGGTATTTGAATTTAAGACTCGCATATCCGTATTCTAAGGTCTCCCAAGCATAATCGTTATACGCAAATGTAAGTATAGTTGAGAATGCTTGATTAAAGGCTGCAGAGCTAAATTCAGAGTCGTAAACCAGTCGGTGAGAGGTGTATTGAACTTCACTCAAGAACGACTTCCATTCGGACACAAATTCCGATGCCAGCACACCGGTGTACGTCACGTTATTCACTACCAAGCCTGAATCGCTCATTGTAAAGCTTGGTGGTTGTAGTTTATGTGAGAATTTCTGCACCGAACTTTCGATTAACCGATCGCGTCAACCTGCCTGAAACAGGCCTGGACCAATTGTATTTTTGCGTTTTCAGCCGTTTGGAGTTCGGCGTTTTTTTTTATTTTTTTTTCTGTTTTCTTTGGCCTAACTGTAAAATCTTCCTCTCGTGGTGAGATATGGGGTCCTCGCCTGAAGCAGGCGGTATTCATAAAAAACTACTGACGATGCTCGGCTCTAGTGAGCCAATGGGGTTGACGGTGGATGACTGACGGAATCGCTTTTCTTTTTTTCTTTTAACTTAAATGCCTTCTTGATAAGGAACTCTATATGTGCAACTTAAATGGCCTATATGCGAGCTAAGCCATTCGCTTCGAGATCTCTTATCTGATCTCCGAACATGATTTTGCTGAATTCGCAAAAAAAATTCTTAAAGAGCTAGCGATTTTATTTATCCCTCTTTGAATCGTGCCGCTTCTTCGCTGCAACGTTCCTTCGTTTTCTAGTTTTGTCATTCTAAACTCAGCTTAGAACATCCATATACTCCCGAATTCCACTTACAACAAGGCAAGAGCGACCATTCCCGCTACTCCGCCAGCGGCATAGTAGCCAACCTGTGCTGCTGCGTTGCTATCTGAAGTGGTATTGTGACTGGAAGATGTCTTTGAACTCAGCTGCATAACCTCGCTTGAACTAGCGTCCAGGGTCATGTTAGCCCTCAAAACGCTTTTCACACTCTCTCGGCGCAGCAGCACCAGAATGGTCTTTTCACTCATCATTGAAGCAAAAGAAGGATCAAGTTCAAGCAAATCATCTAATAAAGTTTGGGTCGAAGTGATCGCCACCACATCTGGGTATTTGCTTGTAAGACTCACGTATCCATATTGTAAGGTCTCCCATTGATAATCTTCGTACTTAGATGTAAAGTCAAACACGGTGGTATCCACTATTGATTTGTCCACCGCAGCGTGATAGTCAGAGTAATAAGCCAGGAGGTAAGAGGAATATTGAACTTTGCTCAAGAACGAACTCCACTCCGACACAAACTCCAGTGCCAGCACACCGGTGTACATCACTTCATCCACCATCAAGTCTGAATTGCTCATTTTAAACTATAATGATTGTGATTTAATAATCGTTAAAAAAAAAATTGTATTTATGTTGAGAATTTCTGCACCGAACTTTCGATGCCAATCGCGTTAACCTGCCTGAAACAGGCCTGAAACAAAGGCCATTGGACCATTTTACTTTTTGCGTTTCCAGCCAATTGAACTTGTGGCATTTTTTTCTGTTCTTGATTTTCCTTCTTTGGCCATACTGTAAAATGTACGTTTCGTAGTGTGATGTAGGGCGATGTCCTTAAAAATCTACAGAGTATGCTCACCTAGAACGAGCCAATGGGGTTGACGGGTGGATGATTGACGAGATCTTTTTTTTTTTTTTTTTCCTTTTCTTTCAATTGGAATGCTCTTTTATCAAGGAACTCTTCATGTGCACCTTTAAACGTCCAATGACCTATATGCGAGCTAAGCCATTCGCTTCGAGAAATACGAGGTTGATCTTCATCTATAACACCTGAGCTCAGAACACAACAATTAAATATATCCATAGCACGATCACACTTAAAACGATCAGGCTAGTAACATGTGGACAATTCCAAGATTACCATCTCTGGAAACTATAAAATAGTGAGCGATGTAAAACAGTATAGAAGTATGTTTGAATTATCCGGCAAGACAACATCAAGCCCCCATATAGTCTCCTCTACACTTCCTAAATCCAACCTGTTTGCATATGTCTTATATTTTGGAACTAAATCCCCTTTCTGGCTCACCAGTAACCTCAACTCCAGCTAACATCTTGAACACAGTAACACTCACTGCTTTTATCAGTGCTGTTTGTGAAGGTTCGTTTTAACTTATCAACTTACGTTTTTGTCACAACATTTCCTGGTCAGCATCAAACCTCCCAGAACGAAAAACAAGCCCTCCTAATAAAGCCATATTTAGACAATCTCCAAACCTCACATCATCTTCTCCCCCTCCTCTACACTTCCTAAACCATAACTCAAATCAATTCATATATAGCCGTCCGCTCAGAACAAGGCAAGCGCCACGGCACCAGCAAGACCGCCAGCGGCGTAGTAGCCTGGACGGGCACCGGCATTGTCAGCAGTGGTGGTGTTTCCAGCAGCGGTGGGCCCGGTGGTGGTGGTTTCATCCGCCGTTTCAGCAGTAGTTTCATCGGTGGTTTCATCCGTGGTTTCATCGGTGGTTTCATCCGTGGTTTCATCCGTGGTTTCAGTCTCCTCGGTGTCGGTGTCGATGGCAGTTCCAGTAGGAGAGGTCTGGGTGGTGCCGGTGGTGGTTGCGTTGGTCACGTTGGCTCCAGTCTCCTGGGGAACTCCAGTCTCCTGGGGAACTCCAGTCTCCTGGGGAACTCCAGTCTCCACTGGCTCCCCGGTTTCAACTGGAACACCAGCCTCGGCTACAGCAGCTCTGACACTCTCACGACGAACCAGGTGCTCCTCGTTGAAGCTCGAGAAAAGCTCCGAGTGGAAGACCTGCTCGATCTCGTCCAACTCGTCTGAATCAAAGTCGATCAATTCAGTAGGGAAGGTCTGGTCGGTTGGTGTCACAGGCGCAACGTCAGGGTACTTCTGACGAATGCTCTCGTATCCGTACCAGTAGGTCTCCCACAAGTACTCTTCCCACACGCTCTGGGCCTCCGCCTCGAAAATCTGCTGTGTGTAAGCGCCCAAGGCCTCGTACAAGCCGGCGGTTTTCTGAAACGAGTTGAAATCGTCGAGGAACTCCAGCGCCTGGGCTCCAGTGAAGGATGGAGTACCCAAGTGGTGGAAAACGTCGTCGTTGGCGGCGGCAATGGCAAGGGAGGAAAGTAAAGCTAAGCTGCGAGTGATCATGATAATTATCGGTAGAGAAAGAAAAAAAGAAGAAGAAGAAGTGCTGGAATCCATGGGCTTGATATGGTGAACCGCGAGCTGTAGTAACAAAGAGTGAGTCGGACAATGGCGGTGGGGAGAAAACCCACGCGTGGATTTCTTGTCGTTATTCTTGTTCCATCGCCGGCTTCTTCTTGGTACGGGCCTTAGCCGAAGTGGGAAATACGCTATGCCTTTGGAGGCCATTACTGGGAAGAGGTGTACTAACTGGGGTATGTCCCACTCCCAAAGGAGCCACTACTTGACTTCCTTGTTGGTTTTGGGTATACTGGCAGGGAACAAATAAGGATCTTTTCTTTCTTGCCATTTCGGCGTCCCATTACGCTGTTGCTGTTTTAGGTGTTTTCTTACCATGGACCATGTGAAGGTATGAAGGCAGGCAATAGCTGAAGACAAGGAAAGTGGAAACCAAGTCAAGAGCAGGAGAGCTCGTGGCTGTGGTGGACATAGCCTCTTTGTGGATGGTGGTTGGTGCAGATATCAAGAAAGTGGAGGGTCGAGAATCCCGCCGATTCTTGGCTCAACGGGGATACGGCTGTTTTGGGGCGCGATGGAAACAGGCCCCCTTGGACAAGCTGGGCTGAAAAATTCCACATTTTGTGGGCTTTCAGGTGGTGATGATGGTGGTATCTTCCCAGTGCTTGCAACCACCTTCTACTCGCTTAAGCCATATGCGAGCTGAGATCGAACCGCCTTCGTCACATGGTGCTTTGTGTGTATAGATGCTGGGACAATCGGACGGATTTGGCGAGAGAGGCCCGGGTTCTGTGGTGTTCCGGTGGAAGGTTTGGCCAAATGCGGGTTCCACTGTTTTAGCACTTTGTGTTGTCGGGCTGGAAGTTGGCAAATAAAGTTCATTAATAAAAAAATCCTACATTATGCAAAATATAATATATTTTCAATGCACTATATCGCTGGTGTAGAGTTTTGGGTGGGTTTTACTGTCCTCTAAGCTGTGTCTTTTAAGCTGTGTCTTTATGTCGAGTCACTCTGCTTTTGACAAACCTTCTAAAGGAATTAGAGATTTACCCTATTCAAAAGAAAAGGTGCTTTTTAGGTCGCTGATTCTAAATGTAAATTGACGGTGGTCTCCCACAGCAAAATACTGTAACAGAATATCAAAACAGCTACAACCTCGGCACTGGGACTAATACGGACCGTCCGCTCTATGTCATTTTCGACTACCTTGTCACGACGACTCGATCACCCGGAACCCCGGTCATCGGACTCAATCCTCCTTTCTTTATTATCCCATTACTCTCCATCAAAATCGCATAGTTGTGGCTACTCCCACTACAAGTCTCCATCTCTCGCTTAAATCACACCATCAGCCCCCACCTTAGTTTCCCCTTACCGTGAATCCACGCATTCTCTGCACTCGCCAACCCCACCGAAAGAAGAAAAAGAAAACAGACAAGAAAAATCACCACCATTCTCGGCCCCCTCCATATGAAAAATGTCGCGCTTACCTCACCGCACCACACCACACCACCGTCACACACGAATTCTCGATTCTTCCAAAAATCTACATTCCTCCAATCTCGTTCTTCAAAGCCTCCAAAAGGCTCCCTACACCATCTTCGTAGAAGTAAATACATTCAAGTCTAGCTCAATCTGTCTATCGCGTTTGCAGCCATGTCGCATGGGTGCACCACGCCGATTTTGCAGCCATTCATCCACCAGTGGATGCCTGAACCCAGGCTGCTTTAGTTGAACACGCCCCAGGGGAAGTTGCATGTTCTCTGCACGCCAAACTTAGCGCTCAAGTTGTTCAACGCCTCGAAGTCCGCCTCCGAAAGCGTAAACGTCTTCATGTTGCTGATGATTCTCTCCTCTTTCACCGACTTGGGCAACACAACGGTGTTTCTCTGGAGAGCCCACGACACAAGCACCTGGCCTGCGGTGGCGCCGTTGTTCTCTGCCACGGCCTTGACGACGGGGTTCTCGAAAAGGGGCGAGCTGGCCAGGCCAAGCGGAGAGAAGGCCTCGATCAAGATATCGTTTTCGTCACAGAACTCCTTGAGGTCAGGCTGGGTGAGCAAAGGATGGGCCTCGATCTGGTTCACCACAGGCTTGACGGACACCCCGGGGTCGTTGATCAAAAGCTCCACACGCTCCTTGGTGAAGTTGGACACGCCAATGGACTTGGCCTTGCCCAGGTGCACGAGCTTCTGCATCTCCTTGTACGTCTCGAGGAAGTCGTAGTGGTGAGGCTGCGCCAACACCTTCTCCTCGAGGTTGACAGGGTAGTGGATGAGGTAGAGGTCGATGTAGTCCAAGCCGAGCTTTCTCAAGGACTCGTTGAGGGCGCCTTCGGGGTCGTGGTGGTCGGCGTTCCACAACTTGGTGGTGACGAACACCTCCTCTCTAGGAACACCGCTCTCTCTGATACCCTCGCCGACCTGCTCTTCGTTCTTGTACCTGGAAGCAGTGTCGATGTGCCTGTAGCCGGCCTGGAGGGCTGTTTTCACGGACTTTCTGGCCTCGTCGGCGTCAGTCACCTTATACGTGCCCAAGCCGATGGCTGGGATTCTGTTACCGTCGTTGAGCTGGTAGTAGTCGTAGTTTGGTCTGGGACCGGACTCGGAGTAGTTGGCGGTGGGGGACATTTGTGGTTTGATTTGTTGTGGATGGCTGGAATGTTTCAGAAACGGGCCCGTATTTATACTTTTTTGGCCCGTTATGCTTTTCCGGGTCTACTCGCCGCAACCTGTGCTATTACGTTTATTTTGCAGCCACCGGTGGGAGCAACACAAAGGACCCTGTGGCCATGTGTAGGCATCACCGCCACCTGGCGATAAACCTCGATAAGGTTTGGAGGTGGCGGTTTTGCCCAGCGTCTTTGGAAAACAGAAGGTGTACTTTCCAGTGTGGTTGTCTTTGAAACCTACGTCTACCCTTCCCACTCAGTTGGTCCAGAGGCCCAACGGCCTCCGGTGGCCTCCGGCGGCCTCCGGCGACTGTCAACCGGTCTGGTCTCCTGCCTCTTGCGGTGATTGTTGATGATGTAAACGTGCTTGGCTGGTCGGCAATACCACATCGAGTGTCTCACCTTGCTGAGCAACCAACATGCGCCGAACAATCTTACCCGCCATAGCCGGAAGGCTCGTGTTTTTACATTGAAAGAAGAAATTACGCTTCCTACTCGCGCCGGCGCATTGTCCTTTTCCCTTGTCAAGCCTCGTTGTGGTCAACTTATCAAACCAGTGGTTTCTTGGTTCTACAAGCACAGAGGGCTAACTTCCCGGCACAGCGCCAGAGCTCCTTCCTGGCGTGATGCACACGCTCCAGCTGATCTTCGGAAAATTCCTTTTGTGGCCTTGTGTCCATCCCTTGGCCTGGCCCGATCTAGCCCAGTGGTGCCTAAAGCCAGAAGTATTGTATTACGTATTTCCTGCCGGGACCTTTGACGGCCGGGCCGTTTATCCAGGCATTCACGGTGATTTATTCAGTCCTTTCAGTCTGTGAATTATTCAGTCCGTTTATTCAGTCCATTCAGTCCGTTTTATTCAGTCCATTCAGTCTATTCAGTCCGTTTATTCAGTCCATAGTCCATCAGAGGCACGCTTTATGCGCAAATCTCCGAGATCGAGCCTCTCGAACGAGCCTTGCTTGGTGAGGCTCGCTTTACGACTTTGTTACTCGGCCCTTGCTGCTGCCTAAATCCCCCTACTTGAAAAAAACCCGCCACCCGATTTCTTCCTACTTGTTCCGCCCCTCAAAAACGGCTTGGCTTCATGACGTAATGCAAACGCTGGGCACCGCCAAAAATCAGGCTTTCTTCTTTTCGCCATCTGACGGAGGGGAATCTAGAATTCTCGCCCTCGAAAACGCCTCGTTTATTTTTCTTTTTTTTTTCTTTGCCTGTTTATCTAACAGCAACATAATCAACACCTTCGTGCATAGAACCCTGTTCGGTATAAATCGTCACTTTTGGCTAACTCACTATGCACGCAAGTGTGGTAAACTTGCGCTGGCTTACATTCCTATAGACAATGCACCACAGTTCGGCAAAGACTGCACCGCACAGAAGCCCGGGTGATTGGTCAACCTAGGCAATCCACTTTAGCAAGTGTCTGGGAGGAAAAGCCGGGGTGCTTAATCTATGCAGGTCACGTGAACCCTGTCTCTCCTATCACCTAGGCTTAGGGGAGATATTTCAGATGAAAATAGCTTCTACGGGTAGTTTGGTGCCTGAATCCCCCGTGGCCTCGATTTCAAAAAAATCCGTCCACTTTGGTATTTTTGCGGACGCTTTGTAGTTTGCGATTTGCACAGCGGCTGCAAAACTGACGTAAATACCTAAAACATGCGACAATTCATACCCACAGCTACCCTTTACGGAATATTCACAAAATCGCTACAAATTGCCTCAAGCCTATACGATTTTCAAAGGAGTCGGTGGCCTACGGGTCGGAGGCTGTGAGCCGCTTTTGCGCTTGTCCCCCTTCGTACATTCATATTTTATCTTATCATTGCGCTTCCGATAAGAAGGCCGAACCCGACCGTTGCAAGTCTCACCGGGAGAAAGCCTCGCCACTAGTCAAGATAAACTTGCAAAAGTACTTGAGTCCCGCGGCTATCTCCTCGCCCACAGGCTCAATGTATTTCTTGGGCAACAAAAACCCATGCGATCCGCTGTCTCGGAGCTTCAACTGGTACGCCCAGTATGCTCTTTGGCGGTACATGTAATCGAGAGCAGTGCCGGCGCCCAATTCGGGAAGAAGATCCAGGTCTCTGTCGAGACAAGCAGGCAGCACTGCGTAGTACTTGCCCAGAGTCCAGCGGATCGACTTGCTGATGCCGTACGCAAGCTCAATCAAGTTTTCCTCGTCCCGAGGCAGATGCTCGCACAGGTACACGTACGGGTAGAGGATTTCCTGGTCGTAGGAATGCAAGTCGACGTAGCCGTGGATGTGGTGTGCCTCGTTGGTTCTGTTGAGGTACTCGTCCCAGATCCGCAGTTCATGCGCCTCGAACGGTGCTTTTCCAGCGTACTCCTCGCTGCACACAGACTCCGAAGAAGCCGTCCAGTGGTAGTCGAACGAGTGGTCAATGTCCACGCCTCGGCACTGGCCTTCGTCGCCGCCTTCTACAGGTTGTCTGTTTTTCCTCCACAATCGGTCTGTTTCCCACGAGTACACGTACCCGTCCGGGTTCAACACGGGGATGAAGAGGAAGTCGAGCTGCGCCAAGGTCTTGGAATCGTGCGGATTCTGTTCCCAGTGGCGCAACATGGCGTAGACGCTGTAGAGCACGGTGGAGACGGAAATCCACTCTCTGGCATGGACACCGCCGGTGATGACAATGGTCTTCTTTTCTTCGTGGTTGACGTCGTCGTTTTTCACAGAAAGGTGCACCACGCGGAACGGCCGGTCCTCGTACGTTCTGCCAATGGTCTCCAAGGAGATGAGCTCCGGGTATGTTTCCTGAAGAAGATGCAACCACTGGTGGATGTCCTCGAGGTTTCTGTAGTCCTTGAAGAAAACCTCGGAAGTAGCGTGGAAATCGGCGCCTTCAGCGAAAACATCCTCTTTCTTGTCCGGATACAGCTCATACACCGCCTGAGCCAAGTCTGGAATAATCACCTCTGCCTTGGAAAGGTCAAAAAGCGATCCGAGCTGTGCAAGCAGCCCGGCGTCCAATTGCACGTCCAACGTCTTTTTGTGCCCGTTCCGTGCCCAGATCTTGAGCTCCTGGCTCCGCAAGTACTCCAACGAGCTGCTGGAGTAGGGCATTCTCACCACAAAGTCGTTTTCGTACTGGGCCAAGTTGATGGGATGCTCCGCCACAGGCACCAGTTTGTAATGCTGCTTGTCGTGCGGCAGCGGCATCAAGCGGATCTGCGAGGCCGCCGCAAGCGCAGCGAAAATATAGTTAAGCTTCATGAAGATGGAGTGGTTGCTGCGTATGGGGTTGGTGGTTGCAGAGGAGACCCGTACCGCGAGCCAAGTGGGAGGGTAGGCTGAAGACACGAAGTGACTAAAATTTGATTGTTTCAGGGTGGAGTTGGATTTTTTTATGGGAATTATTTTATGACTGTGCTTTGGGACTTTTTTATGACTGTGTGTTGGGTGTTTGGGTGGCTGGTTCGTTGGGTGCAAATCTGGGGTATGAGGTTGGGGTGATGGGAAGGTGGGGTATACGTAGATGGGGTAGCTTGGGTAAAATGACGTGCGGATGGAATTGGCAATTTTGTAAGCTCAGGTGCTGAATGGTTCCATTGATTTGATTCAGATTTAAGTGGGGCCATTGGAGATGGATGAGGCTTGCACGACATGCTAAAGGTGATCGGTGGTGATAGCCGTGTGATTTAGTGGTGCTCTACAATTCAGAAGTTCTTGATGGTGGGTTCTTGATGGTGGGTTTCAAAAGTGCTTGTTGGTGGGTATGTTTTTGACCCACCCCCATTTGTCTCCTTTTTTGTTTATTGAGCTTCGTCGGTTGACGTTGCAGCAGTCAGATGCAGAGGGACATTATTGATGACGCAAAAATTTGGAGGGCGAGTAATCAATTGAAGCATATCGAGTCAAAAAAGTCCGGGATCCAGACAATTGGTGAGTGTATCCCTCCTCCTGGGGTGTGGTGGAAAGAGGTTCTAGAATAAGCCGTACATCGACTGCAGTGCTTTTATAAGCGGCTACTTGTAGTGATCTCAAAGCTTTGTCAATTTGCTATCAAGAGCATCTCATGTACTTATAGTCTCAACTCTATCGAGCTACCAGAAATCCCGGCTCTGAGGCTCTTCAGGTCGTAGTGTCTTTGGTGTACAGTTTTCACCCGTTTCATCCGCCGGTCAATGTACTTCATAAATGGACTGGAAAGCTACTAATTATGTTGCATCAATTGTGTCTTGCGGCATGCCTTGGACTTAAACTACCAGTGCAAAGGCCCGTACAAACCAACCTTAAGAAAAGTTCAATAAAACAACAGTTGATCACTTAAAGGTCTCAATTAGACTTCTGATGTCCCCTTCATTACCACCCACACAACTACACACTAATATCATCCACCAGTTCCATGACGCACTTCCACTCGGTAACGCACCTTTACGGTGTGCTGCAGATGCGCCACATCCTATAATCCCTTCCTTCTTCTTCCGCCCTACAAATTCAAAAACGAACAAACTATATATACATTCACACATCAAAAGTCACTCCATTCCGCGTCATTTGCTTATCAAACGGCCCATCTCTATGGCTTAAGACGCACAAGGACGCATGGTCGCCGTCACACCTGCAGTATCACGGCTGCAAATAGCATTTCCCTAATGATGGAAAAAACGTGAAAGCCGGCTTTTGTGGTCCAGATCGCCCGCTGGAGAGGGATCTCTGCTGCCGAAACTGAACGTTGCATCCAAATTCCGCGACCTGTCTTTGTTCATGTCGGCTAGATTCGTCAGAGAACTGTTTCGAGACAGCAGGGGTGAAAGCATGGCAAAACGGCTCTTCTTCTTCTTTTCCTCTCGCGTATGAGAAATGTCGATGTTCGCAAGCCAGTCGTGGAAATACCTTTCACCCTCGATGGGCTTTTCGAGCTGCTCCGTATAATGATATATCGGCTTCACCACAATACAAGGCACCAATGCAAATTGAAGGAAGTACTTCGATGTAGACGCCTTCAGCAAGAAGCCTCTGTGTTTATGAGGCTGAGGGCTGTGGGTCGGGTGAGACAGATCGATGATGTTTTGTGACAGATTCAGGTGCTTGAGCTGGGCTCGTTCGTAGTTGTGCGTTCCTACTATCATCATGGCAGGTTTGTACTCATCAATGGCACCACGTAGAAGCTTCTGGGGCTTTCCGATGACGGCCTCGTACACTAGGGAAATCTTTTTGTTGTGAGTATTGAGCTTTTCGATCTTGGCAAGCACCTGCTCACCTAAGTCCGAGTCCACTTGCTTGTACACTTTTTCATCTAGTACCTGTAGAACAATGACAGTGTCACCGTTTATGACCATTTCCTGAAGGGCCCACTCAATGGCCCTAAGCGACTCTGCATCGTTGTTGAAACCCACAAGGTACGTTTTGTTGTTTCGCCGAAAACGAAACTGGGGATGTCGTAACTTCAACGTTATAGCCTTGTGATGCTTGTCTTCTAGGGTATCGAAGGAAACGCCTCTTTCAAACGAGCTTTGACGCAGGAAAGCCGGTCTTTTGGAAGGTGAAGGCGACCGTAGCCGCTGGGCAGCGCTCTGCACGGTCAAAAATGCATTTTGGCGATCTGAGGTGGATGGTGCCAAAGGCAGAGGACTCCGTATGGAAGCGTCAGAGTCATAATCATCAAAGTAGAGTCGCCCGAGGTAGTCCAGCAGGTTGTTCTCCAGACGGTACAGGTCGATCGACTCTTCGGACGTGTCAAAGAGAAGAGCGTTGAGTCTTGTGTTGATGTCCGTTTCTGTCTCTGGAACGTCCTTCTTCTTCTCCTTCTTGGGTGCCTTTTCCTTGCCATACACCTTCTTGGGTTTATCGTCATCGTCGTCGTTGGCCTCTTCCTTGACCTCTGTCTTTTCATGAGGTATCCCAACCGGGGGTCCTCGACCCATCGGCAGGATACTTCCTTGGATCGGTTTGTGGTGAAATAAGCCCATATGGGGTAAGATCTATTTTAGACGAAGATCTTGCGACGCTGATAAACACGACACAGGGAGCGCTGTCTGCAGGTCATTCTGTGTGGACAAGCCCGGCAAAAATCGTCAATTGCTCAAAGCTGCCCAATTGGGCTTCTTATAGGGGATTTTTTATGTTGCAAAGTATGGGGCGGTTATTTTTTAGGGTGCAGCGTGGTGCTTAAGCGATGAGAGAGTATGGGCTCAGCCGCGCGGTGGATCGATTGTGGGGAGCATTGTGGAGATAAGAAGGAGAAGGTGACTTTTTTCCGATGACTTTGAAGTGGGGTGAATTGTTGGTATTTGGTGGGGAGGGGTGGGACTGATACGTTGTGAAAATGTGGATTCCGTATTATTTGTGCTGATTTCATAATAAGCTTTGTTGCAGCTCACACGATGTGTAGGAGGTAATGGTTGATAAAGGAGGAAGGGAATATTTGAAGTTGTCCGAAGATGGGGAGTCCACAGATATTTATGAAAAATTCTGCATTAGTGGTCTTGGGTGACTGTTAAGGCTGCAATAGTGTAGCTGGTTTCTCACTTTAGCTATTAGTAGTAAAGCAATAGGGAACGTTACTATTCTCCAGAATAAAAGGGAACCTTTCACTGATTGCATTAAATCCGCTGACTGTTAGAAGCAGCTGTATCAACGAGATACTAAAACAAGCTGGAATAAGTAGCTGAATGATGTTCGTCTAAGACAATAACGACTACCACTACTCCTACTCCTACTACTCCTACTACTACTATTACTCTTGTGCTTCAGCTCTGGAAATTTATGTCTATTGGGGTGAAGAAGTAACATATTGTGTCGATTTTCAAAACTATCCGTACCAGCGAGATCATCCAGTCGACCACTCCGTATTGAAATACAACCTAAAGAACGCATTCCTGACTACCCCAACTACGATCAATATCCACCGACCCAAAGCTCCAACCACCTCCAAGCTCCAACCACTTGAAAACCTAAACATCCACTACAAATCACCTAATTTATCCTGTTCATTCCGTCTATTTACATATGCTACTGTCCTGGAAGCGTCATGTAACGCCCGTTGTCCACACCCGAGTTGTGCTCCACAATGCCCCATAGCCTGTCCATCTTCATACCACCGACGTTGTCGGCAACATAGAAGTACCGCTTGTGGCCGTCGTAGTTCTCCTGCCATGACCTGTAGGGTATGATGTCGTTTGTCTTGGGACACAACTTAAGGGACTTATTGGCGGAAATGGTCAAAAGCTGGTTATACGTCTTACCACCGGTGGCGTTCAACTTCTCCATCACGAGCTTTTCGTCACTGACCAAGTTCTCCAACGTCTGAGGCTTGGTCTTGTCGTACAATCTGAAAATTCTGGTTACGTAATCTTTTGTTTTGAACTGAACGGCAGCCACAGGGCCCCACGTTCCGGCAAGGGCCGCCAATGCATAGAGATCGTCAAACTGAACCAGCTCATATAGAAGCTTGGCTCCGTAGACGCCAACCACTCCAAAGGCTAGAGTCAACCGTTTAAGCATGGCAACGTACTTTGCACCAGGAGCCTCGTAAAGCGGCTCGTACGAAAGACGGTAGTTGTCTGGAAGAGCGACATTCTTGAACCCCTTCCTCACGTACACAATGTCGTTGTAAAGCGTAGGACTCCATGGGTTGTTGCTGGTGACGATTTCGTCAGTATCGACCGAGGAGTCGTCGGACTTGAATGACGATTTGTGGCCGGCAAGACGACGCTGGAGAAGCATCCGGGCTGCAGGCCTGCAGAGAGCACCTCCTGATCTGACGGCTAGCATGGAAGAAAGGTGTAGTTGTAGCTGAGAGGGTGGATGGTCGTGCATGCACCAGTACATCAAGCGATGCCGTCGGGTGGATTGATCAAAAAGGGGAAAGAAGTGGTTTTCAGGTGAATTTTGATTTGATTCTATTGGCTAAGGGTTTGATAAAGATTTGGGTGGATTTTTAGCTGTGGCGTTTTTGAAAGGATGTCTTTATGGTGAGATGCCGAGGATGATCTCGCCCAAATGAGCACAAAAAGCCGTTTGATCTCATATCAACTAAATCATTACAAATTGATAATCCTTCCGAAACCACTGAAGCCGTTCTACGACCTGTATGACCCGTCCCTCCACCTCGGCTAGTTTCTGAATGTGATTTTCGCAACCGGCGATATCTCCACAACCAGGCGTCCTACAGCCCTCAAAATTACATTGCCGTCATGGGGAAGTCCCAGAGAAAAACTTTAACCCTTTAGCTTCCCGCTGCAAGGGGCGGAAAGCGTTGGGGAGGAAGGGTGGGACCACCACGTCCTGCATACAGCCCATATCATTGCGGATGCTTCACATTTTTTGTACCAACTCTTCACCACAACCATGGAAGAATCGACAAACAAATTCATCCCCGAGTACCGCCGGACCAACTTCAAAAACAAGTCGCGTTTCCAGAGCGATGAGTTGAGACGCCGTCGTGAAACCCACCAGGTGGACTTGAGAAAACAGAAACGTGAGGACGTTTTGGCCAAAAGAAGAAACTACAATGACACGGGTGCAATGGCCAACGACTCCGAGGACGAGGACGACTTGGGTGATTTGGCCTCGGGCACACGTGAGGACTCCTTCTTTGGCAAGTTGCAGCAGGACTTGCCCAAAATGATGGAGATGATCCACCTGAACAACTTTGAGAACCAGTTGGCTGCAACCATCAAGTTTCGTCAGGTGTTGCTGAGAGAACACAACCCGCCAATAGACCTTGTGATCCAGCTGGGCGTGATCCCCACGCTTGTGGAGTTTATGAAGGACGGTCAGCCCGACATGTTGCAATTGGAGGCTGCGTGGGCTTTGACCAATATTGCCTCTGGTACGAGTGACCAGACCCAGGTTGTTGTGGAGCTGGGCGCCGTGCCTTGTTTTGTGCAATTGTTGTACTCGCAGTCGTTGGAGGTGAAGGAGCAGGCCATCTGGGCCTTGGGTAACGTGGCGGGTGATTCTACTTCTTACAGAGACTTTGTGTTGCAAAGCGGCGCCATGGAGCCTGTGTTGAGTCTCTTCAACTCCGTCAAGATGTCGTTGATCAGAACCGCCACGTGGACGTTGTCGAACTTGTGCCGTGGTAAGAGCCCCCAGCCAGAATGGTCGGTTGTTCAGCAGGCTATTCCCACGTTGGCCAAGTTGATCTTTTCTGTCGACACCGAAACGCTTGTGGACGCGTGCTGGGCCGTTTCGTACTTGAGTGACGGTCCTTCCGAGGCTATCCAGGCCGTCATCGACGCCAGAATCCCCCACCGCTTGGTCGACTTGTTGAGCCACGAGCTGACTTTGGTCCAGACTCCAGCTTTGCGTGCCATTGGTAACATCGTCACCGGTAACGACATGCAGACGCAGGTGATGATCAACGCGGGTGTCTTGCAGCACTTGACGCCCTTGTTGAACTCTCCTAAGGAGACTTTGCGTAAGGAGGCCTGCTGGACCATCTCCAACATCACTGCGGGTAACGCCGAGCAAATCCAGGCTGTCATTGACCTGAACTTGATTCCTCCAATCATCCGTTTGTTAGCCCAGGGCGACTACAAAACCAAGAAAGAGGCCTGTTGGGCCATCTCCAACGCCCTGTCTGGTGGCTTGACGAATCCAGAGCAAATAAGATACCTTGTGAACCAGGGCTGCATCAAGCCCTTGTGTGACTTGCTCGCGGTGGCAGACTCCAAGATCATCGAGGTGACGTTGGACTCGTTGATGAACATTTTGAAGGTGGGCGAGTTGGACAAGGACCAGAAACAGGCCGCCAACAACGAGTACGCCATCTACATCGAGGAGGCCGGCGGCATGGAGAAGATCTTCAACTGCCAGGCCAACTCCAACGTCCAGATTTACAACAAGGCCTACGGCATCATTGAGAAGTACTTTGGTGACGAGGAGGACGACGGCAACTACGAAAACGGCTTGCAGCCTGAAACCTACGGTGATTCGTTCGGTTTCGGCGTGCAGAACAACCAGAACTTCCTGTTCTAGGCCGCCCGCATCCTCATATCCTCATCACGCTCTCCATGCCTCATGATTTACACGTTACATCACGAGTTTTCATCTCATCTCTCATCATCTCTCATAGGGCCCTGCCCTCCTGGTTTATGTAATCTACACAGCGAAGACAAGATTGTAGGAAGCGTTTGAATTTGGCCACTAGTGATTTAGTGGAATATCGAGTGAGCCCTATTTTATGGATGACCAAAGCAATTTCTGTTCAGCCAAGAAATCAAAGATTGCAAGGAAAGGGGGTTTCTTCGATTTACTGCATTTTCTTCGACTTACTACAATTTTTGAAGTCCTGGTCATAGCGCTTTTCAGAATGGAATGTCGGGCCTCGGCACAGGGTCTAAACAGACCACACCTTGAATATACGAAAACGACATTGTCGGCACCAGCACAGTAACCCTACGTAGCACAATTACACTTTTTGAAAATTAAACAAAATTTACCAAAAATCACAATCCTCAGCTCTTCACCAACAAGACATCCCTCGGCCGTTGGTGCCTTACGTCATGACGTTTTCGCAGCCAATCGGAGTCCGGAGAAATCCGGTGGGTCAGAGTCAGAGCCGTTTTGGAGAAGTCATTTCGAAAAAGTCACCACACCCGTGCACCAGGCGTAAATGGCGACAATAAGCCCGACAAGAAAGTGGCGTTCAGCAGGCGTTTTTTTGTGTGGAGTCGGTCCCGGGAAATACGGACCGCTCCGCTGAGCAGCGAGCCAGCGCCCGGACTTATATGCAGGACGACATCGGTTCGGCTCAGAAGGTCCATTTCTAAACTGCCAATACGGCCATGAAAAGCGGGGAAATTTTGGGCAGTAGCTAGCGGCAGGCCCCCTGTATTATCCTTTAAATTTTCATGGCGCTGGGCGCCGGTCCTGGGCCCACCGGATGGGGTGTTTTCAGCGCGTCACGTGACCACCCGAAAAGGAAAGGTAAATTCCCGCAAAAACATAAAAATCTCACTCTCAAATTTCTCATCAACCACATTTCTTCATGAAGTTCTCCACTGTTGTTGCCGCTGCTGCCGTTTCCTCCGTGGCTTTCGCTGCCAAGGACGAGCCAGTCACCGTCACCACCACTTTCCACGGTTCCACCGATACCCATAGATACGGTCGTTTCGACAAGACCTCCAGGGAGCCAACCGCTACTACTTCTGGTACTCACAGATACGGCCGTTTTGACAAGACTTCCAGGGAACCCACCGCCACCACCTCGGGCACCCACAGATACGGCCGTTTCGACAAGACCGCCAACCCCACCACCACCACCATCTTCATCACCAACCCATCTGCTGTTGGTTTTGCTGCTGCCAACGGTTCCGCCAACGGCACTGCCAACGGTACTGCCAACGGCACTGCTCACAAGAACGGTTCTAACGACAGCTCTTCTTCTGCTGACAGCGGTGCTGCTGCTTCTTCTGGTGCCTTCTTGGGCTTTGCTGGCGCTGTGGCCGCTGGTCTTCTTTTGATTTAGTTTGATAGATTCGACACTACTCGTTTAATACACTTTGGAACATTTGATGTTTGTAGGGGCCGTTTTGGCCGTTTTGGGCAATTGCCAATTTGGGGGAAGTTTGGGCCGCTCCGAGGGAAGAGTATGTAGGTAAGCTACTGTAGATGTCCTGAAGGGTATAGGTAAACAAGGAGAAAAGAGGGCTCGATTGAAATCTGAACTTATCGAAGATTGAAATTATGAGAATGATAGAATTTGTTGATGAAAAGGGGAAGCTTGGTGCCCGGAATAACTGACCAAAAAGGAAAGGTCATTGCTGGTGGCTGAAGTTGGCTTTGCTATGGCTTGACGATATTCCGCAAAAGAATGGGCTAGAAGGTGGTGGAGGTTTATTCCGATGAGATGAAAAATGCTGTTTTCAGGAATGCTTTTTTAAAAGGTTTCCCTGGAATTGCTCGTTTGTGATGTTTATAGATGAGGACCTCAGGGAGTCCCCTGGTAGTTAGACTTTCTAGTTGGTGCTAGTTCGATGAAATAGGGGTTTTTGGATAGACGTTAAGAAACGGCTCATTTGAAAAATTCCATCATTCTGAAACGAACTTTGTGGGGTGACTGGGTAGATTAAGGTACGAGCTGTAAAGGCATGGAGTACTGAGAGGTTATAGAGTTGAGGTTACCGGGAGAACTTTCTTAGTCACATTTTAAAGTAAAGAATGCTTCTTTTGTAGCACAATTGATTTTTCTTGAATTTGTTGCATCTGATTGGTTTAGCACCTTGTCTTCTGCAAAAGCTGATAACCGTTAAAGCAAGACTGAATGGAAGTGGAAAGGTTTATAAGCAGCCGATTCCCAAAAATATAACAGAAACTATTTGAATACGGATATCCAACAAACAATGATAACACTTTGTTCAATTTCGATTCGTAGCCACCTTGTGATAGAACTTCAATAAGTCCTACCTTCACCATCCTACATCCTCACCACACTGGACTTCCATCATCCAAATCTCACCATCCTAAAATCCCACCCTTGACCATCCAGAACATTTCTTTCCTATACAGCCGCTCTGGGCGGCTAGCTGGACTCCTAACTCACTGGCTCGCCAGCTTCTGCAACTCCTTCACATCCTCCAACGACTTCTCGAGCTCCTCGGCTCTCTTCTGCAAAAGAACCTGAATGTCCTCCTCGCCGTAGCCCACGAAGTTCTCCACCGCCTCAAAAGACGACGCTGGCTGCGAACGCTTGTACTCGGCCTTGAGGCCATCAGAGAAAGGCAACGTCAAAGGTCCGTTCTTCACCATCGACGTGATCAACTCATAGGCGAACTGGGCACCGTTGGTGGCCGTAACCTCGGCATGGTCGTAGGCGGGGCTCACTTCAACCACATCAGCTCCCACAATCAGAAGCTGCTCGATGCCTCTGAGAATATGAATCAACTCACGAGGCAACCATCCGCCAGGCTCCTGCGTGCCTGTTCCAGAGGCAAAGGCAGGATCCAAAACGTCAATGTCCACGGAAATGTACGTGGGAGAGTTCTTGGGAACCCGTTTGAGGATCTGCTTCACGATATAGTCGGCGCCGTGGATCCAGACATCGTCTGCAGAAAGACGCAACCAGCCCTGCTCGTCGTCGTCCTCCCAGTCCTCAGCTCCCGAAAGTTTGGTCCGAAGACCCGCGTGCACGTTGTTTTTCGTAGTCAAGCCTTCCTCGTACGCTTTCCAGAGCATCAGACCGTGCGACACCTCCAGCGTTTCCGTATGCCAGTAGCTGGGGTACTTGTCGGGCTTCCACGTGTCGAGATGGGCGTCAAAGTGGATGATGTTAAGGGGGCCGTAGAGCTTGTGGAGTGCTCTTACATGCGGCAAAAGCACCAGGTGGTCTCCGCCCAAGGCAATGTACCGAGGAGGCCTCTCCCTGGAGTGCTCAAAAAGGAGCTCCTCGAACCCCACGGTCATCTGCTCGAAGGCAAGGCTGTTGTCCATGGGACTGACGGGAATGTCTCCACAATCCACCACAGAGGCCCATTCCTTGTAGGGGTTGTACAACGCCCTAGGGTTGAAGCCCCGAAGGGACGTTTGTCTCTGTGACGCGGCACGAATGGCCCTTGGACCGAAACGGGCGCCTGGGCGGTACGAAACAGCCGTATCGAAAGGAACACCCACAAGTGCAACGTCGTACTGGAGATCACGGTCCGCCAAACAATGGTGGGTGGGGAGGTGGGCAAAAGTGTTGATGCCCTGGAAGGGCCAGGCCTCGCCCCAGATGGTGGCAAGGGGCTCTGCTAGGGCTATGGACAAGAAGAAAAAAAGCAGGAGCATGGGGAAAAAGCTGGGGAGGAGGGTGGTATTTATACTAGATCGCGCCGGATTCCGTCAGCGGAATTGGCTAGCTATGGAAGGAGCTCTGGGTGGGGAGCTTTGATGAGAATTAGAGAGTAAGAAATTGACTTAAATAAAATTGATGTGATTTTGCAATTGCCTTTGTTTAGGCTACTTGGGCTACTTTGGATGGAGGGGTGGGATATCCTTAGATGGTGCGGCTACTGCATTGCTTATCAGTGGGCATTGTTCCAGATGGGATAGAGTTTTCAGAGTGGAATTGGATGAATTGTGAGTTTTTTTGAATGATGGCAGCTTGATTTTGGAGATTTGGAAGAATTGACCTTGTGGGGGAGTTTTTCAGAATCTTATGATGGAGATAGCATTTTGCGCATACTGGAATGCCGCTAAGTGATGGAGATCTCGGGGAGGGTGAATTCCAGGAACGGGCTTTGAAGCAACGGAATCGGAAAATTCTGCAGCTGAAGATTACGTCTAAATTGTTAGTTTAGCACAATTCCATGGAAATCGGGCATTTTGGATGGCTGCAAATTAGAGGTATTCGTGCGGCTCAGAAGAACCAAATCCGCAATTGACAATCCGTAACCGCCAACATCTCTTAAGAAGACCTCAACAGAAAACATTCAATTCCTGAATTTGTATATATACTTTTAAATTCCTAAACTGTCTCAAAATCAATGACTTTGTACTCCGAGATTCTTCACCGTTGAGGTGCAGATGCGGAATATGGCATAATGCCGCTACCAGAGAGCCGTACTAAGATAACTCCAAATTCCGTCAGGCCAATTCTCCAATATGATACAACTCAATTAAAAAAAAATAAGTGAACAGAAAATAGCATTACCCAAAATCTGTGGTTTATCATTTCCATTCATTGCGATGTTTGTAGTTATTGGAATGACTGGATCCTTCTTTGAATCAGAACCAAGACACAGAGGCAAACTTAAACCCACGATGATACAGAATAAAACGTTTGTCTAATTGATTGACCTGATAGCATGCTTACTTTTAATTCGAGACGGTCTCTCGACGATGCATATCGATATACGACTGCAATTGAACCTTTTCTAACAATGATACTCTTGATCTTCAAACACACCAAAAACCTCCATCTTCCTACCCCTCAGAATACGATGGCGGCAGGACAAGACAGGAGGTTTCGTTCGTCATCATGTCTAAATTTATGCCGTTGCCTAAGAAGACCGTCTTATTCTTCTTCTGAAACTTCAAGAAAACGAAAAGCCTATATGTGATTAAAAGACCATTGGAAAGAATAGAAGGTTCGACATTGGGAATCTTGCACCTGTATCTCGAGCCATCTATTTTAGTGGTTCCTGTTTTATAAAAGGACGATTGTGATGTGTTCCTTTTTAATTTGAACCACTTGTTTTTGACATCGTGCAAACCTCCAGGAAGCACTCGAATTTTCTTTTGAAGAAGCTTGACTCTTAAGCCGATAAGCTTTAATGTTTGATTTTCAGGGACGGTCACCTTAAGCGTTAAAAACTTATCAAGGTCCAAGCCTGGGTATGCGACACTGCTGTCGACATAATATGATTTCAAGGTTACCCCCAGCTTTTCAGATAAAAACTGATTTTGTAAGGATGCCAAAACTTAACAAAACTTTGAAAGTGGAAATGGAGATTTGTGTCGATGTGGTGACCATTCTTGTCTTCCACCAAGGCCCAATCCCGTTGCCTCTTGACCATTGCATACTCTCCTGGAAACCTCCAGTTTTTTGTTAGTTTGCACGAAAATAGCCTGTTCAGTGTATTGTGATATTCTGAAAGAAACACAGCGGTGACTGCCACAACATGATTTCCACAGTATAACGAACAAGTCTGGTGACCCAAGCATTGTGGTACATTTGTGGTTCTCAAGGCTGTAGAACTAGCAACATCCAGTACAATGTTCGGCGTCATGGGTATTTTATCGAAAAAGAGGAGAGTTTGCTTTCTTTGGGGTTGCTTCAACGGCTTAAATGTTGAAACGTGATTCTCGATAGCGACATCCAAGTTTATCAGGGTGGACAAGGTTGACGAGCATTTTCCTGTTGTACAGTAAAATGTCAATTCTATTCGAAGTGTGTATGTTCTGGCACAGTCATCGGAAATGAAAGAAGGACCGATATTGGGGAGCTCGCAATTGAACACTTCGTCATTAATATTGATACTGAACCGGGACCCGTCGGTCTTAAATCCAGACTTTTTAAAAGTGAAGTATATCTCTTTATCTCTGAGGGTAATTTCTCTCACTTCCTCCTGGACTTTGAAGCCTACCTTGGATAGCACCTTGCACCAGGTATGTTCTTCTAGAGCCACTTTGACATATGTGGCATCAAAGGTCTCCTGACAGCGGCATATAAAAGCCTCGTTTTGATACAATTTGAGCTGCAAAAAGTCTGCTACTGAAGCTCCAGCAGTCACAATTCTGGAATATGGAATACACCACAGCTCTTTTTTTTTTGAAGCACGATTGTAGCAGAAGGAAAATGGGATTTTCGCTCTTCACAGCCTTTTTTGGTTTCAGACTCTTTCGGTATTTGGGTAGCAGCATCTGTGAAACAGCATATTCAAGCGGAATCCTCGAATCACCAACATGGACACAACGTATTCCCAAAATGGTCTTCTGAGTGTCCCAGTATGTATAACCTGGGTTGTAATGAAGCTGTTCCCGACGTAGTAATGAGAATAGTATTCTCGGCTTACCATCGTTCAAATTTGGACCCAGCCCGAAGTTGAAGACTCCCTCTTTTTTTCTGGCCTGTTCAAGAGAAGTAGTATCCTCAAGGACATCAACGTTTTTCAAAAGAAGACCAGTCACGGTCCACGCTTTTTCGTTGGCTGCAACGGTAAATGTGTCGTGGGTTATGTAGTTGGAAGGGAGTTTTTGGATTTCCTCCTCCACGGCTCTATAGAACCCGTTGGGGTTATCTAGGCTTTCGATGAAGTAGATTGGGTACATGTGGTTTGTGAATGATGGGGTTGGTATTTGTGGATTTTGGGCATTTTAAGGGAAGGTCTAGTAAATTTGGAATTGCGATGATATTCTGAAGCTAGGAAGTATATTATTCATTTCAATCTCATTTGGAAGGTGGAACAGGTGTGAGACCTTCCAGAGGCAGAAAGAGGATGACCCTGACGTTCTTAGGGGTAATTTCTTAAAAGAAAAATAATCGAAGTGTGGAATGCCGATCAACTTGTCATAGGCCAATTTATACGTAAGTAACGGGACATACTTATGAACACAAACTCTCAACGAAGAAAGCTCGACAGTTACTTTTATTGAATTTTTTACATCATCGTCAAACATCTACAGAGCAAAAAATTAAATAGCATGCCCAATGAAAAACAAGAAGGAAAATTTTGTCAAATTCAGTTTCTGTATTATAAAGACAAGCTGGGTTTCCTAAGAAGTCGTTTGTAGACCTTACCAGTTACTCAAGTGACTCTGGGTGAAAAGAAGCCCTTGTTCCCCAACCCCCTAATTCTCCCGGTATGGAGGAGGCGAAACGGCAATGGTGCTTCGACCTCCTTCGGCAACGTGAATCGTCCAGTAATTGGTCAATCTGTGAAAATCATAACCATCTTTAACCCTCAAAGTGAAATAAATCTTGTAGCCAATGTAAAGGGTGTTGGATAAAACCGAAGCTTCAACTTTTGGAACCTTGCACAGGTATTTCACCTGAGAGGTTCCCTCATATAATGATAAAGTTGTACAGTCAGGTCTCAAACGCCAGGACCTATGCTTGACTTCATGTGTGCCTCCTGGAAGCACATGAATCTTCTGTTGAACAAGCTTGATTTTGAGTTTATCGAGGTCCATTTTATGTTTATCTTTAAGAACCACTTTCACAGTCTAGTACTCTTCTAAAGCAGAACATGAAAACACTCTATAGGGGTGATCCAAATATAGCAATAAGGTTGCTCCTTCCTTTGAATAAGGATACGAATACGAATACGGATAAGGCTGAATAAACCAGGTGAATTTTTCGAGGTTCAAAAAATGACCGGTATCCATGTATTTATCGTTTTTGTATTCCACCAAAGACCAGCCTTTTTCCGTCATGACCAAGGCGTAGTCTCCAGACATTTTGAACCGTTTCGAACCAAAAGAGGTTTCTTTTCCATCGTGCCATTGTGGAAGATTAATCATCGTCAACGCCACAACATGGTCATCTCGAGGTATCGAAATGGTGGAGTAAGATAGACACCCTGACGGTATGCTGGAAACTCTCATTGCAGAAGTACTGGCAACATCCAGCAAGATCAGAGGTGATTTTGGAACTTTGTCAATTAGCAACAAATAGTCCTCCAACACAGGCTGAAAGGCTGGCTTGGAGGAGGATAAATGATGCTCTATAGCGACATCCACATTCATCAGGGTCGATAAGTGCCATTGGACTTGTTTCAAATTACAGCAAATCGTCATTTCGATTCGAACAGTGTAGGTTCTTGAAAAGTCTTCAGTGTAGAACGAAGGCCCGGTTCTGGGGAAAACAAAAGGATAATGGTCCGTTGGAATTGGGGCGGTGTAGGAGGTACCATTGCTTTGAAAGGCGCTAAAAGGGATTGTGAAGTTCTTCAGCAATTTATGACCCACAAAATCTCTGACGTTTTTCTCAAAACTGAAACCTTCTTTCGACTGAATCTTGCACAAGGTGTGCTCCTCTACTACAAGTTTGATTTTCGAGACCAGAAGGCCTTTTCGATAGTCGCACAAAGAACCATCGTTTTGACAGAGCCTTAATTCCATGAAAGTCGGCACTTTCGATCCAGGTGTGATGATTCGTGAAGGAGGCAGAATGGAAAACAGCAGGGGTGCTTTATAGTACGATTCTAGCCTAAGAGGGACTTCGTCGCTCAGCTGCCCTTCAGTAGAACTATAGGTACCGGGATTGAGCGTCCTATACTTATCAAGCAACGTATTGGAAAACGCATACTCGAGCGGAGCTAACGAATCCTTAATTTGAAGACAGCGTACACCCAAAAGGGTGTTTTTGTCGGTGAATCTCCTTGGACAGTATTGGAATTGTTCCAAGCGGCTTACTGCAAATACGATTCTTGCCTTACCGTCATTCAAGGTCGGACCCAGGCCGCAATCCAAAACTCCTTCTCTTTTTCTGGCTTGTTGTAAATATGAAGTATCCTCGATGAGCTTTGCTTCTTTCAAGGTTAATCCGGTAAGTGTCCAGGACTCTCCATCAACCATCACGGCATGTGTATCATGGAAAAGGTAATTTGAAGGATTGTTTTGTAGCTCTTCGTCTACAGTCTGACGAGAGCTGCTGGGAGTTTTGGCATTTTCAATAAGGTAGATTGGGTACATGAAGATATGGAGGTTTGCGGAAGAGAATTTGGACCAGATATTTGCCGCATGTGGTCATTCGCTTTCAAGAAAATAAATGTCCACCAAAGTCGGCATTTTTGAGAGGACAGAAATGAGCTACCTCGCTGGAATTTTCATTTTCGGTTACAGACTCGTTGCAAAATACTTTTCGTAAGGATAAGAGTGAATATTTGAACTAAGGAGGAACTTGAAACTCTTTGACTTCACCCATGAAAACATCATGGAAATGTAAGTGCAAAAACTCAAGTTGCCAAATTACACTTCCTCAAGGAACATTGCTCAAAGTTGAATCTGACAAAAGTGATATGTAGTTTCACCACATGGAAATAAACTTCTAGTGGTTTGAGCCGTAGATTGACTGAAAAGAAGGAGACCTCAGACACTTCGAATTAGAACAATACAAAACAAAATCACAATAGCATTGAAAATGTTTTTTTCTTTTTGTTAAACTCGCCTAAATGAAAAGCCATATGTAAATCTACTTACTTAATTACTCGGTAATTCCTCCTCGTATAACCTTACCTGTCCAATGATAAGCCATTTCTTCTTCTCATCAGTTTCATAAGGCGGCGGAGTGATGCTAAGAAAATTCTTATCTTCTTTCGCCGTAAATATTGCAAAGTCATTGCTCAAATGAATGTCTTTTTCCTTGTTCACGGTACAATCCACTGTGATAAGGATCCAAAAGCCAATGACAAGACTATTGGAATATACAGAAGGCTCAAGATATGGTACCTTGCACAGGATGACGTCTCCAGGAATCAGAAAAGAACCTTCACCGTAACGTAAGCTCGTCAGTTTTGACAATAGCGTCCAGGACTCAGTTTTGATCATATTCGTTCCTCCAGGATTGACTTGAACCTGTTGCTTCACAAGCTTGATTTTGATTTTATAAAGATACACCGACTTGTCTTTCTTCACATTGATCTTAAAAGTCACCAAATCATCCAAGGTTGCGCCAGGATAGTTTCTCACGGGACGATATGAATATGTCACAAGGTCCACCCCTTCCTTCAGTGAAGGAAACCTCTCAAGTGGATTCGGAAAGATTCCGAAAATAAATTCACTGAGGTTGAAAAAGTAACCAGTGTCGACATATTTGTCGTTTTTTAGTTCCGTCAAGGACCAACCGCTTGGCTTCATAATCAATGCATTTCTTTCCAAGCATGAAAACTCTGTTTTAGAGCTGGACGTTTCTGTGCTTCTGTGTACTTTAGAAAGATACACGGCTGTAATTCCCACAACATGATCCCTCGGGGTATTGATGTCGTGATGTGAAAAAGATAATGTGAAGACAATTTTTTGACTTTCGAGGCTGCCAAACTGGCAACCTCCAGTAGAACATTTGGTGTAATTGGGGATCTCTCGATAAATAACAGCATATCCCTTTTCTTCGGCTGGAAAACTGGCTTCAGAGACGATAAGTGACTTTCGAGAGCAACATCAATACTCATCAGGGTGGATAACTTCGAGGAGCATGTTTTTGTTTCACATAGCAAGCTCATTTCGACCCGAACCTTATAAGTCCTCGAAAAGGGGTCACTGAAGAAGGAAGGCCCTATGTTGGGAAGCTTGCAATCGTAAACTTCAGCAGGAACTGTCAGGGCGAAATTAGTACCGTCGCTTTTAAAGCTGTTTTGGTGAACTTTGAACTGTTCCAGCGAGTCCATGAGCACAAGAGTCCGAACCTCTTTTTGGACATCTACTGTCGCTTTTGAATCAACCCTGCACCAAGAATGCTCCTCTAGAATAACCTTGACATGGGTGATGGAAAGATCTTTTTGACAGCTGCACAAAAAAGTGTCGTGGTGAAGAATCTTTAGCTCTAAAAAGGAGGGCACCGAAGCTCCAGGCGTAGCAATTCTCGAAGGAGAGATTATGAATGTCAGTTCACGTTTCTTATAGTATGAGGTTAGTTCGAGAGAGTCTGGATTGTCGTAGTTCAGCTCCTCTATTACCGAGGATTGAGGTTCAGGAAGCAGAGCCCTATACTTGTTGAGCAACGAGTTAGATAAAGCGTATTCAAGTGGAACTAATGAATCGCCAAGTTTAAGGCAAAGCACACCCCATAAGGCCGTTTTTTTTGCGTACCACCAGGGATTTTAGGAAAATTGTTCCACGCGGGCAACGGTGAAGATGATTCTGGCTTTGCCATCATTAAAGTTTGGACCCAGGCCGCAGCCTAGAATGCCTTCTTTTTTTCTAGCGGATTGGATGTAAAGCTCATCGTTAATGAGGTTCACGTTTTTCAAGGGATTTGTCGTTGACCGTCACTGTGTGTGTATCATGAAAAAGGTAATTTGACGAATTTGCTTGTATCTCCTGCCCTACAGCGTCGGGAAAGCTGCTGGGATTATCGTTGTTCTCGATGAAGTAAAGTGGGTACATGAGGACTTGTTTGAAGAGGTTTGGTGAAATTTGCAATTTGATCTCTATTTTTCAAAAAGAAGAGGCCTTAATATAGATGAAAATGTAGGAAAATATCAATTGGTCATTACTTTCCTGATTGCATGTCTTAATAATATATTGACGTGCTTCAAAATAAGATGAGGCCTTCAACACCACCATCTCAAGTAGCCACTACAGACATTGTGTTCTGTACTTTTATATATAATCCTTCCATTTCCCAAGATTGCATCTCCACATCGGCCTCGCTTAGTTTTCAAAGCTTATCGTGTCTGCGTACCCCGCTGTGCCCCTCGCCACGGGCACCTCCCCTCGCTTCCATGCGTCAGCAGCAGCACGACATACATACAATCCGAGGAAACTCCAACACTGACTCGGCCCTGCAACCCTCGGCCACTGACCCCGAATGTCACCCTGGTTCACCCTAGGCACACGCGTCCCACCGGGTTGGCCGGTGGCTGCAAAAATGTCGCTGTGTCTCCCGCAATCTACAGTGCGACACAGCCAGGTCTACCAAATCAACCACTTTGACCTACATTCATTATCCACAAAATGCCAATTGAGCTTTTCAAAAACCCCTTAGTACTAGTGAACCTCCAGGACACTTTGTAAGAGGCCCTCATTCCCAGCCTCCGGTCAATTCGGCATCTAAAGGGCCCATCCAAACGAACAACACCTTCAATAACCTCCTTTTGGATGATCAAACCTTCCCAACATGGCCTCTTCCTTATTCCTTATGGGTAACAAAAGACGGAGATTCCGACTGGGGTATGGCATTCAACCATACAGACTCGCTGCAGTATGTTTTTGGTCCTGACCCGGATCAGAACCCTGCACAGTTCTTCTTCAATCCTCCTAAAATCAAGTCTTTTGCGTTTACGGCGCCTAATTTTGGAAACAACTTACGTGTCAGTACGATCAAAAACGAGAAACTTGCCGCTTTGGTGGAATTGGCCAATGAACAAGGCAGAATCTCCATGCCATTGGCTTATGGAATGGGCTTCGTGACAGGTATCTACGAGAACCTCGTGCCTGTGCTTTCGTCGCAGGTTGGATTTATGGAATTCAAGAAAGTCGGGATCGTGAACCAGAACCGTACTGCCAAGTACACGGTGAAGTTGTTCAACCAGCTTGTATGGCTGATCTACCTCAGTGGAGACCCTAATGTGGATCTCCAGTTGGCCGACAACAACCACATTGTGGGAAATAACGCGTCCAGGCTTTGTGTGGTGCAAGTGTGCAAGGGCGAGTCTCCTGCCTACGATGACGCTTGTGGAAAATACCCAATTGACGCCAAACTCTCTGGATCCGTTGATCCAGACAGAAAAACAGGCACCTACGCCTTCAATTACGAAACCCACGGTTCCAGTAACCTGGGATCCACCTTGGTCTGGTGTCTTCCCCACCACCAGGTCACCCTCAAGGAGGATATCAAAAAGAGAGACAGTGGTATGCAGCTTGACTCACCAACAAACGGACCAATGAGGGGCTACGTCACCGATAAGTTAGAGTTTGAGGTGCCCAATTTACCCCTTGATATCGGCTTTGAGCCCTGGACGGCTGTAGACGGGTTTGGCTTCAATCCAGGCAACTACACCAACGAAGTCAAGCAGCTCATTGGTCAGATTGCAACTGAGGAGGTTGAGCAGGACGTGGCGGGCCAGTGTGACCTTGATTCGATGTATTTCGGCGGCAAGCAATTGGACAAATACGCCTATCTCGCCATGGTGACCCATTTTGTGCTTCAGGACCAGAACCTCACCGGCAAGATCTTGCCCAAAATCAAGGCCGCCATTGAAAAATACGCCAGCAACCAGCAGCAGCACCCCTTGCGTTACGACGAAAGCTGGAAAGGTGTCATTTCTGATACTCCACCGGACCAGGATTTCGGTAACCTGAACTACAACGATCACCATTTCCATTACGGCTACCATATCCACGCCATTGCCATTGTGGCCCGCATTGACCCACTGTGGTTGACTGCCAACGACAATTTGATCAAAAACTACGCTCTCACTTTGATCAGAGATTACGGAAACCCTTCAGACAGCGACCCCTACTTCCCGCAATTCCGTAACTTCGACTGGTTCCACGGCCACTCCTTTGCCCACGGTATTTTCCCAAGTGGAGACGGCAAGAACGAGGAGTCCTCGTCGGAAGACTACCATTCCATTTACGCCCTCAAGCTCTATGGTCAGATCATCAACAACCAGGAGTTGGAGATGGCTGCAAATTTGATGCTCGGAATTGAGAGAACGGCTCTCAACTACTACATGATGTACACCTCCGACAACAACCTCTTGCCGCAGCGCTTTACTGCCAACAAGGTTTCTGGTATTCTTTTCGAGAACAAAATCGACTTTGCTACCTTTTTCGGCAGGGGCACTGTTGGAGACGAGTTCGTGCACGGTATCCACATGATTCCCATCACGCCAATGTCGTCGTACATGAGAGGCTCCAAGTATGTGAAGGAGGAATGGGACGCCAAGTTGGCCGGAATCGTGGACAAGATTCCCGATGGCTGGCAGGGCATTTTGAAGTTGAACGCGGGACTTTTCGACCCAAAGTACTCGTGGAAGTGGTTTTCCCGGCCGGACTGGCAGAACAACTTGATCGACCCTGGAATGACCCGTTCGTGGGCCTTGGCCTACTTGGCGGGTATTGGTGGCGCAAGGTGAGGAAGGAACATCAAACAAAACTTTACAGGATATACCAAAAGTCAGAATTGACACGGTGCAAGCCCTTTGGGCAATGTAGCGATGGGCCGAAAAGGGTGGCTGTGGGGGTAAGAGAAGAGGAATTTTGGAACACAAGACTAAGCGACTTGCTACTGGGTAGAGCTCACAACCTATGGCTCCATGAGCAATTTTGGATGAAAGTTGTCATTAATCTAAAAGATTATTCTTGTTGCCGAGTTCCATTCACCTTTTTAGGGATTCCCCGCCTGGATTTAATCCACGTTTACTGACGCTAACCATTTCCTTCCATAAGCGGAACAATAATGCAAAGTTCGCCAATGACCGACTCACTGCACTTCCTTTTCTTCCTCTGTTGCAATCCTGTTGCCGTGGTTCATCAGTGATATCATTTTGCATGATGATACCTAGTAACTCGACTCAATTGCATCAAAAGTTGAAATATTTCCTACCTTCAATGGAAGCTACAATTAAAACCAGTGAATTCATCTAAGTCCGTCTGCAAATTACCTTATCTATGCAAAATCTCTGCTGTTTGGATGGATCATGATGGCTCCATGTAGGTGTTAGCTTGTATGACTGTAAATAAGTCAATGTTCCAGAAGACGAGGATCTGTAGAGAAAAAGACCTCCTAGGTCTTGACAATTTTGTCTAGTTGTCGAGCGACTTTTAGTCTGGTGCATCGATCGAAGTCACCTCGTTTTCAGAATGTAGTTCACCATAAATCTTCTTCAATCAACTACCTTCACCTTCTCTGTATCACTTTATAAGTATACGCCTTATTGTCAAACCTGAATCAAAGATTTGAATATTTCCTAGCTTCATTGCAAGCCATGGTCAGAGCAGCTTGACCTAAAGCAAAGCACATTTAAACAATGCTGTTACTCTCTTTTCCAAAATTACCTCTTTTACGCCCACCACCCATCAAACCTTTCCTATCAATATACTACCCTCTCATCTCTGTATCACTTATTACACACGCATTTCATTACCACCTCTCTACGTCAACATCGTTCAAGAACTATTCCAATACACTACCCTCCTCTCTGTATCACTTTATAAATACACGCCTAATGGTCAAACCGAAAGTCAAGACGCTTGTTGCCCTCGTCTGTCGTCGTTCTAACATACTCCTCCTGCTCCTCGGCACTCATGGCGTTCCATATCTGGTCTCTCTGCTTGTTTCTCCAGATATAGTACATCTTCACCATCACAAGCAACGGATCATCACACACGCAATAATGAAAAGCTGCGTGTTGCCTCGGCGGTACAAAGGCTTGTCGTCTTCTCTGTAGATATTGTAAGCACCGATGTTGCCGATTTGCACGGTCATGTTGTACAATGCTGAACACACGGAACGGGACCGAATGGAGTTGGAGTTTCTGGAAACCCACGCCACACAAATAGCGTGGATGTACGGAGCAGCCAACACCATGGTGACCAAAAACCAGGTGACCCAGGCGTTCTTCATGCTTCCAGGCCACCATCTGATGGCAGCCATGAACGGAACCGTCAAAATCGGCAAGGCCAACGAGACAAGCGAACGCTCGTTGACATACTCGGAAAACCACGTCAATGCAATCAAGAAAATAATGTGGATCACCGCCTGGGGATGTTGAGCAAGTTGACGATCAAACGGTCGAATCCAAGCGAGTTCATCGCCAACGTCATGTACGGCTGGATGGTGCTCTGAGGAATGTAGGCCAAAAAGCCAATGGCGTAGATGGGCCACAAGTCGTAGTCCCAGGCGGCCTTGGCGATCATCTTAATCGACAAGCCCTGTCTGTTGTGCATGTCACCCTTGGAAGGGTCGTCTCTGAGGACTCTGTTGACGACAATCTTCTCCTCTCTTTCGGTGAACCAGCCTTTCGGATGGAGCTTGTTTTTGGTCTGAACGGCCGAGGGAACCATAAGGTAGAAGGCCAGAAGGCCGATGCAAAAGGTGAAAATGCCCTCGATGATGAAAAGCCATCTCCACCCGGACAAGCCGTGGACGCCTCTCATTCTCAAAATGGCAAAGGCCAAGAGGGAGGTGAAAATCTGGGTAAGCGAAAGCGACGTCCAGAACATCGACAACCGAAGCGGCAACTCCTTGGATGTGTAGAAGTACGAAAGCCACAAGACCAAGTCGGCGATGAAACCGCCCTCCAAAACACCAATAAGCGCTCTGCAAACGTAAAACCCGGCTTTGTTGGTCATGGCACCCTGGCAGGCTGCCACAATGGACCACGAGATCATCTGGATGGGAATGAAGATATCTGGACCGAGCTTCTTGGAAATCAACTGCGAGGGCAATTCCGCCAACAAAAAGGCCACAAGGAAAATCGTGTTACCCGTGTTGTAGTCGTTTGTGTTCATGCCCAATTCAGGCAACAAGTCGTCCACCACAGCCTGGGCCAAATTGCCTCTATCGATTTGCAAACCAACGAACATGATGCATGCACTGAGAGCGACACGCCAGTCCAACTTTCTGACGATCTTCTTCTCCTCCTCCTCGGCCCACTCCATCTCTGGATCGAAAGCCAGACGGCATTCGTACTCGACTCTTTCGTACAAGTCACCGTAGAACTTTGCAACAACGGGGTCTTTGAAAGGATTGGAAACGAGAGAATCGGCCTGCGACTCGCTATCGAAAGAAAACTCCTCCACATTGATGTTGTGGAGCTCCTTCTCCTCCGCCTTGGTAGGAACGGTGGATCCCTTCTCGTGCTGTTTCTTGACTGCAACGACACCCATGGTTAGTGAACAAAACCAGGGAATTCGGAAGGTTTAAATACAATCGATGACGAATAGGCTCGGCTGCCTATGCAGATCATCGAAAGAACGCCCGAATTAGAAGAGCATTGCAAATCGGTAATACAGAATGGGTGCAAATTAGACGCACAGCGTGCAGTATTTTGCAACCACAGTTGAGCGAAGTGACGCCTCTATTGCGTAGATAATGCACGTGACAGCCACATTTCTGACACTGACAGCTAAATTTCTTGGAAAAACTGTCAAAGGCAGTCTTGGCGGTCGATTGACGTGGATAACTAAAAGGCTTTTCGGTTGGGGCTGCTGAACGGACGAAAGGAGCAAAATGTCGTCTCTCTCTCTACGCTCTCACATAAGCGATAAGAGATCCACACTTATGCAGCATCTGCGGCGTCTGCGGCGCCCCTCTTTTATTGCAATTCTCCAGGAACGAGTCACTTGACCTGAGGTGATTCGGCAATACCTTCGAAGATGCTTGCACAAATGAAGATGCAAAATTCGGAACGGCTTTTCTTGGCCCACGCAAGCGGCACCAGTCCTGTCTTTGCTAGTGGAATAGCGTTTTTTAGTCAATCCTACCGACCCGCCTTACGGAAACTTCATTGCTTTTCCCGTAGTTCCATGCGAGATTGCACAAGCCACAACCGCTCTACTTCGGCAAACGCCCTGTTTCTTGAAACTCAAGAGGCTGTACAGCGCTGACGAATCCGGTTTCTTTTTCCAATAGGCGACTTGCTACTGGTTTATCCAGGTCTGGGCTTCAAAGGCATGTTGCTAGTTTTTAAGCTTGCCATGAAGTAGTTTTCAATGGAATTAGAGCTTGAACAGGTTTTCGGCTCGATGGATCATGGAAAAAAATTACTAGTCGGTGAATTTGCAACAAAAGGACCTCCGGGATGCATTCATTTCTTTTACGGCGCTTGCTGCAGAAGACCACTTACCTGAAACAGCTTTATGGATGCGGTCTGGTCGGGTTGGGCGGATAATCCTCCGGTCACTCTGCATTTATCCAGGGTTGTTCCGAGTGCATGCATCGGAACTTCCAACCCCCAGGGATTGACAACAAAAGGATGTGGTTACATTTTGAAATTGGAGTGGAATTTGAACGTTCAAAAAGGTATTTCTAGGAGTTGTGTGGATGTATTAGAGATACCAGGGGTTATGTGTACCATTTTTGATTCCAGGAAACGTCAGTTTCTTTTGAGTAATTGTCATACAATCGTCAAACAACCTTGCGATCAGTTGGAAATGAGGTTCTCCAATTGAAGTTGCACCCCCTGAACAAACACTTTCTATCATTGAATTTCTGTAATCCTTGAAAGGCTCATGCTATCAAAAGGCATTGTTCTGATGGCCAATTCTTTTGGTCACTTCGATAACATAAATTAGCTTCCGGGTCTGATACGTCATAGTTCTGTTGATCACTTCGATAAGTTGAATGCTTCGTCACAAATTGCACGACTACCAACTACGCCAGCTACAGTTACCGATGCCAAAAATAATTCCATTGCTTCCTTGACCACACACTTGCTGAAATGCTGAAAGCTGATTAGTCCACAAGTGAAAACGCATATCGGATTCCACCGATTTGTGCTTATTCAGGCATTTCGTTTTACTTTCTGCTGTCAAAGTATGCCATTGATATTTCGCCGCGATCGAATTCCCAAATTTTGCTTATTTATTTCCAACCCCAACAATTTCCACCACCCGCGCCGGAAAATCCCCTCGCATTAATTTGTGGGGAACAATGCGAGACCAGAGTTTTTCCGAGGCTGCGAAAAGTTGCTACTGAAAATTCCACCCATAAATACGCCCATCCCAATTACAATTCTATGATTTCCATCATACCCCTTCTTTTGGGCACCCTACACACCACAATGGCATTGGCATCCTCAAACAGACCGCTTATCCACTTCACGCCCCAAAACGGATGGATGAACGACCCCAACGGACCATGGTACGACGCCAAAGACGAATTGTACCACCTCTACTTCCAGTACACCCCAACGACACAACAGGCCAGCTGGACATTCACTGGGGCCATGCCTCATCCACGGATTTGAGTAAATGGACCGATCACGGCTCCGTTATTGCTCCAGATAGAGAAGGTGAAGGAATCTTTTCTGGATCGGTGGTTGTGGACTACAACAACACATCCGGATTTTTCAACGATTCTGTGGATCCCCGTCAGCGGGCTGTGGCACTCTACACTTTGCATTCCGAGGATGCACAGGTCCAGGAATTGGCCTACTCCACAGACGGAGGATTCACCTTTGAAAAGTACGAAAACAACCCTGTGCTTGAGGTCAATTCCACCCAATTCCGTGACCCCAAGGTCTTCTGGCACGAACCATCAAACCACTGGGTCATGGTGCTCGCAAAATCGCAGGAGTACAAGATCCAGATCTTCGGATCCACCGACCTCAAGAACTGGGTTTTGCACCTGAACTTTTCTGCTGGATTATACGGAAACCAATATGAGTGTCCTGGTCTCATGGAGCTTCCTGTGGAGGGTACGGACAAGAAGAAGTGGGTGATGATTTTGGCCATTAACCCAGGAATGCCTTCAGGTGGATCTGCCAACCAGTACTTTATTGGCGATTTCGATGGCTACAAGTTCACGCCCGACGACCACCAAACCAGAATTCACGATCACGGAAAGGACTACTACGCTTTCCAGACATTCAGTGACACACCTTCAGAGGATGGCGTTTTGGGTGTAGCCTGGGCTTCTAACTGGCAGTATGCTAGACATGTTCCTACTGATCCATGGAGAGGAAGCACTGGAATTGTCAGAAACCACACTTTGGCGAAAGTGCCCGGAAATCCAGAAACGGATTTGTTGACTTTGGTGCAAACACCCATTTTTGGAGATTCCATTAAGCGTCAGAACTTGCACAAGACGCTGAACCACACCTTGTCCAAGAACGAAAGCATTTCGGTGAGTGGAAACTCCACCGGTGTTTTTGATATTGAGGTGGAGTTTACTTTATCTCCAAAGGAGCTCAACAGCAGGCAATTGCAGCTTTCGATTTTATCAAACAAGGTGCATGGAACACAAGAGGAGATCAAGCTTGGCTACGACGCCAATGTGGAGGCGTTCTTTGTTGATAGAGGTGTGGACAATGAGTTCAACAAGAATGTGTTTTTCACAGATAAGATTTCTGCGATTGCAGAGCCTTTGAAGACTGATGAGGATGGTTACAAGACGTACAAGCTCAGAGCCATTGTGGATAAGAACCTTTTGGAGGTATTCTTGAACGACGGAGTGAGCACTATCACCAATACGTTTTTCTTCAGTTCGGGCCATCTTCCTGAGTCCGTGAAGTTGGGTGCTTCTGCTGATGAGATTTACACTGTGGATGTGACAGTGGATGAGTTGTCGTTGGAGTAGGCGTAGAACCAAGTTAATAAAAGTTTTTGATTTTGCGAGTCGATTGGGCGATGTATCTGAATTAGAGCCATTATGGCATAAATTGGATTACTGAGTGCATTACGATACGGCCCTAGGCTTAGAGGCAGAAGGAGGTGGATCACCTTACCCGATCAGGTATTCTTTGATTGTGGCAGTTAACGGCTTACTAATCGAAGTGACACTGTGGCATTTGTGATGGCTTAGAAATTGGAATTACGGCCTATGGAGATAGCTTCCTTATAATACGGTCTGTGGCTCGAAACGGGCAACTTGTAATTGTTAGGATGTTCTGATGCACCAATAGATAACGAATAACACTTAGATATCACTTCCATAAATTTAAGAGGACTAAGAGAATTTAATACTTGGACATGAATAGAGTTTGATGTGTTTATACGTTAGCAGGAATCCTAGAGCGGTTTTCTTGTCTGATATCTGAGTAACCGTGAATCTCCTGTTATACCGTATACCACTTGGAGCTCTTCAATCAGGAAACTAGCTCGGATCTCCTCAACTGTTTGATACCTGACACGCTTGGTGTAAAACATGTATCAATCGTTCTTAAGGTGTTTCTAACATAAAGTGTGTACGATGCCTCTGGACCTTAGTGTCGGGCTCCTTCCCAATTCTTCAAAATCGAGGCTTTGCTCACACCCGGAATTGAACCCAGAAGCTTAAACAGACTTTGAGGGCTTTTCCATGATCTGACGGTCTTTCCAAATGCCATGCAAGCGAATAGCGAGTATTCCAATTGCCATACTGTTCAGATGAACAAGACTACTTAAGCAATGAATTGTCAGTAGAGAAATGAAGCCATTATAATTCCTCCCCAAAATATTATCAAAATCCGATTGAATCTTTTATTTCCGACAACCTTATTCCGGCCTCTCGCATAGCCGAGTGGCTTTCTGGATTGGCTGCAAAATGTGCATGTTCATCTCAAAACCGATCTCGTCCTCAGTTCACCAACCCACTGCGAGAGGCCCCACGCTCGGAGTCAACGGTAACCGTTTTACAGAAAGTTTATCCGAGGGCTGGGAATGTGAACGCTCTGCGGTTGTACCGAAATCGGTGATGTGTACGCACCAGGAGATATCGGCGGTAGCATTAAGGGCACAAGGGCACTAAATACAATAAGAGCTCTATTCTATTGGCTCAATTGAGCGAAATCAAGAAATAATGGAAACTCCCAACTGTTCGAATCTCCATGTAATGGAAACCCCAATTGTTCGAATCTCCATATAATGGCGGAGGCCAAGAGCCATAGTCTGCGGCTGCATAACGGCGTTCCTGACTGTCACCTGCGTTACCTTTGCATTTACGCTTTCAGCTTCACCGACTCGGTCTTCACCTCCTTTGTCACCTCCACCTCCTTCGTCTCCTCCACCCCTCCCTATAAATACCGTAGCATCCCAGAAATCGTATATCAAAATCCCCATGAAGTTCACAACCACCCTTTTCGCCCTTTTGACCGCCGTTGCCGCTGAAAACTGGTCCACCTACCCAGCCGTGCCTAAAACAGCCTCCATCAACGGCTTGGCCGATCCAATCAACGACAAATTGCCCGAATGTGCTAAAGAGTGTTTCGCCAAAGACACCTCCTCAACACCTTGTCCCTACTGGGATACAGGCTGTCTCTGTGTGATGCTGCCTTGGACGGAGCCTGTGGGAGAGTGTATTGCTGAAAAGTGCCAGGGTGACGATGTGAAGAGTGCTACTTCTTTGGCACAGAGTGCCTGTAAGTCTGCCGGTGTGTGGGAGCCATATTTCATTATTGGCGATGATGTTTCGGCTTCTTTGGACGCCGCTGCCGTGTCTCCAGCCACCACCCAGGCTCCATAGACAATGGATGATGGTGATGAACATCTGTGAAATTTGTAGATGTAGTCGAGAGTGGTGGTGTAGGATGGTGAGTTGAATAGGGCTCAGGATGGGTCAATTGGCGATCAAAAGTAGGAGTATTGATCCTGGCTTGGTTCACTAGGCATAGCTTAATATGATGCTACACTGTTGAACCCTCTTGGAAGGAATGCCATTAATTGGTCAAAAGTACAGCTTAGGGAGTAACGCAGTGTCTTTTTGTGTTTAGGGCTGTATCGTAGTATCGATTTACCGTGGGCCTCCAGCCAAGAGACTACTGAAATAGCCTCTTAGTCACCCCTGAGTCAGTTGATTAGGAGTATTTCTTCAAAATTTCTCGAAACCTTGTCGTTATCTTACCCATATACTTTTTCTCTCAATGGATGTTGTTGAAGTTGAACATTTACGAAAGTTTGTAGATGTAGTTGAGAGGGCTCATTGTAGTGGTGTAGATTGGCGAGATGAAATTAACTAATAGATTAATTGGAGGTGTAAGAACTCCTCATATCTCATTAGCTGCTGATAATACTTATAGAGAAACATTCTTCAAGTTGACCATGGAGGAAAGACGTACAAAGAAGGATTTTTCGTGGAGGTGAAGGCTTCACGAGTAGCACACGGTTGGTGACAGCTCAGCTCCAACATACTACCCTTAACGAATATAGCTTTTTTTTCCACTCACATTGGAACAACTTCAGAAATGCGTGAAATTGGGTGAGTTTTAGGAGTCCCAGCGTGTGTGAAATACATTAGGTACTGTGAGGCCACCCACCGTACTGTGAGACCACCCTTTTCAACAGAGATTAAACTTTCATTGGAGGCCATTTGGAAAGCTGAGAATCCTTGAGCCTTTGATTATGGAACCGCAGAATCGATCTCCTCAATTAAGATTAGTGTCATTCCGCCATCCATCTGGCAGTTATCCAGTATGTGGTGAATGCTTTTACAAGAGGGAAGAGTGCAAACTGGTCCAGACTCTTGATAATTTTAAATGGTCCGTTGCTCTGAACTCTGGAAAGTTACAAGTGAAGGTGGTGCTCGAACTGCTGGTGAATCGATACGGTTGTTTCGAAGTATATTAGGAATTCAGCATATTGAAATACTCAATGATCAAGCTTCTGCTCGTTGATATACTTCATCGACGAATTGAATGGAGATGTAATGATAGAGTAAAGATGTAGAGTATGCCACCATGCGAGCGTAGTAAGGGAAGAAAAACATTGGGTTTCAGGAAACACCAGGTGTTTTCCATGCGAACATATTGATTTCGCTATTGGACACCATAAGATGACAAACAGGAATCATAGCTACCTTCTGACTCGTATTTTGACAAGATGACAACATTTCAATCTTTCCTAATCCATAAATAACAAGGGTAAGACAATCAGGTTCAAACCTCTTATTTTCCATTAAAAGCAAGACGATGCCTTCTTTAAATGAACTGTGATCAGGTCGATAGCCCCATACCACCACATGGCACAAAATGTGCATCCAAAGTATGGTTAGTGCTTTATTAATTATTATACTTTGGCAAAGAGAACCACAAACTGCAAACGTCCAATGGCAGCCGCCTCATCTCAATTAACCAGCCAGTCCGAAACCTCCAAACTGCGATATATCAAATCTCTCCAAAATCTCCCCTACGAGCTCTGCATCACCTCCTGGTATGAAGGAGGAGCTTCTTCGGCATCTGCCAGGGGAGCCACACGGACAGGCTCTTCAGAAGGAGCCACACGGACCGGTCCAGATGAAGCAGGCGGACCTCCTCCCTCGTGATCTGTATGACGAGGAGGAACCAAAAGAATAGGCGCCTCGCAAACCACATCGTAGTGTTTGCCCTGTTCAGCGGACGAATTGACCTTGATGGCAAACTCAAGCAGGTAGTCACACTGTATATTGGGCGCCACAAACGACTGTTCATCTGTGAAAAGGCCGTATTCTAGCCACTCTGCCGGCAACTCGTACAGATATGCTGTTTGCGGTGCCGCCAAAAACGAGTGTTCTTTGGGGATTTCTCGGAAAATCTCGTAGCCGGGGTAGTTCTCCACACGCTGGAATCTGGAGAAATCGACTTTTCGGTACTGGGTGTGTTTTGCAAGCGGAATCCGATGCGTGGCCTCTTTTTCCAGGTAGCCCGAGTAGCGGAGATGCTGGATGATGGTGATTTTGACTTGTCTGATGACGAGCCGGGGAACGGCGGCTTCCTGGCCTAATTTGATGACGTAGCGCCCGAAAAGCGCCTCCTTCAAGGCTTTATACGAAAACGGCGAAACAAGATTCACTCGTAATACGTCCGAGAGAATGTCCTCCTGATGGAGCACCCTGCTGGTGGATCCCTGAGCATACCGGGACAAATTGCTATCCTTGAACTCCACCACGGCGTCGATCGGCAAGGTGAACGAGCCCGACGAGAACATTTTATCGAAAAAGCTTCGATCCTGCCGTTTGCTCTGGTCGTACTGAAGCTTGAGAATCGTGCCTCCTCGACTCCAGTCTGGAAGAAACAAGCCGTGCTCCGTCAAATGCTGAACCGAGCACACGGCGGAATGTAGCGTTGGAGAAAAACGGAGCTCTATTTTTTTGTCGTTTCCCACACTCAGTTTCCCTGGTCTTCCCACCGAACCACGTACGGTGTACTTGACTGCAGCGTAGCTGTCCATGCCAAAGATGGTATTGAACGAAGGCGGAAGGTCCGTCGATGTAAGCGAACCAGGCGCCAATTCGGCGGTATTTCTCCAAAGCTGCGTTTGCAAGTACAGCCTGTTCCACTCAAACTGCATCAAACACCGTGCTTCCACCTGTGTAGCTGGAAACGCTAGGTCAAAGCGGAACTTGTGGATGCCCTTGTCCAACTCGTAGCGGTCGGCGTTGGGCGTTTTCGGGAATACCCTATGGGAAAGCTCAAAGAGGCGAAAACGGGTACTTCCACTCATTCTCCTTCGGTTATCGTCGTGTTTGAAGTTACATGACTCCGTTTCTCCCACAAGCAGCACCACGATATCCTTGACTTCAAAAGGCTCCGAAACTTTGAGCACCACCTCGCCCGTGACCCAGTCGCCAGGCCGGAAAAGCGCAAGCTGGTTGTCCAACCGGACCTCCATGGAGTAAGGCGGCATTGTAGTTGGCGATGTTTTGGTACGGCTGCGAAATGAAACCGGCGATACGGCTGCAGGGAATTGGACTGAGACACGCCGAGGACGAGGAAAAGCGATTTCTTGGCCTTTCCGGGGGATTTTCGAAAGACCGGCGCTGGGATTATTTTTTATGTAGAAGCACGTCAACGCCTGCTTGACATGGTTTTACGTTCGCTTCGGTGTAGCGTGGGTAAGCGAGGCGATCGCCGAGCCGCACAAAGGCTTTTTGTTACGCCGGCTGAGAATGAGTATTGGTTTGATGATGCTGGCCAATGGTGGAGGGGCCAATGGTGGAGGGGCCAATGGCGGAGGCGCCAATGGCGGAGGGGTCCTATGACGTCAGAGATGGGGCCTAAAAAGCCAGAAAGTCAGTGGATGAAATGATAGATGGAGTCGATGAGGGTGGTCCTAGGATGCAAGGCGCCTATCCCGTGAAGCCGATAAAGGAGGTGGACCAGGGAGGGTCTTTTTTTGGTGAAGAATTGATTTAACGTCGCTTCGGGATATCACCTACTCCTCAGCTTTGAAAGCTATAAACCGAGATCGTATAGTAAAAACCTTCTCTCAAGTTACCAGATACCAGGGTGGCTATGACTTCACACCTTGGTCTTATCAGTTGGGGTGGATAGCGAGCGACAATGTATCTTTGAGGGTTTTGCAAATCATATTATGTCATAGACCCCTCGGCAAAACCGTTTACATTGCCCTTTTCAATTGCTAGGGCAGAAGGGGATTATGTGGTTTGTCCTGGAGTTCTAAAATTCTCTCCTTAGACCAGTACGTGTATCACGATTTTAACAAAGCAATTGAGACGTCTTAAGTTCTTGAATGTAGTGTCAACTGGATCTAGCATCAATTTAAGATGCACAGGCCCCAGAAATCCTCGCTCATGCCACCAGTATTTTGTGCTTCGAAGTGGGGATTTTGTTTTTGAAGGAAGAAGATAAGGAGAAGTGGCTTTGATGAATGTATACCTTCTATAACTCAAAAAAGCAGCTTGGATATCTACTCTGAATCAGAACGATCTGCCTTGAGGGCTTATAACTTTGGCTGCACAGCAACTGCATTGTAAAGTTCGTCTTTCTCATTGGCAGCACCGCTCCTCAAAAGCGCCCTAGTCAAATCGTAAGTCAAGTGGTCAGTGTTCTCGATACCAATGCACAGTTTGATCAAGTCCTCGGGAAATTCCCTCTCTCCTCTGTTCTTAGAATCAATGGAGGCATGTGACCTTGCAAGGCATGGAGATTAAAGAGTTCACAGCCAAAAAAAAACGGCGATACCAAAGGTATCTGTGGACTCGACAATTTTCTCTGTCGGAGGTTCTCTGCAGCTAGATGTAGATGTACTTCACGATGAGATAGAGCTTGGTGAAATGGCTTGGTTCTAGGGAAATGTGCATTTGTCTTTTGGGCGACGGTCAAAGTCACCCAATGCAGAGGGCGATAGAAATAATCATAGGTCTGAGGAGGTAAGTGAGTGACCTATAGCCAATGGGGTGAAAGTGCCATTTTAATCATTATATGCTGTTAGAAGATACTGAAAAGATGATATTCCAAGGCGACGCACAGCATAAGTGTGCCCGAGTTACGTCCACTGACGAGACCAACGTCTTCCTGCAAAGTAAATTGGTCAAGCACCAAGTCGATATCAACTTTTTGAATTATCTTTGTGCTGCTGTAATTCTTGGGCTCCTCGTTGGCGAGAAGATGGGCAAGTCTTGTTGAGTGACCCCGAGGTAGAAGTAGGGTTTCTCTATTTGGTCCAACTAGTTGTTGAGAAGGAGAGTTTACTACAATCTTTTCTTGAATTCTGGCGTGAATATATTGGGATTTCTTCGGGGCTTGCGGAGCCCACGTTTGTGAGCAATCCGTATGCACTGAATAAAAAATCAGTATCATAAGAAGGTAGAAATCCTAAGATAACAGTGGATATTATTAATATTCACATTGACGTTGTTGGATGTGAGAGTCATGACATGAAAGCATCTAACCAAGAGACAGAACACTTGACTATGAGTATTGGTTTGATGATGCTGGCCAATGGTGGAGGGGCCAATGGTGGAGGGGCCAATGGCGGAGGCGCCAATGGCGGAGGGGTCCTATGACGTCAGAGATGGGGCCTAAAAAGCCAGAAAGTCAGTGGATGAAATGATAGATGGAGTCGATGAGGGTGGTCCTAGGATGCAAGGCGCCTATCCCGTGAAGCCGATAAAGGAGGTGGACCAGGGAGGGTCTTTTTTTGGTGAAGAATTGATTTAACGTCGCTTCGGGATATCACCTACTCCTCAGCTTTGAAAGCTATAAACCGAGATCGTATAGTAAAAACCTTCTCTCAAGTTACCAGATACCAGGGTGGCTATGACTTCACACCTTGGTCTTATCAGTTGGGGTGGATAGCGAGCGACAATGTATCTTTGAGGGTTTTGCAAATCATATTATGTCATAGACCCCTCGGCAAAACCGTTTACATTGCCCTTTTCAATTGCTAGGGCAGAAGGGGATTATGTGGTTTGTCCTGGAGTTCTAAAATTCTCTCCTTAGACCAGTACGTGTATCACGATTTTAACAAAGCAATTGAGACGTCTTAAGTTCTTGAATGTAGTGTCAACTGGATCTAGCATCAATTTAAGATGCACAGGCCCCAGAAATCCTCGCTCATGCCACCAGTATTTTGTGCTTCGAAGTGGGGATTTTGTTTTTGAAGGAAGAAGATAAGGAGAAGTGGCTTTGATGAATGTATACCTTCTATAACTCAAAAAAGCAGCTTGGATATCTACTCTGAATCAGAACGATCTGCCTTGAGGGCTTATAACTTTGGCTGCACAGCAACTGCATTGTAAAGTTCGTCTTTCTCATTGGCAGCACCGCTCCTCAAAAGCGCCCTAGTCAAATCGTAAGTCAAGTGGTCAGTGTTCTCGATACCAATGCACAGTTTGATCAAGTCCTCGGGAAATTCCCTCTCTCCTCTGTTCTTAGAATCAATGGAGGCATGTGACCTTGCAAGGCATGGAGATTAAAGAGTTCACAGCCAAAAAAAAACGGCGATACCAAAGGTATCTGTGGACTCGACAATTTTCTCTGTCGGAGGTTCTCTGCAGCTAGATGTAGATGTACTTCACGATGAGATAGAGCTTGGTGAAATGGCTTGGTTCTAGGGAAATGTGCATTTGTCTTTTGGGCGACGGTCAAAGTCACCCAATGCAGAGGGCGATAGAAATAATCATAGGTCTGAGGAGGTAAGTGAGTGACCTATAGCCAATGGGGTGAAAGTGCCATTTTAATCATTATATGCTGTTAGAAGATACTGAAAAGATGATATTCCAAGGCGACGCACAGCATAAGTGTGCCCGAGTTACGTCCACTGACGAGACCAACGTCTTCCTGCAAAGTAAATTGGTCAAGCACCAAGTCGATATCAACTTTTTGAATTATCTTTGTGCTGCTGTAATTCTTGGGCTCCTCGTTGGCGAGAAGATGGGCAAGTCTTGTTGAGTGACCCCGAGGTAGAAGTAGGGTTTCTCTATTTGGTCCAACTAGTTGTTGAGAAGGAGAGTTTACTACAATCTTTTCTTGAATTCTGGCGTGAATATATTGGGATTTCTTCGGGGCTTGCGGAGCCCACGTTTGTGAGCAATCCGTATGCACTGAATAAAAAATCAGTATCATAAGAAGGTAGAAATCCTAAGATAACAGTGGATATTATTAATATTCACATTGACGTTGTTGGATGTGAGAGTCATGACATGAAAGCATCTAACCAAGAGACAGAACACTTGACTGATGGTATTCTATTTTATAGAAATTTGTAGAGGGATAAGGGGAAAACAGAACACTGGACTGTTGGTATTATTTCTATAACCCTTCGAAGAGAGATAAGGGGCTAAGTGAAAGGGCGTAATTGGGCAAAAAATGGACTCTCTGAAGTTTCAGCGATATGGTTGGATACAGAGCTCAAGAGTCATACACCTTACCAGACACCTAGACATGCTATTTCTGGAAATGTACAAAAGTGGCCCGATACCTTCCTTATCGAAAAACAGTACCTTATACTGGAATTGCCAAAAATACTCCGCTCAGACATAAAAGTCAGTATGATATATTCCATGGGATTTGACTACTTGGGTTTGCCTCTAGTGAAGAATTGGAAGCTCTTGAGCGAACACCCAAGAAGTCAAGATAGACTCGAAAGGGTGGAGACTTGTTGATATTCTATTTTGTTGACTTTTTAAGAGGGATAAGTGAAAAAGTGAAAATAGCGTGATTGGGCCAAGAATGGACTCTCAGTTCTGGTGAAGTTTCAGCAGTAACGGCTGTCTGGCAGCTGGGTCACACGAGTACATATACTTTACCAGACACCTAGTCATGCTATTTCTGGAACTGAATGTACAAAATTGACCCAATACCGTCCCCAATTAGAAGACAGTGCTTTTTGGAATCGTCAAGAAGTACTCTGCTCAAACTGTTAAGGCATCAGTATCACCACTATGCCTATTCCTTCAAGCCACCACACCATCAAAAGCTTTCTTCTCTCCTTCCAAAATCTCCTTCCAAAATCTCTCCTTCCACAATTTCTCCTTCCAAAATCTCTCCTTCCAAAATCTCCTTCCAAAATCCCACCTTCCAAAATCCCACCTTCCAAAATCTCCTTCCAAAATCCCTCCTTCCAAAATCTCTCCTTCCAAAATCCCACCTTCCAAAATCTCTTCCCAAAATCTCCTTCCAAAATCCCACCTTCCAAAATCCCACCTTCCAAAATCTCCTTCCAAAATCCCTCCTTCCAAAATCTCTCCTTCCAAAATCCCACCTTCCAAAATCTCTTCCCAAAATCTCTTTCTAAAATCTCTTCCTCCAAAACCTCCCAAACCTCCTTCCATACCCCTTGCACTCGGTGGGACCACGGCCTCCACCTCATGCTGCCACTCCATATCTTGACCAGGCATCCAAGGACAGATCACGCAGACCCGTCGGAGGAAACCTACCCAAAATATTTTGTGGCAAGTCGAAAAAGTTCCAAAAATTACGGGGGACCGTGCCCCCAGCGCTCCCGTTTGGAAGATTCAGGCAAAAGCCCTTTCCGCTAATTCGTCATCAGAAGGCCTCCGGAGCAAAAACGCTTATAAGCGTTTCGCCAGACAATCGACAAAAGACAGCCCCAGCCCCAAGGAAAACGACTTCCCCATCATAAACCCCGGGACTGTGATCGCTTTCATCTTTTGTCCACAAAAAGCCCAAACTCAAAACAAGCTCTGTCTCAAACTCGTCCCCAACAACTTCCCCATTATCAGGCACTCGCTGAAAAACTTACCCATCTTTCGTCTGGCGCTTTCTTCAGACAAGCCAGGATGGACCCTAGAGACTCCCCATCTCCGGGTCCCATTCTACAACTCATCTATATATCCGGAGTTCTTCTTCCGACCAGATATCGTCTTGGTAGTACCCAAGGACTTCCCCTTCCTCGGGCAGTCCCTCAACGACTCTGTTTCTTGCCCGGGGATACTTCCTTCCTTCGATAGCAAGTCAGGAAATCACCAAACCTCCATACTCTTGGACTTCCCCTTCCTCAAGCATGTCAGAGAGGTAAACCTGACTCGTACCCGGAAATCCCCCAAGTACGAGAAATGTTTATTTTCTCGATATCTGCTGTATAGCCAGACCAAGAAGGTGCCGATTTTCGGCAGCTGAAATTAGTAGTGTCGAGACACAACAGGCTATTTATGGATTACATGATATAAGGACGGATGGTTTGGATGGATAAATGGATGGTTTTTGGAATTTTGGAATTTTGGATCATTGGATAATTGGATGGAATAGCCTGGATGGATGGTTAACGTCCGTGTGGTGGAATGATATCATGTTCTGGCATGCCGGGAATGGCGGAAACCAGTATTGGATAAAGAAGTGGATAATGGAATATTGTGGTGGAGGGGACAGAGGTGCTCTATTTATGTTACTGAGGCGGGGCTCCGTGGGATTATTTTCTACGAATCATGGGAATTGTGACCACATGGTGGTGTAGAACGTGCTGGAGGAGGTGAAGTTTGTGCTCCAGTTTCCCCGGATGTTGGGTTTTGTAAATAATATTGAATATTTTTATTGAATTGCATAAAACGGTCACAGGTGGGCGATTTTTTGGGGAAGTTTCAAGGCTGAAGTGGGACTTTTCAGGTATGGAAGAGTGACCTACGCTTTGTTGATCAGCAGGCAGTCTTGTAACTACTTAGTATGGAACTTTTGGGCTCAGGATCAAGATGTATTTTAAAAAATAACAGAATAATTTGTTCAAGAGGGGCAAAGTCGTCATGGTTAATGCGGCGAGGACTGGTTAACAGTAACGGTGTGACATCGTGATCGACTTTTGATGGACAACTATACTCAACTACGCAATTGCAGATCCAAGACAATGAATGGGAGATTTGAGAGCATTTTATAATTCATGGTTTTGAAATCTGCTTATTTTGAACTGATCTTCCCGAGAAAGACATCGTAGATACGTAAACTTTGGATGATGGATTGCCACGGCGTCAGGCTTTGTTGGAATTGAGAAATATGATGACTTCTTACTTTACCTAAAAACAAATCACTGCTATCCATCACCTGTAGAAATTCTAGGAAGCCCTGAGATTTCCATGAATGTCTACACCGGGAAACTCCAGTACGCTGTTCTTGCCTATACTGGAATCAAGAAAAGCCGTTTTCAGAAACAAGAAGAAAAAGGCAAATCTCGAAATAATCCCACTGCAGTGTACGACCCCTGATTTACGACCCCTGAAAAGTCAGCAGTGACACTTAATATTTGTTCCGATCTGCCATGTATGCCTACTCACCTACTCACGACAACTAAACATCAACAGAACCTCATCCCAAGCTTTCTTTCTACTTTCATCTACTGTGTGATCCACAAGCTCCCGATAATCAAAAGTTCCCCAATCCACTCTTTTTTTTTTTTTTTTTTTTTATTTCGAATCGCCCCCTCACCATACAGCCATCAACCCTCATCACCACATCTACAACTCCAATGACTCCGGATCCCCAGAATCCCCCAGAAACCTTTATATCCAAATTAACAGCCCAAACTAATGTCCCCCTGGCCTTATTCCACCCTCTGACTCCGATTCCATGACTTCCTCCATCCACCTTGTACTGCCCCTATTCCACAACCACCCCACCGTATCTCCACCGCCACGGCCCATTGAGCCTCAATTCCACGGCCCCAGCACCTCCTTCACCTCCAAAACCACCTCCCCAAAAATCACCAAAAAACTCCCCCAAACTCCCCCAATTTTCACTCACTCACCCACTACCCAGTGGCTGCGAAATCCATCCCAGCCTACCCACATCTCCAACCATCACCCCAACTCCGCAAACTCCAAAAATTAAAAACCAAACTCCAATTGCAAAACCTCCCCATCAACTTCCCAAATCACTTCCTCCACCCACCCTCCCCTCGTCTGCATACTCTCTGTGGCTTCATTGCTCTTTGCTTTCGCACCAGACTACCCTACATCTCCACTTCCACCTACTACTCACCCACCTACTACTCCATTTTGCACCATGCCCCCACGCCGTTCTGCCCGTGTTGCGTCCCACGACGAGCCCTCGTCAAAAAAACCAAAATACGAAGAACCAGACTCGGACTCGGACTTTGAGGCCGAAGAAGAAACCGAGTTGGAAGTGGGAGACCAACTCCCCGACATCAAACTCAAGGACGACCACGAAAACGACGTCGACGTGGCAGACGTTGTGAAAAACAACAAGTACGTGGTCATTTTCGCCTACCCCAAGGCGCTGACCCCAGGATGCACCAGACAGGCCTGTGGCTTTCTGGAGCTGTACCAGAGCTTTGTGGACAACAACACCAAGGTGTACGGCTTGTCGACGGATAGCCCCAAGGCGCAGCTGAGCTTTGTGAGCAAGCAGGGGTTGCGTTTTCCGTTGTTGTCGGACCCGGAGAGACAGTTGATTGGTCTTTTGGGTGCAAAAAAGACCCCCAGTGGCACCAAGAGATCCCACTGGATTTTCGTTGACGGCAAGCTTGCCGTGAAGAAGGTGCAGATTCTGCCTGAGGACTCGTTTACCACTGCCTTGAGCGACATTGAGGGTTTCGTGGCCCAGAACGGACTGGAGCCCAAGGAGGAGTCTACAGAGGAGCCTAAAGAGGAGCCAAAGGAAGAGGCTCAGGAGGAACCAAAGGCTCAGGAGGAACCAACGGCTCAGGAGGTACCAAAGGCTCAGGAGGAACCAAAGGCTCAGGAGGTACCAAAGGCTCAGGAGGTACCAAAGGCTCAGGAGGTACCAACGGCTCCGGCTCCAGAAGCCGAAAACGGCGCCGACGTGGCCGCCGAACCAAAAGTAGAGGCCTAGGCCAATGGACGTATCTGTTAGTTGAGGTGTAGAAACGGCGACGGTGAAGGTAGAAATTGATGCTCTCTTTAGTGATTGGATCGTATTGTTTAAACTGATCACCAAGATACCAGTGAAGAGACAACAGGTTAAAACAATGGCAGGAGAGGGCTTTGGAAAGATACTATGACTGCCTTCTTGAATAAGATGAAAAGTGTAGAGTAGAAGAGCTTTGTTCTGCCAATGAAATATGTATTTATGCTTATCAAATGCAATCGGGCCGTGTGGGCCATGTCGGGATGAGTTCACCCATACTTTCTTGCTTTTCTTTGAATTATGCTTCTTGCTGTGATGCTTGAGGATAACACCAAATGCACCGTCACCAATGCAGCGGCCATCTGATGATTCACCTTCAAACCACGCTTCTTCCCTGGCTATCCCATAAGTACCGCAGCCAGGTGCACCAACACGGCTAGCAAGGCAGCCACACGGGACGCCCACCACCAGTGCTGAATCACAAACGAGCAGTAGGTGAAACTAAACTTCCACTCTGCCTCACTTTCATCAAAATGGCCGCTCACAAGACCCGTCTGGCCTTCAAACTCGCCCATCATGGCCCTAACGACCACCTCGTGAATCGGCTTTCTGGTGCCCTCTTGAGGCTCCTTGGCTGCAACCCACTCGTCGTTGACGAAGCTGTAGAAGGACGAGCAGCCCTCGTGATCGTGGCCGGTTAAAATGAGCCCTTCCTTGTCTGCGTTGGGAAACACGATATTCAAGACTTTTTGGGACGTTTCATAGAGAAGATGGTTCTGCGACCGAAGCTTGCCGTTCTTGTAGGGCTCCTTCTCGTAGTTCTCGTAGTAGCGGTGCTCAGGACCATCCACACAAATGCCGGCTTCCTTGTAAAACGGAATATGTGTGAAGAGCACCGTCAGACCACGGAAATCCTTATTGGTCTCGTTCAAATGCTCCAAAAACGACCAGGTGAAATTGATGAAATCCTCCTCGAGCGCCGGGCCCTCCAACGTAAGCGAATCGAGCACCACGATCCTCCACTCCTCCGGCTGGCCCTTGTTGTACGTAATCACATAGTTGTTCTGGCCAAAAAGGTAGTGGAAACGGGCCATGTGCTGCCACGTGGCGTCGCCGCTGTAGCCTATATCGTGGTTTCCGGTCAAATTGATGAAAAGCGGGTTTTCAAGGTTGAGTTCCTGCCGTTCTGGGTGGATCCAGTCGTACACATCACTATACTGTCTGGTGTGGAAACGGTGGCCCGGATCCATTTTCTTCTCCTGATTGAGCCACTTCACCCAGTCGTAGTCCTCGTGGCGGGCCCACGTTTCCAAAACAGTCTGTTTATACTCGTAGTCCCTGGGAAACAATCGTTCCACAAAACGACGGGTTCGGTTGTAGAACTCCGAGTCCAAGATCCACTGCGAGCTGAACTGGTCGCCCATGACGGCCACGTGGCTCGGCTCCAAGCGGCTCTTCATCAACTTGAAAATGTGGCCCAAGAAGTAGTCGTTTCCGTAGTTGTCGAGTCTCTTGATGTACTTGGTGGATTTCCAGTTTCCGTTGATCTGGGGGTCTCCGAACGTAAGCATGTGAATGTCGGAAATGCCGTCATCCTGGTGAATCTGCTGGCTTCGAGGAGCACGGACCAGGGGAAAGTTTAGAAGGGCAGTTTGCCAAAACGGCTTCTCCACTGGAAGAATCTTGTTCAACCAGGGCTGCTTGAAATGGAGCGTTTCGCCCGGCCACAGGCACAGCTCGGCGTTATTGATCAAATTTGGATAGAAGTAGACGAAAAAATTGAGCGCCACGGCCACAAACGTGACGAACCAGCGGGCCTGTTTCAACATGAGTAGGTGGTGGAGTGTATGAACGTCAGAAGATGGTCTCACGGGGTGCCGGTGATAATAATAGAGATATTGAAAATGAGGAAAATTGGATTGGGTTTTGTTTGGCTGTTGGGAGGGGTTTTGGGGTAATTGAGCTGTGTGGATTTGATTTGATGTTGGTGGTTGTTGGTAGTGGTGGTGGTGGCTTCGTGATATTTCGCAGCCATCGAGGCTATGGTCTGTTGAGGGTATTAGCCTATCAAAGGCGGTTGATAGAAAGCAGTAAGAAAAAGGAAATTTGAAAGGAATTCCGTGAAGCTTTGCAATTGAGCCGTTGGATATGATGCTCGGCGTTGCAAACGTCTGATATGTGTTCTTGATCTACTGTTCGTCCAATTGTAGTGGTTATGGTACGGTTGGGTGTACTTCCATAAGCGTATTGTGAATTACTTCAAGAAACTCAATTGTCATTGGAAAAGAGTAATTGGCTCGTTTCGATTCAATTGGCGGTTGTTTCAGTATTTGTAGCTCCCCTAGATAATGGTTTCCTAGGCCTACTATAAGTTACATCAATGACAGGGAGCCAATTGCAAGTACTAGCGCCGTAACGTCATAAGTTGTGTTGATCTAGAGAATTAATTGCCAAGATTTATTGAAACAAGCTACATTAGATGAAATGGAACGTTGCACTTTTTGAGGTACGTAGAAACAGGCAAGACAAGATCAAGAATAAGCCATCCACTTCGATTTGAAATTTAAAGTCTACGAACCTTCAAATTTCAGAAAACTGACAAAGTTTACGAACCTTCAGATTGCCGAATACTGAGGTGACAAATGGCGTTGATTAGTCCTCCGTAGTAGGTACCCATTAGTCAACTACAGAACATATGTAAAGCGGCCGTACTGCAACAACCCTCCCTATTTGGTTTCCCATTGATGAAAACTCAATGCTCTAGCAATTCTTTATGGTGACAATCTATCAACTTCATTTTATGCAATTGAGTTGCTTCCATAGGCTTGATTCAACACAAACTCCCACGAAGCACTCAATTGCATTCACCACCTACTCCTTAAGGCCCTCACCTACACCTACAATTACCTACACTCAGGCTCACGGCAATTGACCGAACCCGCCAACTCACTCCAACGGTATATTCTTTATATGGGAGCCCTCCGCCGCCAGCACGGCATCACGCCGGCGGCAGACATTCGTACGTCATCATGTAATACGTCTAGCGATGCACAGGCGCTGCTTACAAAGCCTCACCCAAGGTCTGGTTCAACCTGGCCACCTTGCTGGAGATGGACAAGTCCAAGGTCTTGTCGCCAACCTCAACAACCAAACCGCCCAAGATATCGGGCTGCACCTCGCTGTTGATCTTGAGGGTCTTGCCCTGGCCGACAAAAGACGACTTCTGGATGGCAGCCTGCAATCTCTTCAAGGTCTTGTTGTCCAAAGGCTTGGACGAGGTGATCTTGGCCTCGACAACGCCCTGGTAGGCCTCGTACAAAGAGCCAAAGTTCTTGTAGATGCTGTCAAACTCGCTCAATCTGTTGTTCTCGGACAAAACACCCAAGAAGTTCAGCACGGTCTTGTCCAAGCCCAAAGACTGGGAAATGGTGCCGATGACAACCTTTCTGTCCTCCAAGTTCAAGGCAGGGTTGTTCAAGAACTCAGCAACCTTGTGGTCCTGCTTGATCAAGTCAGACACCTTGGTCAAGCCCTGGTAGGAGGCGTCCACCGAGGACTGCTCAACAGAAGCCGAGTACAAGGCATTGGCGTAGGTACCGTCAACACCGAAAAGCTGGACAGGAGGCTTAGTGTTTTTGGCAGCGGCGGCCATGGAACGGGCGAAAACACGGGAGGCCATCATGGTTTATGGTTGAGTAGTTCTGGAGTATGTGAATTTTGAAGGTGGTTTTTTCGCACCGAGTGTGGTGGGTGTTTGATTGGACGGGGGGTCGTGCGCGGGCGACTTTCTGGTGGAGGGTGGTTGGGCGCCAGCAATTGGGGCCATATGCAAATTGGGGGCCGCTTTATGCGAAATATTGTATTGCTTTTACGGAATTTACTGAAATTGGCGCAATTGGCGGAGGGTTTTTGGGCTCCAGGGTGTCCGAAAAACGCACTAGTATTTCGCAGCCAAAAGGTGGTGGGCTGTGTGCAGGTCAAACCAGGTAGGACCCGAGCTGGACTGCTGGATTCCGTCGTTCGATGCATTTTATGATTGTTTGTTTTTTGATCTTCATTTTACTGCAATGGAGCCATTGTAGCTTACTAACTGCGAATCTACGGATATAACCTGATTTTTTCGTTTTTCATAGTTCGTGAATTATTCACGGCTTGGCTGCAAATTTGGATACCGCATCAGGATTCTCTACATTAACGGAAAACCACAAACTTCTGAAAATCAATTTTGCTGAATTAACTACAAAAAAGAAGGCCAATGCCAATGAACCATGAATGGCAACCTTTTGTAGAACACGACAATCGCTGGGATTTCATCACGACTTTCCTTAATAACCAGCGTTGTCACCATACTGCTACACTTTCCTAAAATCTACCCTCTTAAATGACTTCACATCCATTCTCATAAACTTCAAACCAAATCCCCAAATCAATCCTATTAACTCCCCAGCCCAATGAAAGAAGAAATTAACCTAACAGCCCAAATCATAGAAGTGCCCACCAGATTAGTACCTATGTTTGGAGGAACAAGAAGCGTCCCCACAAGGGTCCTCTGCACGATCCGCAGAAGAGTATATAATATTCCTCACTTCATTCTTTTGGGCTGGCTCCTATTCTATGTCACCTATTGCTTCATGTCTTTATATGGGACAAGGCCTCATAACTCACCTTATCCAGACAATGACAATGTCTTGGAAATCGTTCTGGAGGGTTTTTGGAAAAGCCATTACCTTTTGTTGCCGGAAGGATGGCCCGGTGGAAAGTATACTGTAAGTGGCTCAAGAGCTTGCAGAGACAACGATGGTTTTGAAATTGTCTGTTACGAAGGAAAATCGATTGATGACTTCATAGTTCGGGATTACCTCCAGGCTGCAAGGTACAACGGAATGCATCCGTTCGAGTTTGATGCGAGATTCACAATGACGTTCCGTGCTTTACAAAAGGATTTGAAGCACAATTTACAACTAAGAAGATCCTGCCTCATATTCAGAGATCTCAGTGTGTGCAAAGACGAAGGAATAGAACCAAAAAAACCCTCGTATTTGCAAACTCTTGGAGGCCTCGTTTTAGCACACTTGGCAATGGTTCTGGCAGCTTTATCATTTGTTTTCACAATTATGAGGTTGTGGAACACATATTCAGTGTGGCCTGGTGTTTACTGCCTTGTTATTCAAGGAGGAGCATTACACATTATCTCAACACTTCCTGAAGACACACGTTTTCCTTTTTTGTCGAACATGATCATTCATCTCGTTGGGATGGTTTTTGCATATGAAATGGTACTTTACGAGGGTCTATTCATGATTTATCCATGCGATGGGCACCTCGAACTTTGAAGTGTCTCTTTTGACACACGCCTATCGAGTTTCTTTGAGGTTTGCAAATTTCTCGATGGTCGAAAAAAGTGGACGTTCAAAGTCGTTAACAAATATGCTGATGTCAACTTGAGGGATAATGCTCATTAGTCAAGCTGTAAATACCCAAATGCGTGGATTTGTCACTTCCGCTTATGGCAAATAAACATCACGTCGTGAATCAATGTATGATAAATAGGACTCTCCATCGGTCAATGGAGTAGAGTACGAGATCAACTTTAAGGATTCAACTATACCACATCTTCATTATTTGAGTAAAAAGGCCATAACTCTGCAGTCAGTAGCTTGACACGATACAGTTGACGACAAGGAAACTCCTAAGGTTGGAAGTTACAACAAATGCATGACTTCCAAACCAAAGTGATCATTACCCTCTACATATTGCACTACTCGAGCTTCCTAATACTCTTTCAAATACAAGAAGCTCTCTGCAGATACATAAATCCTCCTATCTCTACCCCTGAGGGAACAAAAGAATCATGGAAGAAGCATTAGACTTGGAAGCCCAGAACCCTGGGCCCGATGTGGATAAAAAACCCAAGGCCATTAGTGTGCTTGTTGATAAAACAAGAACGAGAGTTGAGCGAGTCGGGAGAGCTATAAGAAACAGACTGTCGGTGGGGAAAATTCCTCTTTATCTTTACCAGGCATGGTTGGCCTTCTTCATGATTTATTGTTGTTTGACGATGTTTACCACAAAGGTGGGTGTCGTGACATACAAGTACGATAGCTCACTTAGCTTGAAGATGAATCAGACGGCGAACTCTCTAGAACTAGCGATGGAGGGCTCAACTCAAAATTTGTCCAGCTTGCTACCACCACAATGGCCCAACGGAACATATACGGTAGGGTTTTTTTTTGTTTGCAGAAAGAACGATAACTCCAAAAAGGTGTGCTACAAAGGCAAGAAAATCGAGGATCTTATTCTCAAAGATATTGGCATCCAGATTGCCGAGTACAATGAAATGGCAGATCCGGCTGCGTTTGGCGAAACCTTCTTGGTAACTTATCGAGAGGTACAAAAGAATTTGAAGGAGGAGCTGTCAAAAAAAAAACACTGTCGCTACTCCGAAGGCAAGAGAACCTGTGAGTTTGAAGGTCTTACGGTGGAGGAGACTTCTTCCCTTCCTCCTACTAAAGCTGCTGAAAATCCGCCATTCGTTTGTCCTTATCTCTATCTTGTGCTAGCTGCTTTGTCGTTCATTTCGTTATCTTTGGTGTTATGGGATGAAGAAGATGGTGTTGCAGGAATGGTTATCGTGTTTTGCACCTTCTTCCAGCCGCATTTCTTAATACCGTTTGTCCCCCGAGCTGCACAACTTGCTTCTCAGCCGATGGTCTACTTCGTCGATGAATCATTTGCATTCGCTTTCACAATTTACCTTCTCGAGCCATCTATACCATCCATGGCGGCCTTTGTCATTTTCATTACAATTTTTGCAACAATGCCCTAAAAAAATTGGCATGGAGAGTATTGGTAATTCTACAGAGTCCCAAGCAAGCAGTATTCAGTGACCTAACGGTTTTTTCAAGCATTGTGAGGTTCAAGAAACGGTGATACTCAAGAAAGGACCGTCAATTATGCCGTTTACGTATTCTTGTACTTGTCTTATAGGTTAGGGAGAGACAGCTTCAAGAGGCGAGGGAGCTTCAGCTTTGTCTCAATGAAGCACTTTACTCCTGGATTAAGGGTCATTTCTTCTGGTGTTAGAAATTGGCAATTCGGAAAAGGGACATAAGAGGAAATCCACTAGACGGCCTTACTGTCCAGAGGGCCACTTTTATAAACCTTTCCATTATGACAATCATACGCTTAAGTCTTCATTTGTTATTCAAATCCCATTCGCCCGAAGAATTCCAGAATTCACCATTCAACGAAGAATTAAAAAAAAGAGGCAAAAAGATTGCAGCACCACAATTTCACACATGGTCTCCCACTGTATTACTCACTGTGGCCGTGGGCGGCTTGACGCTCGTTGATCGGACGGGAAACAGTATTTTCCACCCCGGGTGGCCGCAACCGAAAGTGAGCAATTTTGGCACACTATACAGTACCATGTTACCAGAGTTTATCTCTATATGCAGGAATTTGTAAAATATGTGAAAATACAAATTGGTTGAGCGTAGATAATTGATGCAGGAAAACACAGTAGTAGGCTAATAGCGGTCCATTGAAACCAGCCAGATTGACATGTTACGGGGTGAAAACTGCAATGTTTAAATTTCTTCAAAAGGCTTGGTGCTGGAACAATAAATTCCTGAACAAGAGCTCCACTTAGAAGTGTCAGTTGAGACGTTCTTCTCATTTACCAGATGTGTGTACTTTTTTTATTTTGCATATCTTTGCATGACAACGTAAAAGTAGAAAGAGTGGACAATGAGAGACTTTCGCTATTTTAGAATTCTAGAACCTGTATTGAATACTAACATCAAAACGTGAACCTTTCAAAACCTTTAACGAAGATATAAGGTGAGTATGCTTGAACACGTTTACCCTGTCTGTTTTCATAATTCAGCTTCAGAGGCAGAATCACATAATTCGGGGTCATGGAAATTCATACGCCAGCAATAATGAAATCCCGGATTGGTCACTCGGTGGCTCTATGTAAGCAAAACAAAGGCTCTTTGAAAATCCTCAATTTGAAGCCACATTATTATTATAAAGCATAAGCTTTTATATAAACCTCAAAACCCGCAATTTAATCCCACATTTTCAATATGACCACTGAAAAACCGGGGCCCAGGATTTCAGACGAAGAAGGCTTTCACCGCTCTACACCAATACTGGAAAAGCTTCAAGCTAAATTTGGAGGAATGCCCCTAAAACGTATCGTGAATAGGTTTTGGTACGTTCCTCTATTGCTTTTCCAAGTATGGCAAATTTTCTTCGTGTTTCACGTTTACAATACTTTGTATAAAGTAGAAGGAAGCTACCAAGCTTACCATTATGACAATTCACTTGCCCTGAACATCATCAAAACAGTTGATATCTTGGAGAATGTTATTGAAGGCTCGACAAATAATGTTTCTCACCTTTTGCCGGAGCAATGACCCAACGGGACATATACAATGGGTTATTTTGGAATTTGCAGAGAAAATGAGGGTTCCCAGAAAGTCTGTTACAAAGGATCCAAGACGGAGGACCTTGTACTAAAAGACATCGGCATTCAGATTGCCGAGTATAACCAAATGGCCGATCCAGTGCAGTTTGGGGAAAAGTTCAAGCAGAAATACCGTGATTTGCAGAATGAAGTGGATGAAGAGTTACAAAGAAGACTCAGGTGCCGCAACACAGGTGAAAAGGAGGTTTGCTATCACGAGGGAGTAACAGATAGTGATAGTGGTTACCTTCCTAACAGCACGAGGCCTAGACGGGTTTCTTTCTTTGGTAATCGTATAGTGTTGGTGTTTGTGGGCATTTCAATCGGAGTGTCAACATTAGGATTTTGGATAGACGTGTTTCATTTGATTCTGCTTTTTTGCAGCATGCTTGTGATCATGCCTTTATTAAGTCCACATGAAGATAAGTTTCTATCCCCAACTGAGTGGTATTTCAATATTGGTCTGTCTACACTCAGTGGAACGATGTATTACGCTGAAGTAAGCTTTTTCTTTCTTGTATATGCATACGCCTATTCCTTGACGTATCTAGAAGTAATCTAATACTATTTCATGAAGCAAATAAGTGTAGAAGCCATTGTGGCTGAAAACCATCCAAGACGATTTTCATACCACGAAATCAAGTATTCTATTTCACTTGCTGCTGATGTGTATCTACTTATACATATATATCTTCTTTTTTTTTTTTTTTTTTTTTTTTGAATACATCTGATCAAATGGAAAACCTCATTCACTTTTACATAGAGATAAGATCATATTATCAGCTTCCAGACTAGCTCCGTTCAAAGATCCCTAAATACTTACATCTACCTTGTCAAAACAGCATTCAACGTACTCACCGAACCTCTATTGAAATAACAAAAATGGAAAAAACAAATTGCCAACCTGAAATGACGACATTCACTGAAAATCACATTCATTGGAGACGCATATGAAGTTATGCATTATCGTTAATTTCCGAGGGGCCTGGAAATGTGGTATTCTGTTCATGAGGCCTCAACCTCGAAATCAACCTTGCCTCTAAAAATGATAAAATCAAGGAATCCTTCCGCGGACCTTGATTTCATTTTAAGACCATTACTGTAGCTCCCTGGATGACCAATAATGTAAGTCGCCCGAATTGTCAAATAATATGATCGGCACCCCTGCTTCCTTATAAAGTCTGCACCATAGCCCAAATAATTCCAGAATCTCCCACCATCTGACATCTCATGGGAGAAGAAATAGACTTGGACGATCAGAACCAGTTCGTGCCAGAAACGACAAGTTTTGTGGATTCGCCTGCTAGAATAAGAGACTACTGCAAAGATGTCTTCAGCAATTACCAATACCAAATACTGGCTATTTATCCCTTGATATATTTGGGCTGGCTTCTATATTACATAACATATATTTATCGGTCCTTATATGTCACAGGGGCGAACCATCAAATATGTGAGTATGACCATTCACTAGTTTCCAGTATGAATAACACTGTGAACGCTTTGGAGAAGGCAATGGAGGGATCAACAAAAAACATTGGACAGCCTTTACCAGAGCAATGGCCTCATGGATTCTACACCGTGACATATTCTGGAGTATGTAGAGAAAACGATGATTCTGAAAAGGTGTGTTATAAAGGACTATCGCCAGAAGACCTTATATTGAAGGACGTCGGCGTCCAAATTGCCGAGTTCAACAAAATTGAAAATCCACTTCAGTTTGGTGAAAAGTTCACGCTGACATACCGTGATGTGCAAGGTAAATTGGAGAAGGAATTAGAAAGAAGAAAAACGTGCCGCGATACTCTGGGTGACCCGGTTTGCTTTTACAAGGGCTTAACTAACGACGAGGTATCATTCTTGCCTCAAGACAAAGCATATTTGGCTATACAGATTGCTGTATCGTGGTTCAATATCTTTTTTGTTGTTTTGTGTGTTGGCGTGATAAGTGTGGGCTTGTGGAAGAGCCACCGTGATCTTGCACTAGGTGGCGCTTTATCTCTCAGCGCCTTGCAGATTGTTTTTCCACTTCTGACCGCATTACTGAAGGTAGATGCTTTACATCTGCTCGCGTGGTATTTCGAAATTAGGCTGTTCACACCAGCCCCTACACTTCATGTGGTTGCGATCGTATTAGCAATTGTAACGTTCTGTTATCTGTTATGGCTTGATGAAATGCGGAGGAAAAAATATCTCTGGTCACCTCTGTATTGAATCATCTCCACCATTACAGACTATTTTGAGAGGTTCAGTATACTGATGATGGTTCTATTCTAGCTCTTGGAAGCGGGCCTACGATGCCTTAGCCTTCAATGTATATCGTAAGCTTTCATTTACAGAGGTTTATGGCGGAATGGTTACTTGCAATTAAGGAAGGAGTCTAGTGTGTCACAAGATGCCAATATGTTTTGATATCGCAACTCGTCACTTCCACCATAAGAAGAAAATCGAACTAAGCCAGGCGGCAGTTTGCTGTTGGAACTCCGAGGAGGTTGTGTCTCGAAGGAGTATCTGTATGGGGTTCATTGAAAAGTAAGGTTAACTCGATCAGACAGGACCTTTTTAAAACGAAGCATCGAAGTAAGGTACTTGAAATTAGGTTTACGAAATCGTGAGAAACAAATCCATAATGGGCTTCATTTCAGTACTTAAAAAGGGAGGTTCTACTTGTTGCTGATGATAGTCTTCTGTAGTTGCACTTAGCTTGTTTGTCAAAAACAACATCCAACGTACTCACAGAATGTTATGTTATGTCAACGGTTTTGCCAGTCAACGAAATTTGCTGAAAGTCATCTTCACTAGAACTTGTGGAGGTTCCACTTTTGTGTATCACCCACGGAATTGCAAATGTGGTATTTTACTCACGAGAGAAGCCCCAAGAAATCAATCTTGGCTGAAGAAGTTCCGAATCAGGGAACTCCAACCCAGAACCGTTCAGGTCATTCCAACCATTACTGAAGCTTGCGTGGATGGCAAATAAGGCAAGTATCCGAATTGCCAAATACTATGTGTGGCACCTCCACTTCCATATAAAGTCGTCACCATGGCCAAAGAAATCCGAAATTTAACCATCCACTATCCCATGAAAGAAAACGTCATGAATCAAAAAGTCGTACAAAACGTCAAGGAGGATAACGTCACAGACAACGTCTCGAAAGACAACGTCACAGACAACACCATGAATGAAGAAATAGACTTGGAAGCACAGAGGCCGACTGTGCCAGAAACGACGACATCTGTGCCTGGAAGACTAAAACACTCTTTCAAAAAATTCTACAGCACTTACAAAAATCAAATAGCTACTATTCCTGCATTGCTTTACATGGGTTGGCTTCTATTCTACATAACGTTTATGTACCGATCCCTATACATCACCGGAGCATACCATGAAATATGTGAGTACGACAGTTCACTAGTTTCTGAGATGAACAGCACTGTGAACGCTTTGGAGAAGGTCATAGAAGGATCAACACAGAACATTGGACAGCTCTTACCAGAGCAATGGCCCCATGGATTCTACACCGTGACATATTCTGGAGTATGCAGAGAGAACGATAATTCTGAAAAGGTGTGTTACAAAGGACTGTCGGTAGAAGACCTACTATTAAAAGACGTCGGCATCCAAATTGCAGAATTCAACAAAATGGAAAACCCCGTTCAGTTTGGTGATAAGTTCATGCTTACATACCGTGATTTGCAAGGTAAATTGAGGAAGGTACAACACATGAAACCGTGCCCCACCACACTGGTTGACGGGGTTTGCTGGTACGAAGGCTTAACTAACGATGAGATTTTATCATTGCCTGAAAATGTAATTGGCACGAGTATGCAGCTTTTTGCTGCTTGGGTAGTCATGAGTTTTGCCGCAGTGTCTCTTGTCCTGCTCATTACGGGGCTTTGGATGAGCGGCATTGACCCAAATATTCCACTATTAATCGTTCCAGGTTTCAGCCCAATTGGGTGTTTATTTTCAATTTTGGCCGCAACTCCGGGAATGGAAGCGTTGTATGTGACCGCTCGGTATTTCGATATCAGGCTGTTTACAACGGGCCCTACAGTTCATGTCATTGCTTTCGTATTGGCAATTATATCAAGCTGTCACTGTTTTTGGCTTGTGTTTAAACCGGAAACTCCAGCCACAGTAAACCCCACCATTCCAGAGTAATGATACGTCAAGTGTGTGGATTGGGAAAGGGGAGATATACCTACGAAAGAAGGCATATTTTCCACCTACCTATTTAATAAGAGGGATATATTCCATCATAATATAGTTAATAATATAGAAGGTGTATATTCTAATATAAATGATCATCATATCTATAAAATGAATCAATGGATAAATTGCCTGCTGAATGGATTAAACGGTATAGATTCTTACTATTACCTATAAATGTTTCAATTAATTTAATGGGTTTAGCTTTAACTATAGGTTGAAATGCTCACGGTTATATGCCAAATACTAACTTTATATTTATAAGTATGGTAGTGTTCAACTCTTGCAAGCAGGCTAACACTTTTTACAATTCGATCCATGCAGCGAGTTTTGATTTACATAGTTGATTGAGATTAATTCATGACTGACACAGTTCAGTCGGAAACAATTATGGGACGTTTTCAGACGCCAAATATGTTGTAGAGGATAATCCCAACATCGTCACTTTCGCCGTAAAGAGAAAATGGACTCAATCAGCTCGTCAGCCCGTGTTGTTAAAAATTTTGGGAATTACGCTAAAGAAGTTGTCTCGAAGTGGTCAGGTTCAATGGAAAGTACATTTAACTCGACTAGAGAAGCATTCTTTGAGATGAAGCATCATATAAACCAGCTTATGTTGGTGCTTGTACTACGATTTACAAAATTGTAAGAAATACATACTCTTTCTTCCCTTGCTGATGAAGTATATTTGATGAGTGAATGGATCGATTCCACCACACCATACACTATTCTTCCGCCATTCACCCAATTTCTATTTAAAGCCGAATTTCATTTAACGCCAAATTACATTAAATCCCATCTTCATCCAAAACCATCAAAAACCCTTATCTTCAAAAACCCCAAAATCCATGTTCTAGAAACCACCTCCACCACCCACCCGCATCGCTCCACTAGCCTCACCAGACCATAACCCAGAATCCACAAAACCCCACATTCAAACCCCAATTCCAAAAAGCCCCCTTTTCTCCAAACATAAATACCAAGCTTCCCGCCCCAATCCAAAAATCCCAAAATTTTCCTCTTTTCTTCTCCACCACTCCATCCTCACCTGCGCGGTCCGCTTATCGGCACCGATCTACTACTTCTCTTTATGCTAGCGTGCCGCCTACTAACGAGAACACGCCCCAGGGGCATGACTCTATTAAGTCCCCGCTGTCTTTTCGCCACCGTGGCGCCTTTGAGAAATTCTCCGGTCAAAAATACGAAACACGACCAGAATCCGACCAACATCGACAAACACGTCTCCGCCACCAAACACGACCATAAACACGACCACGACCACTCCCACACGGCTGAAGGCCACGGCCACTCCCACTCCGAGGACGGCCACTCCCACGGCGTGTTTCACAGCCACAGCCATCAGCCAAACGAGCTTTTGGGTAAAGGGTTCACCACCAATCCGGCCGTCCGAATCACATGGATTGGGCTTCTTGTAAACGTCGCCATGGCGGGCTCCAAAGCCGTCGGTGGCGTCGTTTTCCACTCCCAAGCGCTTATAGCCGACGCCATCCACTCGCTCTCCGATATGGTGGCGGATTTCCTTACATTGGCCACGGTCAATGTGGCCTCCAAAGAAGGCTCCGTGACCCACTTCCCCTTGGGCTACGGCAAGATCGAGGCCGTGGGCACGTTTTTGGTGAGTGGCGTGCTTCTTGCCGCTGGTATTTCTGTGGGCTGGACGTCGTTGCTCCAGATCTTCGAGTACTCGCTTCCTCCTCAGGCCTACGAGTGGGTTGCCCTGGTGCCGATCCACGGCCACTCTCACGGCGTCGAGGGCCACACGCACGAGGCTGACGGGCCACAATTGCCCAATATCAACGCAGCGTGGCTCGCGTTGGGCTCCATTGGTGTGAAAGAGGTGCTCTACCGCAAAACCATGGACGTGGCAGAGGAGACCAACTCTAAGGTGCTTGTGGCGAACGCGTGGCACCACCGTGTGGACTCGTTGACCGCTGCCGTGGCGTTTGTTACCGTCATGGGTGGTGTGCTTTTCAACATGGCCTGGTTGGACGCGGTCGGTGGTAGTCTTGTGTCGATATTGATCATCCACGCCGGTTGGGGCACTTTCAAAGAGGCCTGGTTCGAACTTGTGGACCGCTCGGACTCACCGGCGCTGGAGCACTACCAGCAGATTCGCCTGATTGTCGAAACAGAGGTTGCGCTGTCCCAGTCTGCGGACCAGCGTTTCGCTGTGAAGGACCTCTCCGTGTTGAGTGCTGGCGCCCGTTTTAATCTTGTCGTGCATCTTACCCTGGAGGGCAATGTTCCATTGCAGGAGATCATCGAATTTGAGAAGACGCTTCTCGATGGTATCAGAGAGTCGAATAGATACGTGGGGAAGGTGTTTGTTGAGTACGAGATGTTGTAAATAGGGGGCAACAGCCAGCGGGCGGCGTAATTCTTGAGCCGCCGTACTAACGTATAAAAGTTTATGATACAACCAGTGTTTTGTAAGGGACGTTGGGGTCGGCGAGAGGAGGTGTACTTATGAGTGGAGCAGCAGCTTCAATTTAAATATTTATTTACTTTAATATGGATCCACGTCCTGAACGGTTGATATGTAGTCTTATCTTTTCCATTCTTTTAATGATTGTGGATGTGAATAATGGCTTGACTAAGGCATAGATAAAGTCATTCAGAAATTTCACTGCAAGCCCTTTTCAACATTCAGATATGAACTATTTACCATATTCAAATTTTAAGAAGTAAGAAACCGAGTGCTAGGTACAGCCTTTTTCTGTGTATATATACAAGTTAATACATTTTACCCACACGCCTTCACAGTGTCAATTCCGTCGCTGGTGATACCAGCACTTTTGATGTTTGCGTAGCGACTTTCGATCCCAGGGGGGGGAGTTTCAGATTAGCTTTTTGTGATAAACCTTCCCATAGAATGCTTCAATTGAACCAATTCGTTGGATTCAGTTGAGTATTTTCGTCGTTGGGCAAATTTTAAAGCTGGAGAAGGCCCCGAAAGAGTTATCGGAGGGTTCTTTTGCCAGTCCTCTTTCAAGATGGGTGATTTTTCTCTCGTGCCATTGCGTTAAAGGTAAGCAACGCAAACTGATAGCCATTGAGCTTCCCAAACGCCTTACATTCCCATCCAATGGGAGATCTTCTTTCTGAAATCGAATTTCTAACCCGACTGCCTCCGTACTGATGTGCAATGGGAAAGCAAACTTATTCAGGTCAATTGGCAGCCAGTGCCCACCCTATCCAAATCTGACCACACCTTCAATTCTCGCAGTATCTCCTTCCATCACTCACCTGGCTACCCCACCAACTCCTTCACCTTTTCCAACACAAAAACCAACTTGTCAAAGTCGCCCTCCTCGGTCTCTCTGCCCCACCATCTCAGACCCATGCTCAAGATCACATTCTTCCGGTTCCCCAGCGAGTAAATCACCTTCCCGATCTGGCCCGCCACGACCTGAAGCTTCAAGTTCTGCGGATCGCCGACCAAAACCACCGGCTCGACTCCCAAAGAGTCCTCCTTCATCACACCCTCATCGATCACCTTCAGAGTGGAAAGCGGAAGATCAAACAGGGCGTCCATGACGCCGTCAACGACAATCCCCACCACAAGCTTATCGACGAAATCAACCTTATAAAACCGGAAAACCGCCCCGTCGGGCGCCGTGCCGTGTATCTCTGTGGGCTTGTTTTCCATGCTGATGGTGATTTGTGGATTTCCAGATCTGCAGGAACCGAGACGAGGCGCCAGAAAGGGTGTGGAATGAGGCTTGTTTTTGGCGGAAGCCGATTCGGAATAACCTTTCATTTGGCGACAAACAAGGAACGTCGTTTGACAGGATGCTTTTTCTTTCTTTTTGTCGGTTCGTTTGACAGCATGCTGCATTCTTCCGGCGCATGGCCGCTTAGACTAGATGAGACGAACGCCCCGCCAGTCCGTCTATATAAAGCCGCCGGCCGCTATCAAAAAAATCTGCCTCCAAAACCAGGAAAACGAAAAAAGGCCGTTTTTCCACATTTGTCTTTTTTTTGTCAGCCGCCATCTTAGTCCGTCTGACTAATCGCCTGACCTTCCTGCCTCTGGATTCGCAGCCAACTTCTGATACTACTTCACCACCTCCACTCCACCTTCCACCACCATGTCCTTCACACCCATCCCAGACGCCATCGAGGCGTTCAAAAAGGGGGAGTTTCTCGTGGTCATGGACGACGAAACCCGAGAAAACGAGGGTGATCTCATCATCGCTGCCGAACTCACCACCCAGGAGAAAATGGCCTTTTTGGTCAGGTACTCCTCGGGCTATGTTTGTGCTCCGTTGTCCACGGAAAGAGCCGACAAACTCGATCTCCAGCCCATGCTCAAGGACAGAACCGACCGCCACGGCACCGCTTACACCGTCACATGCGATTATGCCCATGGAACCACTACGGGCATCTCAGCCCACGACAGAGCCTTGACCGCCAGATCCTTGGCCAACGCGGAGTCAAAGCCAGACGACTTCATCAGACCAGGCCACGTGTTGCCTTTACGAGCCGTGCCAGGGCTCCTTAATAAGAGAAGAGGCCACACGGAAGCGTCAGTGCATCTCTGTGAATTGGCAGGTTTGCAGCCGGCAGCTGTGATCTGTGAGCTTGTCAGAGACGAGGACGGGCTCATGATGCGCTTGGACGACTGTTTGGCGTTTTCGAAGAAACATGGCATCAAGATCATCACCATCGAGCAGCTTGTCAACCATATCAACGCACAATAGACTACATAGCATTGAGACCCCGTCAGCGATTTCCGGGTGCTTGCCTGGGGCGTAAATAGACGTAGAAGAGAGAATGTGTAGGTGGAGAATATCACAGGACGATCTCGAGCCGAGTGAAAAATTCGATCCGACGTCAGTGGGGGGTTTGGGATATTGGGAGGGAATCGTGGGGGAGGCGTTTTGCCAGGTTATAAATGAAATAGCCCCCCCCCCCCCCTATAAGCTTTAATTTCTATTATTCGTACTTTCAGCTGGTCTTTGTGACTGCCTTAGATGCTCAGTCTGAGTAGTACTAATGTGGGGATCTCAATCTCAGTATCATGACATGCTTTTCACAAAAAACGTAATTTTTTTCTCATTGACAGATTTGAAGGCTATTTGGAAACAGTTAAGTTCGAGTATTTGTCTTTTGACATCCGAATTAAAAAAATGCCATATACTTGTACTTGATGTGTGACAGATGAGATGTTCAGTACTGGACTGAACTAAAGTGGTCCCCAATCTCGATATTCCACCGATCCCACTCGTTATATCCTTTTTTACTAATTATTTAGTAAACGTGTTTCATTATTGTCCTTTTTTTTTATCCAAATTCTGTACTTTTGATGATCATGGTGACATCATCACTGGACCGGACTACTATGGTGGTGCTCACAATACCACAGTCACTTCACCTATTTCACGATGCAAAAACGTCAATTTATTAATTCGACACGATGGCATTGGCTTACGTTTTCTATATCTGTACTTTAAGCTGATCTATGTGACTGCCTTAGATGCTCAGTACTGACAGTTCTCAATCTCGATATCATGACATGATTTTCACAATAAATGATGATTTTGACAAATTAATAGCTATTTATGATCATTTCATCCAAATAATTGTCGTTTTATCAAACGAAATAATAGAATTCAAATATCTTTGCTTTCGTTGATAATCGCCATTGCTTAGGATACTCTATACTGGCCTGAACCACTTGGTCACCAATCTCGAATAAATGCCACCGATCCCACTTTGAACTTTTTAATCACTTCATTCTCGTAAAATCAAAAATCGTCATAACCCAACCACTTTTCCTAATCTCTGTACTTTTGATAATTGGTGTGACATCATCACTGGGCAGTACTACTATGGTGATCTTGAGCCCATAAGCATTTCACTCATGTACGTTTCAAAATTTTTAAACTTCCAACTTGACGTCTTTTCATTCCTCTACTTTTCACTGTCCTCCAAGACCGGCCCATTTATGCTGCTCGTGCCTCATAAAATACCCTGCCACCTACACTCCCTCATGCCATTATCTTATTATACATCTATCATGCCAAACTCAACTGCGCCTTTCTCTTACCGCTAACCTCGTCCTTCACAGACTTCACCTCAACAGTCACCTTGTCAAACACGGCAACCGTCCTCTTCTTGCCCTTGTAGTCAGTAAACGTCAACTCGTACTTGTCTTCGTTGTACTCTGCCGTGTTCACATCGCCAAGAACCTCCAACTTGATTAAACCCTCAATGCCAAACTTCGGCACAAGCACCACAATACCGTTGTTGAAGCACTTGATGATGTAGCCCTCCTGGTCGGACTCGTTGTTGCGCATCACCTGGCCAACGTAGTACTCAATACTCGATCTGCCGGCAAACTGGGCGTTTCTGTGCTTTTTGTTGATGTTCCGCACAATCATCTCCATCTTCTGCTTGTCTCTGTGGCTCAAGTCCAAGTTCTCGTACCCAATGGCGCCTGCAAGTTGTCTGTGTGCAACGACATCACAGTATCTTCTGATGGGCGAGGTGAAATGCGTGTAGATATCAACAGCCAAACCGTAATGCTTGAAATCGGGGTATCCGTAGGAACCAGACGAGAAGTACTGGGCTGCCATCATGCACCTGGTGGACATGATACGCAAAAGCGTATTGAAGTATGGGTCCTTGTCATCCACACAGCGGTCCAAGGAGTCAGCTAAAGCCCTGGAGGATTCAAGAGAAATGGACATGCCGTTCTTTCTCACTCTCAACATCTCATTGAGCTCCTCGAAGTTTGTGGCTGGAGGTGGAGCGTGTCTTCTCAACATTGCCGTTTGTGGGTATGCCTCGTAGATTTTGCGTGCCACGGAGATATTGGCGAACAACATAAACTCTTCAACCAAGGAGTTGGTTTCCAACAATTTCTTGATTTCAACTTCGCCAGGATCAGACGTTTCGCTGTCCATGTGGACCTTCACTTCTGGAGAAGCCAAGTTCAACGCACCAGCGTCCAATCTCTTTTGTTTGAGCTTCTTAGAGAGTTTGAGGAGGATTCTCATGGACTTGGTGAGGTCGTCCTGCTGAGACTCGTCGTCAATCTTGTTCTGAGCACGCTCATACGAAAATGCTTCTCTGGACTTGATCACAGACTTCATGAAGTCCACCTTGACGATGTTGGCGTTCTCGTCCACTTCCCAGATAACCGAAAAGGCAAATCTGTCGACGTAGGGCTTAAGAGAACACAAGTTCGTACCCAAAAGCATGGGCAACATATCGATTCTCTTGTCGACCAAGTAAACGGAGGTACCACGAGAGGCACCCTCGTTGTCCAAGGCGGTATTGGGTCTCACGAAATGGGTAACATCGGCGATATGAACACCAACCTCGTAGTTGCCGTTGGGAAGCTGCTTTGCATGAAGAGCATCATCAATGTCCACACATCCTGGAGGATCAATGGAACACACAAGCTTGTCTCTCAAATCCACTCTCTGCTTCAACTGCTTGTCGGTATCCAATTTCTCTGGAACAACCCAATTCTCACCCTCCTTTGGCAAACAGTCCAAAACTGCCTTGGAAAACGGTCTGTACTCCACATCGTGCTCCAAAAGCAACGCCTCCGTTTCCGCTTGCACACTTTCAATCTCACCCAAACTCCTCACGAAATGGCCCTGTGGGTACTTGGAGTCGGCAGGCCACGAGTCCACAGAAACAACAATTCTTTGCCCTAGAAGGTCCTTGGCCTTTCTGGTCTTGATACGGATTTTTGGGAGAAGCTTGTCCATCAAAATGACAAAGCAGGTCTTGGAAGAGTTACCGGTGTCCTCCTCAACGGAAACCGAAGATGGAGCGATCTGACCAACGTAGAATCTCCAGGATCTTCTTGTGATGCCAACCACTCTGGCTGTGGGTTGGAGTTTTCTTTCGTGAGCAGATGTGGCCTTAACAGCCTCTTGGGCCAACACACGGCGCTCCTTGTCGGAAATGACGCTTTCTTTGCTATCCTCCTCGGCATTGTCGTTTGCACCGATGGAGCTTTCCTCCACAATAGTCGAAGAAGGCTCTCTCCACTTATCCTTAGGGAGCAACTCGACAATGACGAGGTCGCCGTTGAACGCTCTATTAAGGTTATGCGTGCCCACGACTAATAACGGTTTCTTGAACGCTGGAGTGCTGATGGAGCCCTCCAAGACGTTGTATGCTGAGATGTTCATCACACCCTGGTACAAGGTGCCGTTTTTGATGCCTGCCATGGTTCTCGACGTAGAGTAGTACTCTGGGAACGAGATCTCGTTTGCGTTCTTTTCGAACGACTCGTTTTCCGTAGGAATCAAGTCACGGAGCTCCTCGCCTTCAGGCAAGCTTTCAATATATTCAACAAGCGATCTGGCATCGGAGCCATCAGCAATCGCTTTTTCTCTGTTTTCATGGTCGTTGCACACAAACACGATATTCACAGGGGTGCTGCTGTTCTTCACGTTCAAGTGATCTTTGTACCACTTCACACAGCGGCGAATGGCCCTGTCGTTTCTGTCGTTGATGGACTCGTTTCTCATTCTGGTGACAAAAGTGTCCTCCCTGAACTCGTTGTGGAAAACAACAAACCGCTTGTCGGCGGCCTTCACAAGCGCACGGAGCCTCTGGTAAATAGGAAAAGACCTGTTCTTCACCTCGTCAAGCACAACCTGAGGAATGATGACATCGTAAAAACAGTCAGGATGCTCCAAAAGATCGATCGCCTGCAACACCACGTTGGTGTCCACAATGACGTAATGGCCCACGCCGTCCTTGAGCTTCAAGGGCGAGTCGGAAAGTATAAATTCAGGCAAATTGCCCTGGGCATCAGGCTGGACTACTTCTGGACAGATTCTGCAGAGTTTGGAGTAGCACGGTATATCGCCACGGAGGTAGTGTTCTCTGACGATTTTCGTGCATCCGCCGTGGCGAGAACGAACGAAAACCTTGTGGGTTGCCGTGAGCCCCAGCGAGAGTCTTTTCTTCAGAAGCATGGAGTTGAAGAGTAGTTAGGGTATTCTCATCGCTTAGGTACTGTGCTGAAAGACCCGTACACCATTTTGCAGCCACCCCGTTGCCACCCTACAAACTCACTAAAATCTACATTCCAAACGACATTTCCCATAATTCATTCATCAAACGTTCTTTTGCCGTATCTGCTGGGGCAGGAACTCGGTATTCTCATCGCTTAGGTACTGTGGTGAAAGACCCGTACACCATTTTGCAGCCACCCCAAAACCATACTACAAACCGGCCAAAATCTACATGCCAAATGATGCTTCCGATAATTTATTCGTCATTAAACGTCCTCCCGCATTTGCCGTATCTGCTGGGGCAGGAACTCGTGCACGCGGGCGTCCCCTGTGTATGTCTGTTGTGGAGGAACCTGGCTCTTGTAAGGATCCTGGAACTCCTGGTCGGGTTCTTGCACTGGAACGGTGATGGCACCGTCGTAGGGGTTCACATTGACGGAATTGGGCTCGTGCAAATGGGCTGCTCTTGGAGGCAGGTTCAAGGTAGTATCGTCAATGCCAGAACTGAAAGAATGGCGTTTAGGAATAGGCTGGAACGAATTGTGGCCGCCGACCTGGGCGGTTTCCTGTTTGTGGCTGTCGACAAACTCCGTGTCGTACTCCTCCGGGTGGTGCACTCTGTAGTGTTTCACGGCCGATGGGAAGAGGTCAATGGCCCAGAAAATAAGCAAAAGACCGTACCAGAAGGAGATGGTCCACTCGAAACAAGCGGATTTCGAGTCCTCGCCGTTTTTCATGTAGAAGCCAAAGAAAGCGGCGAAAACAACGGCGGCAATGAGCCAGATGAGCTTGAAGAAGAAAGACACCATGTACAAGTTGGCCCAGCGGTGCTTGCCAAAAATGACTTTTTCGTGGTTGGGGTGCAATCTCAGCGGGAAATTGCCGAAAATGAAGGAATTGAGGAAGTTGAAGAAACACGCCCAGAAGATGAAGAAAATGAACACAGCCACCATGGTGATGTGCACAGGGTGGAAGGCGTTGGTGTTGAAGATGGACACCATGAGAATGCCCAACTGGCCAATCATGGCACAGACGATGCTGACAATGGCAAACCAGTGCTGTTTGTTGGAAACGTACGGCTGCAACTTCCTCATCTTACGCAAAACAAACTCCATCAACAAGGTGCCCACAAAGAATATAAGCTGGAACCCCGTGCACGAGATAAACAAAGGCTGGAGGTTTGTGGCGCCAATATCGGAGATGTAGACGGGCTTGTGGTATCCGTCCATGAAAGAGTACATGGGGTGGCCCTGGATGGACCACGCCAGCATCAAGGCTATAAGCATGCCCCACCAGACCACCAAGGCCACTAGCGGGATGAGGTAGTAGTGGAATTTTTTGAAGCGGAGCCACTTGGGGTCGGGGACAGCAGCGAGGACAGCATGGGAATAGACTGGAAAAAAAGACGATGGAGGTGAAAATGGTATTTATTTGTCTTGCTGAGCAGCAACCAAGAACGCAGGAAAACGGTGCCGATGCGCCGCCGTGCAGTGACAGCGCGGGGCTGAGCACAACAAGACGGTGCATGTTTTGATTGATCCGGGGGTTTCTCGAGAATTTTAAAATATGGGCTGTGATCGGAAAAGGCGGTTTTGGCGGTGGATTTCAAGGAGAAGTTGTGATTTTGGGTTTCTGGCACGTTCCGTGTCCGTCGGCTGCTCACGCTTTCTTGCTCGGTCGCAGCAATGTGGGGTCTGTTCCAGAAAACGCACAGCGCCAAGCTCTCAAAGGTACATGTTTTCACAATGGAGGTTCGTCATTTTTAGCAAATCCACGGTTGGAAGATCCGTGATCCACGAGTGACTAGCGCCGCACCGATTTGGCTGAGTCGCATGGAGAATGTGGCACCGCGGCATTGCAGCATTGACACGGTAGTGGCAATGACGCTGCTTCAAATTGGCATGCTTTAAATTTGGCATCTTTTTCAATTTGTCTTTTTCAATTTGTCTTTTTCAATTTGGCATCTTTTTCAATTTAACTGTTCAACATTATTTTGTGTCACCGGATTGCATTTTAGTGCCGTTTGGCTGAGTTGCGGAAGGCTCTTTTCCGATGCTTCCGGAGTGACGTCTCGCTACTGCGGGTGACATAGGCAGTGCATGGCAAAAGCTTCGCTGCCTGCACGAAGAGAGAGTTAGTGGTTGCAAGGATCTGGTTTCATGGAAATAGCCATTGGATTTGATTTGAAGTTGGTCGCTGCAAAAAAAGGATGTTTGTGTTCGTTGGTGGGATGGATTTTGGCTGGCTAGTTGGATGGGTTTGGTGGAGTGTAGCTTGAGTTATGGTCACACGAGTTGGTGAAAGTGGGATATGGAGGGCGAGTCGTGAGGATTTTGCGATGTGGAGGGCGAGTCATATGAATTTTGCGGTATGGAGGTTTTCGGGGTATTTACACTTTTTGGTGATCTGGTGACGTTCAAGGTTATTGGTTGGCAGGTGGGGTTAGTCCATTGGTGTGGAAGATGAGGCGGTGAACTGAGCGTACCAAGCAAAAGGCTCTGTTTCTTTTCTTCTCTTCATTATGGTGGGGTGTTCAAGCCTCTGACAGTACGTTCCGCTTGGAGAATGTATAAATTCAACGGATCGGGCAGTCTGATCGATACCCAATGAACTATGATTCAGCTGTTCATCCATGACTGTAAGTCGGCGTTTCCTTCACCAATGACATTCAAACGGCACTCAATTCATCGATTGCTGCCCCAGTAAATTGACACTTTCTACCACCAATGACAATTTCTACCACCAATTGACATCCTTATAAACCCATCACATTGGATGCACAGGCCACAATCCACCTCTCCATTCATACCCAATATCCAAGAGCCGCCCAAAATGCAGCAGGTTTACCAGATCAATAAATTCACAATCCCACCGCAAAAATCATCACCTTCTCAAATCTCCAATCACACCACCATGCCTCCTCTACATTGTGAGCTCATTGTCTCAATGGCTTACTATATTATCCAGCGTCCTCAATGGCCCCAATGGCAGCAAATACCAAAAAGTCTCCAAATATGCAAATAATCAGATAAATCACATCCCGAACGGAGGACCCTGTGTGCTAAACTCCGACTCGTGACTCCGACCTGACTCCGACCACTCACCACAGTCATTTATACAAACCGCCATTTCCACAATTTCCAAACCGCCACTTTCACAATTTCCAAACCGCCCCCCACAATTCCAAAACTGCCCCTCCAAAGCAATCGCCCCAATTCAAACCCCACGAAAAAAAAATCCAAATACCTCACCCTACACCCACCCACCCATCTCAATTCAAGCGCGAAATCTGGGGAAACAACATGGTCTTCACCTTCTCCATAGACAAATACACTACAAAATACATCCCACAGAGCCAGGTCCACCGCCTTCCTGGCCCGCTTCGGCGTCTTCTCGGAGGCTTCCCCGCCACTGCCACCCACGACTACTTTATTTGGCTTGAAATCCTCGTTGCATCGTTCTGTGGTATATCCCTATTGGCTGGGGTGTTCCAGAACCACACTGTGTTCAGCAGCCACGACGCCAACAACATCATAGCGCTGTATGCGGCGACGGCCATTCTTTGCTTCAATGCTTCTCAGGTCCCGTTGGCCCAACCCCGAAACATCTTCGTGGGTCACTTCTTGTCCTCCCTAATAGGCATCTGCATCCAGAAACTCTTCTACCTTTCTGAAGGAGGCCGTTCTCACACGTGGGCGTCTGCTGGCCTCAGTGTGGCTGTAGCCTCGGTGGCTATGTCCATCTGCAATTGTGTCCATCCGCCTGCTGGAGCCCTGGCGATGCTTCCTCTGATAGACCAGCACGTGAGGAACATGAGCTGGTGGTATTTACCTGTGCAGCTTGTGCTGCTGGTGCTTATCATCCCGGTGGCGTGTATTTTCGGAAACGTGTTCAGACGGTACCCTGTGTACTGGTGGACTCCGGCTGAGTGTGGTTTTTTTTGGAAGAAACCCGAAAAAAAGGGCACCGACGAGGAATCCGAGGAATCCAAGGACCTTCCAGAGGCCCAGGACTCGTCAGCACTGCCTCAGTACGTGCCCGAACTAAGCCACCCTCGTTTGGCGCCGGTGGCTTCTCAATCCAGCAATGCAAGCAGATGGTCGCACCACTTGAAGCAGACAGAGTCTAGAAAAACGCTCGACGAGGGCCCCAGCAGCATTGTGAGGGTCCCGGGACTACGGAAAATCGAAATCACCGCCTCGGAGATCTTGATTCCTGCGGACCTAGATCTAGATGATATTCTGCTTGATTGGCTCCGTTCGATGAGAATGGAGCTTCGCCAATTGGAGCCTGAGGCCGGTGGCAGTGTGTAAAATAGAATTTGGCTTTCATGAGTTGCTGCAAGGGTTCCGGGTTCCCAAGTCTACCATACAAAATTAGAACAGGGCGAGGGTCTCGGATGCTTGTCGCTTATCCTACAGCCCACAGCGCCTGAAACCTACAAGACTAATTGTTGCGATTTGTTTATGAGATGCTAAGAACTTTTGGGAGTCCCAAAACCGAATTTAAAGTTTACGTTTAAGAATGGTGAAAAGCAACAGATTCATGCACCAGCGCCTCTTCTGTGCTTGATGAGCCGAACAGCGGCATTTAGCAGTCCACAGCCTTCAAGAGGAAGATCTCAATGGCAGAGCACTGATCGCCGATGGACTCGTCGTACAAGTTGTAGAAGTCGCCAGAGTGACACTTGTAGAAAGTGGTCTGGTCACCCAATGCCAACTTGAAACCGCCCTCCTTGGTGTCGGACTCCTTCTCACCCAAACCGGCAACCTCACCTGGAACGAAGGACCAGCCGGCAGCGTAAATGGTACCAGCCTGTGGTGGTGGACCGTCGAACTGGAACTGTCTGTTAGCAACAATGGCACCAACTCTGCCCTTGAAGTCTCTCAACTCACCGTCAACAAGGGAAATCGTCAAGGAGTCGTCAGCAACACAGGACTCCTCGAAGTAGTGCTTAGTGGAGCCGGAGCCGGAGTTGGAGTCTGGAGAGCCAGAAGCTTGAATTTGGCCATCGGCGATCTGGTTGATGACAGATTGGGTAGGAGCAACGGACTCAGCTTCAACAGACTGTTGCTGAACCTGACCGTCACCAATCTGGTTAGCAACGGCAGCGGTGGTTGGAGTAGCAGTCTGCTGCTGGATCTGACCATCACCAATCTGGTTCACAACGGAAGCAGTGGCTGGAGCAGTAGTCTGCTGCTGGATTTGACCGTCACCGATCTGGTTAACGACAGACTTGGTCTCAGCGGCAGCAGGATTTGGCTCAGCGGCAGGAGCAGTTTGCTGCTGAATCTGGCCATCGCCAATTTGGTTCACAACAGACTTGGTCTCTGCGGCAGCAGGATTTGGCTCTGCGGCAGGAGTAGTTTGCTGCTGAATCTGGCCATCGCAAATTTGGTTCACAACAGACTTGGTCTCTGCGGCAGCAGGAGTTGGCTCAGCGGCAGGAGTAGTTTGCTGCTGAATCTGGCCATCGCCAATTTGGTTCACAACAGACTTGGTCTCTGCGGCAGCAGGAGTTGGCTCAGCGGCAGGAGTAGTTTGCTGCTGAATCTGGCCATCGCCAATTTGGTTCACAACAGACTTAGTCTCAGCGTCAGCGGTCTGCTGCTGGATCTGACCGTCACCAATCTGGTTGACAAGGTCTCTCTTGTCGAGAGAGATACCCTCAGAAACACCAGCCGAAACGGTTCTGATGGAAAGAGCGTAAGAGCCAGTGATCGAGGTGATGGCAGAAGCGGACTCGTCCAAAGTGCCCGTAGGAGTTAAGGTGCTCCAAGTGTTAGAAATGGAGGCTGGGGCTGCGGAAGCGGCGGCAATGATAGCCAAAAGTGCTGAGTACTTCATGGTTGACTGCTGGCTGAAACACAGCGGGACGGGCTGACTTTATACCCACGGCCCCTTTGGCAGCAGCTATTTTTGGAGGCATATCTCGAGGCGCAGATTCACCCAAAAGCCATTGGTAGAGGTGGTGTACAACGACATGCAGCGGTTCGGAAGCAATTAGGTTTGGACGCTTGTGTTTTTCGCACCCAAACACAAGGTTCCGCATCTGGAGCTGTAATGACTTGCAGCAGGCCTGCAGGGATCGCAGTTGAGAGCGATTTTGAGAGACCAAAATGTCGGCTGAAACACAGCGGTGGAGGGCCCACCTCCACAAATAGGACCCTTGTGGCCCATTTTGTGATTGTATTTGGGCTCATTCTGATGGCAAAACGCAATTGGCCTTATCATCTAAATTCTGCCTAGCAATTATCGAGAGTTGACACATTCTCGGCGAATGTCGCTTCCGCACTTGACGTGCGAGCATGACTTAGCGAATTTTGTCATTTCGCAGCCGAAGCCACACACCCACTTTAGGAGGCAGTGTAAGTGGCTGGCAAGGTAAACAATAAATTGTTTCAACCCCTAATGTCGGCGTTGGAGTCTAGAGACACCGCAACCAGCATTGAGCAACCAGCGGGTGTTTTTCAATTGACCAATTTTACAAATTAGTGGCCCATCGTCATCTCCTTCGTGACGTGCTGTAGTTCCGATGATTTTCCTGCTAATTGCTGCGTGCCTTAGGGAGCAAGTGGTCGGGGCTGAGGGCCTCCGGTCCGAACCCCCCTCCCCACAAATCTCAAGCCGATTTTGAAACAGGACGTTTCTGAAACACCTTCCTGACAAAGATGTGGTGTAAACTGTTCCCCTGGGCCCGCTATGCTCAAGAAGCCTCGCTTAAGAACGATGTTTTGTTCTTTACCGAGCGTAGTAAAAGATGTGTTTGATGCGCAGCGTTTTTTGGTGTTAGTGCATTTTCCCGGGTTTGAGTGTGCTCCGGAGGCAAAACGGCTTTAGTGAACCGTGGGCGCCAGTTGCTCGAAATCACAAAGTCCTCGTTGATGATTTTCTGTCCCGAATTTAAATTCTGTTGTTGGATCATGGAGGGCGGGGTCATGCCAGCTTTTTTCGTATACTTGTTTACAAAACCGTTAGATAAGGAGCCAGTCGCACAAAGGAGACTCAATCCGTATCGGATATGTCGGTAATAACTCTTCCAATTCGATCGCTGCTCATTATTTTTGTTGTTGTTCATGTCTCAATAGTAATTGCCTCGTATGCGACCCTTCGTATGCACCAAGGGTTTTTCGTTGCCTGATATACGGCTTTTGTGTAAGGCGTTTTCTGTTGGAAATTTCTCTTTGTCGATGAGGGGCCATATGTCGCTGACAAGGCGTCATCGGTGGGACAATGAGTTCGTTGCTCGATCAATGGGAGCATGAAATGTGGGTGAATTAATGTCTCGAGGGGAATTTCCAGGGTCCTTTGCGTTCGTGTCATTCGGGTTTCCGAGCTTGTGTTGATCGACTGGCTGTTTTTGGTCAGAAGTGTTTGGAATGATGGGATGTGTGTGGTCATCTCGAAGGTTGTCTCGGTAAGGGCGTTAAATTCTTCATTTTTCGATCGGAAACGAACTGTGACGTGTCCTTTCAGGTAGAAGTAGAGATTCAAGTTTCGATGTTAGCATCTCGGGTGTCATTTGGAAGGTTGCGTGTGGTGACTTTGGATATCAAGTGTAGCTGAGGATGTCCGTTGTATCCGAACAGGGGCATAAGAAGGTGCCAAATGTGCTTGTGGAACGCTCAAAAGCCCAGTATCTGTTGCTGATTTGTAGAAGTATTGATCGTGAACGTTTGGTTGAAATCAAACAAAAAGTGATGGTTTTAGGAGATATACAGACCCTTTGCTTACATTTCATGTTTAACGCGCAATTTCCAACTTTAAGCTTCGTTCCTCATGGCCCAATGGTCAAGGCGTCTGGCTACGATAAGTAACCACTTCTGTTGGAACCAGAAGATTCCAGGTTCGACTCCTGGTGGGGAAGCTTCTTTTTTGTCATTCTTCGCCCGAATTTTTTAATTCAAGAAGGAGCCGATGCCGCTAGGGCTGTTCAACTTCGCTCTTGCTAGATTTTTGCTTCTGATTATTTTTCGTTTTTTTGGTTTCTCGCACTTGACAGGTTTATGCGTTTCGCAGCCAAAGTGACAGCCGCGAATCCCCCTCAAAGCGAAGAATCAACGGTTCGATTGATTCAAGCAATTAAAATTGGCGTCAAACTCAAGGAGTTGAAATAGAGATATAAGCTCTACTTCACTGAAGCCTTTGCTTAAGAAGCGATGAAATGGAGAAGGGTTGATACTGGCGAGACTCTGCTATAGTTCTTATAGTCTCTATGGGAGTCTAGCTATGGTAGCAAACTATCAATTGAGAACAATCCGTACCCTCTTAAAGAATACTACTAACTCAACCGTTTCCGCCCTTCTGATACGTCAGTTGAAGAAGGCCGTAAACAGGTATGTCCTTTGGGTCGATAAACATGGCGAGACGTTCGGGAAACTGACCTGAGGGTCTCTGAAACTGAGAATATTACGATCTTAATGGAGGTTGTCTATACAGAGATTTAGTCTTTTTTACTCTGATAAAAAGAGAGGCCATGAAATGGAGAAGGGTGACGGCGAGATACTATAGATTGGCCTGATTCTTGCGCATTACGACTAGTTGAGATCTTTAATGGTGTCCCCATGGGAGTCCAGCTACGGTAGTCATCAAGAAACTACGACAAGAAACCAATTGAGAAAATGCAGCGCCGACAAGATCCCAATACACTTGGCCAAATTACTTCCGCCTCCATAACTGCAACCACCGATTTGCACCACCCCAAGCATATTCGTCAATTCATACCATAGATAGCATCGCTAGTCTATTAAAAAGCCGGCCTCACAAGATCTCATCCAAAAACTTCCCGATCCGGCCAAAAGTAAACTTCTGCCTGTGGTCGCCCCGGACCATCGCCTGCTGGCCCTTTTTGCCCAGAATGTCAAGCACCTCAACCACAAACAAGCAGTCGTGAATCGCCCCAGGCTGCATCACCGAGTCAAAATTGTGCACGCCGCACTCCTCGGCAAAACTCTCCTGGCTCGCACGGAAATACTCCCTCTCGCCATAAATATAAAGCACCGAGCCCTCGCCGTTAAACGCTGGCACCTCGGCCCAGTGCTCTTTATAGTTTGTCTGGTTGAATTCCACCCACGGCGCCACGGCGTCCCGGTCCAGGCCCTTGATGTACAATTTGCCCTTCTTGTTAATACTCAAAGCAATGAACTCGCCCTTGTGGTTCATGCCTGGAAACGGCACCGCAGCACAGGTGGGCAGGGTCCAGGGGGCGGTGAGAATTAGGTGTTTTGGCGCCGGAAGCGGCAGGAAGTCCCAGTCGAACTGGGGCCACTGCGAAAAATGTGCTTTTGCTTCGGCCGGGTAGGCGAAAAAACGCGCCACCGCAAGAGCCAAATTACTGCCGCAAGAGTCGCCCTTCACCACAACCTCGTAGCCCAAATCCACCAATTGCCGGTACGCCCGGGTGGCCTCGTAGAGCTGCGTCGGGTAGTAGTGGGCGTAGGTGGTGAGCTTGTAGTCCAAAACGGCAATGGCGAGGTTCTGGCGTTTTTCCAGCAGAACGGCCCACCACACGCCCATCATTCCTACAAGCTGGGCAGGCGCCAAAGGAAACAGGTAGCCGCCGCCGTGGAGGTACAAAATGGCGGTTTTCGCAGACTCGGGCCGCGCGACCCAGAGAAATGTGTCTTCGCCAGCGACAGCCTCGCCAAAGTGCGGGATCTCTTTGGCAGCACCGCGCCCACGCTGTTTCTTGAACATCAGCTTCATCGGATACGGCATGAACTTGGCGTCTGTGGCCAGCGCCGCCGTGGCAAGCACCGCCAACACGGCCACCACGACGTTTTTGTAAAGAGTGTCGAATTCCGGGTCTGTTTTCTGGTAGATGGTGCCGGAGGTGTAGTACTGGACGAAGGATTTCGCAGCCACCCAGGGCACCAGAATGGCGGCTAGCGCTAGGCGCGGCAGCGGGTACGTTAAGCGGGAGACTAAGGAGGGCATATTGGCAAGATGAGATGGGAAAGTCTGGTTTATATAGGCGGGGTGAGAGGACTTGGCGGAGTAGGCATGAGGCCTGCGGGAGGCCCTATTGGGAGGCGTGATAGACAATAAGTAGGCGAGTGGGGTCCCGTCCAGGATGGAATCAGCAGGATGGAAATAGCAGGATGGAAATAGCAGGATGGAAAAAGCAGGATGGAGAGGGATCTGAAGCTTGGACACTTTATATCCTTTATGAGTGATTGCCTTCTGCAGTGGCTCCCTTTCATTTTCGTCTCTTCCCTTTGCTTTGACTTTGAACTCGTTTGGCGGAGATGGGTCGCTTTAGAGTTGCATGGGGCTGCATGGGCCGAACGAATGGTGCGTCAGGGCTAGGCAGGACGAGGCAGGGTGGAATGATAGCGCCGGGCGCGATTTGAGATTTTGAGATCTGGGGTTTTGGGGGTGCGGTTAGGTGAGATTTGCTTTTGGTAGGCCTGATTCACTGAAAACTCACAAAACTCTCAAAACTCTCACAACTCTCGAAACTCTCAAAACCAGAGTGGGTTATGTTTCCGGCTCAAGTTGCCGTGCACAAGAAACCTAAAAAGAAAAAATGAAAGCCCCAGGCAAAGAAGATACGGCACACTCAGCACAATTGGCCTGGTCAGCTACTGCAATAGGCTGTTGGATCGAGATCTGGTGCGACCCGATTGTTCCTAGCCGAATGTGGGGTACTGCTTTGTGTCACTTTTGCCTTCACGCGATGGAACCGGTCACGGGCGGCAGGTGCTGTTTTTCTAATTCTCTATTTTTTCTAATTCGCTCTATGTAGTGCTGCGGTGCTGGAGGTCCCCACTGGCTGCAAATCACCTATTCAATAGCTTAAGGCAACCTGTCAGTCCCTGCCAAGGCCCCGGACGGCCATTTGTAACAATAGGAAAGTCCGGGGATTTGGACAATGCCGTGGGCCAGTTGCACTTACGAGGTCTAGCTCAGTTGGTGGGGTTTGTGGAGGGCGAGGCGTGCTGGGGTGGTCTGGGGGTCAGTTGGATAAAGCAGGCACTGGCGTGGAGGCAGGTCTGGTATTGTGATCCTTGCATTAATGGATCCAGGTTTTGCTGGGGGAGGAAAGTGCCAGCTGGAAACTCGGGGTAGCGCCAGGAAAATGTGTCGTGGAATTTGGAAAGTTGCACGCTAACGAGATCAGTGAGCTCTTTTGTTGAGGCTCGAGAGGCCGAATATGGCTCTTTACCATTTCCCAACACCTTCATAACTCAATAAAATTCAATGAGAAATCAAGTTAATTGAAATCAATTCACTGAAATTCAATTCAACGGGAGTCGACCCGGTAATTCATTTAGAGTCATTCACGATTCCAGTCGATGCAGTGATTATTCATTTCAAAGATGCTCAACAGGAAGATAAATCGACGCAAACCAACCTCAATGCTTTATTTAGCATGTAGTTCTCTCCATCATATGGTGAATTTTCCAGCAGAAAACTGCAATTTCCAAAGCCTCACTCCAATTTACCAATTGTCTGAACACTAGTCCAATCGAGTTGTCGCTCCCTAGCACCGATCAAGCTCGTGCTAGGTCGCTAGCTCACTGCTGGGTCGCAGTCGCATCAAGATACAGCGCCACCTGACTGTACCCCCACTTCGTCTTGTGCTTCCCGGTCACAATGTCCTCAGGCGTCCCCAAATGCCTCGTTTCCACCGAAAACATGGTATCGTGAAAACCGCCCTTTTGCATCCTCACGGTAACATTTTTGCAATTCTTCTTGATAAACGATTCCTGGCCCTGGCGCAAAAGCTCCCTTTCACCATACGTCAAAAGCGCGCTTCCCAGCCCGTTAAAAGCTGGAACCTGCGCCCAGTGCTCCTCGTAGTTGGTGTGCTCAAAATCCACAAACGGCCAAACGTCACTGTATTTTTCCGAGCCCAAGTACCAATTTCCCATATCTGCTTTGCGAGGGCTGAGGTCGCCCGAATGGTCAATTGCTGGCGTGGGCTGTGGCGCCTTGGACGGTTGCACCCAGGGCGAAATAAGCACAAGTTGCTGCGGTGCGGGCGCATCGAAACTCCACGAAAACTGGCGGTACTGCGAAAAATGGGCCCGGGCCTCGTCTGGGTAGGAGAAAAAACGGGCCACTGCTAGGGCCAAGTTGCCGCCTGCGGAGTCGCCGTGCATCACCACGTCGTAGCCCAAATCGGCCAATTTTTTATACGCATCGGTGGCCTCGTGGATTTGCGTGGGGTACGTTTTGTCGAAAGCGGTCACCAGGTAGTCGAGCAAGGCGATAGCGTAATCGTCGCGCGAGGCTAGGACGTAGCGCAAGGCGAGGATTCCTTGCACCATTTCAATCACAAGAGGCATAGCGTAGCCGCCGCCGTGGAAAAAAAGGATGGCTTTTTTGGCGCCTTCTGGCCGCAGCACCCATGTCAAATTGTCCTTGTCGGCCACCGGCTCGCCAAGACTGGGTTCCTGGTTCAACGGAGGCTCCAATTGCTGGTGATCGATGGGACGGGCGAATGACTGGAAATCGTGCTGGGTGGCGTAGTCGGCCATGTGGCTCATCAAGGCAAAGCGGACGTTGCAGCGGAGGGAGTTTTTGAACTCCGGGTCCGATTTTGTGTATGTGGTGCCGGTGGTGTAGAACTGGAGAATGGTCTTGAGAATGGGCCATGGTGCGGTAGCAAGGCCGCAGAGGAACGAGGCAGAAACCATGACAATAGGGTGACAATAGGTCGGACAGTGCTAGGTCGGACAGTGCTAGGTCAGGCAGTGCTAGGTCAGGCAGTGCTAGGTCAGACAATACCAGCGAGGACAATACGTTTTATAGCCAGGCGCCGTTCGTGGAGATACGGGAGATAAGGGAGGGGTGGGGTGGGGCACAGCAGCTTTTTATTTGTTTCTTGTTTAGCAATTGCCAGACCGCAATTCAAGAAAAGAGTGGTTCGCGGGAGTTAATTTGTGGGGTGCGGACTCTGGGCCTGGAGATCTCGTGAATGCGACCTCGTTGAAGCGGCAATCTCGTTGAATGAAGCGGCGATCTCGTTGAACGAAGGTTCGGAGATTGTTGTGGTTTTGTGGCACATCTTGGCGGGGCACCCCTGGTCATTCAAACGGAGCCACGGCACTTCGGGCCAAAGCGCACCGAAGCGAATCAATTTGCTAGATTCTAAAATTGCATTCAAATGGGCGCGGTTGCGAAATGGTTGCTGTTTTTTGGGATCGGGCGAATTTCGAGCTGCTTTTCGCAGCCGGGAATTGCGCTCGGCGTGTATCGTTGAGATAGACGAGCGGGATGGTTTTGGGGCAGGCTAGTAATTTGGAACTGCGGTGGACTGGACGGTTTGCTAGATGTTTGCAGCCACGGCGGCGTGGAATGTGGGGACCAGAGGCCGGGGCTTTCTCTTGTTTTTTTTTCTTTTTTTTTTTTTTTCTTCTTCCTTCTTGTCCGTTATCTTGTCCTTCTTTTGCTCTTATTTTCGTAAAGCTGATTGTTCGTGGTGTGATTGGATGAACAATGGAGCGTTGGGGTGACTGCCGTGTTTTGGCTGGCTGCTAGTGCACAAAAAAATGCAACTAGGCTAGATTGTATGGTGAATCAGCTCTCCACTTTGATAGTTTGTGAAAACAACAAAAAGCATTTCTCTACTTCAAATCAGATTTAATCATAACTAGTCGATTGAGTAATCTGTTTGGCATATCAGATGTACCCTCTGGTATCATCACAACGCCGAGAATCTGTCAATCGTTGGAATAACCTTCCCAGAAATTCAGGAGTTAATAAAAATGCTGGAAGTGCTTAGTGTATTTTTATGTATTTGATTATTGGGGTAAATTATTAGAACTCTTTTTTCCTTTTGCCTAAATGTTTAATCCTTTCACGCTATATCGAAATGAGGACGTACATTGATGATGGGACGAATCCACTACTTCAAAGTAGGTCTCCAAACAGAGCAGACATTTCTGTCAGTAATGTCACTGCTTTGCAAATAGCAACGAGAACATTACAGTTGTTGCAAGCTATATTCTCGTCTCATGAAACTTCTTATTTCTCACAATCTCATCTGCGGTCATATCAGGCGAATTGTTCACGCCCCCATCCATTCATATCTATATCGTCCTCAAATATACGTCTCGAGAAAATCGGCCGTGTGCTTGAAAGAAAACTTCCTTCTGTGCCTCCCGGCCACCATCTCCAACTGACCCCTGTGCAGCATCAAGTCCAACGGCTCAACATAAAACATTGAGTCGTGAATGGCGCCCTTCTGCATGAACACCGAGAAATTGTGCTTTCCATTCTTTTCGCTAAACTCCTCCTGGGCCAAACGGAAGATCTCACGCTCCCCATAGAGCAAAAGGGTGCTGCCCTCACCGTTGAAAGCAGGCACCTTCGCCCAGTGCTCTTTATAATTGGTTCTGTAGAAGTCCACCCAGGGCCGACGGACTCTGGCTTCTCGCCGTTAATATACAAAAGGCCCTTGCTTCCATTATCACCGCCGAGATCACCCTCGTAGTCCACGCCTGGGTACGGCTTGGGGTCGTGGTAGGGCTCGAGCCACGGTCCAATAAGCAAGAGGTGACGGGGAGCAGGGAGTGGCAGGAAGTTCCATTCAAATTGGGTAAATCTCGAGAATTGAGCTTTGGCAGCCTCGGGGTACGACCAGAAACGCGCCAAAGCCAAACACAAGTTGGCGCCAGCCGAGTCTCCGATAAGCAGCACCTCGTAGCCCTGATTGACCAATTCACGGTACGCCTTGTGGGCCTCCCAGATCTGGGTAGGGTAGAGTTTGTTGTGGTGCGTGATCAGGTAGTCCAAGTTGGCAATGGCCAAGTTCTGGCGTTTCTCGCGATCGAGCGCGTACCACACGGCCATGATGCCCACAAGCTGGGACTTGGTCATGGGCACGAGGTAGCCGCCGCCGTGGAAGAAAAGAAGGGCCTTTTTGGCTCCTTCAGGGCGGACCACCCATGTCAATCTCGAGTCGTCCTTGACGGGCTCACCGAAATGGGGCATCCCCAGCCCGGCCTGGCGCTCGTAAAACCTGTAGAACGGGTTCATGGGGTGCTTTATGAACCAGAGGTCTTTTTGGTTGAAACCTCTCGCCACATGGGAAACCACGGCAACCTGGATGTTTTTGACAAGAGACGTGCTGAATTCCTCTGGATCGGCCTGGAGCGCCGTGCCTGTGGTGTAGAACTTGACGACGATGCGGAGCACCACCCAAGGAGTAGTTATGAGTCTAAAGAGAAAAGGTGCGGAAAACATGCTGAGAATTGATGGGGATTCGGTGGTTTATATATGTGTTGGGCGCGATGAATAACTCCGGGAGGGAAGCCTCGAGTCTGGGGTACTGGGGGCGAGTTTCTTTTATGGTTGGGTTTTTTTGTACTCGATTGGGCGGACTGTTTTTATTCGATTGGTTCCTTTTTTTTTTTTTTTTTTTTTTTTTTTTTCTCTCTTTTTTTCTTTTTATTTTTTCCTTTTTATTTTTGCTCCTTTTTATTTTTATTTTTGCTTTCAGTCTAAATTGGCGGTAGCCATTGTACCTCGATGCTGGACGTGGAAATCGGAGATAATTGTGTCAGGCCTGTCTGGGGCAGATGCGAAATCAACGTTGCTGCAGCGGCTGCATCGGATATTTCATCTTCCCGAGAAGAGTGTTTCCGAACGGGAAAATGTGGTGGCCCTCCCTCAGAAACGAAACTGATTTCAAGCAAAGAACGAGAAGATTTTTCCATTTTTTTCCTTGTTGCCGTGAATCGGTGGGGTTTCGAATTTGGTTGCCAGGTTGCACCGCGGATTTACCGGAGATCTAGCGCGATGAGGCAGACGGGTAGGATGGGCAAGATCGGTATGAACGGTAAATTTGAGCATCCGTGGGAGCGAGCCGGGTAACTTTTCCAAACTATCAAATTTTCTTCCTTTTACCACTTTATCTGGTTGTGTTTGTCTCTGTCTTTTCTTTTCTGGAAGGTAAGCTTTTCCGTTGTGGCTGCAGCTGTCAAAGTCTATCAGTGCATCGAAGGAAGAATACTAGGTTAAGCCATGCGCTACTTGACAATGACTTCAAGAGTTCAATGGGCTACCTATGGCAATGAGTAAATAGCAGTTCGGCATATCGACACACTCTTTCGACTTGTGGAAGTCTGGATTGATCAGATCGAGGTGGCTGCAAACGATGGCATACTGAGCGGTGGAGAACGTGAGACATTGAATTATACAATTGAATTCTTCAAAAATGAGCTTTTACAATTGAATTCTTCAAAAATGAGCTTTTTAAATCAGACGGATCAGCTCTCCCAGTCAGTTATTTCGACCTTTCAAGTTGTCCATCGTATGAGGTTCACGATGTCTGCGATTCCATGGAATGCAAGATCTATCCAACCAGACATCAAGAAGCCTTTTTGCACAAATTGTTCACTCTACATATTGATCATAAAGTACCGAATTGAGAGGTCCATCTGGATTCAGGATCTCACATTGCCAATTCACCAATGGATACGATCTGAAAAGTTATATCAAGGGAATATCCGCTGCTCATGATCCTTTCCATTCTATTTCTTCTTCCCTGCTACCACGACATCCCACTACCACAAACCACTCTAGTCCCTTCAAACCCCCTCCCACATCTACATTCCTCCGTCAACGCATTCCTTCATTACCTACAACCGGAAGTCAGAACCCGTCTGCGGGCCCTTGTTCTTCTTCAATTGTCCCTTGGCGTCTCTCATCTGGCCCTTCTTGTCAATAACAGTCACGTTCTTGGCCTTGGCCAAATCGCCCAAAGCATCACCCACCTTCTGTCTCTTCTTGTCGCCTCCGTCGGGATTCTGCTTGTTCCTCTGCTCTCGGGCCTCGTTGACCTCCTTCATGTGCTTCGACTTGGCTCTCTTCTTGGACCGCCTCAACCTCTGCTTGTCCTCTGTGCTAAGTTCGTCCTTGGAGTAGGACAATCCGCTCTTCAACTGCACCTCCTTTACGCCCTGAGCGCCGTTGGCCTTGGGCTTGTCGTCTCCAATCTTGTATACTTCCTGTGGAGCAAGGGTGGTTTCGTTAGAAACATGCAATGGCTGGGCGTCTTCCATGTTGATGGAAGCTGCGCCGTCGGTGACCTTGATGTCGATGGTCTTGAACTCGTGTGGTTTGGGGATGTAGTGTGCCAGACAGAGGGAGTCGAGCTTGTAGTTGAGGCTGGTGAAAAGATCGGTGATTTCGTCGTGGGCTTGTTGCACCTCGTCGGAGATTTTCTGTTCGGGATCAACGCCGTGGTACTCGTCCTCGTAGATTTCTGCCAATGACTTGCTGCTTTTTTCTTCGGACACGTCCGTCTTTTGCCGCTGTGAGAACCTCAGCACGTCTGTGATGAGTCGTTTAGGAAGATCGTCAAATTCGTCGTTTCTGATTCTCCGCTTGATGAGGTCTTCGATGCTCTCGGTGACGTCGTCGGTGATGACCGGCACTGGCTTGGACGTGCGGTCAAACTCAAGAGAAGGAGCTTCGTCGTCATCAAGAAGCGAGTCCGTGGGTCTGTCCTTCGAACGCACTTCTCCCTTCATCGTCCATTTCTTCTCTGCCACAAGCTCGGCTTCTAGGTTGGCGATTTCGGCTCGAAGCTTCTCCTGCTGTTTTTCGTACGTCGACTGGCTCTTCTTCTTGGGCTGCTCCTCTTCGTCCGGGAAGAGATCTAGCATGGCTCCGTCGACGGCGTTTTCGTATTCGTCTTCCTCCAACTCGCTGGCTGCGTCTTCTTCGTTTTGCGTGAGCTTTTTCTTCGATCGGACGTGGCCCGGCTTGTCGAAAAAGCCGTCGTAGAAGTCCATCTCCTCGTCGCTGTCTTCGTCGCTGAGGTCGTCGAAAAGATCGATCTGCTCGTCGTCCTCGGGCTCGTCCTCGAGCTCCACGATCTGCTTGTTGAAGTCGTCGATGTCGAAGAAATCGTCGTTGAGGCCGAAGGCGTCTTTCTGGATTTTCTCTGGTTCTTCCACGAGGGTTTCTGCGTCCAGGCCGGCGTCCTCGAGACCCTCATTCTCCTCGTCGTCAACCGCTCCGCCCTCCTCCTCATTTTCCTCGTCTTCCTCCTCATTTTCTTCGTCTTCCTCCTCATTTTCTTCGTCTTCCTCCTCGTCCTCCTCCTCTCCTTCCTTCTCTTCTTCCTTCTCCTCCTCATCCTCTTCTTGTTCATCCTCCTCCTCCTCATCGTCTCCCTCCGGCTCCAGGCCAAAACGCTGCTTGAGCTCCGGAAGCTTCTCGAACAAAAGCGCCTCGCCCACTCCGCCAAGAATCATCTTCGCCTGGCCGTAAACCTGGGTGGCATCGAGTCCATCCACATAGAGCTCATCAAGCACCGAGTGGTCCTTGGCGATCGGGTCCAAAAGCGTCTTGGTCACGCTGTTGAGCTTGTCCACTGATCCGGCGTCCCGGGAGAGCCCGATTATCGCCAGCGGGTCGGCCGCTAGCTGTTTTAGTAAGTCCATGCTTTGGTGTCTTTGTGGATGTAGTTGAAAAAAGTGATGAGCATCGCACCAGTGCAGGCCTATCAGTACCCCAGAGGGACAGAGGACATAGATAGAAGAGGACACCCAGGCCTTTAAAAACCAAAACATAGCATACTTTGATGCCCCTTAAATCGCCATTTCCAACAATCCTCACTTTCTGCCGCTGGAAGTCGGGAACTTCGCTGCGCAGATGGGTCCAACGCCAGATGGTGGACCCCCACGCCAAAAAGTCCAAAACAGACGGCTACCGGTCCCGTGCAGCCTATAAGCTTCTTGAGCTCGACACAAAGTTTCGTCTTTTTGGGAAATCCACGAGAAACATCGTCGATTTGGGCTTTGCTCCTGGAGCTTGGACCCAGGTTGCTTTGAACAAAAGCAGAGCCCGAGGCGTTCTGCCGACCATCCTCGGCGTCGATTTGATCCATTGCCAGCCGCCCGAAGGTTCTCTGTTTATCCAAGGCGACATTTTCCTGAAAAAGACCCACAACAGCATCCAGACGTTTTTCGAGCCTCGAGGGCCTTTGGACCTCGTTTTAAGCGACATGATGACAAACACCAGCGGGATTGGTGACAACGACCATTTTGCCAGCATGGAATTGTGTGACGGTGTTTTGCTTCTAGCGCTGCAGATGCTCCAGAAGAACGGAAGCCTTGTGATGAAGTTCTACACGGGGAAAGAGGACCAGATATTGCAGAAACGGCTTGAGAAGGTATTTGCCAGGGTCCACAAAGTCAAGCCTGCGGCGTGCCGGGCAGAGCTGCGGGAAATGTACTTTGTGTGTTTGAGGAAAAAGAGGGAGGTATCTGTGGAGGAGTTATTCTCGTGATGATACATCGCGAAACGCTACTACAAGTACCACATCACAGATATCAACACACCCTGAGCAGCTGAAGCAGCAATCAATAGATTCCTCAGATTTCAAAAAAATCATCTTCAGAACTCCCCTTCATCTCCAGAATTCCCCTTGTACATAGACACATGCATATCCAAACGATTCCCCAAACATCCCTATGAAACACAGGCTCTTGCTTAACCCAGTCAAGTGGCTCAGGGGAGCTAGAAAACGCCATGCTGCAGACCTCTACGACGCGTCTGCCTATAATCCCCACACTCTACATTCCAACCCCTTTGCCAGGGCTTTGGACGCCACAAGAATGGACATTCTGGGGAAACGCTTCCCTCTAGGCAACATGATTCAAACAATCGTGGAGAAACGTGGCGGGAAATACGAAATCGTGCCTGTTTTGGAGAAACCGGTGCTTGGAGTAAACCCGGCAAGCTACGTGTTGAACAGAGCGTCCTACATTGCATTTGCTCAGAAAAGAGTGTTTCTACCGATACCCTCCAAACGCAGACAAAGGGACAAAAAACTGCTTGGTCAGACCCGTGTTGTCGACGACTTTATCGGTGTTTACCGTAGGCTTTTGGAGGAGGCGATACGGCCGCTTTTGGACAACGTGGAGGGTGGTGATGGCCCAGGCATGACGGTTCTACCAGGTAACGGACCTACAAAATGGGAAAATGACACGCCACACGTGTACAGCCCACTTGTTGACAAGGAAGTACACCTTCCGTATGAAGAAAACCAGCAATTGTGCCAGCTTCTCTTGAAACATGCCCAGTTTTGCGATTGTGCCCCACAGCCTCACGGTGAAGCCTTATCACAGCATGGAACTTTATAGAGTACAAGATAACCCACTTTACAGCCTATGGGGCTGTGGGGTCCCACCAGCCACTTACGCACAATTACAGCAGGTTCCAAAACCGAATCCTTAATTCTATACCAGTGCACAGCACCTTTTATGTCTCAGCGAGACCAATCTAAATATACATCAAAACCAGGAAGGCGGAAACCAACCAAGCCATGAAATTTGTTGATGGCACGATACCTTCAGACTTCTTCTGGCTCGTGTTCAAAGTGACGCTCTCCATTTTATCGTCCACCTCGCTCTTGGTGTCAATCCACTTGTTTAAAGTGGAAGCGTCAATCTCAGAGTCGATGCTGGTGGAGTTCAGCAAAAATGACACGGCGTTTCCGTCATTGTCAAACACAACACCACCCAGCATCTTGTTCTTCAAGTCTCTGTAGAAATGGCCCTCGGCAGCCATGCCCAAATTGATATTGTCCGAACCCTGGTAGTCGTGGATTGTGGAGAACAAGTGGTTGGATTCCGTGGAGTTCATCACCTCGAAAATATCGAACTCTCCACAGCCCGAGCTCCAGCACGAGCAGTTGGAGTTGGTTGCGTACTGCGAGGTTCTGGGGATCTTAGCATTGAGAAGCCAGATCGCAGGCATGTCGTAGAAGATGTTGGAGTTGTTCTTGTGGGGCTCCGTGGGCATCTCAAACTCAAACAAGAACATCTTGACGGTTCCGCCAAAGCCGTGGAAAGCTGGGATGCCAGATCTGTAGACACCACAGTCCTTATCGGTGCCCAGTTTCTCACACTTGGACGTGCTGAAGATCAGGTACTCCTGGTCCGAGAGAAGCAAGGTGTCGTCATCTAAAAGCGTAGCGGAGTCTGCCTTTTCTGTTCCATTTGACGAGGCATATGTCAATGCCTTTCCAAGACAGTCGGAGTCTTTGCCTGCATTGGTCAAAAACGTCACATTGTCGCCAGTGTTGTCCAGAGCGGAGTAGTATGCTTCTCTGGTGAAAGTGCCCAGCGACTTGCCCTTGACGTAGCTGTCGCCCGAGTAAAATGCAAATTGGTGGAGTTTGAGTGGACCTCTGAAGTGCACTGAGAGCTCCTCGTCCAAAGGCGTATTTGTGCCTTCAAAAACATTGAAACTCTTCTGCAACTTACACTTGCAGCTGTCCAGCTCGTCCAACTTCTCGACATCGTAGTAGTAGCCGGTGTAGCCCAAATTGCTGAACGTGATGGCATTCACCTGAGGCGTATTCAGCTTCTCGTTCCCAGTGGAGGGAGCCTGGGTGGCTGCAGCGGAAACCAAAGCAGGCAAGATGAGGGAAGAAAGAAGCATGGGGTAAAATAATCAGAAAAATCAAAAGAGGAAAACTGCAGCTATTTATACTCGGGCTCGGAGGGATGCACCCTGAAGCCGTCGGGGCGGTGCAATATGTCCCGATTTGAGGGATTGCAGGAAACGGTTAAGCACGATGCTGGCAGCTATTATTGTTTTCCTGCATGTAAGGCGGCATCTGTCACCTTGACAGAAGCGAACATTTTAGAGATCCGGCAGTGATGGGTGGGCTGGGTTTATATGCAGGCCGGTGGTCCCACCATCACTGTCACCTCATTGCGTCACCCCTGGGTCCTAAAGTTGTCTTTTGTATCTTTTGTATAGATGCTCTTTCTCAAGTATTTCTCTCCCACCTCACTAGATTCTGCCTCCCCCACGCCAAACCCCACAGGTCGTGCGCGGATCATAAATGCCGTGGTCGCGCGACCTTCCCTCACTGAGAAAATCTTACCATCACCAACTCTGCACCGATCCACAAACCTCCACATTCACGGCCCCCACCCACCCATTCGTCTCCCCCACCTTCCCCAAGATTTCTCTCATCATCTGCAAAACTCGGTCGAATGCCTGCACGGTCGTCCGATTACATATCGCCTCCACCGTTTGGGCCATCGGCACGAAACGACCAGGTTCCTGAACGAACAGCAGGATCCAAGGCCCATTCACGGCTGCACAATGGCAAAGGTCACGGTCAGAGATCTTCAAAGCCTCAGGGAAGACCTGGAGCTCCAAAACACCACGGTCTGGACAAATCGCCTTCTCCAGTTGCACTTCCGATGTACCCATCATCGCCCGATGAAACGTCGATTTTGCCTCCTGTGACGTGGAAAGACGTGCCTGCTCTCATTTTTGTGTTTCTCCTTCTTCCCCAGGGCATTTCGTGCCTTTTGTTGTTGGGATACATCATGTCGGGCACCTTCCGAGGTCTGGCTGCTCGCTTTCTAGCACGCTGTTCTGTGCTTGTGGAGGACCGCCTGGGAAGCATCATTCCTTCGTTTTCAAGGACCTCCGGTCGTCTGCGGCACTGGTGCTACAACAGAGCCGTGGCGGGCGAGTTTCTCCAGCTTTTCTCCATCAATTCCATGGTTTTGTTGTTCTGCCATTCCACCATGCCTCGCCTGTGGACCCACTACCTCCTGGTCATGGCAAAGCTGATTGTCGCCAGCCGCTTGGTGGGAACCTATACCGTGGGCACCGCTACATACGTGTCCATGCTGTCGAATGGCCAGACTTCCACGGCTACATCCACATCAAACCCACATCTGAGCACCACTGGCGTCCTCGATAAAAGCCGGTACCTGAAATCCAGCCTCATCAACTCCCTTTTGGGTTTTGCCACCGTCACCGTGACAGACACCTTGTTTCGGCACTGGCTCCAGCACCTCAATGTGCCCCAGCTTGTCGGTGATCTAGCACGCTTCTACCGTGGCGTATGGCATTTTGGTTTGTCCTCGTCTGAAGGTGCCAGCACCTCCGACTACCTCAAGATCTTCTTCACGAAATCGCCTTTCATCGTCACCTACAATTACCTTTCCAAACGCAAAGACAGGTACTACAGCTTGGGTGTCCGCAAAGGAAGTGGCGTCAAACTCAGTGTTCTCGACAAAATCATCATCTTCGTGGCAGTGAGGGTCTTCAACATCAATGAAGACTCCCTTCAAACGCTTACGTTGGTGCTCCAGGAAATCAGCACAATCATCCACTACGCATATCTTGTGCTTTGCATACACGTCATTAGCCTTACCATATCTCCATTCTTGGAGAGATTCTTTATCTTCAAAGACTACTCGAAGAACTTAGACCACTTGTCTTCGCTCACCCCTAGCATTCCCTTGAGTGGAGACAGAAGCAGCCCAGTACCCAATCCTCAGCACAATGATTCCATGATGATCATCAATGTGGACCAGCCAAAGGCGGCCGTCCCAGCGGGCCTAACAACTATAGAGTTGGACCCGGAGATTGCCAAATCTGACGCTGATTTGCAACCTGATGGCACTGTCAGTGCCAGGAACTTCGAAGTGTTTTGTCTCATCCCTCCCACTAAGAAGGCGGTTTCAGGCTGTATTAAGGCGCAACAGAATAGAACCTTTGTGGAAAGGAGACGTGCCAATAGCAGTGGTGGCCCTCCTTCGACAACAATCGTCGACCGTCATTTCACCACATCCATTCAGCCATTGTGGTCATGGATCGCTGCCATCAAGGTTTTCTTTGTCAACTCCAACTTCTTCGGTGGTAAACCTACCGGCCGAAAAGCATGCGGATCACAATTTCTTGAGTGTCCCGTTGATCATCAGAACATGTCCGTTTGCAAAGTTGGTGCTCGTGAGGTTGTTCTTGAATTAAATGATTCATCGCTAATCTCCAGTGACCACTTCACCGTGCAAGTGAACTCCATCCATTGGCCATTTGTTACCACCATTATGAGTTCTTCCCAAGATCGGAAGTTTATTAGAGTCGAAAGTCTCAAGCCTTTCAGCCAGTATGAGATCCGCTGTATGCTCGAGGACTCCACATTGACTACTGTTACTGTGAGTACCACAGATTCTAAAGAGCAAGCTTTCCTTGATCATTCCATGAGAACTTCCCCCACTGAAACACTCGAGGACTGCCACGCATCTGCCATTGATGAGCTCAACGAAATCAGATGGAATCTCAGAAAGCTGAGAAAGGATGAGAATAAGCGAATTACCGATCTCAAGAAGCAGGTGGATAGCATGAAAGCAAAGGTCGACAAGGTCCACAGCAGAGCACCTATCGAGGGTCGTGGAAGCGGAAAACTCAAGGGTCTCCAGTACTCCGTGATCCAGTTGGAGAATGAGATCGAAGAGCTCAACAAACAGCTTCACAGCTTGAAGGAAAGCAGCGATACCGTCGACGGCGACTTGAAGGCAGAAGAGCAAGCCACTCTTGACCAAATCCGGAGCTTGGAGGCATTCATCGAAGATCACGAGTTCAGCACGGGACAGCTCAAGAATGATATCCGTGCTGTTGAAAACGAACGCAACAATGTCTCGGTGAAGCACAAGAAGTTGGAGAGCAAGATCTCGTCACGCAAGGAGGAGATTGCCAGGCTCAATGCGGAGGTCAAGAGCATGAAGAAAGCCGTTTTGACTCGTTACCAGCGCAGACAAAAACGTGTTCAAGAGCGTTTCGATACGATTCTTCCTAAGGTGGAGCAAGCCATCGAGGACCTTGGTCAGGAGTTGGAAGAGTACCAAGCTTGAGAGTGATGTAGTGCTACATAGGTCAAACAAGCTAGAGATGAAGATACTGTAAGTCGTTGTCTAAGTTACGTTAAATGCTATTCAATCGCCGACTCTAACTGCGTCAGCGCTATATCGAAGTGAAGGGCTCTTTCCGAGTCAATGTGGAAAGCAATTCTGCTTTTTCATCAGGCCAATGCCACAAAGTCCATGATGCTCTTGACTACCTCTCCTGAAGACTCGAACCGACCTTATGGAAACCCCGCTGGTAGTAGAGCAAGCCGCCCAGCTGCTTGGCCTCGTAATGCTTGTTTGGCGATAAAATGTCCGTAACATCCACAACCCAGATCTCATGGGAGTCCACCTTGAACACCTCATGTTTCTTACACACAAACGCCTTTTCTGCTTCGTTCAACACGGGCACCAACCCCCGGCCGGTGTCGTGTAAGCTGTAGTTGCTTTTGCCTATGTGTGCAAAAGGCGTGGTCATTTCATGGAAGATTTCACCATCTTCGGGTTTGACGTCGAAGTGCTTTCTATCGGTCTTGATCCCGGCAGCGAAGGTTCGGCTGAGAAACACAGACCGGCTCGTTGGAGGCATCAAGTGGAGGCACAATTGGCCGTGGTTTTCATGGAGTGCTTGGGAGGTGTAGCTGGGAAGATGCAAATTGAACTGAAGAAGCGGTTTGGGGTGAACGGAGAGTGAACAAACGGACGAAAGGGTCATGCCGTGGAGAATGTCGTTTTTCGTTTTGCAGCCGGCCGTCAAGATCATCGCCTGGGTGCTGACCCGGGCCATGGCAGCCTTGAACTGGGGTATGCTTATGGACATGGATTTGTAGCTTGTGTGGAAAAATCAGCAATGCGGAGGAAAATGAGCACGAAAAATCGGTTTTTCTTGAAAAATTGTGAAAAACACGGGAGGGAGGGAACTGGCACCTAGCTTTTCAGGCCTTGACCGCTTTTTCACCAATTTCTGAAATTCAGTCGATGTTGGCCGTGTTCAAGGTGGCTGCGATGCTCATCTACCTATAGGCCCATGTTGCTGCGTGCAGTACGTAAACATACCTCCTCGAATCGGTTGCAACACAAATCTGCAGCAACATGGCCTTGACGGAGATTCTGCCGAACCGACCCCGAAAAGCGGCGCTGCTGAAGGAATTTAAATACGAGAGGCGCTTGAAGGATGAGGATTTCACCCATGGTTATGAATGCATTCTGCCTCGGGACCTCAGAGAGGCAGTAAAGGCCCACCACAGACTGATTGTGGGCATGGTCCACGAAAAGAAGATTGATTTGGCATACAAGGAGCTTCAGAAGATGTTTGTTGGATTGTGTGAGTGCCGGTTTCGATCTGGCGAGGTGCCGTTATCGAGTCTTTTGCATGGCGTGTTTGGTGATTTGGACCATACCTTGGTGAATTCGTACCATATCCTTTTACTTCAGACATTGCTCCAGCGTGTTTCTGGGAACTTGCAGCTGATTGCTGCGGGTGAAAACGGCTTCAGCATCTCGATCTTCCACACAATTGCATCGTCTTTGACGCGTACTGGGTCTATTGTGAAGTGGATCGAGAAGGCCCCTGGTCAGATATCGTTGAAGCACTATGCTGGATTGCGCAAGGTGGCGACGGGATTCCTCAAAATCATAGACTTTTTGCGTCAGAAGACCCCGCTGGCCCAATTGAGCGGGTATAGAGAAGAATGGGTGCTACTCCAGATGAAGTTCTCCATGTTGGCAGACCCAGAGGTCCAGATTGAGGTGCCTCAATCGGCACAGGGTGAGTTTATTGATGACCTCAGGACATCAATTGAGCCAGAACTGGTACCTACAGAACAAGCCCCCAACGACCCCTTACAGCATGTGCTCCACGAGCTTCAGATAGACTCCCCGGTTCTCCCCCAAGAAAGCTATATTCGAGGGTAATTGACAAACTCGGCTCACTCCGGCCAACCGCAAATCGTGTGGATGTACTCGACAACATACTTCTTGCATTCGACGGCATTGATATGCCTTCCAAAGAGACCTTCATAGACTGTGTGACTCGCTTCGCCAAAGAGCTCTCAACAAATCACAAATTTCAAGTTCTACTCGAGCGGGCATTACCTTTTGCTTTGGTCCTAGCCAAAGACAAATCCGAAATGGTCTCCTCGTGCTTTCGTTTCGGCAATAGTTATCAAAACTGTGAAGCGCTCCTATTGGGCCTCCATCATTTACCGCCTTCTGTGGAGAAAAGAAAGAAACAAGGATTGAGAGAACTCACGCTAAACTGTCTCTTGATGAATAGGCAGCTTGAACATTCTTTGGATGCCACACTTGGCTACCTAATTGACCATGAGTTTCCAGAAGGCAGTGTGCTACAGGGCACTACGGGAAACCTTCCAGAATGTGTGCTCAAGTCGCTTGCATACCTCTCCAAGTACCGCTTGGACAGTCTTTCAGAAGCAATCGCGAGCCTAGCAATGAGTGATGACTCCAGAGGACAAACACTCTTTCAGACACTTTTATCGATAGATGAGACAAATGTGGTATCCGTTCAGGGCCTCTTTTCTGCATTTCCCATTGAAGATAGCTCGACAACCCTTTTTTGCATACTAAACGCTGAAAAAGTGACTGAAGTGTTCCTTTCGTTACCCAAGCCGGCCACCACTTTTGATAGACTTCTAACAGCTGCGATTCTCACCAATCGACTCAAAACCATAGCCGGTCCGGTGAAGCCAATTCTCGCTAGCATCGGTACCCATGTCAAAGCCTGGCTTGAAAGTACGTCTTTTGATGATATCGAGTTAGAAACTTTCACAACCCTCACACGCAGCCTATTTGATGGCGGCCACTACGCCTTTGCGCTGTATCTCCTTCAAATGCTGGACGAAGTCGACGTCATATCCCTTGATATGCGACTCTCTTTACAACTCCTTTCGATAAAGTGCAGCTTACGTCTTGGAAATTATGAGGAGATTCCATCTAAATTGAGCACTGCTGGCAGGTTGATGAAACAGATGGCTGATTCCAAGATGATTGTCGAAAGTTTGTCACTTGTCGAGTGGAAATTACATCAGTTCGAGTATTTCATTTTCACCTACAACGCCAAAAAAGCCGGCGAGAAGTTTGAAGAGATTACTAGATTCCTCGCTTGCAAACCTGAATTCAGTCTCAGCGCCAATCAGTCGATGCCGCTCACTCAAACCATATCTTGCCTTCTACTCAACGCACATTTTCTTCACTTGACAGCCAAATTCGAGTACAACACTGGTAGATTTGCCCTGGCCTTGAAGAATTTGAAGTTGGCTATCAAGATTGGTGTGTCTATCTTGAAGAAGCTTTCTGGAGCATGCGATTTAAAAGACGAGACTGTCCGATTCTTATTGACTTGTTACAAGGAGGGCTTCGAGCTTGCCAAACAGGCCGGGTGTCTGAGTGAGGCGGTTAACATGATACTGGAAATGGATCAAATTAATCACTCGTTCAAAGATTCCTTGATAAATGCCAAGGCTCACTTTGCTCTTGCTGACATATACCTTTTGACAGGGGATTCGCTGACTTCTGCTTTACAATACGAGGAGGGTCAACGCATCTCATCAGAAAAGGACATGGCTTTATTGAAGGCAACGGAGTTGAGCTCCGCCCTTTTAAGTTACGTGCTTCATGGGAAGTGTGAAACCACCTTGATCAAGTCTGAATTGCTCGAAACTCTTCGACTTGTCGATCAAATGGAAGCCTTTTCATCAAAGGATGTGTTGAGCGACCTAAGAAGATACGAGTATCTTCTTTCTCAAAAAGAGAACATTGTCTTGACGGAGAACAACACTGATCAGTCGCCCCAATCCATACTTTTAAAGACGATAGCATCAGCCAGACAAGAGGTTCTGGACGTGAGGAGTGCAATCATGGATCAAGGAAGTGCAATCGTCATTCCGTCTGGACTCACATTCACCAATGAACTAAACGAGAAAGATCTCAACATCGTCGACAAGCTTCTTGATTGCAAAGATACATTGCTCAGATTTCTCGAGAACGATTACTCGCAGCAGCTTGGGGTTGAGGAGTTGAAAGACCTTCAAAACACTCTAACAAGATGCATCTTCACTCTTTCCCAGATAACTGTGGTTAAAGCGGAAGGCGCAGAAAGTCTACTCAAGGATGTGTTCTATCTCCTGGAGCTACCAAGAGTTCTCCCTTACCAGTCACTCACACAAATTCACAAGACTGAGCAGAAGAGTAACGAAATCATGCCGACTCTATCGAAAACGAGCATCAAGAATGTTCATGCCAAAGAGCTGTTTTTCGGCGATCTCTCAAGGCTTCTTCCCAAGGACTATGTTGTCATTACAATCGACTGTTGCACCCAATCCGGAGACTTGATATTGAGCAAATTGCAGAAGGGCCTGAGCATCCCATCGTTATTGAGGCTCTCGCTGGAACGAGGTACCTCACTGCTGACGCCCTTCTGCTTAGTGATGGAAGAGCTAGCGAAAATTATTGAAAAGAGTCATAGAACCACCAACCTGGAAATAACCCGCAACATCAGAACGAAAGATGAACGGAAGGATTGGTGGAAAAGACGGTTTATTCTTGATGCGAAGTTGAAGAATGTTTTGGACAATGTTGAAAACAATTGGTTAGGTGGATTTAAAGGCTTTCTAGAACTCACCAATTACTCGTCCACCGAGTTTCTTTTCTTCAAATCCGAGCTCCAAAGAGTGTGGAAAAAGAGCTTAGCAGTGGATGCATTGGAATTCAGCGACACTATAACTGAGCTTTATTTCAATTTGACGCCCTCGGGAAATAAGCCATTGGAGATCCAACATTTGCAAGATTTGATAAAGTATACTGCTTCAGAGCTTGGAGTTTCTGTCGATGAAAGGAAGCTTGTCAACGATATTAGGAAAATTCTTCCCACTAAGAGAAAAGTCCAACCTCAGCATTTGGTACTTCTTCCAAGTCACACATGCTCAGACTTTCCATGGGAGAGTATCGACTGCTTGAGATCAAGACCTATCTCTCGTGTCCCAAGCATAACCTGCCTCTTAGAACTACTCAAGCGGTCTTCGGCAGACCTTAAAGACGGTCATCTGAGCTACTACGTGTTGAACCCTGGTGGTGACCTCAAGAAAACAGAGCTTAGATTCAAGACGATGTTTGCATCAATGCCCCGAAGCAATGGCATAACAGGGCATCCTCCAAATGAAGAAGAGCTTTTCCGCAATCTTTTCAAAACTGATCTTTTTGTTTACGCCGGTCATGGCGGAGGGGAGCAATACATGAGGATGAATCAACTCTTGAAGAAGAGTATCGGTGAAAATGTTAATCTTCCACCAGCCATATTGATGGGTTGTTCTTCTGGCGCGTCACAGAAGCATGGTATGCTAGAGCCTTCTAGTAATATCATGGTTTGGCTTCTCTGCGGTTCGCCAATGATTCTCAGCAATCTATGGGACATCACTGACAAGGACATTGACGCCTTCAGCTCTGATGTTTTAGAGAGATGGGGTTTGATTGGAAATGTTCAGGAAAGAAGCGATATCGCTAGTGCCGTAGCTAAGGGCAGAGACACTTGTGTTCTCAAATACTTGAATGGGGCGGCACCCATCGTCCATGGACTTCCCATTCGTCGTCAATAAATAAATAAGGTTTTTATATCCTACTCAAATAGTTTTGAAATTTCCTGAAATCCTTGTGTCCCAAGTATAAAATATGTTGAAAAGATGGTTGAGAGAAGTGAAGTTCGTACGTTATGCGTAATAGATGCTGTGACTCTCGCCATAAACGAGAGAGCATTTGTCATGGTCCACGTAATTCGTAAGCAAATGATGCACCACAACAATTACTCTGATGCTGAATTGTGAGGCATGCCATCCGTGTTCAGAGTCATACCATCGGCATCTGTGGAGCCGATTCTTCTGACAGTGATTGTGGCACCGCTACCACGAGATCTCTGTTCGTTGTCATTATGATGGGGGATGAAACTTCCTCTCTTCCTTCGGTGTTGGGACGATTACCGGCAGCCTGAGTTGAGGTAGACGTTGAGGAAGCACTAGGGACACACCAATTTTTGTGGCAATGCCAGGCCCTCATTTGGCATTCTCTGGAGCAATACTTGGTTCTCTTGCATTTCTTGCACTTGCTGAACTCACGTGGGTAGCTTTCCCATTTGCCACATTCGAGGTTGCCGCACTGTCTTACGCCACCTTTGAGGTCGTTACGGCGGCAAGAATTTCTCATAATGACACCAGACCAGTAGTACATGTCTGTGCCTGCCAAAAAAGTGAATTTCTCCACCATAGGGAAAAGGTTAACCCTCTTGTGTTCAATCAAGGACATATCGTAATCGCCGTGAATATTGTCGCCATCATCATCAATATCGAAGTAAGCATAAGTTTCATAGTTCCATTTTTCTGAGAGGTACTCGACTTCTTCTGCTCTCTTCTTGACGATGGTGTCGCTCAATGCCTGACACTCTGATTCGATGTGCTTGTTGACCTTTTCACTTATTTGATAAAGAGCAATCTCCCTATCCAAATCATTGACAATGGATTCGGCGTCGATGATTTGATCGTAAAGCTTGCTAAGACTTGACAGATCGTGATTCGACATGGTGACATTGTCTTCAAAACTCAGTAAGTACTCATTGACGTCGCCGTCATCGTCCTTATTTCTATGATCACTGTCTTCGGAGTCTCCGTCGTCATCCAAATCGTTTGCCTCCGCATCTTCAGTGAGACGATCGTTGGGTTTATCGTACAAATCCAACATGTCATCGTTAAGGTTGAAGTTATCATCGCGGAGATTTAAATCACTCAGCATTTGAGGCAGATTCGATGGGGATGCGTTGAAACGCTCGAGGAAATTATCATTGTTGTCATGCCCGTGAGAAGATAAGATTCTACCCTTCCGTGCTAGAAGAGCTTCACGAGCATTGGCAGACAAGTCTTTTCCTCCGTTGCTAGAGCTAGAACTTATATTGGCCTTCATCCGGTCTCCAGAGAAGCTTTTGTGCTTCTTGTCCCTTATACTCATGTCTATAACAGTGTGAGTGTTCTGCAAAGTTTCCTTCAAATAGGGGTACTTGGAGATGTAAGCCAACAACTGAAGACACCAAACGACGTCATCATCACGAGGGATCACGACGCCAGTCTCAGTAAAGTTTCTGGGTGCGCTCTTCGCGTGAATCATATTAGTGATATGCGTGCTGCGCTCATCTTGAAGATAGAGGTCGGAAAGAAACTGCAAGTTGCAGTCCATGTCATACTCAACGGGCTCTCTGTAAGAGGGCTCTGGGCATTCTTGTTCCTTCTCCTCCTTGATCTTCTTGAGGATGGTCACAATGAGAAAACGACGACGAATGTCGTTGTTCACGGCAGAGCCCCGGCCACCAAGTACAGCATCCTGGCCGTTCAAACTAGGAAGGCTATTGGTGCAGCGTACTAGCCGGAGCATTTGGTCTACCGTGAGGTTCTCATAATCCTCGCATGTAAGACTGTTAATGTGTAAACCTCCCATGCGAGCCATAGCGTCCGCTTGAGTCATTCTAGGCTCATACGGTAGCTGTGGCTGGCTCATTGTATTTTCCCCAAGTTCCATGTTTTGGAGAGCGTTTGCAGCAGCAGCCGCGTTACCAGCAGAAGCAACAGCTGAGGCCGTTGGGGTGTTGATGTCAGCAAGTTCCTGACGGGGCCTGAGCTCTCCAAGATCCTGACGAGATCGGAGTTCCTCTCTTCTTACAAAATCGGGATGCCGCGTACCGCCTTCACCAAAATTCATATACTGCCCGTTCTGAGCGTTGGGATGCATGTATGGGCAAACCGGTGGTGTGGCGCCAGCTGGGACTAAGCTGCCTTCGTGAAGACTCATGTAGTTATCCAAAACCGTTGCAATAATCGGAAGCATACCTGCCGCCACCACTTTCAGGCGGATCTTCTCAGTGCCACCTGTGCCGATCAAAACAAGACACTGGAACGCCAAAGTCCATTTCCATGCCGTGAGTAATTTTTTCTCCGAGTTGAATATGTTATCTTGGGCGTTGAAAGTAGTATTGTGACACTCGTGGAGTATTTCTACGAGCCTCTCGATGCCTCCGTCGTTGGAAAGTGTTTCTCTGACTTTTGCGCTCGATGATACCAAGTATGTTAAGTGGTTGAGGGAGTTGACGAGTGGTTTATCAGCGGTCACATCAAGCGCCCGCCGGTCGTAGAGACTGGTGGTGATCGTCACCGCGGCCCTATTGTTTGTGATGGACCTATAGTTAGAGTCTCTCATGGATATTTGATTCTTTGGTTCCTTCTGAAATCTTCTTTGTGTTGAGCTGGTTGCTTGGGTCGCCACTGATGAGGCAATTTGGGTTCGCTTTTTTTGATCACGTGACTGACCACACACGCCCCAGTACTTTCCGCTGGCGCTCGCGATATCAAAGCGGGACCGTATGCAGGTTTAGATTTTGCAACCATTTCGCACGTGAGCACCTAGCAACGAAACCAACCCCGTTTGTTTATGAATCTGACACCTTTGACGGCCATTGATGGCCTCTCATCGTTGACCTTATTTCAGCAGGCACAACATATTGCCCGCCAGATCCCAGAATGGCACAAGGCAGGCCATTACAACTACTCAGTGCCTCAGGGGCATGATGTCGGTGTGGACATCCACACAAAGGAATTCAACGGCGACTATTGGGTTGCTCGTGCAAATGGATTCGAGCAGTTTGATGCAAAGTCTCGGAAACATCTTTTCCATGTTTTGGACAAGTACGTGCTTGGCTCCACCTCCCTGCTCGACGAGTCTCACACTCTGTATGAGCTCGGATATATCCAGGAGTTAGCCGACTTCAAGGTGCATCCTTACGATCTCGGTGATACGGTTCCCGGATACGAGGGTGTGGCGTATTTGGCAGAGTTGTACTATCACTTGCAGTTTCCATTGAAGAAACGTAAGTTTTGCAACTTGGTGCATGTTCTCAGAGCCGAAGATGGCAATTCTGGCTATGTGATCAGTTTGGCGGTAGATCCGTCGGTAATTCCAGGAAACCCAAAGGAGCCGGCCTTCGTTCCTGCAAGGTACACGTCGGTGGAATATATCACCTTTGATCCAAAGACAAGTGACCTCAGGTGGTATATGACGACTTGCTCAGATGCTGGAGGAAACGTACCACAATGGCTTGCTAAGCTCACCATCAACGGCGTTGTTGCCAAGGACGTTCATCTGTTTCTCAATTGGGCAAACACTAAGTAGATTCGGTTTCAGAGCGGAGGTTGAGCCACACTTTGACATCGTCACCCAAGCTGTCGAGGAACCCGAGATGAGCGTAATCATACACCGAGGATGTCCACAGGCTGGCGTCCCGAATGTCTTTAGGAATAATTTTTGGTTTTTGTTTGTGGCGTGAGTTGTAGTTGCGTATGATCACGATCGACTTGTGGCGGTGTCTGATGAAGTACATGAGCCAGTCGTTGTACTTGTTGGTTGAGTACTTGTGGAGATGTTCTTTGACAGCACCAGCTTGAAACAACAGCCCCGCTTCCCTCACGACAAAGTAGTCCGCTAGCTGATCATGGAGATGGAAAAAGGCATTCTGGTATTGGTAGGATACCTGCGCCATCTCCTTCCCGATATCTTGAGGAACGTCTTGAGGAAGCCACGGAAGCGAGCTTTGAAATGAGCCATCTTTCGTGTCGTAGACAATGAAGAAAAAGTCGCTGTCTATTTCGTTCGATTCATTGTTTTCGTTTCTCCCGCTGATGATATTGTTCACGGGGTTCGGCAACGAGGAAATGCTGCTTTGAAGGGTCATTCCGCCAGCAGTCAAGGCGACACAATCGTTGATTATCTCCAATGCTGGTTCACAAACATTCATCCTGAGCTCCTCAAAGAAACTAGGAATGACTAGCTCTTGGAAACTAGACTCGTAGATGAGGGTTACCAATATGCTATCCTCGACGTACACCACCACCAGGAACTCTTCAATAGTGGTGGTGCCATTCTTCAGGACAGGCAAGTACACTAAAAGCAGGTAAATATTGCCGTCTTCATCTGGCCCCATTACAAATTTGCCTTTCTTGGGCTCCAGGGAGGTAATCGAGGAATGTTCTGAAGGTGATGGCTCATGCTGCAGTGGCAGCTGTGATTGTTCTTGTTGTTCTTGTTGCTGTTGACCACGATAGAACGGAATCCACGTTGACGGAAGCTGCTCATTCACAGTCAGTCCAAGAAACTTAATACCATCTAGTGTTGTAGAGAGCGGCAGCACCACAAGCGTCTGGGCTAGGGAAGAAGGATGAAGAAGCTGCATAGCCGTGCTTGGGCCAATTGAAGCGGAAGTGTCTCGTCTACTTCAGGCAGTGGCGAAACATCCTTACTATCACCACCTGAAAACATCCCCCTGAACATCCTCCTCAGACCAAGTCTCGTGCTATCAAGCGCATCATGGTACGAGAAGAATTCGAGTAATCTGTACACCTCAAGCACAGCTTCGCCATGGATATCCCCGGGATTTTTGTAGATGAGACCCTCTCGTTTAGGTATGGTCTTATCCAAGTTGGCCACAAATACTGCAGAAGGCTTTACTGACGCTTTCTCCCAGACTGCCTCAAGATCGGGTCTTTGAGAATCAGGAACTCTCACAGACAGGGATTTATAGGAGTTGCTTGGGAAGAACAGGAAAACGCCCTGGTAGCAGAGCGAGTTAGGCCAGATCAAGGCTCTTTTAAGTCTCCTCGACAAGATTCCCTCGTTGTAATTATTGATAAGTCCCATGTAGAAATCCTCGAGAATTGGGCCATGCAGCTCTTGGAAATTGCCGTCAAACATGCTTTCGGCCTGATAGTGTAGAATCTTGAAGTAGCTATGGAACCTTTGTAGGAGCCTCTCTATCTGTATCTCAACGAGTCTTCTTTGCAGGTCCGAGTCTGTGGACAAGGCCAAGGAGCAAGCCATAAATATCCCCTTTTCAACTTCCACAACCACTATAGCACCTCCTTCCACACTTATGGTAGTAGGGCCGCTTTTCGGATTAAACTGGGTTGCTAGGGAACAGGACCCTCGGATGAGCCCGACTAGACTCAATTGGGTGGATTTGTCTATTTGATTCGAAGGATCGGCGAAAAAAAGAATCATTTTATGTAGTTCTTCGTAGGACTCGGCCTTGGGCAGCACGAGCTCGGGACTATACATGCTTATGTAATTGATGGAGGGGGCTTTGGTGTTGTCATTTGCAATGGCCAGGCCTGACACGTCAGGCATATGGATCTTCAGGAGGAGCCCTGTGATGTAGGATGTCATGTTTCAAGTGAAATGATCAGTAGGTGAAGTTGGTAGCTTGATGTTGATAACGCGCGCGGCGAGATGCACCTATACTGCTGCAGGGTGCTGGATTCGTCAAGGTCGGGAGGTCAATAGAAGCCGAAGCGTTTTTCTTCGGGCAGATTTGTATCCGACTAACTTCCCCAAAATATCTTTCAAAAGTTCACAAACTTCAAAAAGTCTTTGGCACGATACCTTCTTCCAGGGCCGTCAACCTTCTCGCAGTAGTTTTCGCAGCCACTGTCCAGACTTCTTCCCGAGATTATCTACGCCCAGAGGTCAACCCAGCCAATGTTTTTTCTGACAGCGTTAGAAAAACCTTCGTTGAATTTGACCCATATTCTGGCGGACTTTTCGGCCTCCTGGTCTAGCTTGCTCTGATCGGAATTCGCATCCTCTTGTGACTTGGCTTCTTCATCATCGGAGGCTTTTGATTCACCCAGGGTATCGTTTTCCGACTTCTTCTTCGCAAAAAAGTCTGGTGCACTCACTTGCTTCCTTGGCCGCTTTGGCTTAGGAGCCGTAGGAGCAACCCTCAGGGCAACACGTTTAACCTTTTGAGCCATGGTTAGGTCAAATTCAGCTTGGAGGAGAGGGAACAACCAGTTACGTTTCGTGTTGAGTAATTTGCTCTTTTGGGTCAGCAATACTGGCGCAACGTCTGTTTCAAAAATGGTGATCGAGTCCCAGTTTGGTCCAAATGCAAGAGATACACTTCCTGTCTCCATGTTCTTCAGCGTTTCGAGCCTGAGGCCAAGCAGCTTGACAATATGCGCGGCTCGTTCCACCAAGCGCTGCTCACCCACACGCAACGTCAGCTTCACCCGTGAAGAGCCGGCATTTGGTGATAGCATGATGTCAAGCATCGGAAGGAATTGACATGCATAAAAGTCAGAGCTTGTGGAGCAAGAGAGCTTCAAGCTGATAGGAAGGTTCTCGTTGATAGCCATGAGTATAGACTTGTTCTGCTTGATAAGCTCCATAGTCTCAAAATCCAAGCTTTTTGCATTGGGTACGATCACTGTTTCATGATTTCTAGGTGGATCGATCTCACTGAAGAGCGACCAGAACTTGAGGGGTGCTAGCGTAGAGTATCCAGCTGGGTCTCCACCTGGACGGGAATGAAATCTGTCGTAATAATGTAGCCAATCTGAGATTTCGGCAGGCCGTATGAGTGAGTCGTCTTGAAAGTGAGTTGCCTCAAGATACCGATTGAAGCATCCACGAATGACTTTGTCAAGTGAAGCGGATGAGTTGCCTTCTCCTGATAAAAGCATATCGTAGACATCCAAGGCGTCTTCGTCTTTTGAAAGATACCGGTCTCTTGCAAAAAGCCTATCCACAAGCGCAAACCAAGACACATTTTTATCCTTCGATGAGTAGTTACCATTGTTCTTTCCGAGGTGAAGAGCCTTGTCGAGTCTGCGGCCGGCAAATTGCATTTGGTTAATGCAAGCACGCATATCACCTTCACATGTTTCGAACACATCTGCAATCTCCTTCCTGTCCATTTGAAGGCCCTCCTTGTTTGAAATCTCCATCAAGTGCTCCTTGACGGTCTTTTGGGCGCTAACATTCACTCTTTGCATTTTACCGGGACCTGAACGAGCGGTGGCCACAGGTCTTCTGAACCCCACGAGCTCGCAAAGCGGACGTAGCTTCTCCATGGCCTTTCCTGAGAAAGCGTCGTTCGCAATGCAGATAATAGGTCTAGCAAGTTTGAATTTTCTCGAGTTGACAATCTCCGAAATCACCCTCACCACGTCGTTGGCGTTGGCGGCACAGTCTACCTCGTCTATCACGAGACAAGTTGGCTTGTCCATGCACGTCACGTCGTTCGAAGTAAGAGCAATCCTCATACGATGACGTAGCTTTGCGAGCTGCCTTGAATACGCGTTCGAAGAGCTGTCGCCACGGTCATTGTCCAAGGCGTTTGCTGCATTCACTTCATAGACACCGTAACCGGCCTGGTCAGCAAGAGCATGCACAGCTGCCGTTTTGCCCACACCAGGGGGACCGTGAACTAGAAGAACTTTCTTTTCTTTTTCTCGGAGTCGAAGCCAGTGCATGATGGCACGGTAATGACGCTCGTTTCCTGCTGGACAGAGCAGAAAGAAGGACTTTGGGCGGTACTTTTCTGTCCATATGCCGCTGTCGCTTTGAGCAACTGAAGAGTTTGCCTTTTCGCTGATTCTGCTTTTTCTCACCTCGTTTATGGCATCCCTTGTCGTTCTTCTCTTCTCGACCTGTTCATGGAGCTTATCCATGTCTAGGATGGTATCTGAGTAGTCCACGCTGACGGGCTGCGGTGTTCTTTTCTTGAGAAAAATCCTCTTTCCATTGAACAACTTCACCTCCTTTGAGCCCTCTGGCCTGTTTTCAGAGTCATCCTGCTCTAGAGGAGCTTGTGAGAAGTGAAGCGGCGAGCCTGGATCGGCGTGGGGCTGGCTTTGTGAAAATAGGAGGGAATCCTCGATTCTGATTGGCTCCTCTGGCTGTGTTTGAGGCTGAAACAAGAGCGAGCCTTGCATATCGAAGTCCATGATGAGTGGGTTTCGAAGGTGGTTTGAAATATCAACAACGCGACGCGCGGTAATGTAGATATAGGACGAGAAGGATGCACCCTGGTGTAACTGATGAGGAAAAAGGGTTTGCAATTAAATAAATTTCGTGTCAATGGATAAGGAGTTTTAAAGAGAAATTCGTCTTTTGTTGCGGACAGGTATATTTGAGAATTGTGGGGATGGCCTGAATGGGTGGTGGATAACTTTTCGCAGCCATCTCAAAGGATAGAAGCATGAGTCTTTTGAAGATGTATTCTGATTATTGTAAGAATCGACAAAACGACTTTTTGATTGAATTCTGGGAGGTGTTCCTAAATCTAACATGAAAGTCTATGAACTATAGGCGTCCACTGATCAAAACCTTGCGGATCCATAGTGTAAGGCTATACAGATTCTTACAGTACATATATTCGTGCAAAACTTATGATAACGCTAATGCAGCATTTCAAAAATTAAGACCAAAACACGTACCAAACTAAAATTCAGCGTTCCGTGTGAGTGCTTTCTCTAACTACCTTTGGAGATACCTCAGTTCATACATTCATTGATTACCGTTTAGGAACATCATTTTAGGCGACAAAGACAAAATTTGAGTTTTTGGCAACTCCAAGATCGAAGCAGCAATTTCATAATATATTGCTTATTCCAACTGATCCTACGATGTTCATAATGATCCTATGAGGGTCCATGACAGCCAAAGTGGTATGCCAAGGAACCATGACGACACCATTCCGACGATCACCAGCTACCTCAAAATATCCAAAACCACCAAAACTCCAAATCTCAAGATTCCACAAAAAACAACAGTTACAAAATTTCACCTTTTCTTTTCCCCAAAACCCCTACCCTTATCGCTTCCATCGACCATTTAGCACCGTATGCAGCCGCGTCCAACCACAGCCTACAACCACCACAAACAAGTCCCAAACGAATAAAATCCAAATAGTTCGTAAAAACAAAACCTCAAATATTCAACCCCCACACCCCCTCCCCCTTCATCCAAGAAAAAAAACTTCCTACTCAGGCGGATCGGATCCACCATCTTGGCTGGTGTACATGGTCGCGCAGATCCACCTCACTTAAAACCAACCTCAACTTCCTTTTCTTCATGGGCCCGATAGTAGTGAAACGAGTGAGGCTCGCCGTGGCCGTGGCCGTGGTGTTGGTGTTGGGAGTGTTGATCTTTTCCCAAAGAAGCAGCCACAAAATCACCAACGGCTTTCTAACCAGCGTTAAGGCATACACAGAGAACGTGCCTGGGTTTCTGAACCCTAGGCCTGACGAGATAGATGAAGCTGACGTCAGCGACTTTTTGGGTGACACGCTGGAAATCGACCAGTTCGAGCCTAGACCGGAAAACAAGTACAACGACGTGGATCACGAGACAGTGGTGCCTTTGGAACCTTCTTTATCCTTGGGCATGGGCATGTACCCAGACCCCACGACCTTCCCAGAGGTGCCTGCCAAGAGCTACCCGAAGATTGGCGCCTTGAAAGACCTGAAATTCACCGACAAGTTGCCCTTCCGCATCTACTCCCACAACATCAAGAACGGTGGTACCCACAAGCTAGAACTAGGGGAGCCCGTTTGGGAAACACGAAAAACAATGGTGGTGGCCTCGATCCGGGCCCACTACGCCCCCAACATGATTGTAGCTCTCCAGGAGGCCCAAAAGTTCCAGATTGACGATATCTTGCACGGGCTCAACATGATAGAGGAGCCTGGGTCCCAGTGGAAATACTACGGTGGGGGCAGAATCGACGGAAAGGAGATGGGCGAACACGTGCCGTTTTTGGTTAAGGAGGACGAGTTTGACGTGGTCTACGACGACACCTTCTGGCTCAATGAGAAGAACACCAGGAGGCCGTTGGTCGGATGGGACGCCAAGTACCCACGAAGCGCCACGTACGTGACTATAAAGCACAGGAAGAGCGGCACCTACCTCAATTTCTTCAATGCCCACTTTGACCACAAGGGCCTGATGGCCAGGGACGAGTCGGTGCAGTTGCTTATGGAGAAGATGTCGAGCGTCAACGAATGGCCGTCGTTCTTGTGCGGTGATTTCAACGCCAAGCCCAACGAGGAGTGTTACAAGAGCATCAGCAAGCAGTACACGGACGTGCACACCATCACATCCTCCTACAACTGGTACGGTCATCCGGACTACTCGGTGACTGGGTTCAGAGGAAACTACCTCAAGGACGCCAAGCGCATAGACTTTATATTTGCACCCCAACACACTGTCAAGGCGCTGGAGACGCTTTGTCTGGATTCGATTGACGGGTACCTGCTTCAGCTCCGTGGCTACGGCATGCTTCATTCCAAGTTTGGCGGCGTCTACATGAGCGACCATCGTCCGATCATGGCGGACTTCATCATGAAGAAGTGTTGAGTTGACTTTCTGATGTGTATAAATAAAACGAGGAAGCCATCGACAGCCGGCGGCGAAGTGGCTTTTGACGCCTGGGCGGCTGGATTATAGACGAATGGCTGCCTCTGAGCATAGACTAGAAGTCTAGACATAAGGAACAAAGAGGATATGAAAGAAGCGGGAATGCAGAAATGCACGTAGTTGGTATACTGGACCAGCTGGACTGGCTGCGAAATCATCAGTCCCCAATTGTCACGAACCCCCAGCGGTCCATCTTCCCTAGAATGAACATCGAATAAACAGGAAAGTCAAAATAGATGATTCACCAAATTTTTGCCTTCAGTTTCCCCCGTCATGTCCAATTTTTCAGTCTCCACATTCAACAGCCCTACCACTCATACGACCAAACTGGCTGCGAAACACAATCACGTCAAACCCCCAAGCAAAAAGCAACGAGCAACGTCTAACCTTTACAAATAATTAAGTAAAGCACTATCGAATTAAATAAGCATTCTTTTTTTTTGGGCTTTTCCCCCGGACGGGCTGCAAATCCTGGAAACACCCCAGACGTGGGTCGTGCACACCCTAAAGAAAAATTCTCAGTAAGAGCTCTTCACCAACTAATACCACCACCATGTCTTACGACGATATCGAAAACGCCACGCCCGACATTGTGATCGGGTCGCAGACCCCCGAAGACGATGACTTGGTGTACGAGCACGACGTCGAGTCTGGCGGCGAAGAGCCTGATACAGAGGCTCCAGTGAAGGAGAAGAAGCAGGTGGCTTTTGCCGGTTTGGACGACGAGTTCGATGCCGAGGCTGCCCAGAGAGAGTTTGAAGAAGGAGGCGGTCTTCCGGAGCAGCCCGACGACGTGGATCTTTCCACCTTGACTCCCACCTCGGCCGAGATCATCAACAGACAAGCCACCATCAACATCGGTACCATTGGACATGTGGCCCACGGTAAGTCCACGGTTGTGCGTGCCATTTCCGGCGTGCAGACCGTTCGTTTCAAGGACGAGTTGGAGAGAAACATTACCATCAAGTTGGGTTACGCCAACGCCAAGATCTACAGATGCAGCGACCCCAAGTGCCCTGCTCCAGGATGCTACCGTTCGTTCAAGTCCGACAAGGAGATCCACCCCAAATGTGACATTCCTGGCTGCGAGGGCCGCTACAACTTGGTCCGCCACGTGTCTTTTGTCGACTGTCCCGGTCACGACATTTTGATGAGTACCATGTTGTCGGGAGCCGCCGTCATGGACGCTGCTCTTTTGCTTGTGGCTGGTAACGAGAGCTGTCCACAGCCCCAGACCTCCGAGCACTTGGCCGCTATCGAAATCATGAAATTGAACCACGTCATCATCTTGCAGAACAAGGTCGACTTGATGAGAGAGGAATCTGCCTTGGAGCACCAAAAGTCCATTTTGAGCTTCATCAGAGGTACCATCGCCGACGGCGCTCCCATCGTGCCTATTTCTGCCCAGTTGAAGTACAACATCGACGCTGTCAACCAGTTGATCTGCGACTACATCCCTGTTCCTCCAAGAGACTTCATGGCCTCTCCTCGCTTGATTGTCATTCGTTCCTTCGACGTCAACAAGCCTGGTGCCGAGATCGAGGACTTGAAGGGTGGTGTCGCCGGTGGCTCCATTCTTAACGGTGTTTTCAAGATTGGCGACGAGATCGAAATCAGACCTGGTATCGTGACCAAGGACGACAGCGGCAAGATCCAGTGCAAGCCTATTTTCTCCAACATTGTTTCCCTCTTTGCCGAGCACAACGACTTGAAGTTTGCTGTCCCCGGTGGTTTGATCGGTGTTGGTACCAAGGTCGACCCTACTTTGTGCAGAGCAGACAGATTGGTCGGTCAGGTTGTCGGTGCCAAGGGCCACCTTCCCTCCATCTACACTGACATCGAAATTAACTACTTCTTGTTGAGAAGATTGTTGGGTGTCAAGACTGAAGGCCAGAGACAGGGCGCCAAGGTGCGTAACTTGGAAACTGGCGAGGTGTTGATGGTCAACATTGGTTCCACTGCTACTGGTGCCCGTGTGGTTGCCGTCAAGGCCGATATGGCCCGTTTGCAGTTGACCTCTCCAGCATGTACCGAGGTGAACGAGAAGATCGCCTTGTCCAGACGTATCGACAAGCACTGGCGTTTGATCGGCTGGGCCACCATCAAGAAGGGTACCACTTTGGACCCTGTTGCATAGGCGATTTCACAGAACAGCATCTCTTGCACGGCAAGTCTCTTTCTCTCTCTGTATTTATAGTCATTCATATCCGGAACGAGGTGCTGTAGGCTTTCTATGTCATGAACAATATAAACGTCATATATAATGCTACTCGATGTAAGTCTCAGCTATCGCAGGCAATGATGTGCTGGTAGTCGCTGCTGCTGATGAACTTGGGGTAGGAATCGATCTCCATGAGTCTGAAGATCGATTTGGCAATCTGACGAAACACCCTGTGGATGTCTTCAACCAAGGCCACCGTCTGCGTCAAATCACCGTTTTCATATCGAAAGTAAGTTGGTTTCTCCAGGCTGACAGGGCTGTCTAGTTCAGTGATGTCTAGCTCACCCACAAAACCTTTTTCAGCCATAGGCGTCATCATGTAATCCACTGATGGCAGCATGGGCCCTTCCAACGTCATGAGGTTCTGAGCATCCTGCCTAAGCTTGTAGTCAATGTTCAAGTCAAATTGCAGATCTGGACTGATGTATGCCGAGTAAAGCTGGAAGGCTTTCGAATAGAATTTGTTGGTGTGGAACTCGATTGCATTGCGGACCTTGATCTTTCTTGGGCCTTCTTCAAGTGTGTCATAGTGCGAGTAAAGCTTCAAAACCTGCTGCTCCAGGCTGTTGAAGTCCGAGAGTTGCACATATGCGTTGACGTTTTCGACACATCTTTCCTTCTGCATGTGCATCTTGAACAAAAGCCGCAAGCCGGGATCTTTGAGGATGTTCTTGAGGGAGGGACCCTGGGAGGCAGCGCCTACTTTGATCTTGTTAGAAGCATCCAGTAGCAGCTCACCTCGGGATCTCTTACGACGGCCCCAGTTACAGACTTCGCTGCCACGTTCAGTCAAAACGTAAAAAGCATTTCTTTCGTTCAGAAATGTTTCATCATCCATAGTAATCGGGCGTAGTAAGTTTGCCTCGATGAATAGCTTGGCTATGCTGCTGGCCTCAGTAGTTGTCGTGACACTGGAGCAGTCACAAAGCCACTGTACTATCGCTTTGCCAGAGACACAATAGTCCACAATAACTCTTTTGTCATCATTGATGAAAGTCTTCAGTTTGAAAAGCCTCACGCCAGTATTGGATACGTAATATTGTACGTGAGAGTCAGACTCGGGGTTGGTGAAATACTTGTGATGAAACGGGCTCACGGACTGGGTCGTTGTCTTGTCTTCTAGAGTCAGAGAGCATTCTCCATCGGAAGAACTAGAAAAGGCAAACGTATCTTCAGAAGTGGTGCCGGAAAAGACACAAGATGCTAAATCAGGAGCCTTTTCTGAAGACCAGATGTTGGGACTCGGCCCCATCACCCATGAAAATAGAATGTGCACCAAGTAGCTTGAATATAAGATGCTTTCACTAGCGGGCGATCGTTCAAGCATGAAAAGCTCCATGGTATTGATGTTGGACTTCACAATTGCTGGCATGCATTTTGTGGGCATACCGATATTCTGACAAAAAGCATACACCAACGCAGCTCCTTTTGGTGTGACTTGAAGGGTACCATGTCGGCTAAGCTTAGCTTCAGTCCTCGAATTGGGATAATGAAGAAGTTTTGCATCGAAGAACTTTCGAAGAAGATCGAAGGCAAGATTGGGCTTCATGCTATATGCAACGGTGGTTTTGGCCATCCTGAGCTCAATGTCGATGGTGAGGTTGCACAACTTCTGCACTGCATCTTCAACACTGAAAGAGAAAGGTGGTGATGGCTTTCCAAAAAAGGAGGGCTTTGCTTTCCCAGGACGGTCCTCGAGGTTCAAGCCAATGATCAATGCTTCAAAGACATTTGAGAAGCTTTTTCCAGCGGTGACGTTAACCTTCTTCACTTCTTTTGCGGACGTGTCCAGTGATCTTCCAGAAGAAATTGAGCTTGTCATTGTCGAAAGTGCAGACACAAAATGATGTCAAAAGTTCGCTTCCCATGGTTTTATATAATATTCCAGGCACGGGCAAAAATTTGACACATTTCAGCTGAGATTGTTTCAGACTGCTTATAGGTGTTTCAGAATTAAGATATTTTATCGTAAATATGCACGATCCAGCAATGTGCGCGGCGCTACCCACTAATCAAAGAGGTTTGTCTCGCGCATCGCCAAAAATGTCGTAGAAAATAAACGAACTAGAGCTTCGTAAGCTTCTTGTAAACGTCGCCATCTGGAATAAGCTGGCCTAACTCCTCAAGTGTAATATCAACTTGTAACGTTTTCGACACGTCCAAAACCACCTGCTTGTACATATTGAGATTATTGTTCGCATTCACCTCGTTGTTGCTGGTAATTGCATCAAAGAGAAGCCCGTATTTGTAGAGATTGTCCCAGCAATCGCGCATAATTTTTGACGAGAGAATCCGCTGATTGACCTTGATACCTGCAAGGACGGTGTTGTCAATATGCGAAGTGTTAGAAGAAAGTGTGGTGGCCTCGGCATTGAACTGTTTCATCATATCGGTGTACTCCTTGTATGCCAAGTTGAAGTTGACCTGTGGCACTTCAGATTTGACAATCCACCGTGCTGCCGCTATGGTAAGGAGAAGTTCTGCACCTGACAAGGATCGAATGATTGACTGAACCGTTCCCGGGGACTGCATCAGGATGTACGACTCCATTTTTGATTCGTTCAAGAATGGCTGAGATGGGCTTAGAAGTGACACAGGAACCATGAAGCTGTTATTAAGATCTTTGTAGCTCTTGGTGGAGAAGAAGATTTTGTAAACGACCCTGGCAAGTTTGGAAGGGCGATCAAACGCTTCGTCGATGTTTTGGTTCCATTGTGTTGGGTACGATACGTCCTTGAACTGGCTCATTGCCGATGAATGCACCTTCAAGGAGAGCTTTGCACTGGCCCAGAAATCCTCAACAGAAGTCGGCAATTGGGTGGTGATGATACGTTGACTGAACCGACTGCGGACCCTTTTCTCGAGAAGCTCTCTAGTGGTGAACTTGGTACCCACGCCAATGACTCCGATCGGAATCTTGGAGCTCTGTGAAAGTTCAAATAGGTTATAGAGAAGGGTTTGCTTGTTGGAGGCTGTGAACATCTCAATTTCGTCAATGATGAACACCACTGGCGTGGAGCTTTTGAAGTCCTCATCAGACTTGTTAGGGGAGGCGTTGGAATCCAAGGCCAAGAGGACGTTCGTCACGGTATCACTGATGGCACGCTGTTCGAAGGTCCTGGTTCTGTCATCTGTGCCACTGGTATTGAGATCCAACTGACGGGCAATCTCTCTGAAGGCAAGGTTGTCGTCGGTGTGTAGAAGAGCATTGAGTTTGATTGTGATGAACAGCTTGCCGTAACGCTCTCGAAGATTTGAAAGAGCACGATTCACCACAAGCGTCTTGCCAGTGCCTCTGGGACCTATGAGAAGAGCTGATGTGCTTTCACGATCACCCACTGTGTGTTGTAGAACCTTGTGGATGTCCTTGTACGTCTGGGCAAGCAGGGAATCTTCAAGTGCCGGAAACTCCCTCCCTGCCAACTGAGCCATCACCGTTCTTTTTAGTAGCTGTGTATCGTCAAGACCATCAGTACCCTCCAGAACGTTGTCGTTTGGTTCCCTCTTTCCAGCAAAGGAGCCGTCGCCATCTTGGCCAATTGCATCTTCCGCATTTTCATTAACATCCCCAAGTCTCCATTGTCATTGCCCTGGTCCAGTCCGTTATCAGGCTGACTTCTTGAATTCTCCAGAGCATGCGACACGTCCTTCTCCACGGTCTCTTCAGGCCGATTCGCATCACTTGCCTCTTCTTCCTTCTTGATAGAATAACCCTTGGGTAGCGGTATTAGCCTGACGCGTTTTTGTGGTTTCACGCTCTGGCGTAGTTCCTCAATACCACTAAGACATATGCGTTTGCGGGGCTTTTTCTCGGTCTCTTTGAGTTTCTTAAGCTCCTCTATGCCTCGAAGTTGGAGCTTCTTGCGTGGCTTTGTTGTGTAGTGCTCATTTGGAGCAGCTTTATCATTGGCATCGAAGAAGATCTCATCGTCAGATACGGATTCCTGATGTGCAAGCTCAGAACGGGGTTTTCTTTCGTTTTTAAGGCGCTGGACAAATTTATCTTGTTTCATCTCCTCGAGCAGGCTTCGTTTTAGGGACGCAAACTCCCCGTCGAAATCCAGAAACGACATGTTGATGGTAGTATGTTTTGTTGATGTGCGCGCTTTACAATGGATGCAAGTGATGGTGTTGATGTTCAGGAAGGTGGATAAGAAAGGGAAAGTAATAGAAACAAAAGAGCTGAGATTTCAATGGGATTGGTGTTTTGGGGTCTTGACGCAATTGGGGATTTGCGGGAAATTGGCTATGTATGTGAGTCCTGATATATCGTTTGCAGCCACATCTACAGGGCATAGCATATCAATGCTGACTAGGTAATCAAAAGCACTAGTCAAAAAGTTCAACCTGATGTGAGAACGTCAATTTGTTGGAAATTCCAGGAGATTCAAACGCCTTAACAATTTCACAAAACTTTCTGCACCTGACTTTTGAATCACCCTCCATTAAACTATGGCGTCTTTCGACATTAGCTGAGACTCATGCATCAGAGTGCGTTTTCCTAGGCTTGACACCATGCTTATGCGTCAATTCGCAGCCATTCCCAGATGCCACTGAAACTTCTGCTTTTCTGTTTTCAACGTATTGATTCCACGTTTCCGACATAACCCTTGTTTTACCTTTTTTTTTTCAAAATCTCAAAAGTTGTGCCTCACTTCTCTCATTGCTCACCACAAAGACCTTGCTGAGTAATGCACAGCAACTGACCGCCAAACCAACAATATTCAAAGAGTCACCCATCAATTTTCCAATATTTCAAAAAAAAAAAAAAAAACTTGCTCCCTCCTCACTTTATCATTTCTGGTTTGCCTCCTCTCCCCCACAGGTCACCTCGATCTCCTGCGTGAGATCCTTCCTCACCAACTACTCTCTTCTTATGGAATCAGTCACCCAATTACCAGAGCACGTCACCAAGTTGCTCAAGTCCAAGCGATACGTCCACTTGGCCACGTGCAACGCCAACATCCCCCATGCATCCTTGATGAACTACACTTTCTACTCCAAAAACGACAAGCCTTACATAATCATCAGCACACCCAGAGATACGACGAAATACCGCAACATCGAGGCCAATGAAAACGTGTCACTTTTGATTCACGACTGGGTCGCCGGAGATGAGGAGGCGGCGCCGCCTTCAGGAAGAAGAAACTCGTTGTACGAGCTTTTGGCCAACATGAACAAGGCGGAGATACGCAGTGTGTCTGTCATGCTTAACGGGAGGGCCCAAATTGTCGATCCAAAGACGGAGGAGGCCGACCACAAGTTTTACAAGTCGTTGCATTTGAACAATGGCTTGGTGGACGACGCTCAGGCCGAGACGTTTATTCTGAATGAGTGCAACAGCATTGTCTTGATCACAGTGGACCTGTGTCAGATCACGGACACGAACAACAAGGTCCAGACATACGAACTTAGCTAATATACGAGGTAGCAATTGATGGTTGAGCAAAAAGCAAAAAAACTGCCGGCCCCAGGAATCGAACCTGGGTCTGTTCGGCCACAACGAACTGTACTGACCACTATACTAGACCGGCGTGCTATGGAGGAAAGGTTGGGTGGTTTGCTATGAAGACGGGTTTGGATGGTTCTAGGGATTTGCAATATTTGATGAGTTTGATGTTATAGTTGAAGTCCAAGGATTACGCTGCTAGCGCGAAAGCCTCTGAATCTACGATTTGACGAAAATGCCTATATCTACCGCCACAGCCAGTATTTTTAGTAATTAAAGCAACACGTATATTAACGACAGTTCAAAGATGTAGCGAAACTACTTTCAGCTCCGTGGGCCTCGGTGGTGTCTATTTATGCTCTTGACACTCCTCATCATCCTCATACTGGTAGGATCGCGCAGACCAGTGTTCCTCTTTTAACGATTTATTAAATTAAAAAAACGCCAGAAGAATAAATTCATTTCAAAGAATTTACATAGTTTTAAGGCTTTAAAGAAAAAAAAAAAAGAAGACGTCAACTCCTCAACATGTTTTCAACAGAAGCTGAGTGAACCCGGGGAATGCGACAAAAGAACTTCTCAAGCCATAAAGTCTCTAAGCCGCTGCTGAATTATCCAAAGTTCAGGTCACTTCATGTCATCGTGCTTACGGATCAGCTACAGCTAAATATCGGTACATTCCCTGAACCGAAGGATACTAAAGTTGACCATTCAATCCATATCTCTTTCGAATCAAGTACGTTCTCCTGACTTGACAATATGGCTCAATCTTTAAGTTCATAGGAGACGTTTCAGTCCATATCTCCAAGGGAATTAGGCCTCAGGAAGTTAGGTTTGTGCCACCAATGCTTTGACACTTCACAGACATTGTATTATTGTCCTATTGTTTGATCTCATGATTTCCTTATCACAGAGCAGACACTACATGGATTCGATGTATCTCCCATCATCATGGCAAGGCACATATGAGCCAAAATAGAAGAAAAGGAAAGCGGTAAAATCTTGTCGTTGTGGTCACTCATCTACGTTAAGCTTTTTTCACACCTCCCACCTTGCACTTTAGCAGATGAGCAAAACACTGGGGCTTAATTGGTGGAAGAGAAGCTTGGATCCTCTTTATTTTTGATCGAAACGCAGTTAAACTACACCTCCATCGTCCGTAAGCTCCACATGCTTCTTGGTTTGTGTTTGACATCCCTAACCCCCTAGTGTAAGACTAGGTATCAGAGGTTTCTAGCTAAAGGGAACACACATTTTAACATTTTGGCAAGCTCAATTGGAACTTTCGGGTAACTGACTTGGAGGTCTCGTACAAATGTAAGCTCTTCTGAAGGTTGTTCCTACAGAAATTTAGTTTCTGTGCTCTAACTAAGAAATATTTTTCTGGAAAAAAGATATCACTGCCAACGCTCTATATGACCACGAACAGGCCAGCAGCAGCGGACAAAATTAAAGGCCTCTCGGAATACGAATAGATTCCAGGAAACTCAAGCATGATTTTACTACTGTCGACCACCTTTTCCATGGGCAATTGTCAATGAAATACCTTGGTTTAAACCTAGTTCGAGATGATTGGGCAAAATTCACACCCTCCCTCCGATATATGACGTCAAGGACCACAATAAATCCATATACGAAGTGCTGGGCTCCGAACCACCTCCATGTTCAACGACGCTTTTTGTGAAACCACGTGTTTCTTCATTGTCGCCGCTAGCCACCCCAGCTGACCAAAAAACCATAAACACTCTGGTAGTGAATTGAGAGGACGTTTCGGTTTATCGCTTTTAAAGCCGAGGAGCAGGTGAGTGAGACCCCGATCCTGAAACGACCTTCCCTCGACGTCATCAGCAAAAAACAAAAAAACGCCAAGGCTTCATAATAATTACGAAAGTCAGCCATTTCTGGTTAGGAAAATCAGCCAAGCTCTTACGCTAGCCCATATCAGGTGACCGACTCACGGACATTCCTGAACGGCTATACCCCACGCCGGCACATCTCGCCTATGCACACAGATGCCCCCATACAAAGGCATGCAGCACCGACCGCTGGTATATATATCTCCGTCGACCCCCAACAATGAAATTTTCACTACCCACCAAAAAAGAGCTTGCTTATGACACAATTGGCAGCATTATTAGTAATGATAACGTTTGGAATACTTATTATCCTCATGGCTAGAGAATTGGGTAAACTGACTCAACGTATCCTTGGCTGGAACTATTTTCAAGTTGGCAATAACGATGAACAACTGTCCCTTCCTTTATAAGGCATTACTGCAATGACTCCACAGACACGGTCGTGGCTACTGTGGTCACTATCTGCCGCAGTTGATGCAATTGATGGTTTAAAAAGTCGATTTAGACGGATTCGCTTCTAGTCAGTTTGGCTTCGAACTAGGTAGCTGGAATACCCTGGTTTTGTTCGGAAGGGAAAGCTACAGCTCAGATTTTGTCCTCTCAAAGAATACATTGTCTCTCGTTATTCACCACAACTGATCAGACAAGGTGAGAAGCCATAGCCACTCTGATATCGGGTAAATCGAGAGAGGGTTTTTACTTACTTTTTTATATAATCTTATGTATTAAAAGAGTGTCTTTTCCAGAGTATTCCCAGCTACATGCTGACCAAAAAGAACCTATGTAACTAAAGTCAAAACTTACCTTTTATTAACGGCTTGACAGATACATGACCACGTTGCTGTAGAATTGAGGAAATCGTATCTGATCTTCAGAAGGTGTTCTTCGACTTGAGCACAGACCTTTCAGTCGTATACCTTGTCTATCGATCCATAGGTAGAGTTTGGTTCAACAAGACTTTTTGGTATAAGTACGGCTTAAGACTTTCACAACCCAGTCAAGGCTTCGAGGGTTCTCAGTAGACGTATCCTCCGTGAGGGAGGTCCAGGGGGTATGGCAAATGAATCTAGTAACACGGCATTCGTTGTAGATATGTTGTAGCATACAAGTGCCATCCTTTTTTTTTTTTTTTTTAAGCACGATTGACGTTAATTTGGCTTCGGATGGGCCGTATCGAGTTCCGGAACATATGGACCGAAGGTGAAGCGACGTGTTGCCGTGAAGTCATTGAACTTCATCAATTTTTCTCTGTAAGTTATTCCAGAGTTGTCCCATCGGACAAATCTTTATGAAATTCTCCGGCACAATCGAGTCTTTTCTCTTGATTAACTTTACTGCTAGATTGCTCCATCAATTTGATTTCCGAATGTCGGCCGGTAGGGTCATGGTGATTCGTGTTTCGCAGCCATTGGTGAGGCTCATGCACGGACTCGCTATTGTGATTCTGAACATAGGCTAGGTAGGTTCAACGAAGAACAATCAGGTTCCCATTTCATTTAGTGCGAGGCTTGGAAGTTCAATAAGAGCTTTAATTCCTTGGATGTCCAAAATCTCGCCCTTTGTATCAGTTGGGGATAAGTGGTACCCTTCAATAGTGCCTCCAGGCTTCGATGTATCTGCACTCAGTCTTATACAATCTCGGCGAAAAGCTTTCAAAATCACAGATCCCTCTCCGACCTTCAATCAACGTCTTGAGGAACACAATAAAAAAAAAGCCAAGGCTTCACTCTGGTTACGGAGACGAGTCAAGGCCTCACACCGGTAAGGAGTATCAGCCAAGCTCTTACCCTATCCCTAGTTGCTTGACCGACTTACGGGCTTCCCTAAACGGCTATACCCACGCCGGCACACAATACCTCGCTTATGCATATCGATGCAACCGTATACATTCACTTACCACCTCTGCTGGTATATATATCTCCCTCCTCTTGCCCCCTCGTCCACTCGAAAAAATAAATAATTACATTCCTGGCTTTGACACTCAAGAGATTCAGGAGTCTTGGTAATTAATTTTCACAACGTTTACATACTTGCAGTGAGACAGTTAACTAATGAGGCTCATCAAGATCTTAGCTTCAGTACAATTAGCGTTCGCGTTAGCGATCACTAACGACCTAGTTGCGCGTGACTGGTCAACCGCTTTATATGCCGGGGGCGTAACTATGTTCTACTCGATACTCAGGATTGTAGAGCCCATTGTTACTACACTGACTCCACAGGCATGGGCGGTAGGAGTTACTGTCACTATTTGTCGAACCGCAATTGCTGCAATAGGTGGATCTTCGGGCATGACGCATTGGAGTATGTGAAACACACCATTGGTACCTTTTTGAGACACGATAAAAGATCCACTCACATAGATGGATTCGGTTTTAGTCAAAGTGGCATAGAACTTGGTAACTGGAATGCCCTGATTTCATCTGGACGGGACAGCCCAGATAAGGTGCAAGCAAGGCTGCAGGGTTTGGATGAGAAAGTTATTTATAACTCATCTCTCTTCTTCACCAAAGCCTACTTAGATGCTTGGGTAGAAGCTGGCTTGCTAGCTGACAACCTTGGATTAGTATCGATCGCTGAGTTCCTCGATACCGATGGAGGTTTGGAGAAACGCGATGACAATGAGGTTGAAAGAAGTGGAATTGGAGTGGGGTCAGATAGGTCATTGGTGCAGTTAATGGAAGTCGAGTGGCACAACGAGACTGTATCGATTGGGGCTTCTAGTGACGTACGGGACGGCGTTGATACCATCAAAGCATTGGCTGAGTATGTCAACGGACGGGGACTGGGTAAGGCCAAAAGATCAAACCATAATTTCGTCTCTTTTACTACCCACAGAGTGAATCGGGGGCGAGTACAAAGGATAGCTGAGAACATGGAGACATTACCTTACGCAATGGCCCCACATTTGAGGCCATTGACCTCGACTGATGGCCATAATGTGAGAAAGCCGCGCACGTTGTGCGCTAGACTTGGCTTTGGAGATCTTCATTGGGCTGACATCAAGGTCGCTGGGCAAGTGTATACCAATGAGTACGGAGGTGTCGACTACCATTGTCAGCATCATCATCCGACTAAGTAATGCCAAAACGGCACGTTCCTCAGCAAGGTTTGTGTATTTGATTGCGCCCTTCGCAACCAGTGAAGGTGTAGCAGCCCAATACAAATCGTGATGATTCAGCCAGAAGTTCAAACATTGAAGAAAAGTATGACCAGGGTACATCTGCCCATGCAACAAGCGTGGGATATATGCCAGACATGCCCACAGAAAACCCAAATGCCAAAAACTAAATAACCAATATGACGCTAAAATAAATCACAATTAGAAAAAGAAAAAGTCTGAACAGTTTTGTCAGAATGATATGTGGTGAAACATTTCGAATACAGATTTTGCATTTAGCTACAGCTACAGACAGTCACTTCAAATATTAGAGAGATGTAAATGTGACGGAGAGTATGATGATGTTTCAAATGTAGTTTCAGCTTCGTGGGCCTCAGTGGTGTCTAGTTATTGTGCCTTAACAACCCTCATCATCCTCAGACACAAACGAGAATCATCACTCACGACAAAATGACAGTGTACATGACTGGGGCTCAAAATGAGCGGCTGATTTCTGCCAACTAAATTGTTTACCGATCATCGGATCCACAAAGCTCAATGCTCCAACACGAACCGCATAATCCTCTTCTGCCCCAACAATTGAATAATGGCAATGCAATCGGTTTCGCCAAGAGGTTGGTGAGGATACGATTTGCAAAACCCTCAAAGATACATTGTCGCTCACTATCCTCATCAGATTTTACGTGGGAAGCCGTAGCCGCTCTGGTGTCTGGTCATTTGAGAGAAGTAAAGAAATATGTTTTAGGTTTTAAAGGACTTCGGTTATTTATAATCGTCAATCAGCCGAGACGCGGTAAAAGCTCGATCACAGGCCATCCCTTATCCCTTGATCTCGGGTCCTCGGCAAAGCCTGTGATCTGTGACGGTGTACCTAACACTGAGGAATAGATGAGTGATACACTCATCCTGACAGAAATAAAGAAAAAATAAAAAAAAAAAAAAAAAAAAAAAAACAAAGAAAGAAAGAAAGAAAGTAAGAAAGAAAGGGAAAAAGAAAATTGAGCCGTAAAGCCAAGGACCACAGCCCTTATGCCAAGCCCTTATGCCAAGAACGGGGTCAAGAACCACCATGAGAACCGAAGACGGAATCAGTCAAGCCCTCGCCTACCCATAACTACGTCACCACTTATACCCGTATCGGCACACAACACCTCGTCTATGCATATCTATACGTCCCATATACAGATGCACCACCCATTCATTGGTATATATATCTACCTCCCCGGCCCCCTCGCTGCCCACCTGGAAAATAAACAAATATTTTAATCATGACTGAATCCTCAACAGGCATCATTATTTTCTTATTTGGAATAATGATCTTGATAGTACTTTCACTTTTTATGTTTATGAGACATGTAATCAGCTTGACCCCATCAATTAATCAGTTCTATCCGGACATCGGCAGAATCCGCGTTGACGATAGCGATCACGATCACGAACGACCTAAAAGCCCTCAACAGGCTTGCTGATGTTAGCTTGAAGATGGTCATTGACAGACTGTGAATCCATACCGAATCTACTCGAATCATTCTCCAAAACTTTGGATATGAGAGAAGGAATTTATTGGAGCCGTCAACGATTAAAGTTGTTCAGGCTCCTGAGGCAATACGTTGAAAATGGCTCACAATTGCAAGGGAAATATGTGATTGAGACAGATACAATTGCAAGACGAATCCAATCAAAATTTGTTGTCCCAGACTTTCCAGGACAGTCGAACCATAAAATAAAGAAATGGCTGGGTGGTTTAATAAGAATGGCTAATTCGACAAAAGCACGAATTTGCAGAGGTCTCATCATGCTAATTGAAGTCTCAGTATAACGCTGGCACGCAATCGTGCTGCAAAAAATACATGTCAGTTGAAGCCTTGTCTTGGTGATCTTCGTTAGCTGTAACGAAAGCTCCACCTTGCAAAGCAATTATGTCTTTCAGCTAATGTTTAAAAGCACACAAATATACGGTTCCAAGATTTGAAAAAATGCATTTGGCTACAATTCCAGACGGTCTTTCAAAATGTAGAGCAATGAAACTTTTAAAAACAGTGTAAAGACAAATCAGAGGTATTTTCAGCTCCGTGGGTCTCGGTGGTGTCTAGTAATTGTGCTCATCACACTCCCGATTCTTGAATGGAGACAAACGAGAAATATCACTCTCAACGAAATGACAGTGTACATGATTGGGGCTCATAATGGGCGGCTGATTCCTACCCCTATAAAACAAACCGATCGCCGGGTCCACAGATCAAAATACACCAGGATCAAAGAAACAAGCGAAGCCGGATCTCCCGATCAAAGCCGATGATCCGTGCCTGAATCTATTCATTACTAATCTCTCTTTATTAGAGTTAAATAATACAACGATTTCAAATTATTAAGTCTACGCCCACACTCGTTCGATAGCTCCATTCATAAGTATACAGTAGCCTTCCTAGCGACTGACAGTCTATGTGATGCAAGAAGGATCCCGGTCCGTACTACGTCAGCTCTAGAAGAGCATATCCAAGGTACAGCAGATACACAAACCGGCCAAACATGCCATCAAGCAGTTCTCGTTACCACTCGAACGTTTCTGCTGAACATAGTATTGCTGTTGCGGCTGTTGCTGATAATATCCACCGCCCTGTGGGTAGCCGTAGCCGCCCTGTGGAGGAGGACCTCCGTAACCCTGCTGGGGGTATCCGCCGCCGTATCCTTGTTGAGGATATCCGCCACCTTGTTGAGGATATCCACCACCTTGTTGGTAATCTTGTTGATATTGGGGCTGACCCTGTGGGGCGTAACCTCTTGATGCCTGGCCTGCACCTTCGTCGGTTACTGTAGGTTGCTGCTTGCTGTCGGACCAGTTTGGTGGAGGACCTGTGGGGGGATTATAAGACATGGGAGGAAAAGATGAAGATGAATTGTAAATGTTGATTCCAAGAAAAGAGCCCGGGTGCCGCTGTGTGCAGTACCCACTGATTTTAGAGGCTCGGTTAGCGAGCAGCCAGGAGCCGGGGTTATGAGGGGTGATGTGAATTATGAAAAGTTGTTTTTTGAAATATGGGTGGAGGTGGGTTTGAATAATTTGTTTTTCAGTATTTTAATGATATCTCTTTTTTCGGTATTTTTTGTGGGCTTCTGCGTCATCGAAGGGGTCAGCGCTTGGGTGCAAATGAGGCACAGTAGGAGCAGAAGTGACCCTAAGCGCCAGGCTATTTTGGGGTAGCAGGCCAAAAACCGGGCAATCTGGATTTTGTCGAGGGCTTTTTGCTTTTTGATTTTGAGTAATTTTTGATTTTTTAGGTGGTGGTTTTGGTTAATAGGGTGTATTTTTCAGTTCAGCCGTTCGTGAAGCGGATTTGATGGGGTGGAAATTCCGGTGGAAGATTCCGCCACCAAGCATTTTCTGGTGAAATTATGATATTTCGGTTATTTTCAAGGTATTTTGTGATGACCACCCGCACGGCTGGCGGCTGAATTATCGGCTTTTTGGTGTTTCACGGCACCACTTTCCTTGAGTACTATCTTTCGCAGCCGTTGAGAGCCACGAAGCGATGGATCGGCTTTGAATTTTGAATTGGAAGGAATGGTCAGGCGGGTGTAAAAGATTGGAATTCTGGGATTTCAAAAAAAAAGGAGGTTGTTTCACGGGAAAATGAAAGGGTTCTCGGGTGCTGGGTTGAACCAGGATTTAGGTCGTCGAATAGGCGAAATGGCCAGGGAAGTATATAGCTGCGAGAAGAATGGAATCGAACTTTCTCCAAATCTGTTTCAACATAGATTTTGTGTTTTTTAGGCAGATTAATCAAATATAGGGTTCGTCTCGATGGAGATCCTCTTTGTGGCTTATCGTGGGTGCATGGGTTAGTCTTGCTAAGCCACCATTGCCATCTGGGGATCTTCCATTGCACTTTTCAGAGAAGTCGTATATTAAAGAGCTGGTCTTAGGAGCTTTAAGAATCAAGAAGGCCAAATTCCTCATGACTGTTTTTGATTCAATGTTCCCATTGGTACATTGCGGGTGAGTAAACAATATAGTCTTTGACAAGGTAGAACTATATCGGCGTACCTTATTTAGCTATTTCCTCTGGTATCAAAGATTAATTAGCAAATTTCACGATGGTGCTGAAGCACTGATATCTCTCTGTTCGTAGAATTGAATTTCTTAGCAAACCTTGTGCTGTCATGTTGTATGGTCTCGTTGGAGACCCTCAAGTGGGAATCCTCTTGTTTCTGTAGTAAGCTCTCCCTCTGCCATTTTCCTTCTTTGGCGCCTTTGGCTTTCCCCGACCATGAGTAAATCCAGTCTGATTAAACCAACAGTCGTTCACATAGTGTCCCTTTTTATGGCAATGAGTACATTTTATAAAACGCCTCTTACTGACCGGAGATCCTGCTCCCCCATTTGTCGGTATAGATGACCTAAGAAAATAGTCCCAATACTTGTCCTCTGCGTAGACTTCCATGTCATTATAGCGATTGAAAAAGAGAGACTTGATGTCCACCTTCTCAATGCCCCTCCTCTGAAATTCTGGCCTAACATAGGATTCGAAGTCGTCTGGTAAAAATGGCCTTCTATACATCATAGTTTGAAAATTAGCGTCAAGAACATGTGTGTGTAAAAATGCCAGCATTTGACTCGGAAGCACATTTACATCAGTCAAATTTTCCTCCTGTTCTTCCCAACGGATCATCAAGTTTATGAAACCCTTCACGGTTAATTTCGATCCTCTATCGTACGTTTTTTTGAAAGAATCCAATGCTCCATCCGCATACATAGGGGGAGACCCCAATTTATCCCTTCACAAATGAGTGCACGGCAAACGCTTTCTGCGTTGGCCATTGTTGTTCTTCTGCGCTGCTCAGGTAATGAATTCAAGTAGGATGTGCCCTCATCGATATCCTTGACATACTTCATAATATAATTGCAAACCTGATCACCAGACACCTTTGAAACACTTGGGAATATCAAAATAGACCACCATATAAGGTCTTGAGGATGCTCGAGCGTGAATGGGATTTCAAGCTCACAATAGACGTCCCCCTCCGGCTCGTACTCGTATTTATAGAGATGTATCACCTTTGGAGAAAGAGGTGCAAAGTAGTTCACCAAACCCCCTCGTGGGCGTGGGGTATAATTGGCAAATTGCATCATCGATTGACCACTGCAAAAGAAGAAGTTGGTTGAATTTAAAAAGTTGTTTGAATTTTAGTAATTAGCAATAAATGAAGTCCCCGGCTTATGGTCGTGATGCATGTAACCAGATATGCCCGATTGGGTTGATAATCGGCCAAATACGACTAGAAATTACACACTTTCTCAATTCAGAAAATCAGAAAATCTGATGAAAATGTCAAAGGTATAAGTGACGTTACAAGTTCAATATGCTTTTTAAGCTGCGTCAAATGGAGCATGTCTATTGATAAGAAGATGTACCTTTATGCACGCGCTGCTAACGGAAATGGCCCCACTAAGTTCGATGGATTTGGACCTCACGGAAAGACCGAGTTTCGTACTATCCTTTCTTTCGTAATGAAAAAAAAAAAAAAAAAAAAAAAAAAAATTAAAAAAATTCGTTACATACTCGGTTATCTATGCTCTTCATGTTGAAGAGGGAGCCATATGCAGTACGTGCGTTCAGTTGGGACACCATGAAATATGCGGCTTATCTGAGGCATACCTAAGGCGGTCTACTAAGGTGAGTATTTGTCAAGCTGATCATCCACCATATTTGCCAGCCAGGGCAATATATAAAGACGTCTTCTCGTCCTCAAATTATCCAACCAACTAAGTTTCAATGAACTATTTTACAGATGGTCCTACACCTGTCTCACGTCAGTACTTCCTAGGTCTTGCTTGCGAAGCCTCAAAGATATATGAGTCTTCTGGAAAGTTCTCAGTAACTCGGTCAGCAAGATTGATTGAGGAAACACCCAAACGACTGAAATAAACTTTCACAGCACCCTTGTGGTTCCCTTCGTGGGTTCCAAAGAATCCCATGAAGTACACTTCATAAGTGGTGAAAGAATTGGCCTCAAGGTAAACCCATGTCTTGTGACCGTTCAGAATCCCTTTGGCTTCATCAATCCTGAACTGGTTCCCCCATTTGGTCAAGAATGTAACAAGGTTACCAGCACTGAACTGGAACTTGGTCCAATGAGACTCTCTCCAACCTTCCAACAGATAACAAGGGTCGTCCCAAACAGCGGGATTGACTCCAGACCGAATCACAGCTTCAGCAATGGATTCGCAATGGAGGATGACTGTTTCAGCAGTGGTTGGGTCGAGTTTCTCTGTAGTCAACCATTCATCAGCAGCCTCTTTTCCAGTTCTGAGGTAAGTGAGGAGGTATTGATACTCCTTTCTTCCGAAGACTCTCTGGACTTCGATCAACACCCAATGAAGCCAAACTAAATACTCATCTTTTGACTCAAGCTTGAAAGGAATGGTAAACTGACGACGGCAAGCAATGGTTTCACCATCTTTATAAAGATGTTCGATCACAGGTGCACCGAATGCAGGTAATTCGGTAGCGGTGAGGGCAGACATATTACACTTAGATGGACAGTAGTGGTTCTTAGTGTATTGATAGATAGGTAGCTATAGAAGTGGGAAAGTAGGTAGCCTAATGTAGTTGACATTACGTGGGGGTTGCAGGATATGAAACACTTTCTGAAACACTAGTGGGGACACTGACATGCGTAGGAGTAAGGGCACTTGTTTCATCCCTGTATATAACATGGATATTTTCTGACACTTCAAACATGTCACGTGCACAATATCACGTGCACACATTTGATAACAGCCGATGCTTCCTTCATGCAGCAGCTACTACACCATCACCAACTGCTATGGAAGACAGATCTGTATGTCTGTTCTATCTGAAAATAGGAGCATGCAGGCACGGCGAGAAGTGTGCTCGTAAACACATCAGGCCGCAGGAGCTGAAAACGGTGCTTTTAGCCAATCTATATCCAAATCCAAAAACAGACAGAAATAGCGACATCTCAGACTCCAACGAGTCGTTTGAACATTTTTACACGGATGTGTACAAAAGGCTTGCCCAAGCCGGCGAAATAGATTCCATGCTTGTTTGTGAAAACGAGAATTTCCATCTCAGTGGCAACGTTTACGTGAAATACACCTCCACCGTATCAGCACAACAGGCAGTGATGCTGATAAATCAGGAGTGGTTTGCTGGAAAACCAGTCTACTGTGAGTTGCTGCCGGTACAGAGCTTCCATGACGCCAAATGCCGTTCCCATGATACGAATACCTGCAACAGAGGCGACCACTGTAATTTTATGCATATCAAGAAACTCAATAGTGAAGTCGGAAGACGTCTTCGGCTAGCACAGGATAAGAGCATTGCCATCAAGAGGCTTCGAAAGCTCTTTGAGGATGAGTCGTGGGGAGAGGGGTACTTGGAGCCTTCGAAGGAGAAGTATTCGAGAAATAAGAAGCCCAAGGTGGACAAGGATGCTGAGAATGTGGTTGAGGAGGAAAAGAATGGAGTGAAGGAGGAAAAGAGCGAAGAGGCTGAAAAGACAAGCGAGACAGTCGAGACTGAGTCCAAAGAGGAGGAGGAAGAGCTGGAGGAGGTTTCCACTACGGAGGCTGTTGCTCGTCTATTTTCATAAAATTGCATTTCGACATGGGTCAAAGTGATTAACTGGTGGTCATTTGCGCTTGGCTGATTCACATTCACAGCACAACTTTATATCTTCGAAACATGAAGCCTGCGCATATTCAACATTTCATATACATCGGCGTTACTTAAACAAATATACAGAGCAGCTTGCTCACCTCGATGAGAACAAAATGAACAACTGCTGTTTGTTCAATTTCCTCCCCAACCGGATCACCTCCGCAGAACCGCTTTTAAGTTGGTACTCTCCTTCTTGAGGTGTTTTTCCATATCTTGAATGAAGCTCACGAAGAAGCACGTTCAGTTGAAACGGTTTGATGGCGTTCGAGGTGGTGCCTATCGTGATGTGTAAATGCTCCACTGTGGGCTTGAGTACGAGCTGCTGCCTGGAAAACCCACCTGTGTTATTTCTCACATACATTTGCCCCATTTTCACCTCCACGGTGACTAATTTTCGGTCAAACACTACAGCTCTCACTAAAGTCACATCACAGTGGTCTGTCAAATTGGCCAATTTGCCATTAGTTAATATGGAACCAGCATACTCTGCATCCAACTTTTCACCTAGCCAGTACCAAGCGGCCCCCAGCCTACTAGCATCGTTTTTGTGGCCCACGGTGATGTGGAATTCGCTCTGAACTCGATTTTTACTTTTTAAGCTGTACCATGTGTCATTGTCGTCGAGGAAGTCATCCAAATACCTGACGATATCCTTCCTTTCTTTAATCCTGATACCGTAGTACTCGGGCTTTCTTACCATTGTGATGTTCTTGATCGATCTTGTTGAGGTCGAATCGCCGAGTACTACTTAGCGATGCAGGCATATACCAAGACACCGAAAACGGAGCGATGAGTAGGAAGTACTTTTAGTCAAAAATTGAAATAATCTAATGATTTTGTGAATAAATCTTTTGGATTCTGTGATTTTTTTTTTGTTGTGCATCTCTCATGGTTTCACCTCATACTAGCATGAGACCATCTGCTCTTCGATGGTCCAAAGGCATGGGTTTGCAGCCGTTGAAGGTCGTCTAGTCTGTTGGTACTTTTTTGTCTAAACACCAGAACCCGAATTTGTGCAACATTTTTTCGATTTTGATTCAATAAACGTCAGGTACTGTCATACTTGGTCTAGCTGTTGTGATGTTCCTTTGCTTTAGCCAATAATCATTAGCTTGCTGAAAATGGCTAACAATCCATTTTCCTCTGTAGCATGACCCACCTACACCACACCTATTTTGCAAAAGCCGCTAGTCCACACAAGCGCTGTGCTTCACTGCCATCGCTACAGCCTTTAACCTCCAGCTAAACCAAGGCTAGATCCAGAAAGAGCTTATAATAAAATCACAGGTCATGAAATCTGAATACTCATTTTTATTTTAGATCCACAAAGTCACCTTCTTATGTTAAACCCAAAACGTCATACCTTCTCCATCTCTCACCTCCTCATCTCGTCATCCTCGCTTATGTCGAGGCCTCCGGGGCCCAGAAATCCGTACCTGTCAAAGCGCCGCAAAAGCCTTAATTTAAACGTCAAGCCGGATAATTATACCGCCTGGGGCGTTTGTTCAGGCCTGAAGCCACACTTTTCGCTGTGGCATGTATTGCAGCTGTGCTTACGCCGCGACCCTGATTTACTCGTGCAGTGATAGGCCAAACATCTTTCACGGACGCATGGCGGCGATTGTGCGGCTGGGAGATGCGTTGCTCTTTGGGAAAATCTGCTAGTGGGTTTGGGTGATTCGTGCTTATCGGTAAAGTGACGGTTGTGAGCGCGCGGCCAATTGTGTCAGTGAACCACACCAGCGGAATTAAGGTTTGGGCGAGAATTTCGCTTAGGTAGGTTTCGGTGCCTGCTGAAAAGGTGCATCTGACCACCCTATTGCATGCTTTTTTCATTCACCAAACTTTTAGACCAAATCTGCCGTGGCTTGCATCCATGCTTATCTCTGTCATCCTGTACACGGCCGGCGACTTACGCAGCCTTGCGTCTATGGAGCAGGCAATTTGCAATTGCCAATTATTCCCTGCAAATGAGGCAACCTCTTCGCTGCGTACTTATGGAGCACGAATCCACTACCTTCTTCACTTTTGTTAGACATGTCCCACCAACCGGTTTCTGACAGCTCCAGTCTGTCCGAGAATGGCCCTTCCATAGATAAGGCCAAAACCAACGAGATTATCCACACTGTGACCTCGGTGGACATCGAAAAGGTTGAAAAAGAGCTCGAGCACGATGACTGGCTGTACCACGAGGGAAACGTGGAAGATTTGGCCAACTCGCCCTATCCTGAGGTTCGTGCTGCGGTGACATTGGATATCGATCTTGACGTCAAGCTCAACCACTGGAGAACATGGACTTTGACGTTGATTTTTGTGATTGTGTTTGCAGGCGTGAACCAGTTCTTCTCGCTTCGTTACCCCTCCTTGACCATCGGCTTCATTGTGGCGCAGATCGTGTCGTTTCCAATCGGTAAGCTTTTGGCTAGACTTCCAGAATACAAGCCATCGTTTCTTCCCGATTTCTTCCAGCTCAACCCAGGCCCATACTCCAAGCAAGAGCATGCTTTGCTCACCATCGTGGTGTCCTTGACGTCTTCCACCTCGTATGCAATGAACATCCTCATCACCCAGACCAACTTCTACAAGCAGAGTCTCGATGCTGGATACATGATTCTTTTGGTGTTTTCCACCCAACTTTTGGGCTACGGTGCAGCTGGACTCACCAGACGTTTTATCGTCTACCCTGCCGCCATGATCTGGCCCCAGACCTTGGTGACTACGTCTCTTTTCAATACCTTGCACTCTAAAGAGGGCGATGTTCTCGATAAGATGAACGCCAACGGCTGGACCATGTCGAGATACAAATTCTTCGGAATTGTGTCCATTTTCTCCTTTGTCTGGTACTGGTTGCCCGGCTACCTTTTCAAGGCGTTGTCGTACTTTGACTTTATTACGTGGATCTGGCCCAGAAACCTCATTGTCAACCAGGTTTTCGGAGTACAGTCGGGACTTGGAATTATCCCAATTTCTTTTGACTGGACCCAGGCCACCCAGGCCATGTCTGCCTCTCCATTGGCTACTCCTGCCTGGGTTTCTGCAAACACCTATGCATCTGTGTTCATCTTTTTCCTTATCGTCTTGCCATGCTTATACTACACCAACACCATGTACGCCAAGTACATGCCTGTGATGCTGACAACGACATTTGACAACACAGCCAAAAAGTACAATGTGTCGAAAGTGCTCAACAGCAACCTTGAGTTTGACGAGGAGAGCTACAAGCGGTATTCGCCTTTGTTCGTGCCATTTTCGTACCTTCTTTCCTATGCACTCAATTTTGCAGCCGTTGTGGCCATTTTTGTCCACTGTTTCTTGTACCACGGTAAGGAAATTGTGCAAAAGTTGAGAGACCAAAGAGCCGGTGGCGAGGATATCCACAAGAGATTGATGAACAACTTCAAGGAAGCCCCCGACTGGTGGTACTTGGGCTTGTTTGTCATTTCTATTGGTCTTTCCTTTGCAGCCGTTTGTGCTTATGAGACTCAGCTTCCATGGTGGGGTCTTATTATCTCCTTGTTGATTGCTTTTGTCAACTTTATTCCCCAGGGCTTGCTTGAAGGAATCACCAACCAGCACGTTGGTCTCAACATCATCACCGAGCTTGTGGCTGGTTACATCTGGCAGGGTAAGCCTTTGGCTAACATGATGGTCAAGTTGTACGGCTTCATTCCCATGAGACAAGGTCTTGAGTTTTCGAGAGATTTGAAGATTGCTCAGTATATGAAGATTCCTCCAAGACTCTTGTTCTTTGCTCAGATTATCGGTACTTTGGTGGCTGCTTTGGTCAATGTGGGTGTGCAAGAATGGATGAGATCAAACATCGACAACATCTGTGACCCCAAACAGGCAGATGGATTTATCTGCGCTAATGGTAGAACCATCTTCAATGCCTCCATTATCTGGGGTGCCGTTGGTCCTGCTAAATTGTTCAACCCAGGAAAGCGCTACAATGCTTTCATGTGGTTTTTCCTTATCGGGTTCTTTGCACCAATTGTCACCTGGCTTGTTGCTAAAAAATGGCCCAAGCACTGGGTCAGCAGAATCAATGCTCCTGTGTTTTTCACTGGTCCTGGTAACATTCCTCCATCCACCATCTACAACTACTCCCTTTACTTCGTCATTTCGTACGGTTTCAACCACTACATCCGCAAGTGGTTCAGAGCTTTCCACGTGAAGTATACGTACATTCTTTCTGCTGCTATCGACTCTGGTGTGTCGATCTCAGCAGTCATCATTTTCCTTTGTGTGTCCTATCCAGCAGGTGCACTTGTGTGGTGGGGCAACACCGTTTACAACACCAACTACGACGGTCAGTCCAAGCCATTTTACACCTTGGCTGATGGAGAGACCTTTGGCCCCACTACCTGGGATTAAAACTGGTATGTGTTTAATAGATTAATATGTGATCAAGAGCAGTGGTTGTGTAGTGATGGTGAGGAAGCATTACACGAGGGTACAAGTATTTCTATGAGCGGTTGTTCTTGAACTTAGGGATATATGGGGGATTCTTCAATTTTTAGGCATTATCGTCAGACCAAGGGGGTCAAGAGAAGTGTTTCTGTAGTTACTGTAAGTGAAGCAATAAAACGAGGATGGGACTTGTTTTATGAGAGGCAGATGTTAAACGAAATCATTGTAACACCTCTTTTGGCTTAGGATATGGGGGATTCTTTATTGTGTAGAGCATTATCATCAAACAGAGAGGGTGACAAGGTGATCTACAGTTTTTACCTCCTTTATTATCATGAATCTAGCAAATTCATATCGTGAATCAAGTAAAGTCAAAATGGACCACTTCCGACCCTATTCTGACCAAAGGTTATGGTGGATTGGGTAGGTCCTAATGGCTGCAAACGGACTGGCTGTTACACCCGGACCAGAATTTACATTGCCTAATTGGGAGGATCGAGTAAAAATGGAGATAGAATTTTTCTGCGGTATATGCAGGTTGGGCTTTAAGATCTGGAAACCTACAAACCCGCCATTTCAGGTGCTAGGTTGATGGGAATTAAAAGGGGGTCGAGGTCTGTATTTCTGAGGTGGTGAGTAAATCTATCTGAAAGTTTTGTGCATTTTCGACAGGTGTGGCGTAAGATGGCGTGGTGTGGACCCTTAACTATGGGAGTTGGGCTTCTCGAGACAACCCACGTCTATCTCCACACGCATTTCAGTTTTTTACCCATTGAAGCTATTTCCCGACACAACTAGTATCCAGTAAGCTACTAGACCCCGCAAGACGTAAAAATTAAGGGTTTTCAAAAAGGACTCTGGGGATGAGTGCATCACGTGCACCGAGCTAGGGCTGAGAATCTTAGGGCTTTGGCCGAATGCGGCAGGCATGCCCAGATGTTCACTACATTAGCGCGCAGCCCCAAAGTCTCAGACTGGTGTTCCTGCACACGCACCTCCAGGCTAACAAATTTTTCGCACCTCTTCCTGGCGAAAATCTTCTTCCACCTCGTATTCATCTAATTCATTAATCATGTCTGACGTTGAGGAAGTCCAAGTTGAGGAGCCTGTTGTCCAGCAGGAGCTCCAGTTGGTCGAGTTGGCCACCCCTATCCCAGCTGAGGTCCAGGCTGCCCAGCAGGAGATCAAGTTGTTCAACAAGTGGTCTTTCGAGGAGGTTGAGGTCAAGGATGTCTCTCTTGTTGACTACGTCCAGGTTAGATCCCCAGTGTTTGTTTCTCACACTGCCGGCAGATACGCCTCCAAGAGATTCAGAAAGGCTCAGTGCCCAATCATCGAGAGATTGACCAACGCCTTGATGATGAACGGTAGAAACAACGGTAAGAAGTTGAAGGCTGTCAGAATCGTCAAGCACGCTTTGGAGATCATCAACGTGTTGACTGAGCAGAACCCTCTCCAGGTTGTTGTTGACGCCATTGTCAACTCTGGTGCCAGAGAGGACTCCACCAGAATCGGTTCTTCCGGTACCGTCAGAAGACAGGCTGTCGATGTTTCTCCTTTGAGAAGAGTCAACACCGCCATTGCTTTGTTGACCATTGGTGCCAGAGAGGCTGCTTTCAGAAACATCAAGTCCATTGCTGAGTGTTTGGCTGAGGAGTTGATCAACGCTGCCAAGGGTTCTTCTACTTCTTACGCCATCAAGAAGAAGGACGAGTTGGAGAGAGTTGCCAAGTCCAACCGTTAAGGAACATGTACTTGTATATTTCGTCATAAAAGGAAAATTAATGTTGCATTGTAGAAGACACCAAGACATCCAATCTACTACTGGTCAGCTCTTTACAATGTATTGAATGTATTTGAGGATGCGACAGCATCAATAAATATTGGGGTTTGTCTTTGAGGATGCAAATGATGTTCAAACAATGACGGGGTACAACATGCGGATGAAATAATACTTGATGTTGTTTTGGAGTAACCTGTCGTAACGCTCCATGCGGGCCTTCGTAAGCTCTTTCTCATCATCCTCCACAAGGTCAGTCGCCTTCAAGTAGCCCGACGAAGCTTCAGCTTGCGCTCTTCTTTTTTGAAATTTCTTTCTCACGAGGTACTCGCGGTTGAAAAGAAGAAGTAAAAATGCTAGTAAAAACATGCACCCAGTAAACACCTGGGCATGGTCAAAGGGATTGGCGTTTTCCTCCTCCTTCAATGCAATGGCTATAACTTCTGAAGGGAGCGAGAAGATGGAGACAATAATGTTGAGACCCGACCATGCAGCAGGCATAAGGTGGGGTCTTTCTTGAGCGTCTAGAATGTCAGCGCCGAGCGATTGGGACATGATCGAACCAACACCGGCAGGGCCGCCGAGTAAGACTGAAAGCACAATGAGAGCTGCGTACGACGTAGCATGGCGCCAGAATGCCAAAATTAAAATGGCCAAATACACGCAGAAGAAACTGGCGGTGTTTGTTCTTCCACAGTAGTCGGCAATGTTCCCCACGCACGGTCTACCAACGACTTGTGCAGCATTCAAAATAGCCAAAAGGTTGTTGGACTGGTCGTGAGTCAAGCCTATGGATGAGGCATAGGGTGAGAAGGAGTAGAGACAGATGACGTAGCCCAAGAGACACAAGCCAAACCAGAAGCCCAAAACAATATAGTGGAGCGATTTGAAGAGCTCAGGGTTGAAAACGACTTTGGTGATTGCGACCGTACGTTCCCAGGTGACTCTTGAAGTATTGAAGTCGATTGTCTTCTTGTTCCGGGGCCTTAGGAAGCAGATTGCAAACAAGGTGGTAGCGAGTGTAACAAAGCCCACCATACGAAGGGGCCACCTCTGATCTCCCGTCTGAGAAATGAGCTTGTTGAGGGACAAGGAAAAGACCAACCCTCCCAAACCAGCACCAGAGACACAGATTCCCATCGCAGTGGACTTTCGTTTTTGGAACCACGTCGGAAGCACCAACGTGCCGGGAATGAAAATTAAACTGAAGGAGCAGCCCACAAGAACACCCTGGCAGCAGTAGATTTGCCAGAGTTTCGTGCAGAAGGACGCTAAAATGTAGCCTAGAGTCTGGAGCACCAACCCCGCTAGAAGAATGGGCGTTTGGCCAAACATACTAATGAGAAAGCAGCATATGGGCGCCAAGGCCTGGGCCAAAAACACCACGATGCCACCTATAAGTGCAAAGTCGAAATTCGTGGCACCAGGAAACAGGCTGTTGGACATGTAGTAGTTCAAGAAAACACCAAAAGCGGCGTTGGCGCCCCAGGTCAGGAAAACCAAAAGCATCGTCAATACAGCCTGCCACAATGCAAAAGACCCATCGATCGGGTGGTCCAGGGCCTCCAGGGACTCCTCACTTACAGAATCAGAACGGGGCTCCTTATCCTTACTCAGTCTAGTGAGCTCCCGAGAGATACGGTCCATTTCGTCGTAGATGGCCTCCTCGGCAAGCGGAACGGCCGACTTGATCAGATTCTCCTCGTTGTCCTGCTGGTGTTCATCCCTGAGGCCTTCTAGGATCCGTGACACTCCAGAGCCATTGGTAGCCTGTCTGTTGAGGTTTGCCTGTGAGTATTCTGAATCTAGCGGTTTTGGGTCGTAGGCCTCCGCCGCTGAGTCACAGGACGAGACAGAAACACGAGACATGATGGGGAAAAAGAGGGAGTGGTCTCGTTTATATAGTCCAGATGACTAATTGGATAGTCGCAGGAACAGATAATGGGATCGATGAGGAGGAACGCGGGGTCGATCGTGGGGGATGAGAATTTCAAAAACTGAGGATCTGGAGAACCAGCTTTGAGTGTTTTCCGACGACAAAGTATATTTCCGTTTCAGCTTCACGAATTCAATTTAGGCTTCTGTTGCCCAACGGTTTTGTGTCAAGCCCCACACGGCGCGCTATGGAACGGAACTTATGCAGATGCTGAGGGATCTTATCGTGTGTGAATGTTTTAGGGTGGGTATTTCGAGAGACTCAATAAGTGATTCTTTCCAATTCTACTGAATTTTGTTAGCTGGTGTCTGGCTGACTCTCGAGTATAAGTAGCGAATTGATAGCAGCCGCGCGATGTGTGGCTCAGGGGACTACCACCAAATGGGTTCTGGTAGTTCTGGTGTAGTTTAAGGGACTTTCCTTGTTTCATCCATTGGGCCGGTGGAGAATCTGAAACGGGGAATAGTGGCGTCGGAACGATTGATTTTCCCGTCTGATGAGTAATCCGTCCTGTGAGTCACAGAAACGTGCTCTCCATGAAACGTGATATCTCCGTTGTGTGGGGTTCTAGCAACAAGGTGGCAAAAGATCAAGAGAAAAGGATCAATCGCAAGCACAGGCTCCATCACCAGCCACAGTTGGGGTCTGACTAAATGGTGTCCTCTTTCTCCATATCCATGTCATCAGAATAAACTCCGATTGCTTCATAACTATCGAAGTAGAGTGATTTAATATCCATGAAGTCAATTTCTCTTCTCTTGAATTCTTCATTCACATAGGTTTCGAAGTCGCCTGTAAAGAAGGGTCTCTTTCCCATCATGACTTGGATATCACCATCAATCAAATGAGTCTTCACGAAGGCTAGGATATTCAACCTTACCAGCAGGTCAGCCTGTCTTTCCCAGTGAAGCAATGGTGTATTTCTTCACAGTCAACTTCGAAGACTTTTCGATCATTTTAAAGGATGACAATCTCATCCTGCTTGTTTGATAAGAGACTTCATTTAATCCCTTCGCCCATGATAGCAGAACAGGTTCTAGGGCAAGTTTTCATCATGGGTGCTCCTTTTTGTCAGTCTATGTCTGTAAGAAAGCGGCACCTTCATCAACATCTTTTACGTATATCCTCTTCTCGCATCTCGTTTCAATTTAGTAGGACAAACATAGTGTTTCCTAGTAATCTACAACCATCACGAAGAATTAGTCAGTTTTCTTTCCAAGAGGTGAAATTTCCCCAGCAAGGTCACCACGAATTACCTGAAGTGGTTTTGTAACATGTTGATTTGTTCCGTCCGCTAAAGCCATAGATGGTCTAGGTGAGCAACAAAATCTAACAAGATTTCAAAATCATTTGTGATAGAAATTAGGCTACCCTTGTCCCATGTAAAGGGAACCCTCTTTATTGAACCGTCTTCCATACTTACGTTGCCGCGCTGTCGGTTATGGGGTCCTTGTTGTAAGACTTCTGATTGGCTTGGTTGTAGAAGGCCATCAATGTGGTCAGGTACACTCTAACGAATTTTTAAAGGCGGATGGCAGGAACGTTTCCCGGAAGCAATTTTGGCCTGATACAGCTTGGATTGGTGTTTGGGCTAGTTACATCTCGAATCGCAATTTGGGCTTGTTATCAGTGGTAGATCAATGTTTCGGTGATTCGACAGGGGTGTGACAAAACTCAGGAATATTATCTAGAAGGTGAAATTACCAACCCAGCTGAACCCAGCTTTCTTTCTGAAGGTTAACAAATCTTCATTGGCAGGTGTGAACCAGCACGGTTGTTAAGGCTGTGAATGCCCAACCAACTCGCTGGATATCGAAAAAAGCGTAATCACAAAGAAGGAAATGAGTTCACATCACTCAAACAGTACCACCACAAAACAGTATCACCACCAAACTATCCCATTGCTTCATGTACCTCCACAGTTCAGCCTCACCAGCCTTTTGCAGCCATGTCTCAAAATGGAGCAACACAATCACCCAACCCAGCAGCCCGACCCTTGCCTTTTCTCCCATTGTCTTGAAATTCCAAAATCCTCCAAACCACTCCAAAAGTAACAAAAATTCTCTTATTCCATTTGTGATTGTGTTTGGTGGATTCGACTAATGGCCGGCTAGTTGTGATTTTTTGGTTGTCTGAGTGTAGGTGGGTGGTTCAGAGGAGGTCCTTTATTTTGGCTCGAGCTTCAGGTGAAAGCTAATGCTTCTGTGGCTCTGATTGTCAGATCCTTTTTCGGGCCAGCAGAAAGATATGGGAGATCGGAGTGTCAAAAGCTTTCCCGGTGGATGAATATTTCGCTTATCTGATGAGTCGCAGAATTGGGAGTTCTCCATTGTGTAGGGAAAAAAGCTAACTTTTGCAAGAGTTAAAATAGGAGGCTTGTAGACGGTGGTAGTTCTTCAATGACAGGTAAACAATGTACAACGGCTAAGTAGATTCGGACGACTTTCTAATCAGTTGAGCTGAAAGGGCTAGAAAACGCCTTTTTCAGAGGTTGTATATTTTGCAGGACGCTGCAAAAATTAACGGTCAGGGAACGTCACTATCACTGTCCTCGTCTATATTAGTGTCTTCGGTAATATTTGTAACTTTGGTGATATAGTCTTCGCGATACTAGTGTCTTTGATACTACTGTTTCAGTATGATGTGATGGGTGAATGGTAATTTTCTTCGCCTTTCGACCATGTTAAGAAATAATATAGTGAAATGATGAAACCATTCTACTGGTCGAAGAGCTTCATCATACAACAGCTGTGAGCGGCCACTGACAGGCCTTTTCAATTCTACAAGTCCTAGTCCTCAAAACAAAGGTCACTTAAATTTTACTGTTTTCATAAATCCAACGTTTTAATGAGATGTCATTTAAAGTGCCCCTACGTCGACAGTGAAGCCTCACCAGCCCCATGCTTTTTACACGGCACCTCCACAGTTCAGCCTCACCAGCCTTTCGCAGCCATCTTAGAACTTAGCAACATCCACTCAACCGACCCACCAAGCCCTATTTAACATTTCCTTTTGTCTACCATGAAGCCATATAAATCTCTTCCAATCTGCCTCCCTGCAATTCCCAAAAAATAAAAATTCCAAAACTGCCATCCCGCCCACCTTATCTGGTGTGCGCGCACCACCATATCAACCATCTGTCCTCCTACCAACAGGCATGTCCGGAGCGTCAGACTTCCTCACAAAGGGCATCGACCTTATTCAAAAGGCCATAGATGCAGACACAGCCACACGCTACGAAGAGGCGTACAAACTCTACTACAACGGCTTGGACTACTTGATGCTTGCGTTGAAGTACGAGAAGAACCAGAAGCTGAAGGAGTTGATCAAGTCCAAGTTCACCGAGTACCTCTCGCGGGCGGAGCAGTTGAAGGATTTTTTGGAGAAGCAGCAGCTGAAATCCAATGCTGCCGAGCTGTCGGCGTCGGGCGGTTCCACTAAAGCCAAGAAGGATGGAGACGACGACGACGCGGATACAAAGAAGCTCCGTGGAGCGCTAGCAGGAGCGATTCTTTCAGAAAAGCCAAACGTGAAGTGGAGCGATATCGCGGGCTTGGAGGCCGCCAAGGACGCCTTGAAGGAGGCGGTGATTCTCCCAGTGAAATTTCCCCAGCTTTTCACCGGAAACAGGAAACCCACCCTGGGGATCTTGTTGTACGGTCCTCCCGGTACGGGTAAATCGTATTTGGCGAAGGCAGTGGCCACGGAGGCGAACTCGACCTTCTTTTCCGTTTCCTCGTCCGATCTTGTGTCGAAGTGGATGGGAGAGTCGGAGAGATTGGTCAAGCAGTTGTTCAGCATGGCTCGTGAAAACAAGCCTTCCATCATCTTCATCGACGAGGTGGACGCCTTGTGTGGGCCCCGAGGCGAAGGAGAGAGCGAGGCGCTGCGGAGAATCAAAACCGAGCTTTTGGTGCAAATGAACGGTGTGGGTAACGACTCACAGGGTGTCTTGGTTCTCGGCGCCACCAACATCCCCTGGCAATTGGACGCCGCCGTGAGAAGAAGATTCGAGCGGAGAATCTACATTGCATTGCCCGAGTTGGAAGCCAGAAAACGCATGTTCGAGTTGAACATTGGCGACGTGTCCTGTGAATGTAACCAGCAGGATTTGCGGGTTTTGGCCGAAATGACTGACGGCTACTCGGGCCACGACATTGCCGTGGTGGTGAGAGACGCCTTGATGCAGCCAATCAGAAAGATCCAGCAGGCTACCCACTTTAAACCCGTTGAAGAAGACGGAGTGGAGAAGCTCACGCCGTGCTCTCCTGGCGACGACGGTGCCCGCGAAATGAGCTGGCTCGACATTGGCACCGACGAGTTGAAGGAGCCCGACTTGACGATCAAGGACTTCATCAAGGCCGTCAAGAGCAACAGACCCACTGTCAACGCCCAGGACATTGAAAACCACACCAAGTTCACCAACGACTTCGGCCAAGAGGGCAACTAGACCACGATCTCCGATAATAGAGCAAAATGTCATTCTAATGGTTCTTTGCAGCATGAGTACACCAACTTCTTTCAGGTCTAGATTATACGTACATACTTTACAATGACAAACGTCTACTTTTTCACCTTCTACCCCTGCCTCTTCTGCCACCTCTGCCACCTCTGCCGCCTCTCTTGGGGGCTCTTTCGGGCGAGGCTTCACGCAATCTCCAGGCAAACAAGTCCTCTTCATCTTCACGAGCAGACTTTGTTTCGTTGAGTTTGCTTGCAAACAAATCCACATCGTCGTCCTCGTCCCTGGAGTATCCACCACGTTCTGCTCTGCTAGAACGCTCGGGTCTGGCTGTTCTTCTTCTTTGTTCTCTGTCTGGCTCACCATGGAGAAGATAGTATCTCGAGTACACAGCGGCGTTTTTGACTTTTCTGTCTGACTGAAGACTCTGTCTAATGTACAACACAACGGAGCTATCGTCCTCGTCCATGCCGGTGTTAACTTCCTCTTCTTTCTGTTTTTTCTCCTCGAAAAGGTCCTTCTCTTCGCTGATGCGTTTCTGGTACTTGTGGAAAGCTATGGTGGGTGCATATGACTTTGTCTCTCTTTCCTGAACAATCTGGGAAACATACTCCTGACTGAATTCCTTCACCATCTCCTCAGAAGCTCCACCAGAAATGGATAATGCTCCCAAACCCTCAGCAGCGTCTTCGTGTGTCTTGAAAACCACATTCACGTTGGAGTCGTCGATCCACTGGATTCTGAACCAGATGGGGCGTTCGACCTCCTTGTAGTCGTCTTCCCCGATTTTGTCAAAATTGAGATAGTAGTCCACAAATGCTTGCAAGTCCTCTGTTGATAAATTGTCCACACCATTGATATGCAAAGCTTCGGGTCTTAGCGTCTGTGGTGTACCGTTTATGGCAATTTCCACCTGTTGCAGCTTGAGCCTCTCTTCCTGTTCCTTTTCAGCATCTATAGTCCTTGTCATGAAGCCCCCATAGGGTGCTGGTTCAGCCATAGTGAAACACTGAATAGTTACTATGAGAGAGCGCGACATGTCGGATAGTGGATCTGGATGGTTACAAAAAGTGTACTATAAAACCGCCGGAGCCCTGTAGAGTTTATGGGTTATGGAGCGGTGATGCTTCTATGTACTAGTCTGTTGCTGTTAGTGGTGCACTGGCACCGATACGGTAGCGGCATCTAGGTGATGACTTAGGCTTCCATGAGATCTGTGGTATTTCTGATAAAGACTCATGAATTTGACCAAACAGCATCAAGCTCTCAGGCCTCTTCCATCCACAGATCCTGAAAAAGCCAATTTGCTGGAGGTAATCCTATTTTTCAGCATATCCATTCAGAGCGATGAGGCCATCCAAAATGCCTTCCACCATTTAGCTCATGAAACTCAACCAATGGAAATCGTACCTCTTTGGCTCTTGTTTGCCAACGTCTATTCATGTTCCGTTACTCCTCCATCTTCTCCTCCTGGCTCTTGGACTCGGGATCCTCCCGAACAAACAAAACATTGTTGCAACGAATGAAGATCTCTCCGATTAGCTCCTCCTTTTTCTCGTGGTCCTCCGTTACAACCTCGTAGGTGTCGTCAAGCTGAAGATTCATGTAATTGTCGATGGCTAGAAGCGTGCCCTTGTACTCCATCTTGTTCCACTTCAAGCGGACAATGACTTTCTTGTTGAGAAGCGTTTTGAGAAACGGCTTGGGGTTGATTGGTTGAAACTGCTGTTAGTATATGCTATGAAAAGTTCGAACGTGGGGAACATACTGTTGACATAAGAAAGTGGTTGTAGTTGATACTTCTTCGATGGTGTGCAGGAGAGTACTAGTAGGTATCAACACAAGGTGTCGCCAAGAGCAAAAAAACCAAAAGTAAATAATTGAAGATTGAAGGAAATCAATCAAAGTATCAAAATACTCCAATCCCACTAGAATTGATTCTCTCGTGTCAACTTCCACCTAAACCAAGTCTCCTGCACGCGTGCCTCAAATAGATACTACTTCACCAAGTGTCCTATTATCACCACCATGTCCTTGACGGCCGTATTTGTGATAGGCACGCTTGTTCGTGTGGTGGTTCCCACGCTATTTCCACAAATCACAGATGCCTTGGCCTCGACTGTGGAAACATCCACACCTATAGACTCGTTCAGGTCGATCCAGGAAGCATTCTACCTATTGAAAAACGACTTAGACGTGTACGATGGAGGTATCGTGTACCACCCTCCTTTGCTTGTTGCCGTGCTTAATCTCGTGAATGACGTTGTGCCTGAACAGTTTGTGTACATTGTGTTCAATGTGTTGTATGCTGCTGTTGATGTGGGCATTGCCTGCAAGCTTATAAGTATCAACCAGTGGTACCACCAGCATCAACAGAAAAGAAGCAAGATCGAGGGGCTGCCATTCAGCTCGACTTTCATTGCTGCGTTCTACTTGTTCAATCCGCTTATGATCTTGACCAATTGGTCCCACTCAACTGCCACTTTTTCATACTTTCTCGTGATCGAGCTGGTTGCGCAAGTTGTGGTTGACGAAAACCCATTCAGAGCCATGATTGCGCTTGCCGTGGCCGCCTACTTATCCTTGACTCCGGCTTTTCTTGTGGTGCCTCTTGTTGCACTCGCCTACACAGTTTCACCTCAGCGGGACTTGACTAGAATTGCTGTTCAGAGCGGTGCCATCTTCCTTGCATCCATCGCCACCTTGATCCTCCTTTCGTTCGTGCTTTCGGGCTCTCCAGACTTCCTTTACCAGTGCTACGGCAATGTCTTGTTCTTTGACAAGTTCTCACCCAACATGGGCCTCTGGTGGTACATCTTCACCGAGATGTTCGACTACTTCACACCGTTGTACAAGGGGATTTTCAACTTATACCACATCATTTTTGTGCTTCCCCTTACTGTGAGGTTCTTTGAGAAGTCAAGTGAGCCCCACCTTGGTGACTCCTTCTTAGCGGTGGTGATGTCGTTTGCCTGGCTTTGCTTCTCCAAATCCTACCCAATCATTGGTGACCTCGGTTTTGTCTTGTCAATGTTGCCCATTTTCAAGAATACAGTCATCCCACACACCAAGTTCATGCTCATTAACGCGTTGATGCTTATTGTTTGTTTGCTTCTCGCTCCAATCTTCTACTACTGTTGGATCGTGTTGGGCAACGGTAATTCCAACTTCTTCTTCAGCATGAGTCTCATCTGGGGCGGCGTGTATATCGTCATCTTCCTTGACTTTATCTGGGGCCGCTTAGTTTTCGACTACTGCCAGACTCACGATGTCAAAGACAAATCCAACCTTCGGTTGACCCAAATCTAGCATGAAAACAGGATATAGAATTTGCTGCGATGTAGTATGTAATATAGTGGTTGCTGGGCTAGTCACTCTATGGAACCAACGGAAGCGTTGATCCATCATCTAAAGCACTATTGGTTTATTTTGCAAGATCGGCCTCATTTTTAAAAAATCACTGAATTTAAAATTATACGTTAATCTATCTATTGGTGTTCATCCACAATTGAGTACCATCGATAATTCGCAGTATTTATGTACATATACGCATGTCTCAGAAAATTGCAAACACTCGAGGTGAAGTGTAAATACACAGAATTCAAAAAAAGTTCACTCCTTAAGCTTGATGCCTATTTAGAACCAATAAGTTCGATATCTAATACTATTTATTAGCAAAACGACACGGTTGCTGTCGAGGTTGCCGTTACCTTACAGGACATTCTCAAACCAAAACAACCGAAAAGCTTGACAATCCAAGCAAGCCAATTCTAAGAAAACACTTAATCTTTACTCCATATACTACTACTTCATCAACAAAGTTCTGCCGTGTTTTTTTATCTTCAACGTCTTTGGCTGCAAAAATGGCCTGCACATATGCACCTTCCAGGGTCCTGCCAAAGAACCCGACGTTTCTACCAAATCAAAATTGAAAACTAAAAACACAAACTTCACCTGAACTCATTTCACCTGAACCGACCTGCTGGCACAAGCTGCTGGCGTTACCCTGGTAAATTGACTTGTGCCTGCACACACCACAGCCAATCACTGCCACCCAAATCGCATTGAGATAATCGAAAAAAATCCAACCTAACTACCACACAAATCATGTTGTCCCGTGCTTCCCGTGCCTACAGCACTGCCCCTGTGAAATTGGTGTCCAGAGATGCCCCAGGTAACTTGACCACCTTGCTGGTGAAGGTCAACAATGCCGGTTCCAAGGCCGGCAAGATTGGTGTGGCCCACCTCTTGTCCAAGTACGCTTTCCTCAACAACGAGGTCAAGTCCGCCTTGCGTTTCACCAGAGAGTCCGAGCTCTTGGGTGGCTCTTTCTCCTCCTACGTCACCAGAGACGCCATTGTGTTGAAGACTCAGTTCTTGAAGCAGGACTTGCCTTACTATGTGGAGGCCTTGGGCAACACCTTGCAAAAGCCTCTCTTCAGACCACACGAGCTTGTGGAGACTGTGGTGCCTGTGGCTGAGGCCGAGGCTGCCGCTGCCAACGCTTCTACCGAGTTTGTTGCTTTGGAGCACTTGCACGAGTTGACCTTCAGAAAGGGCTTGGGTAACCCCTTGTACTACGACTCTGCCTCCACCGTCACCTTGGACGACATCAAGAGCTTTGCTACTGAGGCTTACGCTCAGGAGAACGTTTCTCTCTACGCCTCCGGTGCCAACCAGTCTGACTTGGCCAACTTTGTTGCCGAGTCTGCTTTCTCTGCCTTGCCATCTGGCTCTCTCAAGGCCCCAGCCGTCAAGACCCACACTGGTAAGGAGGCTCGTTTCAGAAAGGGCGGTGAGTCTAGCGCCATCATTGGTGTTCCAGTTGCCACCAAGGACTTTGCCAAGTACGAGGTCTTGTCTGCTGCTGTTGGTACCTCCATCTTGAAGGGTGCTGCTTCTCCATTGGCCCAGATCCCAGGTGCCGACTCCAGATTGTACAAATACGAGGACGCTGGTTTGTTTGTCGTTTCCGTCACCGGCCAGGACGCCAACCTTGTGGCCCAGGGTATCAAGGATGCCAAGAAGGCCGTCGAGGGCCTCACTGCTTCTTCCTTGTCGGACGCCATCAAGGCCGCCGAGGTGTCTGTTGCTTTGCAGGAGTCCTTCGAGTACCCACACGACATCAAGATCACCGCCGACAGCGCCAAGGGCGCCAAGTTGGGCGCTTTCAACTACGTTGCTGTCGGTAACACCGATGTGTTGCCATACGCCGATGAGTTGTAACTCTCCTAATCACGCATATTCCACGACATCTAGAAGCAGCCTCTGCATGGACTAAATATAGGTTCCGTCCGACCAAAGTGTAGCGTTTGTAGTGCCCATCTGGGTGATGTTCCTGCACACAAGCACACCAAGAAGTGTTTTTCAAGATGAGAAGCTCAACTCTGAGAACCAACCATGTCTGACGTTGAGGAACCCTACAACGAGGCGCCGGAAAACTTCGAGGACTTCGATGCCCCAGACCACTTTTCCGATGACGACTTTGCCGAGCCTGCAGGTGCTCAGGACGGCGAGGACGTGGGCATGAAGGCTGAGGATGGAAGAACCATCATCAACGGAGGTTTCAGCGAAGCTGATGCCCAGGTCAGAGTCAAGACTTCCCGTGAACTTTCCATTCCCAAAGAGGACAGAACCACCACGCCATACATGACGAAGTACGAGAGAGCCAGAGTGTTGGGTACCAGAGCTTTGCAGATCTCTTTGAATGCTCCAGTGTTGGTGGACATTGAGGGTGAGACCGACCCTTTGCAGATTGCCATGAAGGAGTTGGCGCAGAGAAAGACGCCATTGGTTATTAGAAGATACTTGCCAGATGGCTCGTACGAGGACTGGGGATGTGACGAGTTGATCCTCGACCAGTAAGGGAAACGACCGGGCCTCAGGGCACCTTGCATATGTAATATAAAAATCAGCGGTGAGATTGTAGAGTTATGGACTTTGGAGGGGGTGTGGGGATTGAGTGGAGTGGTGTACATGGGAAGGATGAAGAGATGGTATAGTATATTTGTGGTAGTCCTCTTGTTTAAGAGGACCGATGTTTTCTCTTGGAGGAGCGCTAGCCTCAGTCCAGTTGTGTTTGTTTTCGATGTGCGTTGCTCTGTTGTGCATTTTTGGTGGTGTGTCGTTTCTGATCGTTAGTCGTAAGTAGAATGAAATCAGCGGCCATGTTGTGGAGATCATATCGAGAAAGCCTTCAGAAAGCCCCATTCGATATAGTCGTCACGGGTTGTTGGAAAGCAGCATATAGATCAACAGCTCAGCCGAACAATCCCAGTCTGCTATTCCCACAATCTCCCGCTCATAAAGACCTCAAGCTCACTCAATGTAAGCGTCAAGCCACTTTTCGGCCAAAAACACCTTGGACCCGTCCATCTGCTCAGACACAAAGCCCTTGGTGAGCTTATCAAACGCAGACCTCGAAAGCCTATGGTCGCCTGAACCTATTTCACCCAACTGCACCGAGCAACAGGCCTCTTTTAGTTTATCGGCGTCTATCTGCACCGGCGTTTCCTCGCCTTTAGCAAAAACACGAATGGCATTGTGTATCGTAGTTCTGTCGTCGATTTTGGAAAACTCCTGCGCCATGATCTGGGAGAACTTGGTGAAATCGACCAGCTCCTCGCCACCGAGCATTTCGTCAAACTGTTTATCGGACGGAACAGGCACACCCAAGGTTTTGTGGACGTTTACCAAATCAGACTTGGTGATCTTGGAGTCCTTGGAGTCGCTGTCAATTAACATGAAGGCGTTCCTGATCTGGACCTTCTGTGCGTTGGAGAGTGTGCTCAAGTGCAGCATAGCAGTTTCTGATGGTTTGTTTTCTATGTTTTTATTTGTTTTTTATGTTATAAGTGGGCTCTGCCGAGAGTAGGTGGATCTGATCAGTGTTGATGTTTACGCACCGCGAATACTACCACCATGGAAGAGGAGACCCTCTATAACCAGCCTATCGTGCTAGACAATGGGTCTGGAAATATCAAGGCCGGGTTTGCCGGAGAGGAAAAACCCAAAGTTTATCAACCTTCTTTGGTCGGACGCCCAAAGTACCAGAAAATCATGGCAGTGGCTCTGGCAGACGAAAGCGTATCCAAATACAACAACATCGAGGCGTACGTGGGGAGCTCGGCACGGCAAAATCGCGGGCTTCTCCGGCTCAGGTACCCTATAGAACACGGCATTGTGAACGACTGGGAAGATATGGAGCGTTTGTGGCACTATACGTTCACCAAAGAGCTCAAAACAGCACCGGAAGAGCATCCGCTATTGATCACAGAGGCGCCCCTCAACCCTAGGGCAAACAGAGACCACATGTGCCAGATCATGTTCGAAACGTTCAACATTCCTTGCGTGTACGTGTCTGTTCAGGCTGTGCTTTCCATATATGCCCTGGGAAGAACTACCGGAGTGGTGCTTGATTCTGGCGACGGCGTGAGCCACGTTGTGCCCGTGTACAATGGGTTTTCGTTGCCTACAGCGATTAAAAGAATGGATATTGGAGGCAGGGACGTCACAGACCAGCTAGCTTTCCAGATCAGACAGATGCTGGGCATCAACCTACTGTCGAGCTCGGAACTAGACATTGCCCGCCAAATCAAGGAGAAATGCTGCTACGTCTCCAAGGCGCCTCAGCGTGACGAAAAACTATACTCTGGCGTGACTTACTCACACTTCATGGGTGGTCTGGCCGCTGCTGCAGCTTCAGGTGCCTCCACTCAAGACGGCATGGACCTCTTTTCCAGTTACAAGTTGCCCGACGGACACACACTCCAATTGGGGCTCGAGCAGTTTCGTGCTCCAGAAATTCTATTTAATCCGCAGCTCATTGGCGACGAGCTGCCTGGCATCGATGAATTGTTGGCGGTTTCAATCGCCAAAACAGACCTAGACCTTCGTCCCACGCTATACCAAAACATCATCCTTTCAGGCGGCACGACGCTTCTTCGCAACTTCGGTGACCGTCTTCTTCAAGAGCTCAAGGCCAGCCAGTCGAGCCAGAGCAACGCCAGCATATGGGCCAACAACAGAAATGTGGCCAAAGACACGAAAATGAAAATCAAGATCTACGCTCCACCAGAGCGCAAGTACACCACATGGATCGGAGGCTCTATCCTCGCCAGTCTCTCTACGTTCCGCAAAATGTGGGTCACTCAAGAGGAGTACGCAGAGGACCCCGACTGCGTTCACAGAAAATGCATGTAATCAGATGCAATAGTACCTATCGCCAAAGTCGCCCAAACCAGGCACTATGTACTTGTCGTCGTCCAACTTCTCGTCAATACCACCGGTGATGATTCTCACATCGGGGTACTTGTCGTGGAAGGCCTTGATACCCTCTGGCGCAGCCAACAAGTTCAAAAAGAGGATGCGGTCCATCTTCACTCCTCTAGACAACAAAACCTCTACTGCCATCATGGCGCTTCCACCAGTGGCCAACATGGGGTCCAAGAGAAACACGTATCTGTCGCTGATATCCTCAGGAAGCTTTTCATAGAACAACTTGGGCAAGGCGGTCTCCTCGTCTCTCTGGATCAAGATCTTGCCGATTCTCACAGAACGACAACAGTCTCTCAAGCCCATCTCCATGGACTCACCAGCACGGACAATGGAAACACCACAGATCTTACCCAAAAACTTGGAGCCATTGTATTTGTGGCCGCCGTGGCACTCAATGACGGCTTCTTCCACAGGCAACTGGTTGAGACCTTCCTCAACCAAGAGACGAATGATTCTGTCGGAGTAGAACACAAAATCACCACGTTTGGTCAGCTGGTCTCTGATGATGGAGTACAAACCTCGAAGCTGATTGGTTTGGGACAAAAGAATGACGTTTTTGCTGACCTCGTTGGAAACAGACATGATGGTGGAGACAGCGATGAGTTTGGCGCGATGTCCTGAAGCCAAGCAAGATAAGGTGAGGTGATGGATTTAAGCGACGGGCGGTCTCATTGCACGGCTTAATTGATGAAATTTTGGATTTTGGGATTAAAAGCGTCCTGAGATTTTTTGAACTTTTGAAGGCGTCTCAATATTTCCATTTCTTCATCACGCCTTGGTGTTCCCGCGTCACTATCTAATGGTTGCAAATGAGGAACTCAAGAGGCCAGCCAAAGACGATTGAGCCAGTCAATGTTGGCGTTATGGCAGATTTCAGGTTGAAGCAAAGCCTATAAAACGTCTAGTGTGAATGCACATTCAATGATGGCTTATTCAATCGAATCAATTTCGGTACCGTGCCCTGATCAATGCCGTACCATGAACGCCTCTAGAAAAGTCAGATACCAAGTGCAAATCATGAGAGCGATGTTTCAAGCGTACCAGTCTATTCGCCTTTGCCACGCTCATGATCATTGCATCTATCACCGCTTCGTCGTACCCACAACTCACTGATATGAGTGTTCTGATCAAGATAGTGAAGCCCATTATCAGCCAGTTCACCTAAAGTCCTTCGATCCCATTTTAATATTCCCCAGCCTCGAAAGCTCTCTTCTGGCAAAATGCCATCGCAACACCTACCTGACATAGCATCAAAGTCATCAAAACATTCCACAATCACAATCTCCCACCCTAAATACAACGTCCTCCCGGCCCTCCACCTCTACAACGCTCCATCGCTATTTTTTTGGTTATTTTTATACATCACGGCGGCGCCGTTCTAGCAACTACTGCTGGTCCACCACAAATGGGTTCTCGATGCTCTCCGTACCGTCCAACGGCGAAAGGGTCAACAACAGCGGACCTCTGACCACCACGACCTTGAAATCCCTCGTCTTCTCTGTTAAAACAGCATCGTCCTCAGGATCTCTGAGCTGCTCAGTGACATCCTCCAACACCAAGTTCATCAACTGATCGAAACCCTTCAAAACTCCAACAACCTGTCTACCACCAATGAACTTGACCACCACCTTCTGGTCCTTGAACTTGTTCAAGTCGAGAATGGCCTCCTTCTTGGGTCTCTCCTGTCTGCTCATGTACGACCTGCCTCTGTCATTTCTGTCGTTTCTGTCCCTATCGCTTCTGTGCTCGTTTCTGTTGTCGTGTCTGTCTCTGTTGTTGTTTCTGTCGCCCCGATTGTCTCGGCGCTGCCTGTGGCTCATGTTGGGGAATAGAGGTGTTGATGCTGATAAAGTGTTGATGAAAATGTGTTTTCGCACCACACACTCCACCTACTACTCAAGATGGACTTATTCGTGTACATCACGTCGGATCTCACGGCGTCCGAAAGAAGAATCTCGCCACAGTGGCTGGTGCAGTACTTTTTGCAAAGATTGGAGCAAATCACCGGCGTGGAGACTGCCTTCCAGACTCTACACTACTATCCTGTCAAGACCTCCAGTGAGTACCAGGTTGTCCACAAAGCCGGTGAAAAGACCGACAAAAACGTGTCTGATTTGGGAATTGCCGCTTATTCAAGAATACACGTGATTGACGAAAACCCGGACCTGACGCTAGCGGCGTTGGAAGATAACTCAGAAGGATTCCAGCTTTCAGAGGAGGAGTACGCCAAGCGAAACAACACGGTGCTTCTGTGGAAGAAACAGAACCAACTCGGCCGTTTTGATCCGAAATTTGACGAACAGCAGAGATTGATCCAGGAGCAGAACGAGAGACTTGCTGAAGGGATCACTGTGGGAAGCAGGTGCCGTGTTATCAACATAGCCAGTGAGAGGAGGGGCGTTGTCAGGTACGTTGGCAAGATTCAGGAGCTCGATGAAGGTGAGAGCTTTTGGGTGGGAATTGAGTTTGACGAGCCTGTGGGTAAAAACGACGGTCTGATTGGACTGCTTCGTGTTTTTGAAGCGAAGCCAAATCACGGCAGCTTTGTGAGACCCAAGCAGGTCGAAGTTGGTGACTTTCCTGAGCTCGATCCATTTGCCAGCGATGAAGAGGAGATTTAGACAGGGAGACTTTTGTGCAATTGTGGACCAGTACGTAATGATGAACGGGCGGTGAAAATAGGCTGTTGAACATCTACAGGACTTGCCTTGACTTCCAAGAACAATATGAGTTCTTCCAGAAGTGGCTGACCAGTTTTCTTTCTGTTTGGAGGGGCTACGGAACTACTTATTGGTGTCCCAGTTTAAGCCATCATCAAATCTCAGGGACGGCAGATCACGCCAATGCTTCGAGTCTCTCGCTGTCCCTCAATTCCAGAAAAGCCACGGAGGCAATTTCAAAAAAGCTACAACTTCATTTCCCATGAAAACCTGAAGGCTGATCTTTGAGATTATTGATGGCTGCAAACTGAAGCCTTCTTTGGCACGATTCTCGTCATGCGCCATCCGTTGAAGCCAGAACCATACGAACAATGAATTGCTTGAACATAAGCAAGAATAATTCAATTCTCGATTCTTACAATGAAATGTCACAGATCCATGACCTCAACGATTCCAGCCCTATCGTTTCTCGCTGTATCAGCATAGGCCTACACCCCAAGGCAGATGGTCATTTGCAATCCCCACAAATAACCAAGCACCCACCTTCTTGGTTTTCTGCTTCAAAGAATTCAGGTCCTTCTACGACAAAAAATACCCAGACCTCATCGTCCATTTCCTAGATGGCAAGAGGTGGACGCAGCGGAGTGCGAACAAAACTACCGGCAACTTTTCCTACCGATTCTTCCACAGCATACTACACACCACCATGGACGAACCGCAGCCCATTTTCAACTTCATTTACAAATACGTCGACGAGGAGCAGTTCAAGAAGTACTTCCGTCTCATCATAATCGTCTGTGTGTATCTCTTTTTCAGAACATGGTACACGAACTGGGCCAAGACGAAGGAAATCGCTCGCCGTATCGAAGAGGACAACCGTTTGGCTGAGGCTCGTAAGAGTGAGAGGGAGGCCGAGGCCACGGAAAAGTTTGAGCTGTTGGACAATGAGGCAGCCACCTTTGGTTGGGGAAAGGCCACCAGGAGAAACGTCAAGCGCCAGGAGCATGTACTCAACGAGGCAGCTGAGCAGCTTCGGGCGGCCGAGCAGTCCACGTACGACGCTGCCGAGGACCACGATATCGAGGATTTGTTGGAGGAGTAAAGGGACCATATCGGGGAGGATCGAGGTCCTTCACAATGGAACTGGATAGCATTTAGAGACAATAGTTAAGACGACTGCATTGTTGGTGACAGGGTGACAAACAGTAGAGTGGGATTGTTGTAGAGGGTTTGGGGGATGAGGTGGATGGTGAAAAACAAGATGTCGACATCAGATCTGGATCGAGAACGCTGTACTATAGAGTGAATAATTGGGCGAGAATTCGAGAAATACAAAGTTGTTCATCTTTGAGGATTCGAGAAAATACAACGGAATAGCCAGTTTCATCAATCTCTGCCTTGAGAGAGCGTAGTGGATGTTTTTGCACCCAATCCAGTTGGGATACAGAACCCAGACCCAAGCAACCAGAAAGCGTAAAGTAAATTCAGACTACTAATCCAGACACGAGTAAGATTATTAGACCCTCTGCAATAACTAAATTCTCTGAAAGTGCCTTTTTTGAGCTAAATTTTATTGTGTCATCTTCTGTTCTCTAGAGGCTCTCTCAGTGCTGCGATTCCTTAGCATCAACATGTCGATGACCCACCCCCTCCACCAGCAGATCAAACACAACAGACTACTCAAAAAACACCCCTTCTCACCAAACACACCAAACAACTCCAAAAATTCGAAATGGTTTTGCAGCTTTTAAGGCCATCTTCGGGTGGTGCACGTGACCACCATCACTGCGATGAGATGCTTCACCAAAAAAACCACTCCTACTACACCATCATGGCCGGAGACCCCTTTCTATCAGATCCATCGAAAAAGAGAAAAAGGCAGGCGAAGCCGAGCTCCACGGTGAAAAAGCAGCGGCCCGCCGCCCGCAAGCCCGACCACGATCTGGAGATCTCAAGTGACTCCGATGTGGATCCAGCAGACATGTCCAGTGAAGAAGAAACAGCGCCAGCAGAAGAACGTGAACTCGATTCTGACGAGGAATTCGCCACCGAGACGGCAGCGGAAAAGAGAAGACGTTTGGCCAAACAGTACTTGGAAAATCTCAAAGAACAAGAGTTGGCTGGAGACGAATACGATGCCCAGGACTTGGACGACGATATCTTGGCCAGAAGGCTTCAGGAGGATGCTGCCGAGGGCAAAGGTCACGCATTCAAGCACATAGCCGAAAAAATCGAAAAGCAGCTAACGGACGCTGCCAGAAGCACCGCCAGAGTGGGATCCAAGAACCTCACCGCCGTGGCTGTCAGACACCCTTTTGCATACACCGTCTCCAAGGACATGGAGCTCATCAAGTGGAACGTGGCGGGAAAGAAGCCGCAGAGAGTGAGGCACACCAAAGGAGGCTTGAAGTTCTCGTCCAAAAAAATCCACCACTGTGACCAGATCAACTGTGTTGCAGCTTCGCCAGACGGCAAGTACGTTGTCACCGGTGGCAGCGATGCCAGGCTTATAGTGTGGTCGCTGGAGAACCTCACGTGCTTGCGTGTCATTGATACCCGGGCTGCAGTGAATGCCATCACTTTCAGAAGAACTAGCGATCAGCTTTTCGCTGCTTGTGCCGATCTTCGAATCAGGACGTTTTCGATCGCCCAGCAGGCGCAGCTAGAAATCTTGTACGGGCACCAGGACAACATCACCGACATCAGCGCATTGGCTCGTGAAACATGTGTATCTGTTGGTTCCAGAGACAAAACAGCCATGTTCTGGAAGATCGCCGAGGAGCTGCGCTTGACCTTCCGTGGTGGTGACTCTTTGGACAAGAAGAGAAAGAAAGACGACGAAAAGGATGCTGATGAGCCGTACCACATGGAAGGTTCTCTTGAAGTGTGTTCCATGGTGGACGAATCGCATTTCATCACCGGTGCCGATAACGGCAACATCGCCCTTTGGTCGCTTGGAAAAAAGAAAGCTTTATTCACACAACGTCTTGGACACGGGCTTTTACCGCAATTCAAGCCCTCGCAGGCCAGTGCCGAGGCCGCTCAAGATGTAGCACAACTTCAGGTGCCTGAAAGACAGCCATACTGGATCACCGCCATCCATTCCGTTCCATACAGTGACTTCTTTGTTACCGGATCCTACGACGGCGAGCTAAGGCTCTGGAGAATTGACAAGGAGAGGTTCAAGCGGTTCACACTCATGGGAGTGATTGGAAACGTGAAGGGAGTGGTTGTGGGCATTGACAGTGCCGAGCTTCAGCAGGACAAGTTGGTGACGTTGTACGTTGCCACCAGTAAAGAACACAAGTTTGGACGTTGGTTGGGCAAGGTGGACGGCGCCAGAAACAACTTGACGATGGTTACCTTTAATATATAGCATAATCGCATGATGATAGATGAGACTCATTTAGTCGATGGAGAAGTTTGATAGCCTGAGAGCTTATAAAATATCAGAAAAGCTGTTATTTGACTATGTGGACTACTAGGTTCATGAGAATGTAGATCGATCCATGAACCTCAAGACTATCCACAACACCTCCCGATAATGGACCTCTAGATGATCCCTACATCTCCGTTCCAGTAAATATTATCTATAACGCTAATGCTGTTATACATCTCCGTTCCAGTAAATATATTCTATAATGCTAATGCTGTTAAAAGGCGGCCTCATCGTCGCCATCATCCCCTAGATCATCGTCTCCACCGTCGAAGTACTTCTCGGCGTTATAGTCGTCGTCATCGTCCTCCTCGTACTCGTCATCGTGATCCTCCTCTTCCACCTCATCCTGCTCGTTCTGTGGAGCCGGATCGGCATCTAGATCCTCAGCTAGACTCTTGAGTTTTTCAAGCATCGACTCTGCGGAGTCGTCCTTTTCAGATACATTGAGCTGTTTGAGCCCGCCATCCTTCTTGTACTTCGATAGAAGCAACTTCTTCTTCAGCTTGGAGATGCCCATCACCGAGTAGAGCTCCTCAGGGAAAAACTCTAGCTGGTAGGGATACTCATCGATCGATCTGGAGACCTTCTTGCGTTTTTTGAAACGGTCTGAGTAGCGCTGTATGGGCTCCAGCTCCGTGCCTTTTTGCTCTGGAGCTCCAGTATAAAATGGGCCGTCATACAAAAGACGGGCAAATGCTAAAGACTGTTTTGCAACGTCTTCTTCGTATTGGGACAAAGGGCCATGCACAGGAAGCTCCAAGACTGGTTTTTCTGTAGTCTCACCCTGCGACAAAATGTCGGAATAGTCAAGCCCAAAGGGCAAGAGCATCCTGCCTGAGGACTGCTTTCTGAAGGACATATAGGGTGACGATGGAGTAGGGCTTCGAAAGTAGCAGTTTTTTGAGACCTACGCGTGACTTGGCACGTGTGGCACGTGATACATCACGTGGACAACGCCATAAGCATACTTTGAATCCAAGCGGCTAGATTCACCTATGGCTCTTTTGTTTTGTGTGGTTGGGTCTTTGAAGCGGCCAGAGTCCATCAGATGGCGGTTTATAGAATTTGGCTTCACTTTGTGCTTATAGCATAGAGGCAGTTGAGAGCAGGATCGAACCTCTAGAACCATGGACCTTCAGCGGAGGCTTATTCTCCTGATTAATTAAGTAAAAAGTTCTAAACCCCTTCAATTCATTTTTAAAACTAAAAAAGGAGCCTCCCCTCGCTCACCAAAATACACCTAGCAGGGTCCTAATGCACCCATTAAGCCATCAAGTAGCATGGCTAAAGACGTGCCTCGTGCTTTCCAAAACAAACACATTGTAGAATTTCCAGCCTTACATGAGCAGATCTGACCAAAGGCATGTCCCACCTCAAAGCCTAAACCTTATTTCTGTTCCAGGCATCACTTCCGAATTGCTATGATACGGAGCTTCGGAACGGCACATCCGGATTCTCGGGTGTTACACAAAGCATAGAAAGCGGTGGCGCTGAGATCTAGCCCCGTCTTTCGGTTATGGGGCTAGGGGTGGATTTTTGCAGAGATGTTTGGAAAGTTTATTTCGCAGGAAGCTTCGGCAAGCCCCTGGTTTTTAGTCTTTTTAGATCATTGCGGTGTCCACGGCTAAAGCATCGTGAAGAGCACTCTTGAAGCTTGAACTTTCAAAGCGCAATTTTGGAAAATCCCTCGAGGCATCCACACATGGAAGAGGCAGCATGGATTTTGTTTGGGGAGGTGGTGTCTTTTAACTTTTCTGATATCTCTTTGTTAGAATAGAAACAATATCTCCCAACAGTAAGATCTTGATGATTTCAATTCACGAGACCGTCAGGTCAGTTGTACGTGTTGAGCTTCGTGGCTTGCACTGCTGCAAGGGCTGTTATGTGGATTGGTAAATAAAAAAAAAAAAGAATCGATTCCTGGCTCAACGTGTAGCACGGCTGTTACAACGATAAGAAAAAAGAAAACTCTTTGGGCTTCACAGAGAACTTCCCACACTCTCCGACTGTCCTCCAATCTTCCGGATGCATCACAGAAGCACTTTTTGAGAAATCACGGAACATAAAAAGTCCCGTTCACCTCTCAACCGCCGTGCGTCAAATTGGCCAAGCGAGTACACGATAGGAGAAGGTTGTGCCACGCTGTTGGCCAATGGTCTATGGCGACAAAGAAATGTCAGAATCTTCCGAAGCTCAATTGCATGTGCTCTACGGAATGGGCGGGTCTGCTCGTGGAACTACGAATAACATGCTAATTCAATGGCAACCAAGACGCTTCTGGAGGCCCGGAACGGGCTTCTAGGTCCAGCATAACCGCATGAAGCAGGACGGAGACGCAAAGAAGAACACCGTCATTTCCGTGAGCAACGCACGTTACGCCACGTTTGAGTCCAGTGACGTCGAGATCCCGGAAGTAGACGAAATGTGTGGCTTGGAGCCCTGCAATGTGAATTTACGTTCTGGATGAACAATGGCCGCCAGCGCCGTGAGGCTCTGAAAGCGAGGTTTTGTGAAGAGAAGGAAGAAAATATGAGAAGATATGGAGAAAATCAGCATGTGTTTGGCTTTTGGGAGGTGGTGGCTTGCCGTTTTGATCTTGCGATAGTCTAATGCAAAAGTGAATGCACTTCGAAAGTTGCGGCCTACTATAAGAAACCCACTTCCAAAACTCTAATCAAAATACATTTGGATTGCCATCTGCCCATCGGCCACAGGCTTAAGCTGGGGTATCTGGGCTTATGAAGGCACTGTGCTAAGCCGTGCTCTGAGTAGCACACTGCAATTCTCGTAAATCAGAAAACTCAAATTTTTTGAAAAGCCCTTTGAAAAACCCTCAAAACGTCCCCTTTGCCACTCCTCTTATCAAACCGCCTTATCCTGAAAAAAACGACCGTGAATATGCCAGCCAGTAACAGTCCTGTCAGCTGACGCAGGAGAACGCCGTGCATCCACCCCAAGTTCCATTGAACGGGTACACTTTTTTTCAAATTTGGAAAAGAATCACAATTTCCGAAAACCCGGAAAAACCCGCCCCACACAACCCCTTCCGTTTCCTCTACGCCCTCCAACGGCGGTTTCTTCACCCCGAATTCCCGAGACCCCAGCTTGTCAAAACAGCCCAGTTGCATACAAACAGCGCTCCGGCATCTCGCTGCAGGGTGCGTTAGACCACGGCTTGACCGCTATATTAAGGCTCCGGCATCACACGAGTTGAGAAAAACAAGAACTTTTTTTTTCTTCCTTAATACATGATTCCACAGCTAAGGCGTGCGCTGCTAGCTTTGCTAGCGCCCTTTGTGGTGGTGCTCCAGTTCCTCGTGCGTGTGTTCTGGCTGGGGCTTAACGAACGCTCCGTCTTTACTTTACCGCTCAACTTCTTTGTCAACTTCAGCCCCGTATTTATCTGGCTTTTGATATTCAAGAACGCAGGCTTGATTCCCAAGGAGATCCGTCCTCCCATCCACGTCTCGTTGGCCCACCATGTTGAAGTCGCCATGTTTGAAGTTTGGGACAAACCCTTGTCGTCTTTGGCGTCTTTGGTGGCCACCACAGTGGGAGCGTGGCTTTTGTACAACAGGGTGTACCAGGAGAAGGCGGAGAAGGTCGACGACTACTCCTTGGCGAGCCATTCGTCCGCCCTGCTGACGCTGTTCTCCGACGAGGACTTTGAGATGATTGACTACGAGTCCCCCAAAACACCAGCGGCTTTTGTACCCCCTGACTTCCAGGACCACAGCAGGTTCGGCCCCTTTCCTTTCCTTCCTAGAATGACCCAGCAGGACGCCGTCAACAACGCCACCGCCATCAACAGGCGCCTTGAGCGTCACGCCGACTCCAACTACCGTCCTTACAACTGCTGGCTGGCCGCTCCGCCGGCGCTTTTGGGCGCCTCTTGGCTCCTCCTAAATTTAGACACCTCCTTAGCGACCCCTATCACCGAGCCCAAGGACGTGTTGGCCTGGTTCAGCTACGTCATTGGCCACTTCTGTGTGCCGCTTTTCACCGCCATCTGGCTCTACGTGTTCCATGCTCCCGGTGCCCTCAAGTGTTTTGGCTTTGCCCTCGGTGCACAAAACATTGCTGGTGTGCTCACACACCTCGTATTTCCTAATGCTCCTCCTTGGTTCATCCACAAGTTTGGCGACGATGCTCCTGCTGACTACGATACCTTGGGCTACGCCGCAGGCTTGACCAGAGCCAAATTCTCCATTGGTACTCACCTCGTCAACGACGGTTTCCACAAGTCTCCTATTGTGTTTGGTGCTGTGCCTTCCTTGCACTCGGCTATGGCGGTCCTTTGCTTTTTCTTTGTCTGCTATTATTCCCGCTGGGTGTTCGCCAAGGTGCTTCTCTTCGCCTTTGTGTTCTGCCAATGGTGGGCTACCATCTACTTGGACCACCACTGGCGCATAGACCTTTTCATCGGTCTCCTTTACGCCATTGCCTCCTATACAATCTTTTCCAAATCGTTGATGCCTCGCGTCGACAATGAATTTGCACAGGCCCGTCTACATTACGACTTCAATAAGGGCTCCACCATGGGCATGCGTGTTTTCCGTAACACAAAGCTCCAGAATTTCTTTGACCCCATCGCATAGCATCGCTGGGTCTCCATTTGCATGACAATACACACATCCACGTCCCCACACGGCTGAAAGTTAATTGCTTCAAACTGGTTATGTAGCCCAGGAAATCACCTGCAATAGCCTTCACGATACCCCATATTCTGTCCGTTCTTTCAAAATACACTCAGCCGTACTAACCTTATTTGAAGTCCGTGGTAGCGATTTTGCGACCCATTGTCTTGCACGGCTTGGCGCTCGTAGAAATATTTCATTATTCCGATTGTCCTCGCTTGGAATAACTCTGCATGGTGGACTTGATGGCAGGAATATTCTTGGGTGATAGAATAAAACTAGATTGTTTGAAAATAATAAGAGGAGGGCAATTGCCTTATTGAAGCGAATTGGTGATCCGGGGACGTGTTAGAGAGGCTCAAGGTTTGTACTTCTGATGGGGACTTTGAATCTTTCGCTCACGACAGGTGCAATCCTATGTCCAACTTCAATAATGAAAACTGACTATTTTACATTTGGACTGTGATTAATGATGGCTACTTCATGTGCTAAGTCCACTATCAAAAATGCATCCATCGAGAGAATGCATCTCGCTTACAGCTTGACAAAAATTTTCATCCCTTTGAATAGTCAAGACCAACGTGCTGCGGGTTTAGACGCCAAAGAACAATGGATACTGGCAAGTTCATTTGGTTCCACTCGTTAAATACATCAAAAGTAGTTCTCTTCTCTCTCTGAGGTTAATCACCAAAAGTCTCCGCTACTAACTTTCGCTTCACTTCTCCAAAAATGGTGTCTGAAATTACTATTGGTGTACCAACAAGTGTCCGAGCCAGTATCAGACTGGAACTGGGTACCGTTTATGTTTCTTGTGGTCCTCTGGTGACTTATCTTCCAATGACTTTCCAGGGGGTTCAAACAACGACGCCTACCTCCGTGGTATCATCGAAGGAGCTGCAATTGCTGATGAAGGAGCTAAAATGACACTTCATCGGTTAAGTTCAATCAAATAGCACTCTATGTTGCTTTGCTGTTGGTGATATCTCTCATCGCAGCTTAGGAGTTACCATCTTGTGACGGTTGAGTTATGAAATTGTTTTTGGGGATGACAATGCAATTCATCAAATCCCCCTCAAAGCCCTGATTTGACGAGCAAGAGGCCGCCACAGATTTAAGTTTGGTGTATTGTCATCATCGGCAGATAAGCCTCAAGAACAGATTACACGTATGGACACAACTTTTCAGACTTGAACAAAATTGAGAGGAATCGACAAGACTTTTTATTTGGTTCGTCTCTTCGTCGATCGAATTTCAACCATCGTTTAGTTTTTCGTTTAAGTCTGAATAGGTGTAGGTGCCAATGACCTTACAAAGTCTAAGCTACCAAAACTGGCCTGGAATTTGCTTGCTCCAATACATTTTTCAAGCATCTTGTTCAAAAAAGTCGACTTCATGTGAATTGTATGCTTCAACTGATACTTTTTCGCCGATCTTGTGAACATAACCGGTGAGCCTACTAGTCAGAGTTCATCAACCGAAACCCGGTATCAATCCGAATCAACGTTCATCTAGATTTAAGCGATATGGAATACTCACCATAAGTGTAACTGCCAACCAGCTCCACCTCCACCAATGACATCACAGCAAGAACCCTCATTTTCAACTGTGGCCGCTTTTAATTGACACTTCTGTCAAGTCATAACCGCTGCAGCCAGATCCACCTGAATTAACAATAAAGGCCTCTTTGTCTTACTACTTTGAGCACCCCAAAAACCAACTTGTGGTTATGAGCGGTCTCAGGCTATTGGTGCATTCTACAAGCTGGTCTCCGGACATCGCATGTGTAACCATGATAAATTCGACGATATTTCGTCTACGAAATCATTATCCTACTAATTAGAAGATTTCATCAAAGATGGTCAACGTTCCAACCAGTGTCCGTGAATCTATCACCCTTTCTGACGGAGCGTACTACATTCCCTGTGGTAAAGGCAATTTTGTGGTGCAAACCCTGAGCTGGGGAAATGTCATGAATGACGCTTTTTACTGTGGAATCAACGAAGGAGCTGCCATTGCTAACGATGGAACGTCCGTGAAGTTTAACCCAGCCTTGGTCTACGTGACTTTGCTTTTGATGTGTTCGCTTATCGTGCTCTAGGTGCCTTAGAAATAAGTTTTTCCAATCACGTTATGAAGGTCATACTGGAGGTCGTTTCTATGGAAAAATAATTATTTTACTCTAATAAAGAGGTATCAGTTAAAATAGAAGGAAGTGGTAAACAGCCCTCTTTGAAGCTTCACGAGTCACGGCTGACTCCACATTGCTACTTCTTCCTCGGACGATTTCCGATAAGCTCTTCCCCTTTGGAGGACCCTTTTCAAGCCTCATATGTAATGAAGATCACGTAGCCGCAAATTAAGCTCCTGATGTGTATTGTGTATTCATCTTGGTAGATCCGCCGCATCTCCAAATTCCCTGCAGCAAAGAAAGCCTGATTGCCTGGAGCTGCTGTGACGTAAAAAGGCATTATCAAGGGGCTGTGCTGGGGAAGATTTGGAGAAATTAAGAAAACCAGCCAATGCATTGCACTTCTCGGAGTCCATTTCCTGAGATGGAAGTTCCGCCGTGATTAAGCTTTGGGGTTGGTTTGCCCCTGTTACGTATGAGTTGCGTCATGATGGTTGATGTGAAAGTCAAGAAAGCACAATCTGACGATCATTTGTGATTTTCAAGGGTGTTGCATCAGGGGAGCAATATCAGCGGGCCAAGACATTTGGAAGCAGCGGATGCACACTCCGCTTTAATTGAATTTCTGTCATTTTAAGTTGCTATTTATGGAGAAAGTTCTGGATTGTTCGGAAATTGCAGTTTCGTATGGCATGGAGCATGCTTATAATGAGAGGACATGGTATTGTGTGATCTGCCATCCAGATTTTCAATGTCGCTGTTCCATGCATGGAATTCATGAAGAAAGAGCTCGATGAGAATAATATTGCATTGCAATGTCGTTTGTACTGTTCAGCCGTTTTACTGTGTTTAGTGCATTGTACTATTGATGGACATACAATTCCACTTCAGCTCATGAAATTGATAATAACAGTCAATTGAAGGACCCTCAATTTGTCAATTTCCAAAAATGTCCAGATCCCGGTTCCGGTACCACCATGTATTCCACTTTAGCAGCCAACACAGCCATGTTAACTGCCCCACATTGCCAACGTTCACTCCATTTTCCCTAGTTCGGTTTCACGATATTCAGATCGTGTTCTATTTTTGAACAGATCAATCATCCAAATCTTTTTAAAATCGAAAATCATCATCACTCACCGGGTCATCTGGTGCACCCTAAAATGAGTCCTGATTTAGCCGCACTGCCTAGCATGTTTGACCTACTCAGCCATAATAGCCAAAAGTCATCCAAATCTCACAACCCAACCACCAAAGAAATCAAATTTCTCCAATTTCCCTGAACTCTTTTAAAGTTTAAAAATTCAAGAACCAAAACACCCAACTTCCTCACCCACCTCGCTGCATCGCTTACCTCTCTCGATCTGATCGCGAAGTAAACAAACATTATCAACATCAACTACTCACCATGAATGGGCCCGAAACCGCCGACGGGACATTGATCATCATAGTATGCCGGGCCAAACACCTTCCGAACCGCCGGAAACTCGACAAACAGAGCCCTTATGTTCTAATGAGAATTGGCACTGAGGCAAAGAAAACAACCGCAGCTTTCCGAGCAGGCCAGACTCCAGAATGGACTCAAGAGATACGGTTCCAGTTGACCCGAGACAGGAGACCGCTTTTGAAGTTGGACGTTCTTGACGAAACGAAAAACGACCCAACGCCGATTGGCGATACAGAGATCGACTGTGCTGCTGTTTTCCAGGATCAGGCTCATTTCAACGATGGAAAGTACATCTTGGACGGCTGGTACGGCCTCAAATCGAGCGGCAGAGACGCGGGCAGGATCTATTTGGAAATTACGTTTTATCCTAGTGCTCCGTTGCTTCCTCCTAAGGTGCCCTCGCCTACTTTGGACAAGGAACTACCGGCAATGCCAGACGAGTTCACCAGACTGGACCCCGTGCAGCGGAGAACCGTGGGCGAGGTTTTCGAGCAAAAGGCTGCCGACTTTGGTGGCTCCAGAGCGTCTGATCCGGGCGAAGAGGTGTTTGTCAATGGCAGTCCGAAGAAAGAAGGCCGCTTCAAGAAGCTCCGAGAACGGTTCCAGTCCAAGGAGCCTCTCCGCAACCTCTTTACCCACGAAAAGCAGAAACTGCAAGTTCTTGATGAGCCCTCGACTGTGCCTCCGCTTCAGAGCTACGAGCAGCGTGATAGGGTAGTATCCAGCGACGACGAGATCGATAGGACTGACGACTCTCCGCCACCACCTCCACCGCCACACTCTGCTAAAACAAGCCCAAAGAGAGCGGGCCGTAAACCACCGCCAGGTCTGACCTCGGCAGTGCCGGAATTCGAAAAACTCAACCTCAGCAACACCCTGGTTCCGTTTTCCGCCGAAACTATGGGGCTTGATGACGACGAGATGCCCACGCAGGTGTACCAGATGGGCCTGCCCGTGCGTCCGCTTACCCACAAACAGCCTCGTGAAAACAAGGAACACCGCATGAATCCCAACGAGATCGACCCGAAGTTCTATGCGCCTACCCCGTCCGAGCATTTGGCCAAAAGCTTCCGGTTGCAAAACGGCAATGTGACCAACAAGAATGTGAATACCGAGTACAATACTGAGCAAAGTGGGTACTTGGGTGCTGGCCAGTGGCTGTCGGATAAGCGGTTTCTGCCCTCTGTGTTCCAGCGGGTGAATGATGAGAACGAGGGTGAGATGAACAAGCCACCAGTGCCGCCCAAGGTGCCGCAAGGGCTCACCAACATGGAGTACTACGTTCTAGAAAAGGACAGCTACTTGAAGGATATCAACGGGCGGAGGCTCTGATAGAAGGTGCACAAGGCTAGAGGAGAGATGGGGAAAAAACCCCATATAGTCACATTCCATTGGAGGCTGCTGAATTGGAATTTGTGGTGGGCAACCAGAACGGTCCCAATAGAAGGAACATAAACATTCACGATAATTGACGATTTCAACAGATGAACTGTAGATCCGGGCTTCCTGCAAGTGTGAGGCCAGATTAAGTATAAGGTTTAAGAAGCTTTACGAGAAGCTCTTTTAGTGCACCTTTACGAGAAGTATAAATTCTTCTCCGCAGACTAGATAAAAGCTAAGTGGATGGTTAAGTAATAGCTTCGAGGCAACCAAGGTGATGTCATGAAAGATCGATACAAGTAGTAGTATTTTAGGTTTGGGTAGGCTCAAAACCGAGAAGCTTCAAAGGGCCTGGTTTGGCAGCTTTTGGTGAAAAGAGTCAGATATTCTTCTTATCCGTGGATAATGTGTTGACCAGTTCGGGGTGTTTTAGGATTTTCAAGTCCCAAGTTCCTTGCTAGTGGAAGTGACTTTATTAGGGTTTACAGAAAGAGATGAGATTCGATGTGGATTTCTAATTGATCTCTTGGAGAAGTCGAGATAATTGCAGGATCCGATATGAGGTCCTTTTCGTCAGACATTCAGGTTTCAATTGCTTGGGGTTTGTTGAATAATTTCATTCTTGTGAGATACCTCATTAAAGAGGTATATGGATACATTGTAGGGCCTTCTTCGAGCCTCTCTTAGAATACAACGCAGTAGGGCATCACAAAGCAGGGTATTTATTATTTATCGAGATTGCTGCCAGTGAACCTACTCCCATAGGATGTATTGGGTATCAGTAACAAAGCATTCATTCATTGGTGACTAAACCAACGTCTCACAATCCCAGCAAGTGTGAAGTGGAATTTTCAGTCCATTCTTTCATGGAGCATATAAGACTTGGCCTGATGGGCACGGCAGAGCCTCAGCCGTATTTGCACCCAATCTTAATTGACCAGTTCTACGCTGGTATAAGTTCAGAGCTATAGGTTTTAGTTACTTCCACTTCATCAAGTTCTTGTTAAACAGGTAGATAGATACTTTGAAGAGCGACTTTTGTGAAGCAGATTGAAGTCGGGCATCACTAAGCAGTGTTTCAAAGTGACCAAAAACCTCGATGAATTTGCTTCTACTGGAAATCCTATAAGGGTACAAGCATTCACCGGAAGTCAAAGACTCCATGGAACAATCCCGACGGATAACATTGAAGGCGAGTATCCCAAGATTTACAGAAGAAAATCCCCACTCTGGATGGGCTCCACCTAGGTGGATCTCCATACGGTGGCAATACTCAGATCTTTTTTTTTTTTTTTTCTCTTTTGTTAAATTCATCTGATTAAATGGAAAACCCTATTTAATTTTACGTATAGAAAAACCCATCTTATCAGCTTCCAGACTAGCATCACTGACCACACCTGTGAACTAAGTCGTCCCCAGATATGTACATACTTGCTATCGAGGAGCCTGTAGGACAACCACGGGCCACTCCTTGAAGTTCTTGAGCTGAACAATGAGATTGAAGTTGTGGCTGCCCGTTTGAACCTCAGTTTTCCAGGCGTCAATGGATTTCTTTCCAAGGCAGTACCACGATTCGCAGCCAAAGCATGAACTACAACGACTTGCTCAAATTGGCCCAAAACACCGTACAATAATGACTTCCTTGAACGTTAAGGACGCCTTGGAAAAGAGAAAAATTTAGGCACCTTTAGAATCACGTTTTCATCGAGCATCCCTCCACTGTTCCAAGTAGCATGATCCAGCGAAAAATAAGTATACAGCCAAAGACCACGAATTGATCTCAAGTAGTCTAAGGAAGTCTCTTGCAGCGTTCTCATAGTTGTGAACAAATGCGTAAAGCAGAGCTCTATCAAACGTAAGGAGTGCTTCGACTTGCTCCATATTTATCTACGTCTCAGGATCGTCAGTGAATGATTGCATGAGACCAATAGCTTTGTGTATGTTGTTCTGGGCTGCCAACATTCTACCTTCCAGCAAGAGCTAAAGATTGTGTGGGAAAAGATGGCGAGCTTTTGCCAAAATTTGCTTGGTGTATAGGTTAGGATTTCTGACAATAAGTGTCAATTCTTCATCGGAAATGCTTGATCTGTCTGAAATCAGGAGCACATCCGGAATATTGGAGTCCTCGTGCCCTGGAAGTTGGATCCCACGTCTATAAATTGAAACGGACAATCGTAGAAAACCAAAAGACACAAAAGAGCCAACTCGCCATGAATGCTTCTGGCGGTAATTGCAGTACGCCAAAGCATACGGAGACCAGTTTCTATCACCCTTGAAACCAACAATAGAAAGGACCTTTCTAATAGCCGGAGGAATCAAAGAAAGGACAATTCGGAGGATACCAAAGCACAACTGTACTCCGGAATGAATGAATTCGTCAATAGTAGAAACGTGAAATGGGTTTGGCTCAGGGCACCTACATCGCAGCTACATCTCTAACATAGTATTTAACAACATTAACGGCCGGAGCCGGGTATAAGAAGCGGCGCCGAAGCACCCTAAGCAGCGAAAAAGAAAGTCAAAAATCACCCGCCTACAACAAGTGCACAGCAACAGCACCAAGCATACCGAGACCGACACCCAAAGCAGCAGCCCCGTTGCTTGTAGAAGAAGCACCGGAGGAGGTGGCAGAGCCCGAGGTGGCCGAGCCGGAAGAACCAGAACCGGAAGAACCAGAAGTGGTGGAGCTTCCGCTGGTCTTGGACGACGTCTTGTGCAAGCTGGAGGTGGAGTTGGTGGTGTTTGTGTACAAAGGAGTGGTGGTGTTGGCGTAAGGAGCGGAAGTGGCGGCGGCTGGCGAGGTGGTGGTGTTGGAGACGTTGGAGGAAGCCACAGCAACCACACCTTGGTAAGCAGTCAAGGCAGCAGCCTTGGAAGCAGAAGCCTCAGAGGCAGAAGCAGCCGATTCGACGGAAGCGACAGAAGCCACGGAAGCCTCAGAAGCAGCGGAAGCCTTAGAGGCAGCGGAAGCTTTAGAGGCAGCGGAAGCTTTAGAGGCAGCGGAAGCCTCAGAGGCAGCAGAAGCTTCAGAGGCAGCGGAAGCCTCAGAGGCAGCAGAAGCTTCAGAGGCAGCGGAAGCTTCAGAAACAGCAGCAGCCTTCGAAGCAACCGAAGCTTCAGAAGCAGCAGAAGCTTCAGAAGCAACCGAGGCCTCAGAAGCAACCGAGGCCTCAGAAGCAGCAGAAGCCTTGGAAGCAGCAGAAGCCTCAGAAGACACGGAAAGCTCCAGGGCAACAGAGGCTTCGGAGGCGACGGAGGCCTTGGAGGCGGAAATGAGCGAGGAGGACTCCCATGGGTCCAAAACGGTGGTGGTGACGGTGATGGTGGAGGTGGAAATGGTTGGACCTGCTGCCGCAGCAGAGGCGGCGATGGCCAAAAGAACGACTGGGTTAAAAGCGACCATTGGGTAAAGAGTGACTAGGGTTAGGATGAGGAAGAAGGAGGATTAAAAAAAAAAAGTTCTACATGAAACGGTGGTGGAGCATTGGCGATGCACATCACAGGATTGAGATTGTTTTCCGGCTTGAGAGACTTTTGAGAGACAGAAGCGGTGCGAAAATTTCTTGCATGCAGCGTGGTGCCGTGCGGCGGCCTGCCTGATTTGGCATGAGGGCGATGGAACAGGTATGCGGCCTACCCCAAATGGGGTGGCTTTCGCGGACCATTTCGCGGTACAATGGGTGGTGTTCTGCATAGGTGATGCGCCTCGACGCACGCCGACGCGGCGCCGCCGTACAACCGCCGCGCCCTCTCTCTTTTGTATGGCACTGGAGTCCATCGTCTTCCTGCAGCCTCCAAGTCTAGACCAGATTGGTAACCATGGCCGCTTAAATGGTCGTTTTCTATAGGCGCTCTTCTGTCCGTGAGAACGCCGCACGTGATAGTCCACCATGCACGGTTCTCGTATGTGACTGCGATCATTTGCAGCCACCATGAAAAGCCGACCTACTGGGAATGAAGAACATGTCTATACTGTTCCTTTTCCTTTGGCCTGTTCTTCTTATTATCGATGTGTTCTTCTACTTTTCTATATAGTGCGTCGGGAGGGGCCAGGGGGTTGTTCCACCCGTGTATGTTTACGCATCCTGATTTGGGAATTTGTCAACACTAGTGGCCGTGACCTGGAGAGTTGCATGTAAATGGCTTGCTGATTTTGAGACAACGCAATATCTTCAAAAGGGGAAGGTTTTGGCAAACGGAGCGAAATTCTTGCTGCTGACGGCAAATCCACTGGTGGCAGAATGTGGTAAGATGTGGAATTCCGCAACCGCATGTTCATTTTTCTTGAAGTCAGAATGTAGGCTTGCGGCGGTCACTGTGGTCGTGTTTTCAAGGCTTTGGTCATAGTCACGCTGGCTTGGAAGCGCAGCCTGTCATTAGCTCGTGACGAGAAACCCTGCCATTGTGTTTAGCTACCGAGCCAAGCTCAGTTTAAATCAGAGAAAGGAGAGGAAATACAGAGGAAGTAACGTAGACGCACGGCTCAATGGAGGGTGGGTTGATTTCGGATGTGTGTTTGTGGGAATGTAGACTGGTGTCGTTTGGTGGTCTGGTGATGTGGTTGTCTGGTGATGCCTCATGGTTTTTGGTGGTCCAGGCAGGCTGGGGATTATTTGTTTATTTTTGTGGAGCCATGGAGGGAGCCGTGGAGTCAGTTGGGTGGATCTTACCCGGTTGCCTGATCCAGTCGATGGATGAGATCTCCAAGACTTCCCAAAAGGCTGTACCGAAACGGCTGCACCGCAAGAAGATGTAGAATGCCTGGATCGTGCCTTTTTTTAGCATAGTTTCAAGAGCGTTCTTGTGCTGTCGAGTCTTTGAAAAATGGAGGGCCGTCTCTATGTCTACCGATGATGCCACTCAGAAAGGAGTCCACATTGCTGCACCCAGCCTTTGAGCTCAACGGTTGCTGTTTGGGTGTTTACGCTGATTTTGCGGCGTTTCTATCTGACGTTTTTGTGGACATCCTGACCTCTGTGTGTTGACTTTTGTGTCTTCTTTTTTTGTGGTCTGTTTCCCTGTCTTGTTACACGATATTTTGTTGCACAGTTTGTGGTTGTGTCCTCTTCTACTGAGTCTTTTTGTTTAATAGGAGTAAGGGTGACTTTTGTAGAGGTATTTCTACGAAGAGCATTGGTCCCGTTTGTATGGCACCAACTTTGGTATAAACCGATCTTGTTACCATGGAATGTCTAGATCCGTGAACTAACCCCCAATTTTCAACGTTCATGGCCCAATGTAGAAAATCAAGACTGGTTTTTGGCGGTTGCGGAACATTAAAATTGACCATCACCGCCGTCGGTTGATAGTAGTAATGGCTGCGAAAAGGCTGTTCGAGGATGAATATTCCACAAAGAGCTAGAGATCAAACAGCTGATTCATCTTCACCAAAAATTCCGCGTTTTAGTACTTTGAATGCTACTTTCAATCTAGACACCGGTGGCACAGGTTAACCTATATGTCCATACTTGTGTTTAAGCGGTACGAATCGAAGCTACTAAGGCACTTTCTCAAGTCAAAAACTAAAAACTCTTGCATCCATTCAACTGAATTGGACAGTCATAAAGTGTTGACAAAAAACCCAATAGTAGTCCAAAAAATTGAAACCTCTTGTATTCTACTCACCCCGTACACAAAAATACCAACAAAACTTCACCTCCCAATTTCCAAAATCCAACCAGCCATCCTAATCTCCCGAAACTATCCAAAAACAAATTTCCAACCAACCCCCAAACTCCTCCCCTCCATATCAAAATTCCATCCGGGTGGTACCTAGTCTTGATACTGTGCGCACACGACCCGGTGATTTTTTTTTTTCACCACACAAACCTCCAGGCTCATCAAACCAACCCAATATGCTCAGATCAGCAACACGCAGGTACTCTTTAAAGAGCCTCCCCTTCGAGTCACAGCCCAAAAATAAGTTCAATGCGCAAAGATCAGCGTTCAACTTGAAACCGGTCAAAAAAGACGGCCTCATATATAACCCTCCAGCATCTGCCCCATCATACAAAGAAACACCCCAGTTGTTCTTGCCCAAAAACGACCCTCGTCTCAAGTACCTTGAGGGAAAATGGAAAGTCTACTCTGAGGAGGAGCTTGCGGATATGCCGCTCATATACGGTGTCCAGAAACTGAAGGACTACCTGTTGACCCCAGAAGTGGTGGGAGAAATACTCAAATTGAGACAGCAGGACGCCAACCAGTGGACTATTTCCAAACTTGCACAGAAATTCAACCTCGATAAGACCAAGGTCAATGTGATCACCGGTATCAGCAAAGATAGACAGAAGAAGGTGCTCAGTGAGTTGGAAACCGTCAAGGAAGCCTGGTCCTCTAAAAGAAAGCTTGCTAGACAAGACAGAGAGAAGAGAGTCCAGCAGTGGTTGCGTGGCGAGTTCTGAGCTGCGTGACGCCCTCTTGTATATATATCCGTTGCATTCCTGCTCTAAGAGCATCCCAATATACATAGTCATGTCCATTTAGTCCTCCTGGGCCTCGAGCTCCTGGAAAGCGAGCGTGTCGAGCTCGTCGAGACCCTCTTGTATCGCGTATTTGAAATCGAGCACCTGGTCTATTATGGTCAGCACCGTCCGGTGGAGGCTTTCCCTCTCTTCCTTGATGCGGTACTCGGTTTCCTGTTTCTTCACGCGGAGACTTTTGATGGTACTCTCGGCTTCGATGATGCCTGTGTTGACTCGAAGACGAAGCGTCTGCAAGTCTCGGTCGAGCTTTTCAATCTTGGCTGAGTACGTCTTGCTATCAGTCATCATGAAATCGTATGCCTCGGAATAGAGCTGCATGGTTTTGCGGCACTTGGCCTTGATGCCATCAAGAAACTCGTTCTGCTCGAAGATCCTGACGTGGAGCTGATCCACTTCTTCTTGGAGCTTGAGTTTCTCCTCTTGCTTCTTTCGAAGCTCTTGCGTGAGTGCTGAACGGCATTGTAGAAGCTTCACTTTTTCGTCCCGAAGAGTTTTCGTCAAGACATCGTCGGCGCTTATTTCTTGGTCCGTCTGAGCCAAGTCTTGCTTCACCGCTAGCTCAAACAGATATTCTTGCACGGGTATTCTGCTAGTCAAATAGTTGTACTGGCTGACAAGATTTATGAGACTGTCGCAGCTCAGTCGAAGCTGGTATTCCTGGTCGGCAATGTTCTGTTGGGTATCTTTTAATTTGTTTGTAGTGCGTTCGATTGCTTTGGAAAGTCTGTCTCTCTCGATGTTCAGCTGGTCGATTTCCGTAGCAGAGAGTCCCTTAGCCGTGAGCTGGTCCTCATATTTCTTCTTCTCTTCTTGCATCTCCAGGATCTGCTGCTGGAGCTTGGTCAACTCGTCCTCCATCTGCTTGAGAAGGTCTCCCCATTTTTCTTTGCGGTCGCTCATTTTGTTCATGTAATCCGAGAACTGTTTGAGATCATTTTCTAATGCTCTAGATTTCGCATGTGCCTCATTGAGCTCCGCGACTTTCCCATTGAGCTCTTCACGTTGCTGTAGAAGTTCTTTCAACCGTTGAGACCGCGTCTCCTGCTCACTCACAGTCTTTGCATTAATTTCGTCAAATTCCGTCTCTAGTTCCTTGTAAAATCCAGAATAGTCTTCCTGCTGGTCGATATAAGCACCATAGCACTGATGCGTATACCTGATGAATAGCCTATCGAAGGGATCATCGCTGGCGATCATGTCATCCTCTGTGAGACCCAGAAGGGCCAAATTGAGCTTCATAAGCCAGTAGAGCATTGCAAGGAATTTTGGCCACGATTGGCCAACAGAGCTGATATGCGTTCGACTCAAGTGCTCGGTATAAGGATACTCCCAAGCGCGGAGGACCAGGATCACGTCTGTTTCTAGCGATTTTGTGAAGGTGAAATGAGGATCGATCTTGCGGTATAAGAACTGAAACATCAACACAAACTCTTTCTGGGTAGGCAGCTGGAGCGTTCGTCTCGAGACGGCGTGATTCATCTCGAGTTCAAACCGGTTAGCCACCAAGAAATCGTAGATCTCTCCCATGAGCATTTCTAGATACGCCTTATCATTTAGTGGCCGAAGGTCAATTACTTTTGCGGGAGGGTTCCTGTGCTGCTGATGAGATAAATGCGTAGCCAGCTGTGACGATGCAGGGGCAATGACGCTGCTGAAGAGACTCTGGCGTCTGTTTGTAGCAGGTGTAGTTAGAAGGGTTGATCTCCTTCTACTGGGCGCCTCGAAGCTTCCAGAAACACGGTGCGTTGAGGTCCTGCGTGCACCACTCATGGAAAGCCGCTGCGTCCTTTTGAGAAGCTGAGCCGCCGACGGCGTGTTGACTTCAGCCATAAAGGTTAGTAGATTGTTTGTTTTGAAGTGTTGATGTTGGTGTGCACGTAGGGTCAGGTGCCGGTGTTCCCGTGCGCGCTCACGTGACTGGCATCACGTGATGCGACACCGCTTTTCGGGTTTTCCGCTATCGATGCACCAGAAGTGGTTTCAGGGTCCACCGTAACAAGAAAAAAGTGGGGGAAAAGCGTTGAGCGACGTATAAGAGGTACCTGTATTTCCTGCAGACAGAAAACAGAATTACGTCATTCTGCCCCTCCCTCCAACAATCGCAGGTGGTGCCTGACTTGTCACGTGCATCGCGTCACGCCCGCCAGCCATGTTTTTGTTGTGATTCACCGTGAACACCTGAAACATTCTTCCCCACCCTTCACCAGCCAGCCTTTGTCTCGACCCCAGGCTTATATATAAGAAACCTTGTTCCGTGTTGGACCTCCTTTTGGCTGATTTTCAGAATCCGTCCACGAACCTGTTCTACCCCACAATTGCTACTCTAGATCCTCGTGTCCAAGGAGCAGCCTTTGCTCCACTAGAGTGAATACGAAACAAGAGCTGAAACAACAACCGGCTTCACGTCACGACGTGTAGTTACTGAACTTGAGAGAAAACGGTTTTTTTATTTGTTCGGCGTTGCCTCGTATAATTTTGTCTTGATACACTCGAGGCTATATTAAGACTTGCTGCGCTACCGAAACTTTGTGCCACGGTGAACAATAGCAAGATCGAGCCGTATAAGAATACAACCGGCTTACATCCATAGATTAAACCAAGCTGGAGAAGATACCGAGATCCCGACTAAAAAGCATCCCCTTAAAGAACATTTAATTCACCATCGTTGCTGTTCAACGCAACACCACAATAATCATATCACATCAAACGACATTATTTTGAAATGACGTCTCATAATGCTGGCACGCCCGTTTCGCTGCCCAAAATCGCTAAATCCGTCAAGTTGGACGTCCCTTCCACGCCGCCGGCGGCCAAACCCAAGAAGAGATTACTGGCGTTTCTAGCTACCCCTGAGCAGCCAGGAGACCAACTACCTTTCAGTCCCGGGCTCAAGAGAGACAGCTCGGGCTTGCTCAAATCCCCAGATTATAAACTCAACTCCAATGATGCCAACTTGCTTAAGACGCCCAAGAATGGCGGCTACGACTCCGACGACAAAGACACGCCTCACCGACTGAAGATGCTTAGAACTCCGCAATTTTTCAGTCCGGGCAAGCGTCTATTCAACGACGACCAGAGCCCTAACAAGGAAGAGCTTGCCGAGATCTCGTCTCAGCTCAAATCCCGCTTGAGCACGGCCTTGGGCAAAGTGAAAGGTCACGACAAAAGCCAGATTGCCCCTACAAAACTTGACTTTCTGGACCAATCATTCACCACAACGCGAGAGCTGCCCACAAAGATGCTCAAAATGAGCCCCAGGCTCCAAAGCACACCCCTGCTGGTGCAAAGAGCCAACTTGAACCTACAGACACTCCAGGCGCTGCCTGTTCCGCCCTCTAGCCAATCCCACGAGAGGCTTCAGCAGCTGCCGGACTTTAAACGAGACCGAGTACGTATCCCATCTCCCGAGGCGGATGCCAGTGCTCAAAGTGCATTGCAGGCGGCCTTTTCCCGCCAAAAGGAGAAGCGGCGCAGCTTTTCCAGTGAACGCAGGCGTTCGTCTCTCCTTGGCCTTGAAGGCAGCCCGCAGAAGGATAAGGAGGCTCCCCGGCTTCCTCCAATCAACGTAGGCTTCAACAACAAGCACAGCCCACCGCAGGACTCGGAACAAGACGCTGTGTTTTCACTCATGCTGCTCTCGTCGCCGCAGAAACTCGCCGACAGCAGGGGCCACAGCCGGCAGCAAAGTCAGAATACCAACTCCACTCACACGCTGCGGTCGTCGCTGGTGGTCAATACTGTTCTTCCGCCAATATCAGGTATCATGAAGAACGTGGACAATGACGAAACAGACATTGAAGAGACAACCATGTCGGAGGGCGAGGACTCCTCCTAGGCACGGCTGTAGCTAGTACATATAATCGACAAAACATGAAGAATCTTGTAGGAGATGAAAGTTTTATAAAGGTACGTTTCAAATGAGGAGACAAATTTCACCCATGCATCACCGTTAAAATGATCATGGCTTATCTGATCTATCTACGGACTAAAACAGGCACCGTTTCTGGAAGTGCCTTAGAAGTTAGCGCATCTTCATTGACCATAGCATCTGCTGATGAGTGTATTTGACAGGATTTTGACGTTTTACACTAACAAATCACCTATCACATTTGATCCAAAGTAATCACGATCTGATACGATTTCGTACATGTCTAGGAAAATTCCGTCCGATGACTATACCCGGTTTTAATTGGACAGTTCTGGCGTGATGCACAAGTGACTAAAATAGCATTTGTCGTGCTGACAGATATGCCCATGTCAGCAGACAATCACGAGAAATGAGCCAATAATGGGTCTTGTGAAGGTCACCGCGAGGCAGGACGTTTTTTCCATTGCAACGATTTTTCTTCAATTCAAATTTACTGAGATCATTGAAAGAATTTTTTAAGTTTATGTTTTTGTTTATTTGATGCCTCCGGAAATCTTTACCCACCAGGGTAAGAGGTTCCTTGGTTGGTGGTGGAAGGCGGCTGGTATTTACACCCGTGCACCACCGATTAGGTGAGGGCCCTCTTTCTTTTTGTGTTCTGTGTGCAGGCCGCGGTGGGCTCACCCTAACCAGAGGAAAAAAACGCTTGACTAATATATAAAGATAAGATTTCCGTCCTCCCTAGAGACAGCTGTATTTTATAAAAAAAAGTTGATCTTTTTCCATTTCTAGTGAAGCAGACCCGCCTTGACCACAGCATCGTCAAAACACGTCTAGGCCGATTGCATCTGACTAATAATTACTTCGTTTAACCACCAAAGCGAGAACTGGTCATCAACCCCGTTTTTTACTACACATCCTATATTTATTGATATGCACAAGACTCCGTCAGTTTTGGTGCTTCTCCACCCGACGGTGGTCACAGACGAAGCCCTTGTGGAACTGACAAAGTCCAACGTTGCTTCCAAGTTCCCCTCAGCGTCGGTAACCCAACACATCATTGATCGTTTTGCCTCTGGCGCCGTTGATACCGGAGACGCTGCATTTGATCACATTGTCTACGTGAACCCCAATGAAAACCATTTGGCTATCGCCCCTGTGCTCATAAGCAAGCTTTTTGACACCTTGGTGCAAGGAGGCCAGCTTCTGGGTGATTTGCCCACGGACCAGGACCTTGATGTTCTCATGGCCGGCTTCATTGTCCAGGAGCCCGGCTTGTGGGTCAAACCAGCTCCGGCTGCTGAAACTGTACTTCTCAAGAAGAAGACCTCAAACAACACGGGCAAAGCTTTGCCAACATTCAAGAAAACCGCATTCAAAAAGGCCGTCACGTCGCCATCTGCCATGACGGATACGCTGGACAACACGGACGACGAGGATCTGGCCATGAAGAGAAAGCTAGAGAGCACCAAGTTGGCCTACTTTAGCGAGGAGTCCGAGGACGAAGGCGACGACTTGATCAACGAGAATGAGCTCTTGGGCCAGGAGCTGCTGTACCTAGATCGCGTGAATGTGATTGTGCCCAAGAAGTGTGAGTTGCCAAGCGGGAAAAAGAGACGGAAGGCCTGTAAGGATTGTACTTGTGGACTCAAGGAGCTTGAGGAAACAGAGACAGACGATAGCAGGAAACTTCAGGATTCAATCTTGGGTAAGATGGCGCAGCTGGCGACTGTGGAGGCCATGAAGATCGAGGAACGTCTCAAGAATAACAAGGTTAAGTTCACCGAGGAGGAGTTGACGGAGATTGACTTCACTGTCGAGGGCAAGACGGGCGGTTGCGGCTCGTGTGCCCTTGGTGATGCCTTCCGTTGTGACGGCTGCCCATACCTTGGGCTTCCGCCATTCAAGCCGGGAGAGGCCATCACCATCGACAGCTTCGGCGAGGATATTTAGCATCAGGGAATAAACGGTTGGATAGAGTATGGAGTAGCGGTTTGTTTTGACCAGTGGTGAAGCGTGGAAGTGAACGACTACGTCATGAAACAGTAAGTCTGAACGCTGGTGAATTCGGTTTGGTTAAAACCGTTTATTTTCGTGAAGCTTTATGTAGATCTTTCAGGATGGACATCCATATAATAATTCAGCTTCACCTTTAACTTCAAATTTCAAAGATTAACTCAAAGAACAGTTTGATCCGATGACATTGTTATGCTTAATGGTATTATTGAAGACTGTGCTGATGATGGCAATGACAACAGATTCTGGTTTAATGCGAGTATTTGTTGAGCTATAATTCTCTGAGTTGTCATTCGAAAGCGTCAATTAAAAGCCATCTTGCTATTCGGATCTCAACAAGATGCGTCTTTGTTCATTTGGTGTCGACATGAGGTGCCAATGCTTTGTGACATGAAGCGTGATTTTCCAACGGCAATAAATGTCTCCATTGATTCAGTAAATAAGGCGTATAAAAAAACGTTTTGGCTATCTGTCTGAAGTTTTCCATCTCCACCAGTGGATTCTATTGCAGTTGGCCAGCACTTTCTGACTCACTCTTCATCAACGGATGATCCGCCCATTTTTCATCCAAAATCATATGACGTCCAGGCTGACGATTTATGTATACTATAAATACCACATTGGCACCTCTTAATCATCAATGTCACCCTCCTTGCTTAACACTTGTTTTGAGGCATTTGCCGTATTACAAACTCCGATATTGGCGCCGCAAATCTCGGCAACTTATGCCTCCCTTCAAAAGGGTTAATTTCCAAAGCGCAAGCAGAATAACCGCCGACTCAACTGACATACTCGACTACTCCTGTAGTAAATTGCAGCCGCCCTATTTCATGTGGAACCTTACAGATGCAGAGAATCTTGTGGCTGAGACGCCATGCGTCTGGAGCAGAAGCAAACCTTCTGCTGTTTTCTGAAACAAGGGCCTCCGTCTTAGAGGGTATACCCAGGAGTCCTGTCCTCTACTTTTTGGCCCCTGATGATACGGAAACACAAAGAAAAGCAGTAATGTCAAATTTCAGAAGGTTGTTTTCACGGTTTTGAGCCCGCCGGGGGCGGCCCGGTTAGTCTGAAATGCTGTTAGGGGCTCAGTGACCATGGCTGCTCGGCGGTTTTAGCGCATATCTCTCACCTGGTCTCTCACGTCAAACATGCATGCATGGCAGTAGGCTCTAACACGAGCATGCAGCACGCTATTGTTCTCATGTTTCAGCGCTTAACGGCTTCAACTGTGCATCTCGTAATAACACCCTGTGCTTCTTTTTTCGATACAGCCACCGAGCGAGGCGTGGGAACGGCCGAGGGGGCCATGTTGAGCAAAAAAAAATATTGCCATAAGTTGTTTTGCGAAAAGCTACCCCCAGTTGATTATGAGACACCCGCCTATTGTTCCATGCATGAAGCCTAAGAGACGACTTCTTCGTGGCGGTTGAAAGAGCCCTGGTGCTTAAGCGAGCCCTGGGCCAGTAAACCTTTCCTTGCGTCCAAAGCCTAGTCCCTGTTTTCCCTTGCGCCTGCGTAGCGCTACTTTGCCGCTTTTTCGCTGTTAGATAGAGCCGTCTCCGTTGATCATAGCAACCGGTTCTTATCTGAAACCGGGTCCGAGGCCCAGGAGCGGTGATTGTCAAATCTCAGAGCAAAAAAGTGGTGTGTTTGGGCCCCCTGACGTGCCGCCGTTCCCAACAATGTAACCTTAATTGCCCGTGCTTCACTCTAATTTTCGTCAATGGATGCTATTATCCCAAGAGAATGGCAGGTCCGTTGCTTTTCCATTGAAAAAGTTACGGGCACGGGCCCTCCATGGGTCCCTGGAACACCGTCTCCATGACAACCAGCGCAATCTTGCCGGCTCGCCAACAATAGTTGACTACCAGCTCACAACCACCAACACTGCTGAAGCCTGTGCAATGGCACGGCACACGAGCGTCGAAGGTTGCTGCAACGAGGTGATAAGGTTATGAGGGTTTCTTTGTTTGGGCCCATGGTTCACAACCAGCCTCGTACCAGATGCTCATCTGGCCAGCGGCGCAGTACTTGACAACATCGAAGGACGTCACCCAAAAGGGGGAAGCTTTCGGTTATGAGGAGGCGGGCTGGTTCGCAGCGAACGATCTCCTGTGGTTTGGAGCACTTCGGGGATTCCAGATACCGGTGTCGCTTACCGTTTAGACGGTGCACCGGTGACCAGGTGAAGTAGATGTGGATTTTGGAAAACTGTGTTTTGGGCCGATCTCCAGAGAACGGTGGCAGAGAATGACGGACCTTCCTAAAGCGGCCTTGCGATCTTCTCTAAACCTAAATCCTCCACCAGCTGATCTCTGTCAACGTCAATCTGGCGTGGCATGGAGGCTTCTTATTGTTCAGCGCATCGATATGTGGTTGGCAGTCCACCCGTTCGGCAGTGATTAAGAAAAATAGGGGCTTTTCCACCACCCATGTTCACCAGCGGCTGCCTCGAGGCCTTCAACAATAACGGACAATAAAAGCGAGCCAGGCACAATTGTTCTTATTCTTTGGTGAAAAGCGGAACACGGGATCGGCAGGGAGACAAAAGATTAAAATTTGGTGAAGCAGGTTTTTGGAGGATTCGTGAAAGGGTACGGTAACACGGCGAGAAGGCTACGTAGCAGCGTTTCCCAAGTAGGAGAATTCTACGACAAACGGCTTTGTTCAGGCAACAAGCACCAGGCACACCAAAGGAGAAATAAAGTCACGACAACACAAGGGCGTTGTCATGCTCACAAGCCGAGAAAACAAGAAGCATCGGATCTAGCGAGGACACAAGCGGAGGAACAATACATTGTGGGATGTAAGCGGCATCAACGGTGGGTGCTTTTTTAAATAAAGTTTTGGTGCTTTTTTGTTTTGGTGCTTTTGTGAGTTGTGTATCAGGACATGCCACAGCCTCGGATCACCGCTTCTAGAATAAGCTTTGCCGTTGGCAAATACCGTTGAAGGGTACAGTCGGCATTGAAAAAAAAAAAAAAAGGTGACTGAAAACGTGCATCGCCGTATACGCAAGAGGGGAGCCGTGAAAAGGAGAATATGGTGGCTCCGGAGCGAGGTTGCAACTGCATCCGCACGATCGGCAGCCAGCACAAGGAGAAAATGGCGGGTCCAGGAGGGAACATCGTCTTGGCTTGTGCAGATACAAGAACCCTTGAAGAAACCGTGAACAATGGAGACAGAGAATCCTTTCGGCACGGTTGTTCTGCAAGGAGAAGCTTAGCGAAGGAGCGGGGCGCCAAAGGAGGGGAAGCGGGTTTGTGGCGATATGGGAGCCGCTGGAAGGAGAAAAATCTGGGTTGCTTGAAAATGTGGAATTTGGGTTTTTTGCAAAGGCGCCTTGGAGCAGGGCACCGATGGAGGAGGAGGCTGCGTATGCAGACCCTGCGTCCAGTCCACCGGAGATGCAGTGTGGAGGCCGGGCTCGCAACCTCCACATAGCACATGCTGCGCCATCTCTACGTCGTCATACCAAACAGCCTTGGGAGTTACCAAAAGGGCTTGACTTGTTTGTTCCGATTCTTCTCCATACCGTGCATCTGCTGCACAGCATCTCAGAGTGTTGGTGCAGCTAAGAATTGGTTTTGGCTACAACAAGGTACAGTAGTATTAAATTGGTCTGCTCTCGGCTGAACAGAAATTACAAACTCGTGGTTACCCTGGGAGGCATTTGCTGGCGCCAAGAACACCGGCTCTACCGTGTGGTGCCCCAGCAAGCTGCGATTCCCATTTGTTTGAAAGCCGATACCCGGCAACATAGTGTACATTTCGTCATCATCTCTCCTTGAGCGCCAGTCTCATATTAATAAAATCTCATCTTTGGTGGGGGCCTGAGGCTGCATGTAAACCTCGGGCCCATTGTAGGATCCACCGCTCATGGCGGTGGGCAAAGAGTTGAATCTTTGCTGGTGGGTGCCTTGCTGCTCGTAGCCCATAAAGTGGGGTTGGTTCATATCAGCAAAACCCATCTTGTCGTTTGGGTGCTGTCCCTGGGGCTGCTGCTGGGGCGAGCCATGTGGCTGCTGCTGCTGCTGCTGTTGCTGCTGTTGCTGCTGCTGTTCAGGAAAGCCGAATTGAGGCCCCACTTGGTTGAATGGGCTTTGAAACACAAACTGGCCCATCTGCAGCAGAACATACGGGTTGCCCTGCTGTTGAGGCTGCTGTGATTGCTGCAATGGCTGCTGCAATGGCTGCCCTGAAAGCGACTGCCCTGAAAGCGACTGCTGGCCCAGCGAGTACTGCTGCTGAAGACCAAAAGGCTGCATCTGTGGCGCAAAAGACAGCAGTTGATTCAATGGCAGTTTTTGCAAGTTTCGCAGCGACATCAAGCCGTCTTGTTCCAGCACAGAGCTTCGCATCACCGCCTGCTTCTGCTGTTGCTGCTGCTGCTGTTGCTGCTGGTTCATCTGTGCCTGTCTCAAATGCTTCTGCTGGCACAGCGGGCAGTGCTTGCCCTTACCGTGACGACGAGGCGTGTAGCGGTAGTTTGGATACTTCTTGGCGTGGTTCTTCTTCTCCTCTTCAGCCAAGTTGGTCCAGTGTTCTCTCTCCTGAGGCGAAAGCGATCTCCAACGGCGACCGAGCTCTCTGCTCACCTCGGGGTTCGTCTTTGCCTCCGTCAGCTCGTCAAGCACCAGCTGGTGGTACTTCTGACGGAACAAAATAAACGCATTCCTGGGACGAGGAATGCGGTTTGGGTTCAGCTTGCAAGTGCACTTTTCTTGCACCGGAGGACCTGCAAAGGGAACGGGGTGGTTTTGGCCCGCAAGCGGATGCTGGGGCATCATGGGCCCAGAAGGACCGGGTATCTGGTTGTGAGGCGCCAACATGGCCGACGAAGCAGTGTAATTGCTGTTGAGGGGGGTGGCCGGGGTGTTGTTGATGCTCAGATGGTAGGAGCTCAGGTTCTGGGGAGGCGCTTCCGGCAGCGCTTGGTAGCCTGGGTAGGAGCTGGCCAGGGAGACTACCGGATACATGAAATCCAGCTGGGGGCCGGAGGAGGAGGCGTTTGTCTGGGCGGCGGAGCTCAGAGTCAGTGGCATAAGGTGGGCCAAAGGCGGCAAAGGTGGTTGTTGGCTGGCACTGGCCGGCGGGAGGATTGATGTTTAGCGTAAGCTTCTTCCACGCCAAGGGGGTCTTGATTGTAGAATACTGCTGTGGACATCAGTCGAGCACCTCTGTGCCGTTGTTGGTGGAGGGGGGTTCTGTTTTTGGGGTTTTTGGTGGTTTAGGGGAGAACGGGGTTTGAGTGCTCCTTTTAGATCGAGGGGTGAAGTCTGTGGGTGCTAAGGATGAAGGTTCAAGGGAAACAACAAAAAGCGGTTGAGTTTCTAGCGGGAAACTAATTGGGGGCTGAGTGATGGGAAAAGGTGGAGCGAATTTACCCAAAGTGGAGCACCCCGAGACTTTATATTTGAGTATGCTGCGAAGGTGTAGATGGTGCGTCATTTCGCTGTACATAGACAGCGGGTTTAGAACGGACATCTGTTTGTGAGAAGAAAGACGTGCAGAGCGCGCATATATGCAATGCATTGCAGCACCTGCAATGCATGCTGTGCGCTACATGATGCGTGCTGCATCCTCTGGCTTTTTTTTCTCTACCTCTCTCCCCAAGTTCCTCTACCATGCCGCATATGGTTGCTTATGTGCACATGCTCATAGCTTAAGGCCACTCATGTGGCTGGGGACACGGGTCGGCTGCAGGAGCAGTCTCCCACCGCGGTGTAGGTTAATGCAGGTGGTGCATGGCCCTCGTCTCCATCTCTCAGCAGCCGAGCCGACCAGCAGTTCAAGGTGCTGAAAAAAAAAACCATGATTGAATCATTCAGGTGCTGTGTTTTTTTTCTTGAGTCGTCCGTCCTGCAGAAAGCCTGCCCCGAAACCGACACGAAGGGTCCGGGACCCTGTTCTTTTTTTTTTTATTTTTTTTTTTTTTTTTTTTTTTTTTTTTTGCGCCTCGTCAACCTTAGTAAATCTTTTTCATCAGACGCCCCTCCCTCCATCCCCTCGATGAACACCGCCCAAAAAAAACAATGCCCTTGCTTTCATCTTTCCCGGGAAAAATTACTCCTCCTCCTTTTTTTTGTGTGTGTGGCATGTAAAAAGCGCAGCTAAATCGCCGGGATCCACCTTTGTTGCTCTAGCCTAGTTGAGAGGCTCGAAATGTGTCTCAGAGTCTATTCCCAAACAGCTTGTCCACTTTCTCCGCCTCCTCTGTGAATTTTTAGCTTTTGACTTCGTTTCTAGAAGAGCCAACGCCTTAGGATGCGTTTCTCCTTCCTATTCGAGAACTCTCAGTATCCGGACCTGGATCCATCGAATTCTCTCGCAAATGTGTGATCTACTGAACGCAATTGGCCTCGACTGGCCATTGACCATGCCGAGAGCGTTCTTTAGCTCATTGTCGTCTTCTTCGCTCGCCGAAGCAGGGCCCAAGATACTGACAATTGGGCTTTGTAGTGAGAATGGCAATTGTTTCTCTTCCAACCTCCCACTGTTCATCCTACGATTAAATTCGCTGCTTTGATCTCGACATAAGCTACAGCCTGTCGAGGTGCTCCCCCAGGGAAAAGCAATTTCGTGAATCCCATCGCTGTAGATGTCTCAGCTGGTATGCAATCGTCCGTGCTTGTTGGCGATCATGTCTCACCAGTGCGATCGAGCTCCCTGATCGTAACCAATCAAGCATGCAAGGTGAGCAAAATTAGACGGTTGTTCAGAACGTGCGGTGTGGATCGCCCAGTTAGCTCTAGATCCCGGGGAGGCCCCGAAACTGGGGCGGAGAAATACCAGCAACTCTTGGTTCCCAGCACATGGCTCCGGGTTGGCAGCCATGACATCTCCGAGACCACATTTCCAAGCCAGCCGAGCCCCAAGCCATAACGCCCTATCCAAAAGCAGAAGAAAAGAAATGAATTCCAATCTTCAGCCGTCCTTTGCTGTCACCTCATTGGAACACGCCAGACCCCTTACAGCCAGCTTCAGGCCCCATTATTCACATGGAATTCTCCGCCAGTTTCATCCCGTCCATTGACAAACACAACCAGAAATATTGCCTCGGTCTGAACCCAGCTCGAGCTGTTTATGTTGTCCTTGGCTGCCTTGGCGGTTGCAAAAAAAGGTGCTAGGATGTGGGTTTCTTCTTGTGTCCTGCATGCAGCGCGGGATTAAGGTGGTGCATGGCGGTGAGGAGGTGCAGCAGCACATGCAGGTGGAAGGCTGCACGAGTGCATCGACGAAGGCTGGAACAAAACCCCCCTTACCAGCACCCATAGGGCTTAGGCCGCCTGCATTCCCAGGTTACTTCGAACCTGTTTTTAAAGCATTTTAACCGTTAGGGTGCTTACCCCCGAGCGGAATTACCGCCACGAACGGATGAAGATCCGGCCCCACGAAAGAGGGCTTGGGCGCCGTTGGCACGCAGCCGAATATGCGAAACCCCAGAGCTGCTTTACTTGTTCGCGGCACCACCGCTAATAATATTTGCCGCCAAAGTAGTTGTAACCGTTTTCGTCTGCTTAGTCTGCTAGAGCAGGGTCTATTGTTTTGTGCGAGCGAGGCGACTAGTGTTGTTTGATTAGCGACGCGCCGCACCATAATGGCTGAATCGCCAGCCTATAACCTCACAATCCCAGACCATTCTCTGTGGTTGCTAAAAGCCCATTGCGGTTGTGGAGCATGACTCTCAAGCAGATAGAAAAAACAAAAAAATTGATAGAAGCGTTTCCTGCAGGCAGCCCCGCCAGGTCCAGGCACTGCGTGTATCGTGCACGCTGTAGCACGAGGTATCTTGGAGACATGAGGTGGGGAAGGCACATGATATGGGAGGGCAGCCTCTGCACCACCGTAAAAGTAATTAATTTTTTTTTTTTTTTTGTCGGAGACCCATTCACGTAAGCTCTTCCGCTTGAATGCGTTTTTGCAAGGTCGCACCCGTGTTAGCAGCAGGCAAATTACTCAACATGTCAATGCAAATGGTGTCGATCTTTTCCCATTCAAGATTGCGCTCTGGTCAGCATGGCGCGCTTGCGCTCCCTCTTGTAAACCCGACTGTGTGCAGGACCCACTTGCTCGCGAGACGTATCTGCATCTGCACCCTTCACCAGCCCCAGTTACGCCTACTACCGTTCATCAGCCACGAGCGGTTCCTGACACGTCAACTCGTGACAAACAGAGAGTTTAGTATGGACGTTTGAATTCTCGGACTTGCCGGTCTTATCTCCGAGACCCCCAGCTCTCCTCCGGCACCTCCGGACCCCTATCTGCCTCCGTTCCACCCTTTCCTTTGGGCCTTCCCGTGCAGTCTATCTAAACACCGTTAGCGTCATTGTCTGGCCCAGGTTCAAGTTGCCACTTTGCCCTTTTCAATCCTTGAACCCACCCTTACAATATTCTTTGTTTGGGGACCCTGGTATGCCGCTTGTTGGCATGGAGATCGACCGTGCTTTTTTCCTCCATTACTGATCCGTGTACACTTGCCTGGACTGGTTCGCTTGCTCCAGTATCTGCCAGGAAATGCGCTATAGCTTTGTGTTCAGGGGACCTCCATACTGACGGACAATCGATGCACACCTCTTCTTTTGCGCTAATGCAAATCAGAGCAGATCCGTGTGGTAGTAGAAGCAGAAAACGCATCGACACCAGGGCCCTGGTTTTGCGGACCATTGTCACGTGATCGCACACGTGATTCCAAACATCAACACCTCACCACCTCAACTACTTACACCACCGAAATCACACCAAAATCCAGGCCTGTTTTTCCATGTACGCAAGCTACACGGACGGCAAGGACGACCTCGTCCTCCCCACCATTATCACACGTGATGACTTTGCCGATAAGCCCGAATTCGACCCGGACGCGTTTCTTTACGACAACCATCGCTTCACCTCGCTTGACTCTCTTCTCAGAGACCTCAAGAAACTCTCAGAAAACCTCAACCAGGACCTTCTAGATCTTGTCAACAGCGAGTACACAAGCTTTATTCAGCTCGGCCAGTCCATTGGCGGCTGTCTCGAGCTCATCAATAACATCTCGCTAGATGTGGGCAAATTCAACCAGCAGTTGGTTTCATCGAAGAAAAACATGGCTGATTCGAGGGACACGGCGCAGAGGGCGCTTCAGCAGAAAAAGAGGCTCAATTTGCTAAAAAACAAGGCCAAATTGGTTCTTTTGCTCAACGAGCAGTGCACCAGTTTTGAGACCCTTTTGGGGCTCGACATTGGTGAGCTCAGCGTGAAGCGTCTACAACCTAAGCTTCTGACGCTTACGACATTGTATCTTTCGGCGACGAAAATCTATGCTATTTTGGACGAGGCGCACGAGGAGGGTTGCGTGTTTTTTGAGAAGTCGCTTAAACCGAAGCTTCTGTCGTTGCAACTTGAGTTCAAGGCGTACATCAAGGAGACGTTAGATCGTGTGCGCAAAGAGCCCAAGGGCTACGATACCGTGATCATGAGCTTGCTTCATTGCCAGCGCATTGTTGGTTCGTCCAGTTAGGTAGATCAATTGCATTGTGCCCTAATGGTCCTTTGTCCAAAGGCATTGAAATTGGCAAATCAACAGATGTTGTGGAGAGCTTTGTCATTGACATGAGCATCCTTGGGGTTTACTAGAAATCGAGAAGAACATTCTCCATGAAAATCAGCATATGATGAAACGGAAATCAGAAGTGTGTGCTCTCAATTCAGATACATTGGTCCAATCCCGATAAATTACAGATATTACCGCAATAGGAGGTCACTTTAAGTTCTCAGTTGTGGATTTACTGCTTCTCACCAAATTACTTCAAGCGTTCGGTGTCTCTGTTGATCTAAGGTCAACTCCCTGTCGTCTATTGATGCTGGTGATTGCTTCACAAAATACTCTACAAACGTGAAGTCAATGATTATGAGGCTGCCACTCAAAACATAAGGAAGTGTTCCACTACTTCGAACAACGGTCAAAGTCAGCGATGCCTCGAGCTTCCTTACCGCCCAAACGCATACTGAATTTCATTTGATCTTGACTATCATTTTTCCTATTTGAAAGCTTGACATGAATCAACCATTGGCTGCAAGATGGTTGATGTCCATTAGATCAGTTAGTGCTCATGTTAACGCAGAGTGCGCGTAACCGCAGGAACCAACCACGCAGCGACGAATTGGCCTAGTAAGACAGCGTTAACTATGGGGACAGTGGTGGCTACACGACCGCGCACAAGATTAGGAAAAACTATCTGAAGCGATAGAATCAAAGCAGCCAGATATCCCCACATATAGAGCACAAAAATGGGGTTCGGAAACTTTTTCTACGGCGGCAAGAAATGGGAGAACGTCGATGAGAACCCAATGCCCAAAGACGTCCCAGATGTCGAGGAGGTGGGTGCGACTTCGGCTCCACTCTTAAGTGCTGCATTCTTCATTGGAGCTAGGTGTAAGCCATACAATGACGACTTTATGTTGTGTAAAGACGAGAACAACGGAGGCACCGTTGAATGTTTGAAGGAGGGCAGAAGAGTGACGAGATGTGCTGTTTCCGTGTTGAAGGACTTGAACACTCACTGCTTCGACGAGTTCAAGTTGCACTACGAATGTCTCGAACAAGAAAACCACAGGATGGGCGGCTGCAGAGCCAGTGAAAAAGTGTTCAACAAGTGTGTGTTCGACAAGTTGAAGTTGGAGAAGAAGATCCCTGGTCCTCAGGAGCAGATCCACTTGAAGGAGAACCCCATCTACACCGGCACTGGCCAGGACAAGGCCGTGACCAAGGCTTTCTTGAAGGGCAAACTGGAGGAGTCTGCCTAGACTCGGGCGGGGTGAAAATAAGTTACTTGCATAATCAAATCATACAGATAATGACGTGTAGAGCGTGAAAGGTTTATGATATCATTCACGCAATAATAGTGATATTATGGAGTAGTTTCTAAGTGATGGCAGTCTATCATTCCATCGCTATAGCTGGATAAAGATACGTGTTTAACTAATTTTCGGTTGTCTGACCCAGAGGACATTGCACTGATCTGCTAGGTAGTTTTCATGATAGTGATGATGTTGAACAATGAATATAAATTCATTTTTTTAATTTGCATCAAATTTGTGTTTATTCAGAGATTGTAAATTTCATCAATAGTAGGTGGCTTTCACGAAAATCCGTGAATATTGCGAGTGCCGAGGTGGGTTTACAACAACGTAAATCAATGAGATCCGTTTTAAAATTAATCAAGTTTCTCAAATTCAATTTGAGGCACAGTATCTTAAATGGTCTCTCATAATCTAACTTTGTAGGAAATATTTCGTAATTGCGATTAACTTGGAAGCTCCTAGAGCAATTTATCATCTTGTGTGAGTTGAGCGATCTTGAAAAGAAAGTAACTAAACGCGAACTCAGAGCACTTTTAATCACTTTTGTTCACAAACCAAGAACTCCAAATAAAAAGTAATTAATGTCAACAAAAAGATCTAGAGAAGTCGCAAGCTCTACACAGAATGTTGCCATAACAACCCACATCACCTAAAGAAGAGCAAGCATATAAGGTCACAAGTCCTGTCTTATTTTTAAATCAGCTCCCAAATATCATCAAATTGATTTTTATTACCTCAATTAGCAAACTTCACCTAATTTCATTCTCCATTTGCAGCCATTGGTGGTCGTGCGCGGCACGCTACATCGCCTAAACAACGCTACAGATTTCTCACTACGAGACAAAGCCCAACCTCAATTAGTTCACGCAGCCTCCCACAATTCAATGTTTGGTGCTTCTTCCTCAGGTGGCACGGGTCTTTTCGGAGGTGCCCAACAAAAGCCAGCGTTTGGCTCCCTGGCATCCACAGGAAACGTCAATTCCGGATCGGGCTTTCTGTTTGGTTCAAGCAACAACAACACCAACACGGGTAATACCGGTACATCGGGCGGATTCGGCAGCCTAGGTGGTCAGAGCAACACGGGTTCGGGACCTACAGCTCCCCTGGGTGGTCTTTTTGGTTCCAACACCAATACGCAAAATTCCCAGTCTACACTGAATCTTTTTGGTCAGAATAAGCCTGCTGGAGGCGGTCTCTTTGGCGGTTCCACGTCCAATACAGGCACTTCTGGTGGCCTCTTTGGCGGCTCAAACACGGCGCCTAATCAGCAGTCCAACACCAATACTTCTGGAGGTCTATTTGGATCTGGTAATACGGGAAACACCAGCGGTGGTCTTTTTGGAAAACCACCTGCGTCCAGCGGCGGAGGCCTCTTTGGCCCCAGCAACACAAACACTCAGAGCAATGCTACGGGAAACACGCTTGGCTCGTCAGGTGGTGGATTGTTTGGATCCGCTAACACCAACACAAGCTCTAACACGTCAGGCGGCCTTTTTGGCAAGCTGAACACGTCTGCGCCCGCGTCTTCGGGTGGCCTTTTTGGCGGTAGCAATACTCAACAAAACACTCAAAGCGGCGGTTTGTTTGGCCAGTCCAACTCAGCACCTACCTCCCAGCAAAACACAAATGCCGGCACCAACACAGGCTCCAGTCTTTTTGGCGGCAGCACTGTGAATAATGCACAGCCGTCCTTCTCGTGGTCTTCTCAGCAGCAGCAGAAACCACAGCAATCCGGTTTGTTGAACTTGCCAAACTTGTCTAACTCTCAGGCATCCAGTCAGCAGGCACCTTCCTCGTCATCTTCCACATACACGCCACCTATCAACGATCAGTTGATCAAGTTAAAAGAGCAGTGGGACCCAAACTCGCCGAAATGTGCCCTTAAAACTCATTTCTACAATAAGTTTAGCCAGGAAGAGATAAACGCTCTTTTGCAGCAACCTAGACCGGCAAACGAGTCGCCGGAAGATTGGGACAGCGCCATGTCTGAGCGTCCCACCACTCAGCATTACCCCATTAAAATCACATCGTTCAGCGATGTGTCACAGAGAATAGAGACACAATTGGACCATGTGGCCAAGTCCAGGATTTTGCTCAACAACATTAATGAAAAGCAAACCCAGCTATCGTCAAAGCATGATCTCGATAATACAACCAGAATCCTCAAGGCCAAGGCAAGACACACAAAGCTCTCACGCCGTCTTCTTCGCTTGGCTACGGTCTTGGCCATTCTCAAACTCAAAGGTTACCCTTGCTTCCGGAAGAGGAAGAGATTTCTAAGCAATTTCAGACGTTGAATGCCCGCCTCAGTGATCCAAATGGCCCTGTTGGCAAGCTAAGCGATCTCTACGCTCGTCTCGCTATCCTTAAGGGAAGAAGCGAAGACCTTTCCTCGCAATTGGAATCGTCTATTGGTAGTATACACGGAGGCTTGAATGACATCATGAACGGCAAAGAAGGCTCTGGTGTTGTGGGTGGAACCGACTCTAATAACTACATTGACCAGATCGTCAACCAGTTGACGAAGTTATTGTACAAGCAGCAGGTGGGTCTCAGCTACCTTAATGAGCTTTTGCAGAAGGACTTGGAGACAGTCGACAAGAGGCTTGCATCTCAAAATTAGGCATTCTGTTTGGCGAAGAAACCATGAAAACCTCTGTCTTTGGTCCTGACAGTCAGCATATTCGGTGACTTATCCATACGCATAATATCCTCTGTTCGAACGACGGCGTCTTCGCTCACTTTTACTGAAGTGTCGAGTGGACCTGCGCCTATCAAGTGGAGGCCATGAAGACCGGTTTCCACGAAAAGCGGCTGAAACTTGTGGTATTTTTGGAAGTTGTGGCGGATTTGAGGAGCGACTTTGGCCGGGTTGCCCTCCTCCAAATAGACAAATGGCGAGGATATCGTGGAGGTGCTCATCTTGTACTCGAGGTGAAGAGCCCTCGGTAGTAGCGAGTGTTTGAACGGCACTTGGACCTCGCCGCCAAAGTACTTTTTGTCGTTTTCAACATACGAAAACCGCGGGAGACCTATAAGGTTTTGTAGCTTTTGGCGTAGATTACCTTGTTTCTGGCGTAGCTCAGAACCAGTTAAAGCGATAGTTGAATCAACACCAGACAACGGGTCAATTTGGGAGAACTGCTCTGTTGGGTTTAAAAGGACAGTCACCAATGGTTCGAAAAGATGAGGATCTGTGTGTTTGGCTTTGTCGGCTTTGAAATACTCCACCGTTCCTAGCTTTCCAAAACTGTCGTAAATAAACTTCACTTCCTCGACGTTGATTGGAGCAGGTGCAAGTTTGAACTTTGCTGCCACAGCATATTTGAAATATAGTGCTGTTCTGGCCAGTAGCGACATCTAATGTGGAAAAAGAACTCGTGTGTTGAAAGGAATATGGGGTATTTTGGTGACATTCTTGCACACAAATAGATGAGCATCACCAAGCTGCTACTACTCGAAATCAGCCATGATTCAGGTTCTCGCTGAAACACTATCACGTGGCCTCAATCGGGATGTTCCTGTTTCCCTAGCAGAAACGGCTGTCCGACTATATAAGCAGGCTGGACTGGAACTGCAGTTTATGGTATCTACGAAGGCCCTAGGGTTTCCAGAGGATTTGGCCAAAACCGTGTACATATATATCCAGGACAACTTGGGGACGCTAGAAAAGAAGGAGACTGATGCTCCTGCTGCTCCGCCGGCGAAAAAGCCAAAAAAGGCGAAAACAGCGAAATTGACGCTTAATTTCGATGAAGACGAGGATCTAGATATGGATCAGGGTGCTTCCTTGCAGGCGAGGAACGAGCCTAAGAAACCGAAATTCAAGAAGCTTAAGAAGGCTGACACACAGCGCATGAAGGAAGAGCCTGTGGAAGACTTGCCAGTAAAGAAAGAAGAGGAAACTGTTGAAAAGACAGTGAAGCAGGAGCACTTGAGTCTTTCAGAACTCGCTGAGCTTGAGAGGAAACGGAACGAGGCACAGGAGCTTCTCAAGGAATCTGAAGAGCTTCACGCCTTGGAGGACGATGACTATGCCATTGAGAACGATCGAGAGTGGTATGCTTCTGAAGATATGGCCCACCAAGCTCAGGTTGAGGATTACGAAGATCTAGACTACAAGCCCAAACAGCGGCAGCGACCTAGAAAGAACCAGCAGCGCAGTGGCGGAGGTTTTGATGCCGCTACAGGTGAATACGTCGATTATGATCACGATACCTCAGAAGCTCTGCTTCTACGAGTTCCAATCACCACACACTTCTTAGTTCCACCGTTTTTGGATGGGTCTGAAGCTGATCTTCGGCCGCATTTTGGCAGCACCCAGACATCGAGAAGCCTGGGACCCAGTGTCAGTGCAGTAAAAGATCCTGCTTCTGAATTGGCAGAATCTGCAAAGAATGGAAGTTTTGTGGTCAAGGACAGAAAGGCTAAGAAAGAGAGAGCAAAGCAGGCAAAGGAACGTGCAACTGGTGAGGACGGGATGGCCTCGGTGATAAAAGAGAGCCAGAACGATAAAAAAGAGGAGGAAGAGGTTGAAGAAAAGAGCTCCTACGAAAGCATACAAGAACAACGTCGGACGCTTCCAGCATACCACGCCAAAAACGACCTTCTACGAATAATAGCGGAAAACCAGGTGGTCGTCGTTATTGGTGAAACTGGTTCAGGTAAAACCACCCAGCTAACACAGTTTCTCTGTGAAGCGGGTTATGCGAAGAACAGAGACAAGCATGGCACCAGACTTCTTGTGGGATGTACTCAACCGAGACGTGTTGCTGCCATGTCGGTCGCCAAGAGAGTTTCAGAGGAAATGGGCTGCGAGCTTGGAGAGGAGGTTGGTTACTCCATCCGTTTCGAAGACAGAACAAGTCCGCAAAAGACATTAATCAAGTACTTGACCGAGGGTATTCTTCTCCGTGAAATGCTTGCTGACTCCACCTTGGAGCAGTATTCGTGTATCATTATGGACGAAGCGCACGAAAGAACACTCAACACGGATATTTTGCTTGGCCTCTTTCGCCAGCTCTTGCGTAAAAGAAGAGATCTCAAGCTTATTGTGACCAGTGCCACCATGAACGCTGACCGATTCTCCACATTCTTTGGCGATGCTCCACAATACGTTATACCTGGTCGGATGTTTCCTGTTGAAACCTTCTATTCCAAGTCGCCGTGCCATGACTACGTTGATACTGCTGTGAAGCAGGTAATCACCATACATTTGGCCAACCAGGGCCAACAGGGTGATATTTTGGTGTTCATGACGGGTCAGGAAGATATTGAAACTACGTGTGAGATGATACACGAGAAACTAGACATGCTTGAGGATCCACCACCACTCGATGTCTATCCTATTTATTCCACTTTACCTGCGGATGTACAAAAGAAGATTTTCAACAAGCTGAGTGCTCAGCGCAGAAAAGTGGTTGTGGCTACGAATATTGCCGAAACTTCCTTGACGGTGGACGGCATCAAGTATGTCGTCGATTGTGGTCTTGTCAAAGTGAAGGTTTTCAACCCAAAGCTAGGAATGGACATTTTGCAGATGGTTCCGATTTCCATGGCCAATGCCCAGCAAAGAAGCGGTCGTGCTGGAAGAACCGGTCCTGGTATTGCTTACAGACTTTACACTGACAGAGCAGCGGCACCGTCTCAAATGTATGTGCAGCCGATTCCAGAGATCCAGCGTACGAACTTGAGTTCCGTGATGTTGATGCTCAAATCACTTCGTGTCACAGATGTGCTCAAGTTCCCGTTTTTGGACCTGCCTCCTCGTGATCTTCTCAGCTGTTCACTCTACGATCTTTGGGCTATAGGGGCTCTTGATAACTTGGGCGCATTGACGCAGCTCGGAGATCAGCTCAACTTATTCCCAATGGAGCCTACCCTTGCTAAGCTTATATTGCTTTCGACACAGGAGGAGTTCCACTGCTCTCGAGAGATTATCGTCATCGTGGCGATGTTGTCTGTCCCTAATGTCTTTTATAGACCAAAGGAACGAGCAGACGATGCTGACTCTGCTAGGGAAAAATTTCTCATTGCAGATTCAGACCATTTGACCTTGTTGAACGTATTTGAGCAGTTTGACCAAAGAGCCAAGCAGAAAAAGGGTAGTTTGAGCTTGTGGTGCACCCGGAATTTCCTTCAGTATAGGTCTCTTTTACGAGCGAAGGATATCTACAACCAGATCTTGCTCATCATGAACAAAAGGAAGTTCCCCGTGCTCAAGTCCAAATCCGACAGGGATATAAGAAAATGTCTCTGTGCAGCTTATTTCCAGCAGCTGGCCAAACTTGTAAAGATGGGAGGAGGCAGAGGTCAGGTCGAATATGCCAATCTTCGCCAGACATATATGACGATGTACCTCCACCCTACCTCAGCTTTAGCTGGTGGTGGTGACCTCAGTCCTCCGTTTGTGGTCTATGATGAGTTGGTTCTTACCACAAAGGAATATATGCAATGTGTGACGGCTGTGGAGCCTGAGTGGTTGCTCAAATACGGCCATATCTTCTACGGTGTGAGTGCAAGCGTCAAAAAACAGATAGAAGGCTCGTTGGACTTTACTTTGGTGGGAAAGAGCGATTGGGAAAAACGTCTTGAGGAAGACAGACAGCGCATGCAAGTTCAGGATTCACTGAAAACTACAGAAAAGACGAAACTGGCTCCCGGGTGCGCCGGGGTTTTTAGTATATACATGTTGGAGAGGGGTGAAACCATGCCAACTCTTGGGTTTGTTTTTGATGATCCGAAATGACACTCAAATGGCATCCAAAGATCTTTTATCGTCGTCTATCGTTATACCTCTATCCGTTGAGCTGAACGTTGTCGATGAGCCTGGCAGTACCAGAACCGTCGGACTTGGGCACACGAACTGCAGTGGAAACAGTAGCTCCAACGCCGCTTTCGATCTCGTTCAAGTCCTCAAGCGATTCAGGGTGTGAAACTGCGATATACTCAAGATTCCACTCCTTGGGCATAGAAGAGAAGACTTCACGAATTACATCCGCCACAGCAGCAGCCGACACAGGCTTACCACTTTTGATCTCCTCCTCGTAATAATCACGGCCAGCACAGAGACCCTTGTAGATGATCGAGCATTGGTCCTTTGCTTCCTGAGACAAGTACGCATTTCTCGAGGACATGGCCAAACCGTTAGGCTCACGAAGAGTGGGGCACACTCTGATGGTCGTATCGATAAGCAAATCCTTGACGAGATTCTTCACCACCACACACTGCTGGGCATCTTTTTGTCCAAAGTACGCATTTGTAGGCTGAATCACATTGAGAAGCTTGGTCACGATCGTAGACACGCCCTGAAAAATGCCGGCCTCTGTGTCCCCTCAAGCTGCTCCAGGCACCCCAAAACATTGACAAAAGCGCCTTTCTGCTTGGCCACATCCAAGACAATTCCGCTGGGAAACATCTCCAGCACCTTGGGCAAGAAAAGCGCATCCACAGGGCGGTCTAGCGACTCAAGCGCCTGCAAGTCATGGTCTATCGTCCGGGGGTACGCGTCTAAATCCTCGTGGGGCGCAAATTGGGAAGGGTTGACGAAAATCAGCACGATGGTTCGGTCGTTCTCCTTTAGACTCTGGTTCACGAGGTACGTGTGGCCCTGGTGCAAGGCGCCCATGGTGGGGACGAAACCGACGGTCTCCTTGTTGAAGAAACACTGTTTCTGCCACGCCCGGACCTGTCCGACCGTCCTTAGGATCTTGATCAGCGTAGTCATCGGTAGATAGGTAAGACTGGGGAGTAGTGGATGAAAAGTCGGTTAAAAAGTGCCTGATTTGATGATTTTTTGGTTTTGGGTTTCGGGTTTGGGTTGGCTTTTGCCGGCAGCACCGAAAAATGGTTCTCTAGGCTGGTGTTGCTGGAAAACGCCTGGTGAAGTCTGGGGTTTGTGTGGAGTACCGAGGCATCGCTGAAAAGTTGAGACAGTGAGTAATGGTGAGGGTCGGGTGGGTTGGATTCGGGAGTTTGGGAAAAATGGAATTTTTTGATTTTTGGGGATATTGGCTTCTTAAATATTGAAGGTTCGTTGATTCTCGGGTTTTGGGCTTTCGGTGTGGTTTTCGGTAGGTGCTTGTACCGAGGGACCGAGATGGAGATTTCAAGGTGCACCAACGGAGTTTGAAGAGCCACAAAAACTGAGTTCATACTGACTCTAAATATTCTGATGTACCAAACACTCAATTTCATGTGTATTCAAAGGCATTTTATTTGCCTCTCTTCATCTCCTCCACCTTTGATGTATTCGCCTACCTACCCTCTACTTCTCTGCTACACTCAATCAAGTCTACTCCGATCGGCTAAACCGGTCGAGCTACATATACGAGATTCAGCTGGCGAGATTGACCTTCGTGCTTGCTTTGACCATATAATAAAGCTCCCTTGTCCATAATTCCAAAATTTCAGATTTTCGTTTCTTGGTCCATGCATGTGGATATGGCTTACCTTGATCTCCACCTACTACTACTGAAGGTCCCAATTACCCACACACCACATGCCCCAATTTCCCCCTTTAAATCAATATCACGAACAATTCACTGCCCTCTTCAAATCTAACCCATGAAAAGCAAAATCTTTTTGAAAGCTGCCTCAAAACAATCATCTCCCTCTGCCCAACGGCTGCAAACGGCTGCGAATCATCACCAGAACCCGCCAATCACCAGCAACCCATCAAAACCTCTGAAAAACCGCAAATCGTATAAGCTTCTCACGCAGTACAATATAAACCCAGGCTCCCCAGTAGATCTTCAGTAGCATGTATTCCTTAGAAAAAAAGACCGCCGACGGCGTTTTTCCCAGAACCGCTGGCTCCACCACCTTGCCAACAGACCGGGTGAAAGTCGTCTACAATAAGTTCTCTCCAAAGTCTCCAGTACCAGCTGATGTCACCAAAGTGAACCTTATCTTTGCACACGGCTCGGGCATGAACAAGGGCACCTGGACGTACCATATTCAGAAACTTTACGAACAGAGCCAGAGAAACCCAAAATGGAAAGTGGACAAGGTCATTGCGGTGGATTACTTCACTCACGGTGATTCTGCAGAACTCAACCGAGACAAGATCGGCTGGACTGCTGATTGGTGTGACGGAGGAAAGGATTTGATTGAGGTGGTGAAGCACGAGATTGCCACCACGGGCGACTTTATGCCCGGAGGATGGTCGAGAAACGTGCTTATCGGGCATTCGATGGGTGGTTTTTCCGTGCTTTGGGCTGGATTCCTTGAACCACAGCTTTTCGATTCCGCCATCTCAATTGAGCCTGTGATTCAGTATGACCAGCTTTTGAACGAGTGGTTTTTCAACAGGATGAAGAAGGTGGGTAAGTTTATCGAGAACAAGTACCCCAACTTGGAGGCTGCTCACAAGCATTTGAAGAAAGAGTCCTTCTACAATGTCATGCAAAAGGACGTTCTTGACAACTTTGTCGATGACGAGTTGGTGCATGAAAAAGACGGCGTCAGAGTCAAGGCAGACAAGAAGCACCAGATTGCAACCTACTGTGGAGTGGCCTACTCTGCTGAAAAGGGTATGGCGATTTTGAGCCAGTTAGAGGTGCCGTTTTTCCACATCACCGGTGCAGCTGCCACATGGACACCCAGAGAGTCTGTGGACTGGATCAGAGGAGAGGTTCCAGAGCATCTTCTTGAAGTTGCGGATATTCCCAAAGGCGGTCATTTGGTTCATGGCGAGCAGCCTCTTGAGCTGATCAGATTATGGAGCTACTTTATCGACAAGAGAGTCAAGTTTATTGAAGAGGCCAGAAAGGAATTTCCCGAGGAGAAGTACGGCAACGATAGAAAGAAGATCTTCGACGAGCAGTGGAAGTACATGGACACTGCCGATGTGGAAAACCTCTACCACTTCCGTAACGTGAGAGCGAAGCTATAATTTCTTTATGTGATCAGGCCTATTAAGAAAAGCCATCCTTCTATTTCGATTTCTAAAGAAGCTGAAGACTATTTGGTGGTCTATCTTAGTTTTCATAGAAACTTTCCCATATAGTTCTGCTCTATCCTTAGGTTTACGTTTATCAGCTAATATCCTTTCAGGTTACTCACGATGTTAATATTAGGTTCTCTAATATTTAACTTAATGGGATGAGCACTACTCTTTTTCACGGAATTGAGCGTAACGATGCCACCCTGAGGACGTCTCCAATATCAATATACATTCTGATTGCCAGTGAATATTTCGATCCATCGTTTGAAGGTGTGTCCCAAAATGGACATGGTTCGTGACGTAGGTGTAGAATCGAGCCATGAATCTTAGGTTTTACGCCTTTTCGGTTGGGAACCATAGAATCACACTTTCTGGCTCTTCCAGACGGAGTGGTTAATTCTCCGCGTCTCTCAGGACTCTCTCAAGCTGCAAGCGATGCTTCAAAACCTATTGTGCCAGTACCTTGCATGCGGCTTAACTGCGCCAACTTATCTCTATCCATTTTACCTACCCACAACAAAACCAGTTTTCCTTATTATATACCAACCGGCACAATTAACATTACTTTCTTCCGATGATTCTCTTGCAGAGGTTCATGATAGGATCGTGGTCGTTGGTATAAATGACCGTAGCCTTCTTTCTCTCTGCTCCATTCTTACCCTTTTCAACATCTTCCACATCCTCAAGGGACATTTCATCGCCCAACTTGTGGTCTCTCAACAAAAACACAAAAACGAGCAAAGGCACCAAAAGACAGATGGCGACAATACAAAGCTGTCTCTGCAAATCAGCATAAGCAAGCACCACGGCTCTTCTAGCTGGTGTACCCCAGGTGTGCTTTACAATAAACTTGTATGGCGACTGGTAAGCTGGTTTTGCAAGAGATGTGTCAACGCCTAGCTGCTCCATTTTGGAGTAAATGGTAGGGTACATCTTTTGTGTCCAGATGGCACCAGAAACACAGGTTCCAATGGCACCACCGATTTTGTAAATGGCTGCAAACAAGGCAGTCACAGTGGCCATGTACTCGTAGTTGGTACAAGACTGAATCGACACACCAACTGGTCTCATGAAGAAACCGGTAGCAAAACCGTCGATACAGAAAGCCACCGCAAGACCGTCTCTGAAGTATTTTCCGTTAATGCCGTCGTTGTCACCTCTGAAATGAACAAACAAGCCCATGGCAACAAACAACATACAGTTTCCGAAAAGAATGAAGCCCTTGGTTCTTCTGACCTTGACAATCACCAAACCGAGAATAGGCAAGACAATCGAGGAAACGAAGGAGCTGAACAGCGGTGTTCTTGTAGCAACAACCTCGCTGGCGTTCATACCAACCAAAAGAATAGCATAAGCGTATTCACTAGGAATGCTCGAGGCAAAAGTATTTAAAACACCGATTCCAAGACCAGCCCAGACACCACGGTCTCTCAATACAGGGAAAGGCACCAAAGGGACTTTAGCCCACTTCATTTCCCATACCACAAACACAGGAACAAGGCAAAATCCAAGCACCACAGGAACGATAATGTCTGGTTTTTTCCACTCAGCGTGGGTTCCACCAGCCAAAGTCAAGGGAACCAAAATAAGGCCAAAAATGGCGACAATGAAGAAACAGGCCATGATGTCGACTTCCCAGAAGGTCTGATGAGCCTTGAACGCAGTCCATGTCCATGCTTTTTTGAGGTTTCCCTTGAACTTAGAGCCTCCGTTTGCAAGATACTGTCTATTTTTTTCCTGAGCAGCATTGAGCTCCACCTGGCTCTCCTTCTCCTCTTTGCACAATGCCTTCCACTCTGGAAGCTTGTGAACCTTCCATTTCATGTAAACGAAGCAAGACAAGAACGGAACACAGGCCAAGGGAAACGTGAAAGCCCACATCCCGATACCAAACTGCCAGCTGTATCTGTGCAACACAGCAGAGACAATTTCACCAGAAGACCATGTGGAGATGATGGTGGGCAAGGAAATGGTAGCAATGGCCAATAATCTAGCACGCAAAGAAGCGGCATCCTGGGCACTGATCTGGAACAAAATCCTGGCACCTGCGAAACCACATCCATAAAGCACAATACCGCCAGCGTATTTCTCAACGGTATCGGCCTGGCACATCACGATGAGCCCAATGATACGCAAGAGCAATCCAAAGCAGAAAAGCTCGAAACGACCGAAAATGTCCGACAACCTGGCATAAGCAGGCAAAGAACTGGCTGCAACAACCTGTCTGATAAGCGAGATGGTGGACATAAGCGAGTGTTTTTTGTAGTCACTTGTGGCGTAGCCGATAAACACCCTCGAGACATCCGACTCCACGATCGAGACGTACATTCCCACAAAAATGGAAAAGAAGTAGAAGCCCTTGAGGAAGTAGTTGTCAAGCTGCTCCATCATGAGCTCCTGTTTTCTGATACCAAACGACTTGGTCAAAACCTTGGAGTCATCGGAGTCTGCAGAGGAAGCAGTGTTCTGCTTTGTCAATTCTCTGGACAGCCTGCTGGCAGCCTTTTCGTCTCCATCTGAGGAGGTATTGGTTGCAACTTTTGACATTGAGCTACAGATTGAAAATACCAGTGGGATTCTGGGGCCTAAATACCCTAAGCCATCGGGTCCTCATGTACATCTGTACAACGCACAATTCGCCTATTTGCAGCCATTTGCAGCCATTTTCTTGACAGTGACGGAACCTTGACAGTGACACTTGCACTGACAGCATCGAACCAGCCAATCAAAGAAGCACAAGTTCTTTCCGAGTCGGCAGATGTGTCGCCGGCTATGCTTGTAAACGGCGATCGCCCTGCACCAATCCAGGGTTTTCACTATCTGATCGGATCATATAGGCTGCGCTACGGAGGTCTTTAGGGTTTGGAAAGTTATGCCATACAATTTTCTTTTCTCCGTGTGTCAAGGTGATTTCTCCGTCTGCGGGATGTGCACACAACGGGCCTTTGAGCATTGTTTCTGCAGTCTATATTCGCCGTGTGCAGTGGCGTCTATGGCTGCAAAACTCTAGCAGAAGTTCATCGTGTGACATAGCAGAAGCTTAATTTAGCTTTTATGATTGGACATGTCTCAACTGTCACACCCTTGCCAAGCCTGTCAAAGCCGATCTTCCCTCCGTTGTCTTGGCGGATTGGCGGTTATGAGTTCGGAGTTGCATTGTAGTATACCTGCCAGCCAATAGAGAAGAGTCCCAACCCATTGAGGTTGATTTGAGTGAATCTTGTTGGTGGGTTTGATTACTCGAATACGGGTTTCCGCGGAACCCTTGGCGAGAAGGTCCCGTGGGGCGTTGAGTGTGGGAGATCTGGAGGTTTGTGAATGTTCAAGCTGTCCTTCCGTACTTAAGCTACATAGTCGATGCTTAACAAAGCTATGGATAGAAGGGCGATGGAGGTGATGGTGTTATGAATTTCTAGAGCTCTGAGTGACCTACGCGTCTTTTGCGAAAATTGAGTCTAGCCCTATGTGCTTAAGCCGCTTTATCCAGAGTTGAACCTGCTAACGCCGCATGATCGTTTACAACACTGGCGCTAAGCTCGTAAATTGAGGCTTCCTAATATTAGAGAATCACCTAAATACCGAGAAAAGACGAGGAAAGTAACCCCCAACTTTGAATAACGAGACCTAGTTGGACAGTGCACCAATATTTTCATAAGAAAACGTAATTATTTTGGCATTCCGATGAAAATGTGCACCTTCGTAGTCTCAACTCCACGGAATTTGCGTAGTTTTCAAGGAAATTTTCAAAAGCGCACCCGTACACCACCGCCTTTTCAGTCGAGGCCCTCGAAATGTGGGGGATCCAGTTCCACAAAGCCAGTATCATGCAACCTACGGAGGCTATTTTTTACTCTTTATTGAAACATTCCATCGAAAATTTTCTAGATATGAATTTTGTAAAGAACGAATAAGCCCACTTTGTTTGGTCCCAGTATATTCATCTTACTGCTTCAATTTAACAAGTAATGTCTTGATGAGAAAAAGTATAGCACATTTCCGAATTCATGGTGATGCTTAACTTATAGAGATCGGTTTGTAACATGAAATTATTGGTTTTGGTGACCGGGTACCTCGTCGGATGAAAAGCTCATGTCTCATTTCTCAACTGTTCTTTTGAAGACAATGACCAATCGAGAGAATGATCATGCCATCTGAAAAAATAGGAATTATTTTCGAGGCTGGCTGAATCGGACTTGGCTCCAGCAATATGGTTTAAAAGTTTAGTGAAGCAGGACTTTCCAACCGTATTTCTAGCGATCCTTCTCAATATTGGTTAAACGCCCATGCTAATGAGGCCACGGATTACTGTAATGATCCGTTTCGTAAGCCAAATGTAGCGAAAATTATTTGGTCTTCCATGTGCTTCACAAATAATAGAGATTTACAAGCGAGGACCACAAAACCGGTTCGCTCATTCCTGGAAATTGCAATTTCGCCTTCGAGACGTCCATGGGGTGATCTCGTTTAGCCGCTCGATGCACCTCTTTTCAAAATACGGTAAAAGCCGTATCGGTTTTTTTGTTGGAGAGCCCTGCAAAGGATAATTATTGCAGGATTGCATGGGTCCGCATGTCCATGCAGCTTTGGTTGCAAAATGAAGACCTCCACTGAATATAACACGACTTTGAGTAATGAGTTCAAGCGCTACAATGAATTAATAAAATATCTATTATCGAAATGCACAGTATGTGCGTAAGGGTATCCGAGAGAAAGGCAGAGAATCCAATCGATGTTTTCACATCTCAAAAAAGAACGAAGAGGCCAAGGGGAAGAACCCATTCAAGGCCAAATTTAGGAAGTGAACCAGCGCCGTCGTACGTCAGAAGGGAAGCAGCAGGGGAAGTTTCAGAAGGACCTGCAACTGAGGTTTCTGGAGTCTGAGAAGCACCAGCAGAAGGAGCAGTGGACTCACCAGCAATAGTAGACGTATGAGGCTTTCCAATAGCATCAGTCAGCACAACAATTGTACGGTCAAGCGTGACGGTCTTGCCATTCTGGGTGGTTTCATAAGAATCCACAGAAGTTTCTGGTGGTGAAAGTACCGAAGTGTAGGAGGTAGGCACTCCGTGGATGGTCGTTTTGATGATAGCACCAGTGACAGTGGTCTTGGAACCGTCCTCCTTGGTGGAGACTAAAGCGGTGGTTTCAGGACACACGGTGGTGTAGGTAGTCCAGCCACCATTGGAAGCTGTAGTCTCACAGACGTAGATGGTCTTGGTTTTGACGTTTCCATCAGCGTCGGTCAGATGAACAGTGGTGGTGTAATCGGTAGGCTGCAACTGGGAAGTGGTGGTGCACAAGCTTCCGTCGGAGTCTGTGGTCACGATTACCTTACAAGAATCAGTAGTAGGGTTTCCGTCAGCATCAGTGGTGGTCCATGTGGAAGTGTAATCGGTGATACCAGGGAGACCTGAGGTTGTGGTGTACCCGTTACCGTCTGAATCGGTGGTTTTAATCACCACACACGAAGAAGTGATCGGGTTGCCGTTTTCGTCTGTGGTTGTCCAAGTGGAGGTGTAGTCTGTGATTCCTGGACCATACTGGGAAGTAGAGGTGGTCAAAGAACCGTCAGAGTCGGTTGTGACAATGACAACGCCGGAAGCAGTGCTTGGGTTTCCGTCAGAATCGGTAGTGGTCCAGGTAGAAGCGACTTCGGTGTCGTCAGAACCGAATGTGGAGGTGGTGGTAACAAGGTTTCCGTCAGAATCGGTTGTAACGATTACCACACCGGAGTCGGTGATAGGGTTGCCGTTATCATCGGTAGTAGTCCATGTGGATGTGAAATCGGTAGTTCCAGGGTCCGTAGGGTTGAGGTCAGAAGTGGTGGTGGTCAAGCTTCCATCCGAGTCAGTAGTAACAATAACCACACCAGAACCAGTCGATGGGTTGCCGTTGGAGTCCGTGGTGGACCACGTAGACGTGAAATCGGTGATATCTCCATCGCCAGATTCGGAAGTGGTTGTAGTCAAAGAGCCGTCAGAATCAGTCGTCACAATCACCACGCCAGAATCCGTAGTAGGGTTTCCATCGGCATCAGTGGTGGTCCAGGTTGAAGTGTACTCGGTAGGGCTTCCATACTCAGAAGTGCTTGTGGTCAAAGATCCATCGGAATCGGAGGTGACGATAACCACTCCAGAATCAGTGACTTGTTCTCCGTTGGAGTTGGTGGTCGTCCAGGTGGAGGTGTACTCAGTAGGACCATCGCCTCCATCAATTTGACTAGTAGTAGTTGACAAGGATCCATCGGAATCAGTAGTGACACTAACTACTCCAGTACCAGTAGATTCATTTCCATCGGAATCGGTTGTAGTAAAAGTTGTAGTGTAGTCTGTCTGATCGTCATCGTCAATCTGAGAAGTTGTAGTACTCAAAGAACCTTCAGAATCAGTAGTCACACTTACGACTCCAGTACCGGTAGATTCATTTCCATCAGAGTCAGTTGTAGTGTAGGTGGTTGGGTAATCCGTCTGACCATTATCATCAATTGCACTGGTAGTAGTAGTCAAGGATCCGTCAGAATCAGTAGTGATGATAACCCCACCAGTACCAGTAGACTCGTTTCCATCAGAATCAGTGGTAGTGAAAGTTGTAGTGTAGTCGTTTTCACCACCATCAATTGCACTGGTAGTAGTAGTCAAAGATCCGTCAGAATCAGTAGTCACACCAACTACTCCAGTTCCAGTGGAAGAATCACCATTAGAATCGGTGGTAGTGTAAGTGGTGGTGTACTGAGTCTGACCATCGTTTTCGTCGATTTGGCTGGTAGTGGTGGTCAAGGATCCGTCGGAGTCTGTAGTAACGATTACGGCTCCAGTACCTGTAGAGGAATTTCCATCTGGATCCGTAGTGGTATAAGTGGTAGTGAATTCAGTAGGACCATCGCCTCCATCAATTTGACTAGTTGTGGTCGTCAAAGAGCCATCTGAATCGGTGGTAACACTAACAACGCCAGTGCCTGTACTGGAATTTCCATCTGAGTCAGTTGTGGTGTAGGTGGTTGTGTAGTCGCTTTCATCACCATCGATCGGAGAAGTTGTAGTGCTCAAAGAGCCATCCGAGTCTGTAGTAACACTAACTGCGCCAGTTCCAGTAGATTCGTTTCCTTCGGAATTGGTGGTTGTGAAAGTTGTGGTATAGTCGTTTTCATCACCATCAATTGCACTAGTAGTAGTTGACAAGGATCCATCTGAATCGGTTGTAACACTAACCACACCAGTTCCAGTACTATCATTTCCATCAGAGTCAGTTGTGGTGTAAGTGGTAGTGTAATCCGTTTGACCATTATCATCAATCTGAGACGTTGTAGTTGACAAAGAGCCATCTGAATCAGTAGTAACACTTACTACCCCAGTTCCAGTGCTTTCATTTCCATCAGAGTCAGTCGTTGTGAAAGTTGTAGTGTGGTCGGTTTCATCACCGTCAATTGCACTGGTAGTAGTAGTCAAAGAACCTTCTGGATCAGTAGTGACGATAACCCCACCAGTTCCTGTCGATTCGTTTCCATCAGAGTCCGTTGTAGTGTAAGTAGTGGTGTACTCTGTTGGACCGTCGTTGTCATCGATCTGGCTAGTAGTGGTGGTTAATGAACCCTCAGAATCGGTAGTGACAATTACAACACCACTTCCAGTACTGGAGTCACCGTCGGAATCTGTAGTAGTGAAAGTCGTAGTATACTCAGTCTGGCCATTGTCAGAAGCTGGAATATCAGAAGTTGTGGTTGTCAATGAACCGTCTGAATCCGTAGTCACTATAACGGCCCCAGTTCCGGTGGTAACATCACCATCGGAGTCAGTACTTGTATAGGTAGTGGTGTACTCGGTCTGATCATCGTCGATCGGGGAGGTGGTTGTAGTCAAAGAGCCCTCCGAGTCAGTAGTAACACTAACCAAACCTGTTCCAGTGCTCTCGTTGCCTTCAGAGTCAGTGGTGGTGTAAGTAGTACTATACTCAGTTGGACCTTCGGTGGGTTCAAACTCAGAGGTCGTGGTAGTCAAGGAGCCGTCCGAATCGGTCGTCACAATCGCCACACCAGAGTCTGTGAGTGTGTTTCCGTCAGAGTCAGTGGTGGTCCAGGTAGTGGTGTATTCAGTTTGATCACCAGAAGTCTCTGATTCAAGGTTGGAGGTAGTGGTTGTCAAGGAGCCGTCGGAGTCGGTGGTAACGCTAACGACGCCAGTACCAGTGCTTTCATTTCCATCGGAATCGGTTGTGAAGTAAGTTGTAGTGTGGTCAGTTTCCTCACCATCATCGATCTGAGAAGTTGTAGTTGACAAAGATCCTTCTGAATCAGTAGTCACACTCACAACGCCAGTACCAGTAGAATCGTCTCCATTAGAATCTGTGGTTGTGTAAGTGGTTGTGTAGTCAGTAGGACCTTCACCTCCATCAATTTCACTAGTAGTGGTCGTCAAAGATCCATCGGAATCAGTAGTGACACTAACGACGCCTGTACCAGTGCTTTCGTCTCCATCGGAGTCAGTCGTAGTGTAGGTAGTGGTGTAATCCGTCTGACCATTATCATCAATTTGACTAGTAGTAGTTGACAAGGATCCATCTGAATCAGTGGTAACGCTAACTACTCCAGTACCAGTGCTTTCATTTCCATCGGAATCGGTTGTGGAGTAAGTGGTGGTGTGGTCGGTCTGATCGTCATCGTCAATCTGAGAAGTTGTAGTGCTCAAAGAACCTTCTGAATCGGTGGTAACACTAACTACTCCGGTTCCCGGCGATTCGTTTCCATCAGAGTCAGTTGTAGTGAAAGTTGTAGTATAGTCGGTTGGACCAGAATCAGGAATTTCAGAGGTTGTGGTTGACAATGATCCATCTGAATCAGTAGTCACACTCACTACTCCGCTTCCAGTAGATTCGTTTCCTTCAGAATCCGTGGTGGAGTAAGTTGTAGTGTGGTCAGTTTCATCACCATCAATCTGAGAAGTTGTAGTTGTCAAAGATCCATCGGAATCAGTGGTAACACCAACTACTCCGCTTCCAGTAGACTCGTTTCCATCGGAATCTGTGGTTGTGTAAGTTGTGGTGTACTCATTCAAGTCCGAGCTGTCGTCTGTTTCAAAAGATGAGGCAGTCTCCGTGCTGGAAACAGCAGAAGAGGAGTCCGTTGGCTCCAATGGAGGCTCAGGAAAATCCTCACACTGACAAACATAAGGAACATCTCCACTAAAAGGATCGTTGTAGGTGATTCTAGTACCAGAGTTCAGAATACCGTTGGTTGCAAAATTGCCGTTTTCGTAGCCTGGACCGATGTTGAAGCCAATCTTGAAAGCACCCAAGAAGAACGAGAGGGTCAAAACGCCGTCTTTGTAGTTGTAGGAGTCAAAACCAAGCGAGACCCTGATGGTGTTCCCTCCACCAAAACCAGCAACAGTGTAGGTCTTGGTACCACTTAAGGAAGAAGACAAGCCAAGCACCGAAACCACGGAGGTTTCGTCGGACAAGTAGATGGTCTGCTCTTCGGAAATAAACCAAGGGCTGATCTGAAGCAGGAGGGTTGCACCGGAACCAACATTGATACAGCCCAGACCTTCAATCGAGGTGCCCTGGTCCCAGTACATGTTGGTGAGACAAACGGTACCCTCGTTGTGGATACGGCCAAAGGTCTGGGAAACGGTAATTCTGGAGGCGGTTCCAGAAACCTGGACCATATGGATTCTGCCGTGATTTTCCCAGTTGGTTGTTGAGCCAAGGGTAATTGGAGATGTCAAGGAGAAGCCGCTGAGACCAAACCACATGTCTCCAGTGTTGTTGAAAGCACCAATGGAGTTCAAGTTGTAGTTGCTCACGACACTGGCACGAGACGAGTTGAAAGCGAGATCACCCAGGTTCTTGATCGTTCCAGAGATGATTCTCACAGAAGCAGCCAAACCGTTGTCAGAGGTGACGTAGAAGCTACCCTCATTGTTCAAGTTACCAGCAAGAGTGGTGAGGGCGTTGTTGACAATGGAGTAGTAAACATCCGGGAGGATGTTAAGATCACCAATGGAGAGGTTCACTGGGTTGATGGAGATGACATCTTCGGTGATGGTCAACCCCAACGCTGTAGCGAGGTATAAGGCCATCGCAAGCCAGGAAAAGGTGTAGGACATGGTGGAGAAGGACTTTCACAAAGGCGAAAAGGGCCACCATCTTATACTCCGTGGGACCGCCGGTCCAGGGGATTGTTTGTCCATCCGGAGGTATATCGGGTCTGAAAACAGCCATGGATTCCCCAGAGACCACTGGTTTTTGCAACCTTTCCTGCACATAATCCCGCATGCATGGCTAAAGGTATCTTGCAGCCGTACAATGGGGTCTCCCGAAATAGCTTTCGCTAGACAGATACTATCTGGCGGGTCGCATGTGGGCCACACATTGTGGACTTTTTCTGTGGTGTGGAGCACCTGCCGTCGGCTAAAAATTGCCGAAGTATCAGCCCTTGGGCCCTTTTGCAGGGTTTATCTTATTGGGCGAAATCCCAGCACATTTTCTGGATAGCCAAGCCAGTTTTGACTAGAGCACAGATTTTTCGGCGCATATGGAAATCAGCCAATGAGCAGACGAGCTATGCTGCTGAGAAACGGCGAAACGCTGCTGTTTTAGCGGAACCCTCATTGTGGAAGAGAGAGCGGAACTATATTTTGAAGAAACTTTGTACCCATGAGGCTTAGCACTAACCCGCGAAGCCTCGCTCGCGTGCATTGGCGAGGGTTCTAAAAGGCAGGCGCCGCGGCCCTACTGCAAAAGAGGAATGGGCAAAAAAAACCAGTGCTTCTAATATCGCTTGTAGCCTGTTGCTCGTATCGCTGTATCTGGAAGATCTAAACGAAGGTTGCAAACCCTGTAGCCTCATCATGGCTTCCAGAAAAACGTTGGATTTGTGCTTCTCATAGCACCCCCGCTTGAATCACAATAGCGGCAACCATGAAGTCCGAAACTTTGGAACCTTTACATTCAAGCTCGGGCCGTACCACTTCAACCCATAGAATTCTCCTACCCTTTCGAGACTTCCTGCGCCATGCCCGCCCCCTCAATGGTCGCGAGCGCTACACATCTAGGATTTATGCAGGGTCTGCGTTTTGACATTCTGCTACGGTGACAATACCACCATCGGGCCGTAGCGGTCAAATCACAATTTTTGAGTGTTTCGGTAATTTTTAGGAATACAGTGCTGGTGAAGCCGAAAGTTGCAAAAAATTTGCCTCAGGCATGAACTAGCTATTGTTGAATGCTGGTTTACCGTAATCTCTTGGGGTCCAATGAATGTGCAGAGCTCTATTACCATAGGTGCTCTGGATGCACCTCGTATTGATTTTGCGCTAGCGAATGGGAATTTTCTTTTTTTCGTGGTACTCTACGTACCACGGAGAATAGCTACGTGAGAGGGTTGCCTAACCTGGCCTCCTGGTGTCGATATTCGTGAGGTGGTCTAGAGTCGCCTTTGTATTTGCTGCATGGTTTCGGTTCTAGAAACTGCATTGTTGGAATTTTTGGATGTTTTAGTTTCAAAAAAGAAGCTCTTACTTTGGTAGATGTTTTATCGAAGCTCGATACTTTGAAGGTCTCTGGATCTTGCCTCTGAGTTGGTATCGAAACCGCTCTCCAAACCACACTCCGAACCAATCTTCGAAAAGCAGCCGGAGTCTCGTGCGGGGCCGTGGCCATAATCGCCCTCGCTAAGGGGCCCTCGCTAAGGGGCCCTCGCGAAGGGCATCTTTAAACATTGTTCACCGTGAGGATTACTCATTCGCTTGTGGACCAGAACTCTGCGCCAAGCGCTCAACTACGGGATACAACAAAATTCCTCGCTATGAGCGGTATTTTACGACGTTTTCCACAATGTGATATCAGCAGAAGAGGCAGCCACGTTGACCCAGCGGGGTCCTGGGCAACTGGTACGAAACCATGCTCTTCCGACAGATGAAGAAAAGACATCTTTTGGTTTGCAAAGAGATCATTGTCGCCTTGGATTTGGCGGGTCGGAATACAAAAGGAGCATCACGGGGGAATGCATGCCGCCATTTGGACCGGCTCTTTTGCGTCTCAATCAGGACTAAAGCATGTACGAATTGTTTTTTACGTTGTCGGACTTGAGACATACTATCCCTATGTCTTTGGTGAGTTGCTCGATTATGAACTTAAGCGTGACGCTAGAAAAGCCTAAAGTTGCTCTTTTTGTGTCCATGGCATTATTGAATCACCACAGTTACATAATACATCACAATTGTTGGAAGCCGTCGCTCATAACTGGAATTGCACTAGTCCCACAAGTTAGTTTTGAGGTGAGGTTTAGGGCAAAAAAAAAAAAACATCTACAAACTTTCTTTAGGCTCTACAGAATACGCTGGTATGCATTATTCACGAAAATATTTCCCTCGCTCCTCTTTATCACCTTTCGGCCGAATCGCGTACGATCACCAGGGTACAGCGTACAGCGCATATAGATATGCAAGCTGCACGATTTATGTTTCAGAACAATTAGGTCTTGTGGTGTGCCACAAAAGGATTGTTTCTTTCGCTTTACGGCACCAATGTTCTGGGTGGCTCCGGCGATCTCGCTATTTTGAATGTGCCACGGCAGCAAGGGTTAGGTGTTTGTCCTCGTAGCCTAAATCTTATGCATTGAACGGAATGTTGGGTTCCGACGACTTGCGACCAATCAACCTTTGCAACGCTACGTTTTTCCAAAATCCTCTTGATTTCACATTCTCCGGAGTTTTTGGAATTAGCAGAAAGTCCTTGAAGTCCATGAAGTTGACGGCGGCTTCACCCTTTTTACGGCTTATATGAAATTGTAAAGAGGCAGCTTCGACAATTGAACCTTGTGAAAATTGATACCGCTTACTAATTGTGCCTCAGCGAGAAGGCGAAGGCTTGATCATTGAGTTATTCAATATGCTGAATTCCTAATATACTCCGAAACGACCGTATCGTTCCACAAGCTGTTCGAACTCCACCTTCACTAGTGACTTGCTAGAGTCTGAAGCAATGATGAGCTCAAGTTAACAAAAAGCTGTACCAATTTGCACTTCTTGCAAAATACTCACCACCCACAGGATAATTCCCAGATCGGTGGCGGAATACATTTTACTCAAGGTCACTGATTTTGCGGTTCCATAATCAAAGGCTCATGAACCTTCAGCATGACTTTCCGAAGGGCTTACGATGAATGTTTTAACTCCGTTGAAGTGGGTGGTCTCACAGTACCTATTGGTTAGCCATTTCTCACAGGATAGAACAACAGTATAATTTCACACATTCTGAAAAGCATGTTCCGATGTGAATCGAAAAATTGTCATATCTGTTAAGGGTAATTTTTTGCAGCTGAGGCGGTACTAAACGTGAGCATCATAGGCTGGCTGTCAAGACACTAATCTCAGCTGAATACTCTAAAATTGGCATCGAACATTTCAGCAAAAGCGTCACATATAAAACTCAGTCACCGAGGCCTTTTGCTTTTGAGCTCTTTCAAAAATTCCTGATATTTGATTTTTACTGAACATTTTGTGATGATCATTTTTGATCGCTTACCATTTCTGCAGTGCGTTTGCAGAATGTACGGGCAAAGTTGCAAGATATACGCGACCACCAAAAACCATAAATCCGAGAAAAGATTTGATTATGATAGAGATCCGAGGAAAAAGAGAGAGCAAAGTGAAGAGTTTTAGATTGGATAGCATGAGAAATGTGGTATTACGCTCCCTAACGTTGGCTGCAAAAAGGTACCTCCGCTTCCACAATTCCACAAATCACCAGCCTCAACTCAAGCATACCACAGATCGCCAAAGATCCCCAGGCGAGCTTACCCGAAGAAATGCAAAAGAAGTGCATGCATAGAAGAGCTACTCAGGTTGATTGTCCATATAACTCCCTCCCAGCTGCACACCACGACGTTGCCAAACAGGAAACAACAAAACGAAAAATCAAAAAACGAAAAAACAAAAAAAAAGAAAAAAAACAAGACAGCCCTCTTGCAATCCCGAAACACCAAGCTTTTCTGCAACCGAACATCAAAAACCCCTGCCTGGCCGTTGGAATGCATGGATGTGTCTAGCGACGCACTGCCAATTACCAGGAGAGGAACTCCCTGCCTAGAACAGGGTCCTCGATGCATTCTCGAGGCTTTTTTCGGAACATTTCCTCACTACGTAGGAATTCTCGTTACAAACGCTCAAGCCTTGTTTCACTGTGAAAAGCCTCCTATGCTCTTAACAAAGCAGGAAATTTGTTGAAATCGATGTGGTATCGCAGGCACACAAGAACCGGTTGCAGCCATCGACATGGTCAAGTACACATGCCTGATTAGCCTGATCGACATCAGCATAAAAGGCGATAAGAATCCGTCTGTTTCTTATCAATCGCCATGCTCTCCTTCCTCAGTTCACTCGCTGTCTTGGTATATGTCAATGCCTTGACCATTCCACATGGTGAATACCACGGCAAAAGAAGCGTTTCTCCTCTCAAAATCGACTTTACCGTTTCGAAGCAGCAGGATGAGACCATTGAACAATTGAATGCTAAAGCAAGTGCCCTTGCAGCCCACTATGCGCCTGACACCCTTCAAAAGAGAGCCATCGATACCCCTATTGTCAACTACAGAGACGTCAGTTACCTTATGGATTTCCAGCTTGGAGACAACCAGCAGCAGATTCTGGCCATCTTGGACACTGGATCCTCTGACCTCTGGGTGAACGGACCTGAGATCGATAAGCCAGAGGGCGGGACCTATGACCATTCTCAATCCTCCTCCAGTAAGATGCTTGATGAGGAATTCTTCATTTCTTACTTGGACAAGTCCTACGCCGGCGGAGAGTACTACACAGACCAGCTTGCCATCAATGGCGAGAAGGTTTTGGACGATTTCCAGTTTGCCGTTGTCAACAAGAGTGAGAACAATAGCCGGGGTGTTTTTGGTATTGCCGATAAGAACCAATTGGTTACAAACAACACATACGACAACTTGCCCTGGGCGTTGAAGAAAGCTGGCGTAACTCCCAAGGCCTCTTACTCATTGTTTTTGGGCTCAAGAGAGGCAAAGAAGGGCTCTATTGTGTTCGGAGGCATTGACACCGAAAAATATGAAGGTGAGCTCACCAAATACCCAGTGGAGGGTCTGAGAGGTTTGGCGCTCAATTTGAAGAGTGCCGAGGTTGCAGGAGAGACTCACGATTTGGACATTGAGATCTTGTTGGACTCTGGAACTTCCTTGAACTTGTGGCCACAAGAGATTGTGGATGCCATCGCCAAGCAGCTCGACGGTAAACCAATCCAAGGGTTATACTTGGTCGAATGCGAGCAGCCACTGGACAAATATGTTTCTTTTGACTTTGGCCAGAACAAAATCAAGATATCTTACCAAGACCTCGTTTGGCTGAGCGAAGGATTGTGTTTGTTGGGTGTGAGGCCATCCTCCAACAATACCCACATTTTCGGCGATGTGTTCTTGAGATCAGCCTACGTCTACTACGATCTTTCGGAGCATGAAATCTCCATTGCCCAGGCCAAGTACACCAACTCCTCCAACATCATCGAGGCTTGAAAACTTTAGCACGCTATAAACGACCTTCTAGAATGCCAGTAATACTGTAGGACAATGATCTGTGGGGAAAGGGATGAGCAAGGAAAGCTCTTCTACTCGGCAAGAATGATCTCTGAGACCGGCTTCTGATGCCAAGAGCCCTCACTGAGAGCAAAAAATGGACTTCGAGATGGGAGATCCAGGCTGGCAGTGGTATCTGAGTGGAATTGAGGCCTTAATTTCATTTAGCCAAACGATTAGAGCGATGAATCAAAAACACCATTGTGAAAAAAACCCAATTTACTGTAACTTCTGTACACCAGACAAGAATCGGGAGAAAAATTAGCCTCCATGGAAAGATGTGGGGCACCGTTCGGTTCTTTCTTGTTTCCAGGTCCCCACAATCAGAAAGCCGGAGAAACAAGTGGAGACCACCGCAGGCTCTTTGTTCATTTCTTGATCGCCAATTATGTGCCCCAACATGCTTTATGCCAGAGCATATTTTCACCACCTCCCCAGATCTCAAAGCCTAGCAAGATGCGGCGTTCTCAGCCATAAAGCCCCATGGCTATCTACGCTTATCAGCTTATCAAGCACGAAAATCAATGCAGTATGTTCCTCCATGGTAGCTGATGCCCAGACCCCTCAAGCGCGGCTTTTGGAAAAAAGTGTTGATGTTTAGCGAAATGGACCGTCGCAAAAGGTGCCTCAATAGGGTGTCCAAAATCAACGGAACCGTTTTCACTTTTCTTTTCTGCTTTTCTTGATAATTTTCTCCACGATTCCGCTCGCTGCCCGGACGACCATTTCTGACTCTGACTATCAAGAGTCGAGCCAAGTCCTTGGCACACCTCCCTTCTTTGTTGATGGACCGCCAAAGTGGACGATGTCATAGGCATTGAAGGGTTCTCCATAGCTCGATTCATTTTGCCGTAGGGGCCCCACCGCCAACGTTTTCTTGGCCTCCCACCGAGATCGAGTTAGTATTTAATGGCTGCAAAAGTCTTTTGGCGGCAAGATAGCCATGAATACAGAATCTGCAGAATCGAAGGACTTTGAAAAGCAGATCTACAGCGAAGATGTGGCTTCTGCTGAGGCCTTGAATATGGGAGATGCTCTCAAGGAGTCCCAGGCTGGAGATGACCAGAGGTTGAAGCGTGTTTTGCATGCTAGGCACTTGTCGATGATTGCCATTGGTGGCGCTTTGGGAACCGGCTTATTGATTGGTACGGGTAATGCCTTGAGACTCGCCGGGCCTGCGGCTATTTTCTTGAGTTACTCGGTGATTGGTTTCGTCGTTTACATGGTTTTGACCGGTTTGGGAGAAGTCGCAACACATATTCCTTTGGCGGACGGTTTTGCTGGTTACTGCAGAAGATATGTGGACGAGGCTCTTGGTTTCGCCTGTGGCTGGACTTATTTGTTTTTGCAGTTGTTGGTGACAGCCAACCAGTTGGTCGCTGGCAGCTTGACTATGCAATACTGGATCGACGAGGAAAGAGCCAATCCAGGTATCTGGATCGCCGTGTTCTTGACTGTGAGTACCACCATCAATGTTCTCGGTGTTCGCTTTTTTGGTGAAGTGGAGTTCTGGGTTTGCATTGTGAAGATCTGTACCTGTATTGGTCTCGTTATCTTATTGCTCGTGATCGCTTTGGGTGGTGGACCTAGCGGTGACAGACTTGGTTTCAGATTCTGGCAAAACCCTGGAGCTTTCAGAGCATACACTGAGCCAGAAAGAGGCGTGAACATTGAGGGCGACCTTGGAAGATTCGTTTCGTTCATCTCGGTGCTTGTCAATAGTGTCTTTGCATACTCGAGTTGTGAAATGGTTGGTGTTACTTTCCCTGAATGTGCTCGTCCAAGAAAAGCCATTCCCAAAGCCATCAGATTGACCTTCTACCGTATTGTGATCTTTTACGTCCTCAATGTCTTGGTCTTGGGAATGTGTGTGCCTTTCGATGACCCCAGACTCTTGGGAACTAGTGGCACAAACGCTTCAGCTTCTCCTTTTGTGATTGCCATCTTCAATGCCCAGATTCAAGGTTTGGATCATGTCATCAACGCCTGTATTTTGATCTTTGTCACTTCTGCAGCTGTCGCCGACATGTACATTGGTTCCAGAACCCTTTATGGACTTTCAATGTCTGGCTATGCACCCAAGTTCTTCTCCAAAACGGACAAGAGAGGTGTCCCATACTGGGGTATTGTTCTTGCTTTTGGATTTGGCTGCTTGGCCTTCATGGCTACGTCCTCGGATTCCGCAGAGGTGTTCCAGCACTTTGTGAATGTTGTTTCTCTCAACGGTTTGCTTGCCTGGTCGTGTATTCTTCTTGTCCACGTGCGTTTCATGAGAGCGTTGAAGGCTCAGGGGTACGACAGAAAGAAGGACTTGGCTTTCCGGTCTCCTATCCAACCATTCGGCACGTACTTCTCCCTTGGAATTTGTGTCTTTGTGATATTTGCAAAGAACTTTACAGTGTTCCTCGGAAGCCCCTTCGACTATGAGACGTTCATCACCGGTTACATCATGCTTCCTGTCTTTATCGTGTTGTTCCTTGGTTGGAAGTTCTGGCACAAAACAAGGTTCGTTCGTGCCAGCGAGATTGACCTCACTTCTTTCAAAGAGGCCTTTGATATCCAGGAGGAGAAGTTCTTGGCACAGGATGAAGAGGATAAAGCTGCCAGAAGGGCTGCAGGCAATCCTATCAATTTGAAGTGGCTTTATGAGAAGATTTTTGGCTGGGTGTTCTAAGTTGCAAACGCAGGTACACCACTCTTTGGCTTGGCCAATTTATACTCAATATCTCAATAAGTAAAAACGAAGGTACGAAATGATCCACCTAAGTAGGTTAGGACCACACAAGCTGACCATTCCAGAGGTTCATCAACCTATCCTGCCAGCTTGGCTGCTCTGTCCAGTTCAAGACATTTTCATACAATGTTCTAACGCCCTCGACAGACAGGGTGTTTGCAAGCTTTTGAACAAAGTCTGGATCCACCAGAAGCCATTCTTGCAACTCATGGTACAACTCTCCAGTGCTCAAATCGTTCAACTCATCAACAAACCCGTTATGATTGATGGCCTCCCAGGCGTAGAAAAAGTCTCCATACAACCTGTCATGAAATGCCGCCACTGCAACGGTACCAAACAGCTCCAAAGCTTGGTAGTTGTCGAAACTGTGAATATCAAGAGGTGGTAAAGATTTGAACTTTTCTTGAGTTTCATCCAAAACACACCCATCGTCCTCGACCAATTTGGCCACGTCTGCCATATCAAATTTGTACTCACCCTCGGTGTTGCTGGAACCGATTCCGACTCGGGAAACACCCTCCAAAAAGTCGTGGTAGCTTATGTTGGCCATTGCCAAAGCCGCACAGAATATAGCAGAAATCTTCATAATGAAACGGAATATATGGAAATTTCTGGTTGATCTAGATAAACGTAAAGGAGTATAAAGATGCGACCTGTCGTTTTGGCTTCATCTACTCCGATGTTGTGGCCTGCGTATATGAGTGGCGTACGTCTTCAGCCGCTCGGTGGGGTGTTATCAGATTGAAGAGATGAGGTGTTTCTGAAGAAGGTGCTCTAAACGATTGACAGCTTTTATCTGGATAAATTAAACTTGAAATCACAAAAAGTTGATCTGTCAGGTGAAAACAAGCTCTGATAGCCGATTTGAGCCGTACCATGCACTCCAGGGCTCTAGCGCATCTGCTGAGAATTGCAGCCTTGAGAAACGCACTATATATCACTTTTTTTTTTTTTTTTTTTTTTTTTTTTCATCACTAACACAGCATTGTTTCAAGAGCAGGAGAGAATTGCTTCAAGTTATTGCTCTTGAGCTTTGCTGAATTATTTTTTAATTGATCGGTCGGTTTCGTTGTTGATTTTTGGCAAGACATTTCGATTAAGCGACAAATGCATGCGCCGTTCAAGCCGAATCAGGAAATGCGAATATAGGCGAAGCCATAAATGGTACCCTCCTGCGATTGGCTACCATCGCAAACTGCAACGAAATTTAATCTTGAAGGAGATACTCATAGTTGCTCAAAAAAGTTGAAAATCAGATTTTAGATGCGAGTTTCCCAGGGACACATTGAGTTGAAGCCTGGAAGATCAGCATAGAATGCAGCACTAATTGACAACGTCGTATATGCCTACGTATTCCCTGGATGAGGTATCAAGAAAACATCATAGCAACTTACGCTATTGCAGAGATTGAAGATCTGGTACCGTTTGAACCTGACTGCCTCAGTAGACGTAACAATATTCTGCGACCTTGACAACCAGCATAAGTACGTCAGATACACTAAGAATTTCAGTACTTTAGCAAAGAATAAGAAGTTTGCTACCTTTGCAATCTTATCGCTAATTGCTCCAGCTTACCGATCGCTTGAGCTAGATGCTACTGGACTGAAAAGCATAGCTAATTGTCTTCCATCCCGCCAATAAGCACCGATTGATCTTAGCAATAACGATGTTTTTAAACCTTAGGAGAATGTGAGTGATAATCGTTCTCGATGTCCCGATTCTCGTTCGTTATATATTAATGCGTATGTCTTGATTGGGTCGAGGCGTTATTCATACCGATACGAGAAAAGAAACTTCGGCAAATTTTACTAGCGACCTTTTTTCGCTATCGAACACTCATTCTGTGAAATTGGGAAGTATTGGAGTATAGGAAATTTTAGCAGTTGGGCAATAACGTTATGGCGGGAATCATCCGATTCCGTTGTGATATCTCAGAGCCGAGAAGAAGGAAACTTGCGAGCGACAGATTTTTCTTTCTTTTTCTTTCTTTTTTTCCATTTCTAACTTTTTTTATCAACCTTCGAATTGCAGAATACATTTACTTTGAGTTTTGTGAGCACGACAGTACGGATGGATCACATTCATAGAAAGCCAACACCAAAAGATATTTCCTGAATTTTCAAGGAAACCTCACACAATCCAATTTCCTCCGTTCAAAGCTACCTGTGAGCCCATCATCAATTCAGGGTTTCTCTTGAAGCGGCGTACAGTAATATACGCGAGCATATCCACACATTGCACAATCATGTGTCTGTCCGCCTTACTAAACATTCTGTATTGAGGTGATAGAAAATACAATTAAAGAAAGGTGAAACCTTCTTTATATCGGCTTGACAATATCAGTAAGTCTTAGTATATTATTGCCCAGTCGCCAACGCACCAAACTCACATTCTCATGCACGTACAGCTTTGTGCTACCTGTCCAGCTTATCGGATCTGAAGCCGCTCATGACTCTGAATCACACTACAGTCGGACTAATTATTTTCGAAAAATTAACGACAAGTGAAATTTCACCATGTGTCGCCAAAATGACGCTATCGAAGGCGGGGAGCTTCAAACCGCAAGTCACAGGCCGCCCTTCTTGGCGTCGGATAAAGATACGCATGGATCCTAAACGGCCTTTTATCTGCCTAGTATTCGAAAACTGGACCTCCAAGTATGTGTCCGGCATATACGCAATTGTGGACCTTGAGCCACTTTGTGAGGCTCACAAAGGTAAGTCCAATGTAATGCAAATGTCGAAGAGCCAAAAGCCGTTTACATGAAATTTCTTCTTTTTCGGCTATTTTTCTATTCCAAAATAATGTAGCATTTTGCCACAAACTACACTGGTATCCACCCCAGCAAGCCTGAAATTATTGAAAACTGTGGCCCAGAAATTGCGAATACGTCAAAGCCGTCACTACAGAAGGACAAGAATTATGGCTGCCTATGACAGTCATTGGTAGTGGAAATGTACGCAATGGAGCGATTTTTTTCTAATTTTTCAATCAACTGTGGAGGCACCTCCTTTACCGCTTGTGCGTCTAAATTGCATCCGTGCTTGCGTAAGTATACTGGATTTCACGTAATTGAAACCAGGGCGGGCCAGCCGGATATCTACAACGGTGAGTTTCGCCAAGCAAGCTTCAGCCTGTCTACTTCTTTTGACTACCGTGCATGTCCTCACAACCGCTATTGTATAAGTACAGATCTTCCGCCCAGTCCTCTCGGAACCGTTCTGAAAATCAACCACTGTATTCTGCTATGGGTGTCGCTATTAAGAAGAGGACTGGTCAGGAGAACACTGCCTCAGCCAAGCTTGAGGAGAAGTTGGAAGATGTTGTTCAGGTGGTCCTGATTGATAACGAATCGCAGGCCGATTCCCTTCTTTCGAACCCATTCAAGGACCCTGCAGTCGCTCAGTACTATCATGATTTGTACGAGAAGAGTCAGTATGAGTGTCGTCTGGCCTTTGATCCTGACTTCGAGTGGCTGCCTGAGGAGGAGAAAAAGGTGATTAGAAAGTTGGATTTCAGAGTGGCGCTCAGTGCTTGTGTGATGTTTATTGCCTTGCAAGTGGACAGAGGTAATTTGGCTCAGGCTGTGGTTGATGACTTGTTGCCTGATCTTGGAATGAACACTAATGACTATAACACAGGTAACACGATCTTCCTTGTGGCTTTCTTGTTGGCTGAATTGCCTTCTCAAGTGATTTCCAAGAAGCTCGGACCAGATATCTTTATTCCTTTGCAGATGTGTTCCTGGTCCATTGTGGCTATCTGCCAGGGTGCAATGCAAAACAGAGCTGGTTTTTTCGTTTGCAGAGCACTTATCGGTGCCATTGAGGGTGGTTTCATTGCCGACTTGGTTTTGTGGCTTTCGTACTTCTACAAGTCCAAGGAGTTGCCTCTTCGTTTGTCGTGGTTCTGGACTTCCCTTTCGCTTTGTCAGATTTTCACCTCCCTTTTGGCTTTCGGTATTTTGCGTATGAGAGGTATTGCAGGTTTGGCAGGTTGGAGATGGCTTTTTATTATCGAGGGTCTCTTCACTCTTATCATTGGACTTCTTGCATTTTACCTTATGGTTCCTTCTGCTGTGCAGACAAAGAACTGGCTTCATCCAAAGGGTTGGTTTACCGACAGACAGGAGAAGATTGTCGTCAACAGGGTGTTGAGAGATGACCCTTCCAAGGGAGACATGCATAACAGACAAGGTTTGACTTTGAAGATGATTGCAAAATCCGCTTGGGATTACGACTTGTGGCCTGTTTTTGCAATCGGTTTCATTGCATACATTCCCAACAGTACAATTCAGCCTTATATGACGCTTTCCATGAGGTCGTTGGGTTTCAGTCGATTCGACACTAACTTGCTTACAATCCCATCTGCTGTTCTCCATATCATTACCTTGCTTTTAATTACTTGGTTCTCTGAGAGAATCAACGAACGTGCCTTGACGTGTTTGGCTTACCCAATCATGGTTGTGCCATTTTTGGCTGCTATCAGATGGTGGCCAGGCAGTGGAGAAAACGCATGGGTGACTTGGTTCTTGGTTACGATGGTTTTGTCTGGTCCATACATTCACGCTATCTGTGTTTCTTGGGTTTCCAGAAACTCGAACTCCATTCGTTCAAGGTCCGTCTGCTCGGCTTTGTATAACATGACCGTGCAAATTGGAGCCATTGGTGCTGCCAACATTTACAGAGAAGACGATAAGCCAAGATACCGCAGAGGTAACATGCAGCTTTTCATCATTGCTGTTGCATTGATTCCATTGCTCCTCTTGGTCAAATTCTACTACGTTTTCAGAAACAAGCAGAGGGACAAGATCTGGAACGCCATGACTGCCGAGGAGCAGGAAGAGTACATCAAAACTACGACTGATGAGGGTAATAAGCGTCTCGACTTTAGATTCGACCATTGATTGAGACCGTCTGGGCTAATAGAGCGATAATTTATTGATTGTTAGTGACTTCTTGTAGATAGGTTGAAACTTAAGGCAGAGATTTAAAGGAAATAATTACAATGTCAAGATTTTGATGAACATTATTTACAGACTCAGCACACTATATACGATAAGAGTCTCAAGTGGACTGCACTCCACAATTAGGCCTTGAGGTGCTCCTTAAGGAAAGGAATAGCCTTCTCAAGAGCAGGCTTAACAGCCTCAGGCTTATCGTAAAGCTCATAGTGAGTGGTGTTGGGAAGAACGACAATGTGCTTATCTTTGGATGCGGCGCGACCGTAAATTTCGTTGGCATCACGATAAGCGCCAAAACTACCGGGTTTATCTCCGACAACTACCAAAAATGGCTTTGTCATAGTGACTTCGGCGTGGCCAAATGCATCCCACGAGACTGCGGCACTGTTGAACGAGAAAAGGCCGCTGGCAGCTCCGTTGGGCTTTTGACCACGATCGGTCTTGTAATAGTCGAAAGCCTCGGGAACGTCTACATCACCGGTTATTTTTTCAGCCGCTTCAGCATTAGGTGGAAGGTAATGGATAACATTGCGTTCGGCGCCTTGAGCCTCAGCAGTACGTTGCTGACCAATCATTTCGAGTGTTCCCACAGGGTCAAACTGTGCAAAGCCTTCGCGAGCCAAACGTCCAAAGTTCACTGGAGTGATACCCACGCAAGCTTTAAAACGGTAGTCGGTCATAATGGCATTGAGAGCATAACCACCGCCACCGCAGATTCCAAGAACACCAATGCGTTCAGGATCAACGTAGGGAAGAGTCTGGATGTAATCGACCACAAAACGAAAGTCCGAAACACGGAAAGCTGGGTCCTCAACGAAACGAGGTTTTCCACCTGAGGCACCCTGGAAAGAGGCATCAAAGGCAACAACGACAAAACCCTCGTCAGCCAAAGCCGTACCGTAGACATTACCAGAAGTCTGTTCTTTGCAAGAGCCAATTGGGTGGGCACTTACGACGGCAGCGTACTTCTTGTTCTCATCGAAAGATGGAGGATAGTAGATATCTGCGGATGTTTCCCAAGCAATGTTAGGAATGCTGACTGTTTTTTTGTTCTCTGGCATAGTGATTTAGATTGATGGATGGAATTGAAGTCGGGGGAATTGTCACGGCTTATATACCCCAGAGCAAGGCTTGCAGAGCCCCTCGTCATACTACTCATCTAGGCTCAGAGCAAGTATCACAAACACGGAGGAAGCTGCAGGTTTCTTTTGAGAAGGGCTTGAAATTTCGGCCAAGTGAAAGTAGCAATTAATTTAGGCACGGAATGCGGCATGAAGTAGCTTCCGGCGGTTTTTAGCACAGTTTGGCTTTTGTGGATTGGCAGATGCTTCCAGTGGGATGCTTCAACGGATCGGAGAAATACCAAAAACGGCATATCGTATGTACAATATGTCCGAGCGGCTGCGCGGTTTTCACGCGTTTCGGAGAAATACTAAAACCGTATTGCATATACATATCTCCGAGCGGCTAAATATTTATTACGCATGGAATGGGACTCGTCAAATCGGTAAGCCTATGAGATGTTAGTATCTTGACCCTTGCTGTAAAGAAGCATATGATGTCTGCAGAATTGCGTTGGGCCGTTTCACCCCTGAGTCATTTTGGAGGAGGGTGGCGGATTGGTCATTTGCGTGAATTCGCCAGTGTTGCGGTTATGCTTTGAGTCATGTGAAGAGGTTGAAGTTGAACATTTCAGTGTTACCACGAACATGATTCTGTTTTGAACAGGGTATGTCCTTCTGGGTGTATTGCAGGTTCAGGCTTAGGATTTGATCTGAACCTAAATTGCGTTTAACTGTGTCCATTGTGAGTCCTTCACTTGCAGGTAGAGCGATTGTTTATTCAAGACAGAGGGGTCCCAGCTGCACAATGATTGTAGAATTACGAATGTGGCATCTTAACTTTTACGATAATGGCAAAGGATCATGGTAATTGTGCTAGAAGTTTCTTGCTCGTTCATCAACCCGGCTTCCAGTGGTACTCTCAAGGTATTTGAGTTTAGGTAGTCGTTTTTCCAAGAGGAATGGTTTAAATTTACAATTACAACAAAAGTTCAACTCCTCGTATCCTTCAAAGTGATCTGCAGCTTTTTGCCGCACCAAAATAGAAAATGTCGTGAAACATCGAATCATTGACGGCCTAGAAAGGGAAGATTGATGAAACAAGAAACATTATAATTTACGAGAGCTCTTAGCGTATACAAATGAGGCTAATATCCTCAACTTTAATACCTTCTCAACAATAAACATGGCTGCCCAGACAACACAAACAAGTACAACGCTCCTAAGGACAACAACTTGAACAAGCACGCTGGTCGTGGTGCTGTACCATTCATGTGCAACATTGTCTAATAATAAATTTCTAACAATTGATATAACCTTGTAGATTCAGATGGCATGGGAAAACTGGCTCAGAGAACTATAGTGTTAGGCTTGATTGAGGTTCCGCCATTAAAGATCTGACGCGTTAACTGCATTGAATTCTCGCTTGCTGTACTTAAAACCCTTGACAAAAACCAACAATATCATCATTTGTGTTTCTGTACCTATCGAAGTCTTTTAACTTTCGTTCTTGAAATTTTTCATTTTTTTGTGAGAATGCAAATGCGAGAGCTCAATCTGTATATGCCGCGCAAATCTGGGAAAGTGATAGAAATACCACTTCTGGAAAAAACCCACCAAATATCGAATCTATGTTATGTAGTGCCAAATAATTACCGTTTGTCTTTTTTGAAGGCTTTCAATCTATATTCCTAGAATTTTAGCGAACGGGGATGATGAGAGCAAAGAAAGATTGAAATGTGATTCACAGATCGAGCAAATGGCCAACAGGGCAGAAGAATGACAACTTTCGGGTTTCCTTGTACTTTTATAACATTTGTTTGTGTGATGCAAAAGTCTAGTACGCAGCAAACTTTGATACACAGTGTTGTCCACACAAACGACACAGCCTATGTAGCAGCTTGAAGAAATATCAATTCGAACGCACCTAAACATTATTACCAATCAATTTAGTTTCCTATTAATTAATAACGATGCTGCACAATTAGACCTGCGGAGCTCTAGTAAGACAATAATGAACTTTCATACATCGTGCAACGAAATGTTAACCATGGATATGCACGTCGGATGGCGGAGCGACTTCCTAGGTCAGGTCCCTGGCTTAGTGATACAAAACAAGAATTTATTAATCACATTGCGTTTTGCAGACAGAAATTGAAAAAAAGAGTATTGTTCTCGGGACAATTCGCACCCGGCTACCGGTGTCAAAGATGCATTATGCCCTGGCGGACATTTTCCTGATGCAGTCAATCTCCGAACAGTAGCAATAAGTGGTTGTAAGATCGCTTACTTGTAACCAAAGCTCTTGGTATAAAAACCAACATTTCCTCAAGCTACAAACCCAGAAAAAACAAATAACTACAATGACCACAGTTTTACTTTCTGGTGCATCTGGCTTCATCGCCTTACACACTGTCCAAGAAATTACGGACATCTTGCAAATGCACCCTCATATATAAGACAGAGGTTTTTCGTAAGGAAGTAATGGGTGTATCCTTCATGTACTTATGCTAGCAAAGCTCTCGAGAGTCAAACGCGTCGAGGAAACAATATCCATAACATCAGAAATGCACGGCTGCCAGACAATTCTCAATGTCATGCAATGCAAGAATTCACGATCCCTACATGCATAGTGTCAATCAGACATCGTGGCAAGGCAAGCAACACCTTTAGCCTAACGCCGATACGAACGCGGACTAATCGCGTATCTGTAGACCATACTTAGAGGAAAATCAGCATTTGGATAGCGTAGTTTTCAACAGCTTCTGCTGAGACTGTTAAAATATTTTTCGTTGTACCCATCAGAATGAAGTATAGAATCAACAATAACGAGCAGTACCTGCATCCTTTGCATACGCTACGGGGTACTGTGAGCAGTAGAGTAGCCTTGATGCTACGATCCGCTGAGATTAAGCCTTTATTGTTGGGCCACCGCTAGGCCGTTGAGTATGAGGCTACAGGGTAGAGAAGACTACAGAATGTAGCAATTTGCAGCATTCTGGCTTCGAGACATAATCCCCTAGAAGGCTGAATTACAAAAACGTATACTGCAAATCTATGGTGACACTATGAGGCCATGTGAAATAACAATCGGAAGTGTGAGCCTTAGTTCCAAATCTCGAGTGGCTTGTTTCCACCGTTGTAGGCAAGGATATTCACAGTGTCATCGCCGAGGCCGTGAATGACATCCTCCGTACCGTAATTGATAAGTCTCTTCTTGAACTCAGCAGGCTTGATGAGGTTGCTGTTAAATTCGGAGCCCGAACCCGGCTGCAAAGACAACAAGTAAGAGGCAACACCAGCCACATGCGGAGATGCCATGGAAGTACCAGACATGATAACAGGATTAGAAGAGAGTCCGATAGATTCAATTTCAACACCAGGAGCGTGAATGTCCACGCATTTACCATAGTTGGAAGAAGACCACTTACTGTCTAACCTGTCAATAGCACCAACGGTGATTGGACCACTGGCTCTGGCAGGAGAGTACTCGCAAGCGTCAGCATTATCATTACCGGCAGCAACCACCACATGTATGCCTGACTTCACGGCGGCGTTGATAGCAGCGTCCAAAGCGTCACTAGCACCACCTCCAAGGGATAGGTTCATGATAGAGCCCTTGAAGCCCTTTTTCTTCTCTTGAATCTTCTTATGATGGTCCTGAACTACAAATTCAATACCTTTGATGACGTCAGTGGTTGACCCTGTGCCCATCGGGCCCAACACACCCACTGCGACAATTTCCACCAGCTTGGCAATACCCCATGTCTTAGAGCCAATTGTTCCTGCCACGTGCGAGCCGTGGCCATGAAAATCTACCTCCAAGTGAGGGAATGCCACTGCTTGGCCATACACAGCACGTCCTTCGAAATCAGCATCGGAAACCTTGACGCCGGTGTCCACGACATAAGCAGTGACGCCCTCGCCACCAGAAGGATCGTGGGTATAAGAGTTCAAAATATGGTCGCTCTTACGGGAAGAGATTCTGGAAATACCCCAAGTGGAGTCCTCCTGAACTTCGGTGCCGTAAAGATTAATGATGCCGTCCTCCTCCACATACTTGACGTGAGGGCTCTCCTGGATCATCTTCAAGACGTCATCGTTAAAATAGCCCAGCAAGCCCTGCAAGGAGGGAAGTTGGAAGAATGAGAGCGCCTTGCTTTCTTCGTTCATTATGGAACCGACGAGCGAGGTTATCCACGACTTCTGAGAGGCGAAGTCGGCATCGGTGACATCATCTTTGAAAACAACAATGAACTTGTTAGGAACCACTCTGGAGCCCTTCACTAAGGGCGCTGGAGAATCACGATTTATCTGACAAGGAACAGCAAAGTTGGGCTTTTCGGTGATGACGTTTTGACCAAAGATGGATTCAATGCCATATCCATCAAGCCAAGGAAGTATCATGGCGGTTGCCAAGTTTGCAAGCACGAATGGGCTGCACCTTAATTGCATTATGGGTTTTCAAGGCTTTCAAGATTTCCAAAAATTCCTGGGGACTTCATGAGACTATATAGATAAGAGGTGGTGATTGCCAGGGATGATGGGGGCTTATGCGGAGGCTATGAGGTGGAGAGGGACAGGAAATATCGCATTCGGATTATTTGTTCGACAGTTGGGGGCGTTGAATGGAGGGTCCTTTTCTGCGTTGATGTTGTTTTCAATGTTTGCGGAGAGTCCGTTTCCGAGCATTTTTTTTTTGAATTTAAAGCGTCACATACTGGCACTTTGGCAAAATGCCATGGGCAGTTCAGTGCTGGTTTTGGGATCTTCGGGTGGGTCAAAAGATTCAATTACAGGGAGCAATGAACGTGCTTTATGCGATCCTGTACAATAGTGCATGGGGCGTTTTTGACAGGCATGGTTTCTAAAGCGGTTTCGTCGCGTGAGACATTATCGTCCATTCATTTTGTGAAGCAAGGAGGCTTAACAGTGGCCATAAATGGGCTTTTATCAAGATACATCTGTCGGATCATTTTCTATTAGGAGGCTCCCTGTGCCAATCCATTATCAACAGGAAGTTCTCTAAATGGCCGGCACGGCGCTTAATACGCTATCAATCAACGAATGGCATTGGACTCAGCCTTTGAGACGCTGCAAGGGCCCCGCCTCAACTCTTGCAGCAACCGAAGTGAAAGATATGCATTGATAACTCCTGATGACATCATATGGGAAAGCACTCTTCTCATGGTATGCACTTGTGACATTGCATTCTTATCGAGCTCAAATCTTTAGAGAACTATTTCGAATTGTGAACATACCGATGTGTCAAGTATTGATCGAATTCATAGTTAGTATTGCCCCAATACACAATCGTCCCTCCTTTCGTCTCCCTTCCTCCCATGCGTTGTCGATATTGAGGCGGTTTCATTATGAATTGAGGCATTAATTTTGAACTTTCAATGTACATCGTGCAACGAAATGTTAACCATGGATATGCACGTCGGATGGCGGAGCGACTTCCTAGGTCAGGTCCCTGGCTTAGTGATACAAAACAAGAATATGGATCGTTTATTAATCACATTGCATTTTGCAAACAGAAATTTAGAAAAAGAGACTATTATTCTCGGAACAATTCGCACCCGGCTACCGGTGTCAAAGATGCATTATGCCCTGGCGGACATTTTCCTGATGCAGTCAATCTCCGAACAGTAGCAATAAGTGGTTGTAAGATCGCTTACTTGTAACCAAAGCTCTTGGTATAAAAACCAACATTTCCTCAAGCTACAAATCCAGAAAGAACAAATAACTACAATGACCACAGTTTTACTTTCTGGTGCATCTGGCTTCATCGCCTTACACACTGTTCAAGAACTAATCAAAAATGGCTATACCGTGGTGGGTTCTGTCAGAAGTCCCGAAAAGGGGGAGTACGTCAAGAAAGCGTGCGGGAATCCAGAAAAGTTCACCTACGAGATAGTGAAGGAACTCTCTGAGGATGGTGCTTTTGACGAATTTGTTAAAAAACACCCCGAGGCCACCGCTTTCTTGCACACCGCCTCACCGTTCTTTTTCGATGTCACGGATATCGAGAATCAATTGCTTCAACCTGCCATCAAGGGAACCACATCAGCTTTGCAATCAATTAAGGACTATGGGCCTAACATCAAGAGTGTGGTTATCACATCGTCGTATGGTGCAATTGCTTCGTACGAAATGGACCAACAGGCTGGCAAAGGGATGTCTGGGTTTTTTTTCTTAGGGATGTCTGGGTTTTTTCTTAGGGATGTCTGGGTTTTTTCTTAGGGATGTCTGGGTTTATTCTTAGGGATTTTTTCTTAGGGATGTCTGGGTTTTTTCTTAGGGATGTCTGGGTTTATTCTTAGGGATTTTTTCTTAGGGATGTCTGGGTTTTATTAGGGATGTCTGGGTTTTCTTAGGGATGTCTGGGTTTTCTTAGGGATGTCTGGGTTTTTTCTTAGGGATGTCTGGGTTTTTTCTTAGGGATGTCTGGGTTTTTTCTTAGGGATGTCTGGGTTTTTTCTTAGGGATGTCTGGGTTTTTTCTTAGGGATGTCTGGGTTTTTTCTTAGGGATGTCTGGGTTTTTCTTAGGGATGTCTGGG